ATAATGTTCTTTGTGTATCAATAAAATATAAAAATCATTTTTACAATAAATTCAAAATAATTGATTTATACTAAAGAGGTAGACTTACCATTGTAGTGAAAACATAAACAAAACTATTTTCCTTTTTATAGTAGATCAATTTCTATGAATTATGATTTTCTAATTCTTATATGAGTACTTATGTTGTCATGTCCTAATATCTCATGACTTTGCTAAAAATATTTTAACAATATGATTAAGTCTTCCATCATCTTTACCTTATGTGGAGCTTTGGAATGCTTGAGGTTATATTTTTTATTCTTATGGTGATTTGAATTATAAGTCACCCACATTATAAAGTTTATCTTTAACTAGTTTAAAAAAATCATTACTTTTCAACATCTTCTAGGTTTATTAATATTTGGCTAGGATTGAATTTCTTAAGTTAGTCTTTTGATATAGTTTGAGATCCTTTTCAACGATATTGTGAGAACCACAAAAATTAATAGTACTTTGTGTCAAGAGATGCACAACCTTAAATCTTGACACCTCAACCTCTTTCCCTCTGTACAATCTAAGAAGAAATAAACACAAATAAAATAAAAGATGATAAAGAACTTCAATTCAATTCAAGAGCTTCAAGATTAAATGGGGTCAATACTTATATAGACTCATTAGTGAGAGATAGAGAAAGAGAATTAATTTAATTCAAACTAGACTGATTCAATTTACATTAATATTATGAAAGAAATAAATATATAGAAATAACACAATATTAATGAAAGCATAGTGAAAAAATTAAGAAAATAAAGCTCATTTCAACACTCCCCCTCAACTTAGAGAATGTATGTAATATAGTTCCAATTTGAAGGTAAAATGATAGAATATTTTGCTTTATAATATTTTTGTAAATATATCTATAAATTGGTAAGCATATGCACATATAATGTGCATATCAATTCACTCTCTAATTTTTCTTTTATAAAATACATGTTAATCTCAATGTATTTAGTTCTATCATGTTGAATTGAATTATGTGAAATATTAATGGCTAATTTTTTGTCACATTGATGAAACTATATTAGTTCATCTCTTTTTATTTTAAAATTTTCTAATATGATGTTCACATATAATAATTCACATATACATAGTGCCATAGAAATCAATTTAGCCTCTACATTTGACCATACAACTACATTATGAATTTTCTCTAGATAATAAGATTTCTTTTGAGAAAAGTACAATATCAAGAGGTCAATGTTTGATCTAACACTACATAATCTATATCTATGTAAACTTTTGAATAGAATTCAATTTCCAAGTGTTCTTTTAATATACTATAAGATACAATGAGTTGACGACAAGTGAATTTACTTTGAACTATGCATAAATTGATTGATCATGATGACTACAAATAATATATCAAGGTGTGTATGTGAAAGGTAAATTAACTTATCAAATAGTCATTAATACATCTATTTATCAATTAGAACACATTTTCAATTGCATTTTCAATTATCATATTTTCATGTAGCAAATAAAATATATATTTATGTTAAGAAATAAAAATGTTATTTTTTTGAGTGTGTTACTTCAATTCTTGGTAAATAATTCAATATTCCTAATGTCTTTTTCAAAACTCCTTGAATAGGTTCTAACTAAGATACCTCTTTATAAAATCATTATTTCTAATAATAATCATATCATCAACATACACTATGAGTGTTGTAATTCTCCATAAAAGAGAGTGTTTGATAAACAAGGTATGATCACCTTGACTTTGATTGTATCTTATTCTAATCATAGCTGCCATAAATTTAACAAATAAGGCACGTGTATATTATTTTAATTTGTAAATAATATTTTTCAATTTACACATTATGTCAGCCCCCGAACTTTTTTCATGACCTAGTGATGCTCCCACATAAATTTCTTCTTCAAGTTCTCAATATAATAAATTATTTTGACATCAGAATATTAGAGATCTTAGTCAAGGTTAATTGTAAATGTTATCTTAAATAATATCTTGATTGTATTCATTTTCACCACTTAAGTAAATGTTCTAAGATAATCTATATTATAAATCCTTGTATATATTTTAGCCACCAGTTGAGTCATGTACCATTCAATAGAGCCATCAGCTTGATATTTAATAGTTTAGACCTATTTACAACATATATTCTTTTCTAAAAAAATTGAAATTATATTCTTTTCTAACACCTCAATTTCCTTATTTATAGCTTATTTTAACTTTTCATTGGTTAAGGCTCTTCAAAAATTGCATTTGAAATGGTAAAAGTATTTGAATGAGACATGTTTTACGAGATGGTGAAAATCTATCATAAGATAAGAAGAGACCCAAAAGATATAAAGGTTTTTTTCTGTAGGTTCTAACTCTTTTTTCTAAGAGTTATGAGTAGATCTTTATTATCAAGGGACACTTCATTTGACTCTCTTCTAGAAGATTCTTAAATATGTTTTGAAATTTTCACTTTTTTCTTGAATATACTTAATCAAATCTTCACATTTTAAGTTTCATATCTAAAATAGGTTTAAGAACGAGTTGTGCATTAGGCTCTAGTGAAAAGTTTGTGAGAGATTCATAAATTAAAATTAAAAACTTAATTTCTTGCTCCTCAATAATATGATTGTTTTTATCTCTATGGTGTTCATGAACATGCATAAGACTACACATCAAATATTTTTTGTAAGAGGTTTGTTTTAATGAGAGAAGAGGATAGAAAAACGATAACATCTCTAGAAAACTTTTTAAATTTAAGAATGTAGATGATATATGATTTATGGCGTGAGCAACCATAAGTACTCCTTCACCCCAAAAAGTTTTGGGTATTTTATTTTAAATGACAAGTGATCTTGTCATCCCTAATAAGTGGTCATTTTTGTGTTCAATCACGCTCTATTTTGTTAGCATGTGTACACACAAGATGACTCATGTGCAATTCTCTCCTCAAAAAGGAAGGTTAATATTTGATTAAAATAGTATAGTATTATCAAAGTGATGAACCATCTAACCCAAACTTGTGCTAGGTATGGATGCATGTCCTAATATATCATTAAAATATTAAAAAAAGAAACTAAATATTTCATATTACTTTTAACAAAAGAAGTTATCTAATGTTTTGTAAGTTCACATACTTCACCACTTGAATTCAAATACATTCAAGTTGTGAAACCAAACGAGAAACAATGTTTCTAAGGTTATAGAGGAAAGGTGCCCTAATCTTTGATGTTGGAGCTAGATTTTCTATAACATTTGAGTTATTGGGATTTGTGTGAAGATTTAAATAAAACTATACTCATTTATCTTTGTTGCACAATAGTAAAGTGGGTATGATCACTTTTCTTTTGTTTTTCTTTTTGTTATTAGGGTTTTCATATAACTTGTAGCATCTATCAATTATGTACTCAATTTTCTACAATAAGTACACCATAAGGTTAAAATCACTACTATAAGTTTTTTCTTGTCCCAAAAAAGATGTCTATTTTTTGTTAATGTTAAATATTATATTTTTCCCACCTCTACTATAAATGTCAAATTGTCTATATTTTGAGGGTCAGATATAAAATTTATATGACTTTCTTCCCCTCTAATTAAAGAAATTACCCTTATTCAAAGGGGGTAATTTTTCTCTTCTAAGAATTTGAATTATAACTTGATCATACTCATAATTCAAACCTGCAAGGTACTTGTAGGTCTTATCATGTGGTATTTCTTCTCTATACAAGACAACATCAATATGATCTCTCATATCAATAATTTTTATGTTGGTCAAACTTCTGCTTTAGTGTTTTGAGTCATGTGTATATTTTGTTATAGACTTCTCTCCTTATCTCAAAGTTATCATCTTTAATTTTAATTAGTAGATTTGTGTGGCATCAATTACTCATGAATATGATTGATGTATATTTTCTCAAATATCTCTAGTTGTAGATAGATATAAGCATGTTCTTTGGATCTCAAGAACCATGATAGTTCAAAACATGTCATAATTCATGAATTCATTTTATCCCACTTCTCAAATTTTGAGTCCTCAACTTTTGAACTGCATTGAATCAAGTGACTAGTCAACCCCCTTCCCATGAGGATAGCCCTAACTTGTTAAGACTAACGGAAGTAGTTTATGTTGTCAAGATGATATGTTCTAATGTTTGAGAGAGAGGAGACCCCATCATAGGTCTAATGTTCATGCTGCCAAGAGAAAAGGACTCATGATTCTCAAGTATTTAGTGTAGAATCCGTTATAGATCATTAAAGAAAGTTGAACAAGTCACATGAACTTTGTTTTTCAAATAATGAAAAGGGAGAGGCAGATGAGAAGAATGAAAAAACATAAAGATCCTTTAGAGAGAGATCACACTTGGAGCTTTAGTATCATGTCAAGAGACACACAACCTCCAATATCTATTAAGTTAATGTTAGACTTTAGGGCCATGTATCTAATACTAGTGATACTACTAACAACTCCACAATGTGATAGAATGATAGAAGAGAAAAAAGGAAGGGGTAATAACTAAAGTAGCAAACCCACCAGAGCCCTAGAACAACTTGAAAGACTTTCAAAAAGTATTCATCTCTCCCTCTTGATTTATTTTCTTCCGTTGTACCCATCCCTTCAAGACCTAGGTTCTCATAATGGCCCAAAGAAAGGCAAGTTACCACCTTGCCCTTCTTTCTCACTTGAGCTGAGCCAAGGCTTGCCCTTCTTAGGCCATAAGTTGGCCCTTTTGAGATGGTATTATTCTCATTTTAAAGTAAATAATAAGTGGAGTACGTATCAGAAAGAAACACGGGGAGGCACCGAACAGTGTGTGCATTAAATAATGCAGCAAGAATAAAAACCCACAAGTCCTCAAAGAGACATCGTCAATTCTCGAGAATGGACGTAGAGAGAGAAGGAGAGCAAGATAGCCAGATGGTAACAATTTTAATAGATAAAAACAGCTTACTCAAACAGAGAACCAGAGTAAAAAAGATGAGAGAGAGAGAGACCGTGGTGAATTCAACCCATGGCATACTTCTGGGTCCAGCTCCGGGCGGTGGCCTCGTATTTGGCCCTGTCGGTCTTGTACATGTGGGCGATCTCTGGCACCAGCGGGTCATCTGGGTTCGGGTCCGTCAGCAGGGAGCAAATCGACAGCAGCACCTGAGCCCAGTCGAATGGTGCACTCAATGGAATGGTCCACTCGATGGAAGACGAAGGTGGGGAGAGAGAGAGAGAGAGAGGAACCTTGGAGATGGTGAGGGCAGGGCTCCACTGCTCCTTGAGGATGTCCAAGCAGATGCTTCCGTTGCTGTTGATGTTCGGGTGGAATACCTTGGTCCGGAAAGCCACCTGCAAGGTCCACCATCAGATGCCGCGGATCTCCAAGGGGAGATCGAGTGCTGCCTCTACAACAGCAATTATTTCGAATTTAATATATTCTACGCATTTATAATTTTAGATAATGTAAAATCTTTATGATCAGAAAATCATTTTAGGCTAATTCATAATTACTCTCTCTCTCTCTCTCTCTCTCTCTCTCTCTCTCTCTCTCTCTCTCTCTCTCTCTCTCTCTCTCTCTCTCCAGGAGTTGACGAAAGAGTGGCCAATTTCTAAATAATTCGTCCAGACATCAGACAACCAAATGGAAGAAAACAACTGGCGTAAAAGTCTGAAAAAAAAGAAGAAAAACTAAGTAATTCGGAAACTTTCACCATGCCTGCATAGGAAGATTTAACAATATATAAGCACAACGAGTTTTTAAGGGAATTGCATTTGATATTGCCATCCAGCTGACTTGATGTTATCCAAAAGTCAACTTAACGCTGACCCATACGAGCCAAAAACAGCAAAAAAAATTCCCACATATGAAGAACAGGCTTTTTTATTTGCCCTCCCTATTCAAACAAAAAATCGAGAAGATCTGAGCAAAGAACTGTGCACATTCACAAATAATGGTGAGCAGATTGTTCATGGGCATCTGTCAGCCGTTCTATCACCTGTGACGTAATCGCTCAAGCTGATCATGGGTATCAAAGTGTATGAGAGGAAACCCTACCGATGATTAAATTTACCACCATCAACAAACATGAAGAGAATTCAGAAAACCAAATGCGATAGAAATACCACTGATTGCATGAAAAACACAGGATATACAAACTAGGGCTGAGTGAAGTCGAGTACCTTTGGTGGTTTGAAGGGATAATCCGGAGGGAAATGAATAGTAACTACAAACACACCACCAGAATAGGGACTGTCAGGCGGGCCCATAATAGTTGCTTGCCAATGAAACATATCTTCAGCTACCGGACCTGTAAATCATAAAAAATGCAGTGAATTACACCAAAAGGATGGAAGCACGAGCAAATCAAAATATCAGACATACGATCCAATACATGATATTTATGAAGGTCAATGCACTGGTTGTGCAAGGGTAGCGGGTTTTTCGAGTAGGAGACAGTAAAAATTGAGATTTTTTTAATAAGAGTCAATTTTATTTTAGAATAAAAAATTCGAAGGAGTCGGTTCCCAACCCAAAAAATAGAAGCCACTTAACATCACGGTAGCATCTTATTTACCAGAAAAACAGAAAAACCATGAACATGACGACCTTAACCTAACAAGATAAAAAGTGAGGGGCCCTCCAACAGAGATTTTGATAAACGTGAAGATTACTTAACCTTTTTTTAACACAACGCTCTCAAGATTCCGCAGTCCCTTGAACATCTAACTTGTCAATGAGGACAACTCATGTTATGCATTCATGGTTCTGCAGAAACCAGCGATAGAAAGCTACAGATTACCACCTGAATTCTTCCTTTTAAAATTATTAATGATGACCATCCTGCCTCGACTTGTCATGATCACATACTACCCATCTTTGATAGCCCATTTGGTAATTTTTTCTCTTACAACCATTACCATTCATGAGTCACAATAAACCTTGATTAGGCCCTACTTTCTCCTCCATGTCGTTTATCCACTTCTGGATTCATGAGATGAGCTAAGATGATATTACCTATAAATTAGTTTCTTTGCATGGTGAAATGTTTTCCAACCAACCTCCATCTCTTTGCATATCGACTTCCTTCCATTATATTCGGGCCACTAATGAGTTTGACTTGTAATCCTGTATTACACATCTGATCTGACGCATATATTTAAATTTCCTACTTTGGTCATTCGGCTACTTTAATGTGCATGACAATGTTAAAGCAGACGACCATACTAGCTTTTGCCTCCCTCTTGGCAGTGCTAAGGGTCCTTCGGAAAATTGACTAAATGCCTTGACAGACCAGATGAATAAATGTACTGAAAAAATTTGACAAGAAAGGCAAACCAATTGCAGTCGGGTTCGAGAAATTTCGATCTTTTCAGTCACTTTCGCCTTCACCTGAAGACCTGCAACTAGTTTAAACTCCTAGGTATCGTGACCCTTCAGGTCCCATAACCAGTGGGAACGAAAGATTTGTTCTCCAGAAATTTTTCGCCCACTTTCTTCTTTAGAACTCCGATATTATAAGAATGAATAAAAATGACTCAGATCAGCCCCAAGAGTGATCACAAGGCACAAGAAAAAGAAAAACATGAAACAAACGCAAATCCGACTCCGATTGTTGCTCGGATAATCATTCTTCGTATGACGGAAAATCCATATGTATGTTAATCCCCTATGTCCATGAGCACACCACGATCAGACACGGGGACAAAATGTCCCCAGTCACCGTGGAATCAATTCACCCAAAATCCATCTGAAAAAACTAGGAGGCCGACGCCAGCGATTACTCATCCGCATTTTTCCATCCAGCGTCTCCTAATCCATTTTTCTACGGATCACGAACGTACAACTAACTACGGCCAAAGATCAAACGTAAAACTTAAAATAAAATCAAACGCAATGACGCAATCCTGCAAAGGACACGAAACATAACCGAGACCCATATCCATGTCCCAGTTGGAATGAATCAGGACAACCGTCGATCAGAGGGCACCTGCGCTGCAAGACGTGGGAGGATCCTTCTGGAGATCCTTAAGCTCCTTCAGGATTCTCTTTGAGGCCATGGCGGGATCACGATCACTCCGAACCCTAGATGGGTCAAAGCAGGACAATTAAACGCGATCAACAGCGCATTCGAGAGATGCGAAATCCGCAAAGAAGACGGAAACACACAGGAAGGAGGAGCAGGATGACGACGACGACGACAACAACGACGGCGATGACGTACAGGAAGAGGAAGGCGGAGTCCCCCTTCCAGATTCCTCGATTCCCCTCCGAATTTCCCCCTCGAGCAGCAAAACAAAATCCAGCCGATGAAGGGGATTTATCGTGGGGAAATAATGCAGAAAGAGGCGTTAATGAACAGTATGTCAGATCGTGTCGTCATCTGATCCTTTGGCCAAAGGATTGGGCCGGCCTGGATATCTGGTGGGCCCTCCACCGCGGGCCTCAGCCAAAACAGTAGCCCAGTGGTCAAATCTGACCTGCGTCGGCCCATTGGTTGGTGGCCAGTCGAATCCCACACTGGACCAGCGTCCACCTGGCTAGGGACAGCTGGTCAAGTCAGCTAACCGGCTCCAGTCTGACCCGCCAGCCAGGACCATTTTTATGAATTAAATAATACCGGAAAATAACCGGTTTCTGTGGCAATTTGGCACGTTGCGCCTGGACAGGTTTTGGGCCTGGACGGGCCGGGGCCCAATGCCTTCAACCGGCCCACGACTCCCAGCCGGTCTCAACGAATATAACAAATAATTAATTAATTAGTGATTAATGATGTGATTAAATGCATGCGAAATAATAATCCAGGTGAATTAAAAACACAAATAAATAGCCCCGCGGGGTTTTCCCGGGGTAATTTTATCTCATAAGAATAGTAATCACTCCGACAGACGCACGCCGGCCGCCGGCGGGCCAACGGCCTCCGACTGGGAGGCGGAGTGAAGAGCTCACATTGAATGCAGAAAGCGGCGGGGGAGGTGGACGAATGGAGGAAGAAGAGATCACAGATCCAGAAGATCGGTAGGGAAGGAGTAGTTGGGTGGTAGGCGGATATCTTCCTGTACACATCCAAGTCTACGAGCGATCTCCCCGGCGGTGAAGATCGTATGGTGCGCGACCTGCGGCCGGTCGTCTTCTCCGCGTCAGGGCAGATTGATCCTGCAATTATCAGGTAGGTCGAGTGAGGATGGTGATCTGGAATGAGCTCGGGTTCGCGCGGTATCAGAGCACATGCCCGCCGGCCCCATGGCAACAGACGGTGGGGTCGGCGAGGGGCCGCCGGAGGAGGAGGAGGAGGATGAAGAATGGAGGATGGAGGAACTGACCACTTGAAGAGATTAATGGTGCATTTGGGGGAGGCACCTCCTTCCAGCTGCTTCAAGGTGAGGCCGCCGTCGCCGCCGCAGAGGACTTTCACCGGCACCGTCCCGCTCTTCTTGCCGCCGTGCAGGATCCTCAGCCGCGTCTGGAGCTCAACCATTACGCGCAGGCTCTTGCTGCGGAACTGGGAGCTGAGCCTCTTTCCCTGAACTTCGTCCACCGCCGCCCCTTGCACTCGAGCTTCGAGCCGGATTACAGTAGAGTTCTTCTTCCCCAGGTCGAACGCCGGGAAGGTTCCCGACCCGAGGGAGGAGTCGCCGCTGTCGCCGTCGCCGGGGACGGTGACCGAGGCCTCAGTGGGGGAGAAGGTGACGCTGATCTTCCGGTTTGGGTTTGCGATCTGTATCCGGACGACCGTTGTGGCGTCGAGGAAGGAACCGTCGGGCTTGGCCGTAACGTTGAATTTGGGATTCTGGATGGACTCGAAGTGGAAGGAGGGGAGCTTCGGCTGGAACCAGAGGTAGGAGAGGCCCCCGGCGATGGCGATGGCGAAGAAGAGAACGACGAGGAGGATGAAGAGCCAGCAGCAAAACCAGCAAAAGCAGGGGCGGCGGGAGCGGTGCCGGCCGTGTTTGGCGTTGATGCCGCGGAAAGATGGGGGCAGCGGCTGCTTGCGAACCGGAGGCCTCGGTGGCGCCGGCGCCGGCGCCGCTGGATCCCTGTAGCCTGGGGGCTTCTGGAGCACTGGTTTCGCTCTCGGAGGTGGCCTCTCCTCCATAGATCTAATCACCTGCGGGAATTTGTCATGCTCACTGAGAAATGGACGATTTCAATAAATCACATCCAATTCCCCATAAAATACAAACGATCTTCCTACATTTCATCATTCGAATTGATCAAAATGTCTCGAGAAAAAGAAAACTAAGAGCACTATGAACAGTAGAGATTCATATGGGAAGTCGAGGAGGTGGAAAAATCGCAGCAGAACCGAGAAGAAATGCCACAGAAAGAGCTTCGAGTTCCACAAAATGCGAACCAAAATTATCTGAAAACAACACGATGCTTTGCACTAGGACGAGCAAAATCTCTTCCACTCCACCACAATCATCCGAGAAGAAACTCCAGAAGAAGAGATTTGAAGAGGACGCCTTCTACAAATCGAACCACAACTCCATCCAAATTAACAGAAAACCTCTCAATCCGACGAGCAAAGCTCTCCACTCATACGGAACCCCCCGCTAGAAACTCCATACCTCTGGCCATGAATTCAAGATGCGAGGATCTTCTAACCGGCCGACGTTCAACGGAAAACCCCCGCCTTCTCAGTGCGTATCGTTCAGACGTCCGAACCACCCCAAATGCTCTGCGACACAATCCCTCCGGCGGGCCACAGACGACAGGTCTAGATAGAGAGAGAAAGAGAGAGAGAGAGAGAGAGAGAGAGAGAGAGAGAGAGAGAGAGCCCTGCAGATGCCGCTGGATGTACGACCTCCACGTCGGAGACGGAGGGGACGATTAAATCGGAGGCAGCAGGGGCAAGGGGAGTCACGAGCACGGCTGGTGCGAGGCTGGCGATCTCTGGATTATAGTTTGGATCCGACGTGGATGCGAAACCCGATAGTGTTCCCTCCGTTGGTGATCCAGTGAAGCGAGTTGCCGCTGATCGTCGGCGTACCCGTTGGTTAACCTTTATTCGAGACCATGCATAAGAGCGAACCGGACCGGATCAAATCGAATCGAATCTGGGATCGGTGGGTACTAATTTACCCGTTTTGCATTTGAATTTGCGCTGGTGCCCCCATTTCCTTTCGCCGCAGAGTCGGTGCAGGGTTCGAAAGAGGGAACGCCGACAGGTAGGCTGATCGGCAAACCAGTCCATTTTTTCAAAAAAACATTGTCAACAGGGCCTACCCGTTTTATTATTAGGTCTAAGTCCATGCTTAGGTATAAGTACAAGTATATTAGACTCACGAGTGCAGTGAAGGATGATGACATGGAGGGGGCGGGTGTTGATAGCTCTGAATCCAGCTCATATTTTCTCTCTCCCTCTCTCTCTCTCTCTCTCTCTCTCTCTCTCTCTCTCATTCTCGCTCCTCCTGAATCCAGCTCATATATCACCTTGTTTGTAAGTGATATATTTTTTTAGGTTTAAATGAAAATAATTTATATCGTATGTTATTAGGAAGGATGTAAATAAAATATAAACAGAGTATTCTTCTTTGTCCAGATATCTAAAAAAAATGTCATTTAACATGGTCAAAGCAAAAAAAAATATAAAGCAAAAAAACCCATCAACCGTGGTTATATGTAAATATAAAAATAAAAAAAATGTTTTTTTCCTATCGAGCCGGTTATTATAGCCAATCCCAAACTGACTCTCTCTCCCTCTCTCTCTTACTCATGTATGCACATGGAGGCTCAAATAAGGGAATCTTGAGAGGTGCATTACATTTCCGGGCTCGAGCTGGGCTTCCCAAGGGGGGTCGACGGGGCTCAATCGGTCATTCCGTTTGACTCCCCTGGGCTCCTAGAAAAGGGGAAAAGACAAGCACCCACAGGAACAGGGAGGGGAAAAAAAGTGGAAGCATCTTACCAGAAATGTCTCGCCGACAAAGAGGGTGAGGGCTGGCGAGGCCGCTCTATCGAATTTATCGAGACGCAACAAGCAAGTTGTTCTTCTGCAATGCTGGCGAGAGAGAGAGAGAGAGACATAAAGAGAGAAAGAGAGAGAGAGAAAGAGAAAAGAGAGACAGACGGAAAGACAGAAGAGAGAGAGAGAGAGAGAAAGATAGACAGAGAGCGAGGGAGAGAGAGCGAGAGAGAGAGACAGAGAGACAGAAAGAAAGATAGCGAGGGAGGGACAGAGAATGACAGAGAGAGCGAATGAAACAGAGAATCTATCTGGGCATCGAGCAGCGGGTGCACCTTAGATCACCGGAGGGCCCTCGGCGGCGGGAGAGGAGAAACGATTACCCGCCGGGGTGACGGCGCCGCCTGAGGAGCTACGGTCGGCGGCGTCGTTCTCGCTCCGCCCGACGTCTGCGATCATCCTCACGACGTCGGCGATGGCCGGCCGCTGCTCCGGCGCCGCTGCCACGCACACCATCGCCACCCGCAGCATCTCCACCAGCCCCTCTTCCACCTCGGGGCACCTCATCAACTCCACGTCGAACACCTCCGCCGTCCACTCCTCCCTCACCACCGACTGCACCCACCGCACCAGGTGGACCACCTCGCCGGCGGCGCCGCCGGCCACCCGAACGGGGGTCTTTCCGGTGAGGAGCTCCAGCAAGAACACACCGAAGCTGTAGATGTCCGACGACTGGGTGGGCCTCCTGCCATCGACCAGCTCGGGTGCTCGGTAACCCACCGGCCGCCGGCCGCCAGCGCCGGCGAGAAGAGCCAACCCCACGTCGGAGAGGCAGCCGTAGAGCCGCTGGTTGAGGAAGATATTGGAGGATCTTATGTTCCCGTGGACGAGATTCCCGCCGCTGTCTGAGTGGAGGTGGGCGATTCCTCTCGCAGCTCCAAGAGCAATCCGCAGCCTGGTTTCCCAGCCGAGGGGTGTCCTCTCCTCCCCCTGTCTGCCTGCAAAAAAAAAGCTTCACCCGGTGAGTAAAACCAACCTCGTCGCAATGCTTCAATCACCGCATTGATCGGCGTATGATGCTCGAATACATCTCTGAGATCCATAATATAGCTATAGATTTTTATCTAAGATGCAGCAGGTCTTCTCCCTGAAAATCAAGGCAAGATGCCCATGTAATCCGCTGATCAATCACACAGTGTGTAATGCCCGGCGCAATCCATGATCAGTACTGTTCATCCTCACATTAGAACTAAACACGGTTCGTATTGACAGAGCCAATGAATCTGGAGACGGCCCTAAAGATTTACCCATGAATGCACCAGCCACGATAATATATAAAATGATACTATGAATTCGGAAACGAAAAAAAATCCGTTAGAACTGAATTTACGGATTATCCAAGCTACTAACTTCCATTAATGACCCGTTCAGAATTCCACCTACCATAGAATGCGGAAAAGAAAATATATAATTCTACACTGATTATAATGGTCATTAGACAGTCATCCACGAAGCTACATGCACGAGCAGCAGGTATTAACCAAGATGTTCAAACGATCTGATCTATCCGACAGAGGGAAGCTTTTGAAGCAGAATGGCGAACCCAGGTTGGGCATCTCCCTCCCTATCTGACAGCCGCTAGTATGAAAGAAAGAGCTGCAAAAGATCTAATTCAGAAGGACGACATTTAGATTCAAATCGATTCTCTATATGAAAAAAGAAAATTGCGACAAAAAATAAACAGAACCCGTTATACTTGTTGATTGCTGAATAAAACGAGATGGTGAGAGAGAGTCGTACCATGAAGCATGGAAGAGACACTTCCCGGGCTGAAATAGTCATATACCATTAACTTTTCGTCCTTCGAATAGTAATATGCCCTGAGCTCCACGATGTTCTCATGCTTCAACCTTCCGATCGTTGCCATCTGCTGCTCAAACTCCCTCTTGCCCACTCCCACGTCCTTGAGCCTTTTCACCACCACTGCTGTGGAATCCTCCAGAAGTGCCTTGTACGCAGTCCCAAATGTTCCCTTTCCAAGCACCTCAGCTGAAGCTCGTAAGAGATCCTCAAGATCGAAGGCAAAAGTGCACCCCTCGAAGAAGACAAGGGGGTTGACCTCGCCCTGGTTACCTGCGGGTTCCTTCCCTGTTGATCTCTCACGCTTCACGAGCTTCCCAGAGACCAGAACCTGCTGTTTCTTTCTAGACCAGACGACGAGCAGGACGGCTGCAAAGATGGCGAATCCCAGAACACAACCACCTACGATTATCCCGAGGATCACCGACTCGCTCAGCTTTCTTCCCGGCGAGGACGAGACCGGAGAGGTTGTTGGAGACGGCAATGGCGATGGCGAGGGCGAGGGCGATGGCGAGGGCCGAGTGAAGTTTGTCGGTGAGAGGTTGTTGCCTGAGAACGAAGAAATGGGGAACAATCGGAGGGATCCCGGGATGGTTCCAACCAGACGATTGTAGGACAAGTTCAGCAGCTTTAGGTTCGGGAGCTGAAGGTCAGGGATGCTCCCAGAGAGCGAGTTGTTGGAGAGATTCAGAGCAGTGAGCTGCGTCAAGTTGGAGATGGAAGACGGGATGCTGCCATTGAAAGCGTTGAAGGAGAGGTCCAAGACTGTCAGATTCGGCCAGACCGAGAAATCCGAAGGCAAAAGGCCGGAGAAGCCATTCTGCTGCAGGTGGAGGTCGGTGAGGGAGGTAAGCAGGATGAAGTCGGCAGGTAAGGGCCCCGTGAGGCTGTTGGATCTGAGGCTCAGCGTCTGGAGAGCGCTGAGTCGGCTGATGGTATTGGGGGGGATTGCTCCGCTGAGCCCTACGCCGGGGAGGCGAACGCCGATGATGCGGGAGCCGTCGGCGCTGCAAGTGATGCCGATCCAGTTGCCGCAGACGGGGATGAATGGGTTCCAGTTGAGGAGACGGCCGTGCGGGAGGTAGCGGATGAAGTCGAGCAGAGCGAACTTGTCCAGCGCCGGATCGGCAGCAACGGGGAACGGAGCTCCCCACCCGAGCAGGAGGAGCGCCGTGAAGACGGCGATCGAGACCTCCATGCTCCGGTAGAATCCCCCTCTTAAACCTAGGGGCAGACAGAGCAAATGATCCTGTTAGTTCCAAAGACGAATCGATTGACTACAGCAGAAGCAATTTAGGAGGAACGAGATTCATGATGCGAATCCCGGGGAGTCAAATCGCAGGTCGAAAGAACATTTATGATCCTCAGAATGGACAGATAACAGCCAACCTTTTCCTTCCTGCTTCTTGCGAAGTATACCCGCAGAAAGATGAGCTGCAGCGCTGAGTCCTCTGGCTTAGAGGTGAGAGGAGAGCAGAGTCAGACTTCCGCTACTGTTGCTGCTTGGAGGAAACAAAATGACCACTCAGTAAAATTAAAAGTAGGAAGAAGGCCGACAGGCGGCGCAGGCCGCCATTGGAAACGTATCTACCGAGTTACCTGATTGGTTTTCTGCCCGCAGAAGAAGCACGCATTGAATGCAATCATTGATACCCTTGCAGAGCGACCTGGCTATGAGCTGTGGAGAGTGGGGAGGGTAACGGGAAGAAACATTAACCAAATGGAAACAGAGCAGCGGCGGCGGCGGCTGCAGTCACAAACGATTTTCCCACTACGACGGGACGGAGAAACTGTTAGCATTATCGGTTAACGATGGAGATGAGGAGATGACCGCGTCGGAGTAGTTGGTCGGACATTATCCGGAATAAAACTCTAATTCCTCGCTCGGGTAGAGCGTCATCTCCCCAAGTAACAAGGAGGAAGAGGAAACAGAGGAGCTCCGTGAGAACCCCGACAGGCCTCACCAACCCGACGTGCAGCCGGCCGCCGCTGTCTGATGCCCCTTCCTCGCTCCCCTCCAACTGGTAGACGCTACTACTTCTCCCTCCAAGCAGATCTACAGGCCCTGGGAGAACACTTCTGCAACATTTCGGAATGAAAAACAAAGAGCGGAGGGTAACAGGTAAATGGAGGAGGATGAAAGCTGAAATGCGGGGATCTACCCGTGAAGCGGCTATGGCAATTCTAGAAATTCCTTTCCACCACACCATTTGCTTGTTCCGCTCCCATCGCCGGCCCTCTTCCTCATCCGGCGCGCTCTCTCTCTCTCTCTCTCTCTCTCTCTCTCGACTGTCTCAGAGTACGCCGGAGGGACGCCGGCGGGTGACCGTCGGATATTGTGTCGTGCTGTCGTCGTCGTCACGTTCTCTGCTGAATCGACTTCTCGCCTCGTCCTTTGCTGCCGTTTGGAAACGGTCGGTAGAGATCGCACCGATTTAAACATGTCAGAATTGCAGAACAAATAATTATTTAAAATGGATGAATTAAATATTCCATTAATACTTTTATGAATATTTAATTCTCTCTCTCTCTCTCTCTCTCTCTCTCTCTCTCTCTCTCTCTCGTGTAACCTTATAACTTCACTATGATGATAAAAACGTCATACAAGTCATTTTTTTATTAATAAAAAAATATTTCAGCATAGGAAGGCTGATATTTCATTTTGTGAGAATAATATATTATATATTAGGTTAAAACATTTAATATACAATAAGTAGCATAAAAATAGTATATATTATTAGTTACGTTAAAAAGTAATATAGTAAATACAGCTTATTATATCAGTACATGAAATTTATATTGAAAATTTTTATTATTGAAAAATAAAACATATAAGTCATCAGAGTTAGCTTCCCATTAATAGGAAAACATTCTGAAAAAAAAAAGCAATGACAAAACGAAGAACTAGAAGCCACAAACTGTCAAATTTTTAGTCAAGAAACTAAAGCAAGTAAGAGATATGTTAGAACACCCCTACATACTCCTTGTGAGCAATAAGTTACCATATCAACATTAAATGCTCATTAACAACCTCAAAATTTTAAGCTATTATTTTTGACATATTGTGTGCAAAAAACGAGCATCCAATTCATTAACAATATTTTCGTCAAAATTTAAATTTAGTCCTCTCTGATACTATTTTTGTTAATAATGGCAAGATGGGCAACATTAGCAACATATGGACTTTGGTATATTTATAAAATTGAGAAACCAAAATGGTCAGCGGGTATTCTTTCTTTACCACTTGATTGACCTTGCTTGAGTTGTGATGGTATTTGTATTGGATTGATATTTGTATTGGTTACTCATATGCTTGCATTAGTGAAGACATTTAATACAAAAAATTCAAATGTTAAAAGTTACACATATGATTATAATAAATTTACTTTATAGGTTTTTTGTTTTATACCCATATATATATAATAGTTATATTCATAATGAGAATTTAAAATAAAATAAGATATTTCTTGTGTTCTAGGCCTTAATTCTTTGCCAGATTTTCCTTCAATATTGTTATTAGTAATATATACTATTTAATCTCATCCAATACATCAATCTCTACTTGAATTTACATATCATATTATCAATTTCATGATTTTATATTAATGTCTAAAAATCATCAAAATCATAGTATGTGAATCCATAACTCGGCAAGATCTTTCTACTTGTATAAGATACCATTTATTCTACTAAGTCATTTCATCATACAAAAGTCCTTCAATTTGTTTTTGTCAAATTTTAGTCCCCATTTTTTTTTTATTAGGTTAGATTCAATTCTCCAATAATTATAACAAACAAAAAATTATTGCTGATGAGGGATGAAAGTAATGAAGTTATCGTCATGTATTGGCCAGTGGAGTCATTCTCTACCCCCACCTTAGCGAGAAATTTGTGGGCACTAGAACCCAACAAAAAATTAACGAAGGGGCTCATAGATAATAGATGGATTATGCATGGAAACCTAATAATCCTCTACATTGGGCATGATACTATTCATTTTGCATCTAAAGATTGTAAGAATAACCAAAGTTATGTTCATACCATGTATCGATTTAGCTGCAAATCTAAGCCTAGAGAGTTCATCTTTCTGCTAATGTTAAGAGCTGTTCAGTCGAGCCCTAAAGTTTCTACAAGAGGGATCCCCAAATGTAAGAAGAAAAGCCATCAGTGAGCTCATGTAATGTATCAATGTAGCCTAGAATGCAAGCCCAGTGAAGTTATTGAGCTATTTATACTGGAGTTGTCTAGCTGGACACCAAATGTCTATAGCAGTGGTCTCTAAATTTAGCGAGAAAAGCCCGTTGACTTTAAATCTAATTATGCCAAACTGTATGTGGGTGTCGACCCACGTGTCGAGCTCTCTGTCAGCATTGTCATCTCGTGGAGGGGGATTATACGCAGGTATTTATTGGGTCGCTCTCCCCGGTATCTTCTTCACTCCAATGAAGAGCGGAGTTCTTGGCCGTATCTTCATCGTCTCCCATCGGAATCTATGAGTGAGAGGGGGGGGCAGGGGGCAGGGAGAGAGAGAGAGGTTGAACCAGTCAGGTGAAAGTACGAATATGTGGGATAGACCGGTTGCCCTTGAGTACCAGCACCGGTCTATTTGGTCCGTATAATCAATAAGCTACCGGCCTACTAATCAAATTATGATGACCCCTCGACATCCCCTCTCTCTCTAGAATGGATATGTGGATATAGAGGGAGGCGGTCGGAGCCAGGTGGCCTGAGCCGTTGACACGTGGCAAAGAAACGGAGGTTAAGCCGGAGTTAGATTTAGCGACCCCAGAAGCAGTTATTCACGAGGCTGTTGACTACGGAGGCGTGAGGAGGGTAACGGAGGTTCTATTAATGCGGAGGGAGAGCGATAGATCCCGGAGAGTTGGGGTGACGTATGGAAGTCGCCATTGAAGTGGTCGTGCCTTTCAAAATTAGCGTGTGTGCAGGTGCGTTACGCTGGCTACCTGCTCTTAAAAGCTGGAAATGATCGGAGGGTTTGGTCGGGTGTTTGGAGTACCTTTCTCTGGTATGGATAAATATGAAGATTAGAGGAAAAATAAATGATTCGCAAAAACAATCCGACACAAATAATGTTCGGTGACGAAATGAATCTGGACGGGAGGCTATGGTACAAATGTCGCCCTCCTCTGCTCTCTTCCCTTGGAGAAACCATCTCTGTTCTTCAAAGGTTGGGAGCTCAGAAGAGCTTGTACTCGGCGGCGTCCAGGGGATGGAAGAGGTAGGTGAGGACCAAGGCCAACAGCATCAGGACGTAGGCGATTCCTTGGTCGATCGAAGTTCCTGTGAGGAGGAAACAGCGCGTCCGTTACTGCAGTGAAGGGGAGGGGGCGTAACTGCGGCAAGGTGGATGAATAAACAGTTGCGGACATCTAACGTGACCGGACGAGGAAACAAGCTAGTCGCTCAGCAGCAGATCTGAGCTGCGTTATTTTGGACTTTACCCGTCCGCGCGGGATGATTCATTTTAATTTTCAAAATGAAGGAGAACGCCAACCGCGTCAAAAGTTCATTACACGTGATCTGAGAAGGAAATGCTAATCAGGAAAAACGGTGTTGCGAAGACGAAGCATTTGCCAGATGTCACGGAAACTAGTTCGTCACCGACGAATCAACCGTAGAATATAGAGTTTAAGGGGGCAGGGTGGGAGAGAAGTCACAAGAAGAGGAAAACAGTGGAAAACTACCGAACGATGAAAAGTAGAGCACCGCTGCTCAGGAGGTCTCAGGAAAATGAAATCCCCTGAGATATGCATGCAGAGTCGAACGAGCGATGACGGAGAGAACGCGGAAACAAGGACGAGGTATCGGAGAGAAGATCTGACCATCACTTGCGGGCGCCGGAGCCGGAGCCTCAGTCTGAGCCTGGACGGCAGGGAGGGCGATGGCGAGAACGACGGCCGTAATCGCCACAACTCCAACGTAAAACCTGTGCGCCGCCATCTCACGCAAACTCGTCCTTTAGAACCCTAACCGCGTGAATACCGAACTGTGCGAATCTCTCTTCTCTTCTCCTAGCCCACCACTCCCTGAACAACTCTACGAGAGAGGAAGATGAACAGACGCTACTGCGCGTTCTTCCTCCGTTTAGAGAGACGGAGAGGAGAAAGAAGGACCTAGGGTTTCGTGGAGGCCCTCCCTACTTATGCATATATATATATACGCACGTACACGCGCAGAGAGAGAGAGAGAGAGAGGTGGGGCCCATATCCACTAGCGGCGGTTACTGTTTTGCGCCCACAGAACATGTGACCCGGCTGGCAGTCCAGCCTGGGATGCCAGCTGTCTCTTCCTCCTCCGCCTAACACGCACTGTTGGCCAACATAATCCGTCGGTTAATATTATAGTATTTTTTAGATGAATCAAAATTCAGCCTGGATGTTTGGGATTCCCCTCAGGTGGGCCCCCTCTAGATCGCTAAGAGAGAGAGAAATTGGGCCGGTCACGTGAAAAGTTAAGATGGGAGCGGCTGCTCTCGGCTTATCTGGCCCAATAACACTACTCCAGGATCTTTTTTTTATTTTAAAAGGTAATGGGCCCCTTAGAGTGTCCTCTGTGAATGGACTGAAAATGGGCCAACCGCCATCAAACCGTCTTTGCCACGCGGCGTCTCAAATAGAGTGCACGTGGATTTTTCCATATTAGTCAGCTTTATTTGCCTGCCCCAGGTCAGCCCACCGTATCAGGTCAAGTCCGCGTCCACCGTGCGGTTCAACGTCTCTCTCTCCCCCCAGCGTGGCATTAGCAACGGAGAAGTAACGGCGATTGCGATAACCGTCCGGCTGAGAATTAACGGCGCCGTTTGCCACCCACGTTCGCCAGGTGAGTGATTCTATTCCGGGGATCAGGGTGCAGGTGGTTGTTGAGGTGGTTGGCCGTTACGGCGACGGCCCCACCCCCAGTAGGAGGAGAGGTGGAGGGGGGACGTCGGAGTTAATGGTGGTAGAAGTCGCCGGAGAACTTCATTTCCGGCGACTGGTTGACTGTTGCGGAGGTGAATAGGCGGTGAGCTTCTTTCAGTACGAGGAGGAAGAGGTGGTGGCCCCCCTCCACCTAAATCTCAACCGATCCCTCCCCCTTTGAAAACGACGCCGCCCGTCTGTGCTTAGTTATCTCTGTTCTTCTTCCTCCGGAGTCCTTCCGCCGACGTAAGGCTTCTCCAGAAGGGGAGGCTCGTAGATTGTTCGCCCTCCTGGTTTCTTCCTTCGACGGGTGATTGGTTCGGCTGCTGTCGGTAGGGTGAGTCTGCCTCCGCCATTGAGAATCTGGAAAATTTTTCCTATTATACCATATCTCTGTCGTGGATTTTTCCATTATGCTCGGAGTTCCTCTCTTAAATGTCCTCTTCGCCGTGGAAGGATCAGATGGGATGGCTACCTGCTGAAGATTTTTGGAACTCGCACGACTTCGTTCTTGTTCATTATTCCGTTTTTCTCTACCTTTTGCTATATTGATCGTCCCTTTCGTAGCAGAAACAGAAGCCAAGGTTTCCTTTCCGCTATGGAGCAACTCCGCAAGATTGGGCAAGCTCTTGGGAGCCTCAAGTGTTTAATGGTGTTCCAAGATGAGATCCACATCAACAAGCGTCAGTGTTCTCTTCTCTTTGATACCTTTAACCTCGCCTTCGAAGTAATCACAGAGGAAATTAAGATGAATCTGAGCTTCGACGAGAGACTCACCAAATGGAAAGCCCTGGAGAATCCCTTGAGGGAATTCCACAGAATCCTTAGAGAAGGGGAGCAGTACATCCGGCAGTCCATGGAGAGCGACGACTGGTGGGGGAAAGCCATCTCCCTCGGCAGGAACACATACTGCGTCGAGTTCCACCTCCATGATCTGTTATGGTGCGTTTCCGTCGTGCTGGAGGCGATTGAGATCGCCGGCGACATCGCAGGATGTAGCCAGGATAGAAATCGTCGGAACAAGATAATCCACTCCAAGAAATACGAGAACGAATGGATGGATCCGAAGATATTCCAGCAGAGATTCGGCAGGGAGTACCTGATTTCTCCAAGCATTTGCAGTAGAATGGACTTCGCCTGGAAGGAGGACCAGTGGATGCTCCTGGAAAAGGTTTCAGAGAAGAGAAGGTCCTCAAAACAAGAACATCGGCTGGCGGAGATTCTTGAAGGATCGATGGGGAGAATCTTCCCGAGTTCAGTCCTGGTGGCCTGCAAAGATTATCAGGTGAGAAGAAGGATAGGAAGCGAAAACCATTACAGAGAAGTCCAATGGATGGGCGAGAATTTCGCTGTCCGCCATTTCTTCGGGGAGATCGAGCCACTGGTTTCCGAAATATCACTCCTCTCTTCACTCTCCCACCCGAACGTGATGCCATTATTGTGCGCCTTCTTCGACGAGGACAGGAAGGAGTGCCTCCTCCTCACAGAGCTCATGCAGAAGAGCCTCTGCAGCTACATGAAGGATATCTCCAGCCCGAGAAGAAGAGTTGCCTTTTGCCTCCCCGTTGCCGTCGACATCATGCTTCAGATTGCAAGAGGAATGGAGTACCTCCACTCACGCAGGGTCTACCACGGGAACCTAAATCCTTCCACCATCCTCGTCAAAACAAGGAATTCTTCTTCTTCTTCTTCATCATCTGAAGGCCACCTACTCGTAAAAATTGGAGAGATTGGACTCGCATCATCGAAAAATCTCAAGAACTCCGCAAATCAGGCCTGTTCAGATCCGTGCATATGGTTCGCTCCAGAAGTTCTTCTGGAGCAAGGGCACGAGGGAGATGCTTGCCAGTCCAAGCTCACGGAGAAGGCAGACGTCTATAGCTTCGGTATGATTTGCTTCGAACTGTTAACAGGGAAGGTGCCCTTCGAAGACGGGCATCTCCAAGGAGATAAAATGAGCAGGAACATCCGAGCTGGTGAGAGGCCATTGTTTCCATTCTCTTCTCCGAAGTACCTCACCAGCCTGACCAAGAGATGCTGGCAGACCGACCCATCACAACGCCCAAGCTTCTCGTCGATTTGCAGGGTGCTCCATTACATCAAACGCTTTCTCCTCCTGAACCCAGATCACAGCCAGCCTGATGCACCTTCTCCACCCGTAGATTTCTTCGATCTCGAAACAAGCTTCTCCAGGATATTCCCCACATGGGCAGTAGCAGAACCCACATCCGTTTCACAGGTTCCCTTCCAAATGTTTGCTTACAGGGTGATGGAGAGGGAGAAGAGCTCGGAATCTGGAAGCGAAGGAGCATCCCTCTGCGGGGACGAGAACTCCTTTAGCTCTGGTTTCTCCGAGGATCAGTTCTCCCCGCCTTTGGCTCCCTCGAAGTCCTCGGCGCTGTTGAATCCCGAGGCCACCAGGAAGAAGGTGCCACCGCAGAAGAAGACGGTCAACGGGAAACCAACCAAGGAGTCAGGTCAAATTCTCATCTTCCCTCGTGAATGATTCGCTGTTCTGAGAATCGCAGCAGGATGACTGGCGAGTTTCCAAAACCCGCAGGCCAGCAGAAGAAGATCGGCCGAGCAGCGAGGCCACCTCCTCGACTGACGCCGTGCGGCCGCAGTCTGAGGACCAACTCTGAGAGCCAGCTGCCGCCCCTCCTGACGAGCCCAGTAAGGCGAAGGCCATCTGGGCACGCTTCCGATTCAGAGGTTGCTTAGCTTAGCGAAGCTCTCTCCGATCCTCGGTAGAAATGACTCTCGGCATGCACGAGCGAGCTCCCTGCTAAAGGCGATCTTCTTGCTGCCACACGACGAGCCAGTGGAACCCATTTGATCACATGTACGTCAATATTTAATCCATTTAATGTTCTAGCGAGAAAGCAACCCCCCCACCCCCTCTCTCTCTCTTTCTCCCTCCCCCCCTCCCCCCCCTTCTTTCTCTCCCTCGGCATCAGATTGGTGGGCCTAACTGGGCCAATTTGGGCAGGCCCCTGGTCCTTGTGGGTCGAGATCGCCGATCAAAATCGAGAGAGAGAGAGAGAGAGAGAGAGAGAGAGAGAGAGAGTATTATCAAACTAAAAGTAGAATAAAATAGAATGTGGAACCCAAGGTGAAGTTAACCCTGTTAATCACAATTAATAATTAAATTGGTCCGTAGTGATTGGATGAGGCTCATTTCAATTTTATTTATTATTTATAAACAAAATATATAATAATACATTATAATAACTTAATTACAGACATTAAAATAAATTATTCATAATTTTAAATATACATCTAGCGTATGGAAATGCTGAGAAGGGGTGGGGCTTTCGAACATGTCTGCGATATAAACAGTTGGGGGTGGTAACTAATAATTAAAAAACTGAAAGTTTATTTTACGGAAAAACCAACATAAGGTTTTAATTCTGCATGGGGACAGATGTCCTTGATTGTAAGGGGTTATATGAAAAAAGTCCTCTGGTTAGAAATCCGGCTAATGCGAGCCCGAAACAAACACTAACTCTCTCCGATACGACTCCGGTGAGGGAGGGGCCTGATGCGTTCTGAGGTTCTCCCATCGTCTCCTTCCCCTTTATAAACCCTAGCTCTGATAATTCTTGCCGGCATCCCCGTTCTCCGTCATGGCGAATTCCACCAAGGATGCAGATCCCTCCCTGGGGTTCCTAACCCGGAGGGACACAGAGGTGAAGCTTCCTCGACCCACAAGGGTGAAGAACAAGTCGCCGGCGCCCATACAGATCACTGCGGAGCAGATCCTCCGGGAGGCCAGGGAGCGGCAGGAGGCGGAGATTCGCCCGCCCAAGCAGAAGATAACTGACCACGCCGAGCTCGCTGATTACCGCCTCCGCAAGCGCAAGGAGTTCGAGGACCTCATCCGCCGGGCCCGATGGAACACCAGCGTTTGGGTGAAGTATGCTCAATGGGAGGAGTCGCAGAAAGATTTCGCCCGTGCCCGCTCTATCTGGGAGCGGGCCCTCGAGGTCGACTACCGCAACCACACCCTCTGGCTCAAGTACGCCGAAGTGGAGATGAAGAACAAATTCGTTAATCATGCCCGGAATATTTGGGATCGTGCTGTTGCCCTCCTCCCCCGGGTCGACCAGCTCTGGTACAAGTACATTCACATGGAGGAGATGCTCAGCAATGTTGCGGGCGCCCGTCAGATTTTTGAGCGCTGGATGGAATGGCAGCCAGACCAGCAAGGTTGGTTGTCCTATATCAAGTTTGAGCTACGGTATGGTGAGGTCGAGCGGGCACGGGCCGTCTATGAGCGCTTCGTCGCTTGCCACCCGAGGATCTCTGCCTGGATCAAATATGCCAAGTTTGAGATGAAGAACGGGGAGGTTGCCCGGGCACGTGGATGCTACGAGCGTGCTGTTGAGATCCTCTCCGATGATGAAGAAGCTGAGCAGTTGTTTGTCGCGTTTTCTGAGTTTGAGGAGCGGTGCAAAGAGACAGAGAGGGCTCGATGCATTTACAAGTACGCACTTGACCACATTCCCAAGGGGCGTGCTGAAGATTTGTACCGGAAGTATGTAGCATTTGAGAAGCAGTATGGTGATCGGGAGGAGATTGAAGATGCAATTGTGGGCAAGAGAAGGTTCCAGTATGAGGATGAAGTCAGGAAGAATCCCCTTAACTATGATCATTGGTTTGATTACATAAGACTGGAGGAGAGTGTTGGAAGTAAGGATATGATCAGAGAGGTATATGAGAGGGCGATTGCCAATGTACCACCTGCTGAGGAGAAGAGGTACTGGCAGCGCTACATCTACCTGTGGATTAACTATGCGTTGTACGAGGAACTGGATGCAGAGGATGTTGAGAGAACGAGAGATGTTTACAGGTAGGTATGCTTATCACTACTTATTACTTAAATGAATGAGAATGGAAGAGATGTAGTGACCACTATGCTGAGTTACTCTTCGTTCCTTTTGGGCCTCGATGAAAGTATAATGGACAAGTTGACATCTCCTATTTTTTAGTCGGTGATCTCTTCTCATTATAGACCCAAGTAGTACAGCCGAAAGCATACCCTTAACATACCAAAGAAACCTCATAATGAACGTGCTTAATCACAGTAAAGAAATAGTCTGTACTACTCTATTTAAGTCACAGTACAGGGAAATATCAGAAATAGCTAAAAGAGATCTGTGACTTTTTATAGTGTGGGAGATATACCTCTGCCCTTTGCTCCGTCTTGGACTTCTGCAAAATTTTCTTGTCAGCTGAATTTTTTTTCTTGTCAGATCCAACTGCCCAATCTTTCCTGGGCTTCATAGCTGCATGAACAACATGAACAATTTCATGGAACGACTCTTGGATTCTCATCTTCTTTCATTCCTGTTAAGCACCTTGGGGACAACGGTACCAATAGATCCTAATATTTTATCCTCATTGTGAGGATGTTAACTCAACCGCCTGTCCATTATGTCGAATATTACTGTTTTCATGTTTCATCGAATATCCACGACTAGATAAATCACTGTTTCTGTTATCATTGGGACTTCTGGTGGCTCTCATCTTTATAAAGTTTTTTATGCGTTTTTATTTAAAAATAAGTTAATTATCTTTTGTGCGTTGCTCAAGACCGTGCTTTCCTTTGATCTCTTCATCTTTCTCCATCGAACCTTTGTACGGATGATTGGATCGAGGATCTCCTTTCAGCACTTTCAGGGAAAAAAAGAGAAAATTCATGTTTAGCACTCTGCCTCCATCTTTCTAGTCCTCTTTCCTCTTTACGAAAGTTAAATATGAATGTTGCATCTGGATAATCATGAAATACTTGTACTAAATTTGCATCTCACGTAGAACTTGGTGTACACTCTTATCTTTATGAACTGAGCTCCCGACTACCTTCAATACTCCCATACCTTTGTTTTATAACATTTTTTTGGTTTACAGAAGTATGAACAAAAAGATACCTGTCTGGATCACCTTCTGTATTCCATTATAATTGAATTTCTTTGGCATAATTCATCTTTTGCGAGTGCATATTTTAAACATGACTCTGCTTGGTTTATCTTCTGTTTATAGGCCCATTATGCATTGTATTTTCGATTTACAAGAATTGTTTAATTATCACGACATTGCTTCATTCCACTTTCTGTTTCTGTGCCCTTGATGTTTTATTTATGTTTATCAATCATATCACTGCTTCATTCCCACCTATATTTGTTGATATGTAGTAAAGTTACCGTTATTGTTGTGAATTTGCTATCTTATAAATAAATGGAGTCTCATTGGTTCTTTTTTCTATATTTATGGCTGTCAGTCCAAAATTCAGTGAATTAAAACGTTTTACGTATATATTTCTTTGATGCACAGGGAATGCCTAAAGTTAATCCCGCACAAAAAGTTTTCATTTGCTAAGATATGGCTTATGGCTGCACAATTTGAAATACGACAAAAGAATCTCCAAGCTGCCAGAAAAATCCTAGGGACGGCCATTGGAATGGCCCCAAAAGACAAGGTATTCATCAGAACTTCCATTCTTTTTTTTTCGTTGTTAATATCTAATGTCTAACTGTAATCTAAATGTTCACAGATTTTTAAAAAATATATAGAAATAGAATTGCAGTTAGGGAACATTAATCGCTCCAGAACGCTTTACGAAAAGTACCTCGAATGGTCTCCCACAAATTGTTATGCTTGGAGCAAGTTTGCTGAATTGGAGGCATCTTTGAATGAGACAGAGCGTGGTCGAGCTATATTTGAGCTTGCCATATCCCAAGATGCTCTAGATATGCCGGAATTGTTGTGGAAGGTATGCCATACCTCTTTCAATCAAGTTACTGCAGTTATGAGTTCTCATAATACTTGAAAGGCTATGCAGTAATACCTTTCTCTAACCTTAGTAATGACATTGATTGATCTGATTTTGGAAAAAAGATCATTCAATTTTTAAAAAAGTTTGTTCATTGTACCTGGGGTTGGTTAATTAAGCCTATTTGAAGGTTTCAGGGATTTACTGATCCTTTGCAGAAAAAAAATCAAATGAAATACTAAATCAGGTTTGAATTTAAGAATCCCGCGAAAGTTACTGGGGCATAAGATGACAGGATATTTAAATGCTGCCTGGTAATTTCGTTTGGTACCTTCTCTGATTCACCGTGATGCTCATCTTTGTTTGTTTCGCCGTTTCTTCCTTATCAGGCATACATAGACTTTGAAATATCAAAGGGTGAAAGTGGAAGGGTTAGACAACTTTATGAAAGGCTTTTGCAACGAACAAAACACTTGAAAGTATGGATCAGTTATGCGAAATTCGAGGCTTCTGCTATTACGGGGGAGGAAAGAGATGATGAAGACTCTTTTACCGACACAGAAGAATCAAAACTTCAACGATCGCGAGGTATATACAAAGGGTATATTTCCTGCATTTGAAAAATCCTTGTTATGCTTGTTAATCCGTTTTCTTCTTTACCAGCTATCTTCGAGAGAGCATTTGACTACTTTAGAACAAATGAGCCTGATTTGAAGGAAGAGAGAGCTATGCTTTTGGATGACTGGCTGAATGTAGAAAGCAGTTTCGGGAGCATTGGAGATGTAAGCATCGTGAAAAAGAAGTTACCGAGAAAGGTGAAACGCAAGAGAGCTATCACATCAGAAGATGGTGGTCAGGCTGGGTATGATTCTTACCTTTCCACTGATTTACTGGTTTTTAGACAATAATTCCTTCTTTACCAATAATCCCTTTGTTGATATTGCAAATTTTGCAGTTACGAGGAATATATCGACTACATTTTCCCTGATGAAGAGGTGGCTACAAAGCTTAAAATTTTGGAAGCTGCGTACAAATGGAAAAAGCAACGAACTGATACTGATGACTGATATGAGACCTAGCCGAACCTATCTTGTCATTCCATGCCGAAGAAGTAATCCTACAACAGATTTATTCATGAGTACATTAATCCTGCTTCCCCTTGTATCTCTGTAGGATATCTATAAATGTAAAAAAAATTGTTTTTGTTAGAGACCTCTGCTGATTCTATATACTTTCTTGCTTTTTTCTGTCTTACCATTGATGATTGTTGACCAATTGGTATCTCTAAGAGAATTCTAGACTTGGTGTTGGATACTTGATGTCAGATGATCTGAAACAGGAATGAAAAAGAGGAATAGAGGAGGGAAGGGGGAGGCTAGCTGTATTTGCATTTTTTTATGTGATTGGGGAGGTTGAGAGCAGACTGGAGCGGGACCTTAATAGAAAAAAACAGCCCACCCAGTAGATCATCAATAACATGCATTTCTTCCTTTCATCTTGTTGTAAACATTACATGCATATTATGGATGTATGCATAAAAATATCAGTCTGTCGGTTATCCACTCATGCTAATACATTCCCTCCTCTCTAAAAAATCTTTTCAGTGGGAGAAACAATATGAAAGATGTATGCCTTTTAATATGAGGTTTACATCACCTGCTGCATCTATGAAGCTTCAGCTTTCAATGAAACAAAGCGCAACCCATATTAAGATATCTCTCACTCAAGTTAGTTCTCACGTGGATGGCTACTCCTGCATTGAAAGTTTCTCCATTGCCCTCTATCATAAGAACGTCACTGAAGAAGTGCCACTCGGGGGTGTTAGGTCCTGGACCAGTGGATCAAATGATCACATGGGTTAGATGCACTGGAGACATAGAAAAGCTTCCTCTTCTTCCTTTCAAGTCTCCTTTGATGTGGACATCTCATTGTATGGATTATCTTAAATCTGTGATACTTAAAACTGTCTTCTCCTTTTTTTTTTATTTTTTGGTGATGTGATACAGCTACTGAATCGAATAGCCAATTTTCTGTCCGGCTGCTGCAAATCTGCCCAGAGTTTCTCCCTCTTTCTCCATGGCTTCAGTAGAGCTATGCAGAATCTCCATGATGCCACAAAGGTAACTGCTTTCTCCTGCAAATTATAGCGAGGGTTTTGACTGGAGCTTTCATTCACCATGTGCTCATTGCAGTAGTCATTTCCGTGCAATCTGACCTATAATCTGATGTGGAATCGGATCGGGTTGGGCTAATCTGCCAATCCAACTCTTCAGTTTATGCACTTTGAAGATTGATGGGTAGTAGGTAGCAGGTTGAACTCATTACACTGGTTTATGCACCTTGAAGATTGATGGGTAGTAGGTAGTAGGTTGGGCATGGCATAACCATGATCAGTTTATGAAGAATTCACCTAGCCCTGTCAGATCATATTCTTCTCAATTAGAGAAGATGCTTTCTATCTTCCTCATCGTTAGCTGCACATCTGATTGAGAACCACAATCCCGAGAGCAATCCCAATCTGATCTCCACGTACCAGGAGACCATTATTTATTTGGTTCAAACAAAAATGGAAGGAATTCAATAAACTGAGAGCTGTGTCATTTATAATTCAATAAATAATTAGAAAACACTCTCCGTCGCTGCTTTGATTATCTCTGTTGCTTTCACTAAGCTTCCTGCCGCATTCAGTTCCATGCCATTCCATCTGGAACCACATGATCCTTCATCTTTGTGCACATCATATTTTCTCCGCCATGAAACTGAAACATGTGGCACGAATTTACACTTTAAGCCTGTTTTCTCTGCCATACTTATTTAACCAAGGAAAAACCCGTTTCCCTATAAGAGGCCATTAATGGTGGCTTTCCTAACCCTGTAAAGTGCCTTTGAGACTTGATCGTTTGTTGTTCATGTAAGAGGAATTCGTGCTTCCCACTGGGGATTGAGGTGAGTTGCCGTGGGACTAATAATTGGGTTATTGTACCATATTTTGTTCGGTTTTTAGGTTAACATTTGGGAGATGTTACCAATGTTTTTAGTTTACAAACCCATCATTCTATAAACCCACAAGACATTTTAAGCTCATGGTTTCTCTCATATGCTCTGGATATTTGACGTCTCTTTAATGGAATTCTTCTAGGGTTTTCCTGTAGCGCCATTTCTGATATGTTCCCAACCCTCTCTCTCTCTCACACACACACACATACACACACACTCAGTCTCAAATCTCGATGATTTCTAGGCTGGAACATAGTACATACATAGTAGTTAGACTCAATTCTGCCATTTTCTGAAGTCCGGGACTGTTTATATGTACGAAGGAGGTTGTTTCCTCGGATGCCCAGGCCTTCCATCACGGTGTACTCTTTTTTTAAATCACGTTGACCGAGAGAGATTGAAGCGGCATAAATTATTTGTATTATTCCCACAATTACCAACCATATGCTAAAAATATAAGATAAGCATGGGACAAATGTTCCACATTACTACGAATCAATCCATATGCTTTCACTTATAATGGGTATCAAGTAGCCGTATAATTGATGATTTGACAGTAAAATCGTTAAGGAAGCCAAAATATAATACATTTTCAAGAGATGCGATTGATTTGACATATGTTTCATAGTTTAGTGTAGGTTCACTAGGCCCTTATAACCCATATCTGGAACACCCATTGGAAGAAAATTAGAACCCCCTGCAGTGTATAACATCAACTTAATCTCTCTCTCTCTCTCTCTCTCTCTCCGACGTATACATATATTAATGGAAATCAGAAACATTCAGGAACACCGTCGAGGAAAAGAATTTTAGAGAGAGAAAAAGGGAAAGGGAGAGGGGCGCCATCTGGGTCCGCTGGAAATGAAACACAGATGAACCCACAGAACCTCATTGGCAACTATGCAACAAGCATCAATCTTTAGTCAGAGCACGGCTGAATTCCACCAGGGGTCGGAGAGGGGACGAACCCACCCTACTTCTTCCCCTGTCCACGAAGATAAAAGAGGGGATCTCCACATGACGAGATCACAGACACACCCACAGAACGTCGTCCAGAGGGTAAAGCGGCAGCACCCACGACGCGGGCGGCCGCCGGGAGATTATTTTTGTAGGCACCCAGCGATACACTTATTGACACTAACTACTAACAAGGGGAGGAGTCCAAAGCCGTTGAATGTCTTCTGCAAAGGGGCCAACCCACCAGAAAGGAGCTCAGCCCTTTACCTCCCCTTTCCCTTCCCTTCCCTTCTTCTTCTTCTTCTTCTTCTTCTCCTCCTGGACCTCGTCGTTTGATCTCCTCAGCACCCATTAACCCTACAAGAATCCGCGGCCAAAAACCTGCCCTCGCAGCCCCCTCCCTACCACCCCCTCCATGATCAGTCAGATATTCTCATCTCCACCCCAAGAACATCCTTCACGACCTCGTAAGTGACGAATGCAATGGCAATAGATGGCACCACCTGCCGAGGAAGAAATCCAGGGGCAAAGGGAATCAGAAACCGTACATACATACCCATCCTACCACAAATAGTAAAAGGCGATTGATGAAGGGAATTACCTTGACCGAATTAGGAACCAAGCCCTTGTACAGGGCCCCAAAGCCCTCGTGCCGAACCGTCTTTCGGAAGGCGTCGACCATGCCGGAGTACTCGAGCGACGCCTTGCTGCCGCCCTGGCTCGCCACGACGGGGGCGGCGTCCTTCCACCCTACCATCTGCATTCTTCTCCGGATGACATCAAGCGGGTATGCAACGGTCTGCCCAACGGTGCCGGCGGCGGCACCACAGGCAAGCCTGACGGTCACGCTCAACTCATTGTCGTTAGCCAGTCCATACAGGTTAGTCTTGATGATCCAGTCCTTCAGGGACTCGTAGACGGCAAAATTGAGACCTACATATGGAACCTGCAGAGAGAAGAGTCAACCCCCAGAACCAAAGGCGCCTGGAAGATATAGGATTAAAAGGGCAAGGTTTCCATTTTTGCCTTTAACGGTCAAATATATTCCGGGGTCAAGCCGGCCGAGTGGGGGTGTACTCAGGTTCCCCTGAGAAATGACCCTGGGAAAACGCCCACATTGAAGGAGAACCAAAGTGGCTACCTTAAATAGAATGAACACAGCAGCTCATTGAAATATCAACCCGCTGACTTTCGAAACTCTCATACTGAATAAGATGAACTGCCGAGGAAATGAGTCAGAATTTCCAAAAGGAGATAAGGCGAACTTACAACTCCGATAACAGAAGGAAGCCAGCCTTTGTACAGTGCTCTGAATCCTTCTTGTCGGTACACCGTTGTTAACGCATGGAACATGCCTCTATATTGATAGGGTGATTTCTCCGTCTGAAATGGGTTTTGCAGAGATGGCATGGAATCAGAGAACATATCGTAATTTCGCCAACCAAAGAAAAAATACGCTAGAAATTGAACAAATATGAAAATACCTGAACAGTTATCCTGCCTCGGACCATGTCCATGGGATAGGTAGCAGACATTGCAATAATTCCAGCACATGCTCCAGCACCAAGGCGCAAAACAGGAGTGAGTTCTGCATCTTCTGAAAGAATTCAAGTGAACACAATTGGGTAAGTCGTCTGCCATTAGCTCAAGATGCTTGGTAGTAAATATTATCAAGCATTGACGGATTAGAAAAGCAAGTTTACTCATGTGATCTGATTTAATAAAAGTTCGTGATCAATACTCATATAAAGGGGGGTTTTTCTCCTCTCCTTTACATACTTTGCGCTTTTTCTCTCTTTGCATATTTCATGTGAAAGGGGAGCTGGAAATGGAAAAGGGATGCAGGAAATTACAGCAAAAAAATTTAAAAATATGGTCCAAAAGTACTTAAGGAAAATGCCTCCCGTTGGATTTACGTTTTCAAGAAAGGACGGGAAACTAGTCGGATGGTAACTTCATGTTTGGAGAACTTCATCTTCAACACAATCTACAGACAAATTTATTTTCTATGTCAAAATCCAATCGATATTAATCGCTTCGTCAAGATTTTCATTCAGTTTGTGCACATCATCCCTGCCTGCCTAAACTTTCAATAGAAGCAAAATTTAGTCATTCATACTCTCAACTTATAGGAGCGTTTCTTAAACCAACATCACTGTATGGTGTGGTGTAGCACACCAAGTTCCCAACCAATCGATATGGCATCATTATCTTCAGAGGAAAGATTCTATGAATCTAATCCCACATGTTCTGCAACAGGTAATGGGCTGAGTTGCATGAAGCCCAACGTTTCTGGAAATTTGATACCATTATTCTGTCTGAATGATATCAGAATATGGATGAACAGGCAAATCTCTTATGTTTACGCACAAAAAGGGCCAATTATAATGACATGGCAATCAAAAGAATCACTACGACCAGAAAACTGGTAGAAACGACAGTCATGTTGTTAATCAAAAACTTAACCCCAAAAATGGAAAAGTTCAAAAATAATAATAAAAATGGTACCTATTCTGAGATTTAGGTAATGTATATAACCTCATGCAAGAATGCATGGTCACAACTCTCAATAATGAACAAAATCTTGCCCAGGGTTAGAATCAAGTGAAATTTGAACCACGACTAAAAATAAACGATATCTATCTGTCCAGACCAATTGTGTATATTAAACAAAGAATTACTGAAATCTGAAGCGACGGAGATGTTAGGCTTTACCCTTTCCAGTTTGCTGTCGGTAAAGCCATAATATACCACTGTTAAATATAAATGAAGTTAGTTGTTGATAGGAGAAATACCTCAAAAAATATCAAAATTTGGATAAACTTATCCAGAACTAAAAAAAATAAAAATATCACGAAACACTAAAATAACAATAGTAATTGAAATAAAATAAAACCAAACTGCAGAATACAAAGCTGAAATCATGGAGGGAATAGACCTTGATGCTTTCTCGTAACTAAAAAACTTCACAGCTGAGTTTGGGACAATGCGAGCACAATTGGTGCCATTGCCTTTGAACAGTCCTCGGAAGCCCTCAGTTTTCCAGATGTATTTCAACCCTTGGATTGTTCCATTGTACTTTATATTGTGTGGATTTTGAACCTGGTTTTATTGTCGTAATAAAAACCAACTAAAAATCAGCATTCTCATGGAAGAACTCTGTAGCAAACCAGGCAAAAATATGTTTTAAAGAAGCAAAAACATATTTAAATCATATAACTTCAGATACTGCAAACGTAGAAATAGACGACATTCTATGGTAGTTATAGCTAACAAAAAGGCATGTTTTATGAGAAACTGAAAATACCAGACAGATGTAAAACAAGAAACACCAATCACATAGAGTAGCTGAATTTTGCATATAATCAATATGCAAAAAAACCATTAAGGAATATCAGTACAAATTCAACTTCAAATCAGCTAAATATCAAAAAACAAAAACAATTATCAGTCGTTTCAGACTGAAAGCATTGCGATATCAACCACCGCAAGATGCTAAAAAGCACCGATTCGAGATATATTTTTAGGAAAGGATCTGTTACAAGCATTATGACGTAGAACAGAAGGGTTAACATCTTCTGTTTGTGTAGAACAGAAGGAAATTACCCTTCTGATTACAGTTTAAGACCAAAAACTGATGACTCTCAAGGATCTTGTTGATTATATGAGCAAAAGGATTCACACACCAACTTTTCGTTCTAGCTGTTAAATAGAGACATCTACTTGCATTGCTGTCTTTTCCGTCCGTCAGAATGCAATATTGACTTTAACGTCATAAGCGGGACTATCTCAAAACATATTATGTAAATAAAGAATAACTTGGAACATTAGCGGGGCTATCTCTAATTCTATCCTGAAATTAAGCATATATTCACAAATATGAACCCCATACAACTCTTTTTTTATAAAAAAAACATTTCCAACATTTCATTTCCATTGGAGATATCATCTAACTTGCATGATCTCAGCTCTTACAAAAATAATCCTTATCATAAAACCATATTCCAAGACATGAAAGATACAGTACACAAACTGTGGGTACTTAACACGACGTCATTTTGACACTACACATACAGGGTTATTACCATTTCACAGAAAAGTTATCCTAGTAATTATCCTGGTCTACGACTGGTTCTCAATCAAAGTCCAAAATTCAACAGGCGCCCTCGTACCAGAGGCGTCTGTTGAATTTTAGGCCTATGAGATTGAATTTCTACAGACTGGTGGCCATTCAGAACTAGTAAACAATGCCAAATGACGCTTTTCCCGAATATACTGAACCACAACTTCGAAACAGTCTCGTCCTTGTAAGAGAAAACTCATACTCTATCCTCAGGACAGATGAATACCGAGAATAAGTTAAAGGCAGCAGCCAAGTAGGAAATATGTCCAATGACGGGCTACAACAACTTGCCGATGGACCTACAAGGCCTATGTTCATTAAACAGCTTGGGTTAAGATGTTTAGACCGCAGGAAGGACTTGTGGCAGGAAACTGCACGATGATGCAGTTGTTTAGCCAATGCTGCCGTACGCAGTCAATTGATTCTCGATATGCAAATAATTTCGATATATTCTACTTATTTTTTAATATATCCATCCTGCGATGAAGCCTAGTATTCTGCATTAACACCATACTCTGAACTTCGTTTCATAAGTTTTTTGACTGTTTATTCTGTATATGTTTTGATCAACTGACTTTTCTGCAGAAATTTTCGATCAGAGTTTTTCCGTTTTTTTAATGTAATGCTGCTCGAATGATTAAACAGGGTATCAGCGAAAATACCTTTTGGCTCATGACGGATCTATCAACCATAAATATCTTTTCTGACTACCGATCAGCGGATTAGGATTGCCAGCTCCAACCTTCATTGTGACCACAATGATGTCGAATCAATCCAATTTGCAAACGAGCCACACCACATAAGTGTGTTGGGTCCCAGGGTTTATGCTTGACAACAGCCAGGACCTTGCAGCACTGCTCAACCATATAACCAAGTCCGGTAGGGCCTCTGGCAAGGCGAATCAGGGGTCCAGGGGTCAATGATGGGTTCTCATTATCTGGAAGCAGGATGCATATGGGGACAATGCAGGACATGATGTTGTACAGTTGCTTGTATAATGATGGGTGATATCAAGATTGACGTTTCGAGTACGTTGGGCAAATTTCAGGAGTGTCACGGATTTGTGAAAAGCGATCAAAAGAGCACATCCTTCACCATGAGTAAAGTGTTCACTCTAATGAGCAGAAAATAAATATGATTGAAAGATAAAAAAATTAACCTGAAGTAAAATTTTCAACCGCTCTAATGGCGCAACAGCTGTACGTGACCTACAGAATAAATCATAAAAAATAACTGAACTATGTCACCACTAGATGAATATTTTGAAAATAAAAATGCTATACATCGAACATAAATAAATCTTGATAAAAATTAGATAACAAGAAGATAGACAGGTAAAACAGAAAAATAAAACCTTGAAGAAATATATAGAAGTTTGGAGAACTTTATCTGTTATTTTGGTAATACTAAACAAGCAAATAACCGATATGGTAATCATCAAAGATTTTCAGAATTTTGCATTTTAATATGAATCAGTGATGCTTCCTTAGTTGACTCCTGTTATAACAAAACGAAGTCTGTCACGCAATTACCAGTAGCTACCATGACAATACATATATAGCACTATAAAAGGATCCCAGGAGCCTTAGAATTTAACCCAGTCACACTACAGTTGAGAAATCACAATCAGTAGGTTAGTTTGATTCTGATGCAGTCACATGGCACAGGTAATTCAACTAGAAAATGAAACATTTGCACCTGGCCAGATTAAATCAAATACAAAACCTATCATATTTTCAGCGTTTCCATCCTCAGAATTAAATTTACACGGGCGCTAAGACACAACATATGAATTGAAAACAACCAGCTCATTCATCAGATAATTAGATTATTTAACTAGAAGAAAAAATGAAACAATGAATGAATAACGCAGTCACCGAAGCCATAATAAACGTGCAAATGTCAAAAGGGATGTTTGCAGGACATGGCAACACATTTTATTATATACAAGTGACAAAATTAAGGTCTGTAATGCAACTTAATTTATTCTCAATTTCAGAACGAAATGAACATGTTTTTACGTCCGAAAAGCAGAAAAGTAGACTCGTTCCAGCTATCTGTTAAACAAGATTTCAGATCCTGCTGAGCGAACTCGGAACGGTGCAATCCAAGTAGACTAAGGTACGACCCAACCATTGTATGGTTGTTCTAACGCTCCACGAGGAACTTGGCATTAAAGTGAATAAGGCAAAATTGAACCTCAATTTCCTGAATGCACGGTGCAAGAAAAGGGTTGTTGCTTTCTTGCCTGGGATATGATTATTGAATATGGTTCTAATAACTCGGTTGACGGGGATCAGTAAAAAAGATGCGCTCGAATCTGGACGCTTACAAGATAAAGGGCATATTAAGTCAAAACGCAATCACTAGTCATACAAAAGGTCATTCGAGAGCGCATTATGGAGCACAGGGTTCCGTTCCATCTAAGGTTCAATGATGCGAACAAATAATCTAACGTGTAACTGACGGAAGCCCTAAAACATGGTTAAAGAAGTTAACAACTAATAGCAATAACAAGGACGAGTCAACATCTTTTGCCAAAACATTAACGGAAGTAAACGTTTACGACACCAAGAAAGGGATACTATTCAAAAAAAGTTTCGTTGTTAACAAGTAACGATAAAGTGACCCGATAAACGGGGCAGTAAAATCAGAGGTAAAAGGAAACGAAGCGTAAGATGCACAGAACAAAGATCAAAAGCTTACACCCCCCCGGCAATGCCCCCGGCCGCAAGCGACTTGCAGACAGAAAGGATCGCGTGACCCGGTGCCTTGACGCCCTCCCTCGCCAACTTTGCCTCCTCGGCCAGGTTCACGATCGTCGTCACTGCCGATTCCCCTGTGGTTTTCCCCACTACATCCTCCGATGCCATGGACTTCCTCGACGATCCTCAAATAAACCCCCACCCCAAAAGGTCCCAGAGAGCACGGAAGCACGTCTAGACCCCCCGGAGATCCTCCAGTGACGATCGATCAGAAACCGACAACTAACTACCACGGAGTCGCCTCCATTTGCTTCCCCTCCACTCCCTAACGGCCGGTGGTCTCGGCAGAGAAAGAAAACAGAAACAGACGGGCACTGTGAACTAGGTCTCTGCCTTCTTTATGGAGGCACCCCGGAGGAGGTGGTTCTTGAAGATGGCTGCTGCTGCTGCTGTTTCTCTCTCTCACTCTCTCTCTCTCTATCAGTCTCCCTCTCCACCTCCGGATGGAGAGACGGAAACCTAGATCGCCAGATGATCGTGGCTTTCAGTTCCGTCTGGTGGCTGAGAACTCGCCGCTGCAGAAAATTACCAAAACGTACCCAATTTGGAAGTCCTGCCACCATTTCCGCCGCAATAATCGACCTTGGAAAACCCTAAACCCTCTGAAAATAGGGGTATGATAGACTTTTCACTCCAGCTAAAGTCGTTGTCGGGTCGGATTCTGAGTGGCCTGGAGGCGCCGGCCTATGTTGGCCGGGTGGTAGGCAGTTAGCGGATAACCTCGTGAAGAGGAAACCCGAAACTCCGTTCACATGCGATCTTATCTATAAAAGGTAATAGTCAAACAGTATCCTTTAAAAAATATTATAATGGTATATGTTAATGGGCCGTATTGGGCATTGTAAAGAGTAGGCCCATATTATGAAATTCAATTGTAGGCCCGGCCCATGAATCTCTGTCGTCGTATCTCCTCTTTGTTATCTACGGGGAGCTCCCCCTTCCCTCCCCCCGCGCAGGATTTCCTTCGGGGAGCGAAGTTCGGAGAGACGGTGAGCAGGGGGTGGGGGGGATGCAGTCCATGGCCACTGTCTTCTTCCGCCGCGCAGTACGCCACCCAGCGCCAGTCTCTGGGTTTTGTGCGTTGTTCTTCGCCTCCATGGCGAGGGAGGAGCCGGAACTGGTCGAGTTGTTGGATTACATGGAGAGGCTGAAGAACTACGAGAGGGTAGGGGTCCCCAGGGACGCCGGGACGGAGACAGATGAAGGGTTCGATCTTGGGAGGATGAGGCGGCTGCTTAAGCGCCTCGGCGATCCTCAATTTAATTTCCCAGTGAGTTGCTCGGGGATCGCTACTTTCCTTGGACTTGGATTGAAATATGCGGTATATGGATACATATTTCCAACATTGTTTTAAAATTTGACAAATCAGTCTTCGACCCTTATATCTTTCATTATATCGGCTTAAATGTTATATTACATTCTTGTAATATATGTGCTTTGATTCATCCAAAAAAATTCAGTGATACATTGTTTGACATAGGGATAAAAAACACTATGCAGCATAAGCGTTCTGGACGTTAAATCCTGTGTGGGTGCTCGTTCAACCAAGACACCCTATCCCCAAAAGTTGAGCCAAAAATATGATCGCACCGTCTGAGCTTCAAGAGGGTCAATAATTTCTTGTCAAATTCTGAAAGGCGATCCCACGTCTTTTTCACATTTTTTTCTGTGTATGCTTGCATTTCAATGAGTGTGTGGACTTCTATGGTCTACATAGTTTTCCATGCTACTACAAACTACTAACCAAGTCCTAATAGAGTCCTAGTATTGTTGGCTATTCATATGCCAAGGGAGGAGGAAATGAAGTAACCACCTAATAGTTTGAAAATTGTGTAGGCAATCCATATTGCTGGGACTAAAGGAAAAGGATCTACTGCAGCATTTCTTTCTAGTATATTACGGGAAAGTGGATTCAATGTGGGGACTTATTCGAGGTTTGCACTTCTCCCTTCTGATTATTGTTTTCATTTTACACACGTGAAGCTTCTTACATCTACATGGTTAGTACTTCTAATAAATGACAGGGGGATGGCATACTATACTTGTGTAGAGACGTTGGGTTACCTATCTCAAGACATGTATTTGCCCAAAATAGCCATGATTATGGGCTACGTACAATTTTATGCAATATATATGTTATGAAAGGACTATCTCTTCCCTGGACCTCTTCATTAGGCCTCGTCATAGTTACTGGTCTCTGAAAAAAGATAGTTCTAAGCAAGAGCGTTGGTGCTTCTCTTTGCCTGAAAAAAGTGTTGCCTGTTTGCTGTTGTCTTTTCCCTTTGATATCTTAGATGTCAACTCCACATTATGGATGTAAAATTACATTGTTCCCTTTTAATCTTCTCAATATTGGGCAATGTTATGGCCCCAGTAGTGATCAGCTAATGTTATAGAGAAACTCGGTTATATACTTTGATCTGCATATCCATCTCATTTATGTTGGACAGTGTTGAAAACTGGTTTCCATGTGTCAAATAGACGGACATCAATCATTATTTGCATTTGGCTTTTTCAGTCATAGTCACTATCACAACCAAGGTTAAGCATATATTTTGGGAACTTGATCCTATGGAATTGATTTCAATTATTTCTCTTTCAACACTGCATATTTAATGCTTTTAGTTGTTTACACGTTGTGGATAAACAGTCTTGAAAACTGGGGTGAACTTCTGGAAGTCACACTTGATCAAAGTGGACTTTGCCGGAGTGATAGTCTTGGCTATCTTTACCCTTTTTTTCTCCAAAACTCTATTTCGTGGTCTGGCCATAATTCAGCACCCACAGGTGCCATCGCTGTGTCCTAATCTGAGAGGCCACCTTAGTGAGGATTTTACTGTACAAAGGAAAAAACTCAGAAGGCAATTCATTTTCCCAGTTGAATTAGAGAAACTTTGTGTTATTTAGAAGAAATGTGGACCCCTAACACATGAATTTTGCAGGTCGATTGGTGTTAATACTGGAAGATAGTCAAAACCACTTTGATCTCAAAGGCAATCAGTAAATGGCCAAAGTGTGTTACATACTCACACATGTACCACGCTGAATATTTAGACAGTAATAGGTATACTCAATTTTTATGCAAGCTGAATGGAGTTTTCTTTCCACTTGCTTTGCGCTTGCAATAAAAGAGAGCAAAATTATTAATTCAAAATGCTACGTTCTTTTTTTCTATTTTATGTGAGGAGCAAATATCGGTGATTTTAGATGCTCGACTGTTTTACGCACCTATTGACTAGCAGAACAGGGTGTTCAATTTGTCTTCTTTGTGACGAAGTTTGTCTTTAGGAATCTTTTCCTTTACGCTGTTTATTAGTTTATCTATTTTTGAATTTCCTATATGCATGATCCATGGGTAGACAAGATCCTTGGGAAGGCCCCAAAAGCCAAGGTTCTTGCTAGAGCCAATTTGGTTAGCGTCTTTATTTTTATTCTGAGTAAAAAACCTACACTGTGTGTTTCTTGCTTATCCACATTGCGTCGGTTTGACTGCCAGGTCCTCTTGATTTACATGATTGTCTTTTTTTCTCCTGTGCAGTCCACATTTATGGACAATTCGGGAGCGCATTTCTCTTGGAAGAAGTGGAAACAATGTTTCAGCAAAAACATTGAACAATATTTTTCACCAAGTGAAAGAAAGTATTGACGACTCGATAGAATCAGAGAATGGGCAGCTAACCCATTTTGAGGTGCGATGCACGACCAAAAAGATCTTTATCTATTATGGACAAGTTTAATTTTGTTTCTAGGTTGTTCTTATATTTTGTTAGAAGTATATGCTTCCAGCACAGTTTATTTCCTCTTGGTGTTGCTGAGTAGATCATTCTCCCCAACAAGTTGGCATGTTTTTCCTCATCGTCTATAATCTAATTCCAACGTTATGCTATCCTGTGCATCGTAAACTTTTCAAATAATGTAGTCTTTTATTATGTTCATTTGTTATATCTAAGATAGTCATTTTAGTTTTGAGATTCATTTACTTATATGCTATCAGTAATCTTCGGTTTCTGTCTAAATAATGTAAGATAAGAAATTTTCAGCGGAAAGGAAAAACGATAATGAGAAGTCTGAAGTATCTTACATGGATAAAGAAGTAAGCTAGCCATTTTATAAGTCACCGTACTCTCTGTGTGATTATCGCTCATCTTCAGATGTTGGGCAAACTGCCTTATAGTGCTTGCCTGTGAGGGGTACCAGAGGGTAGAGGGAGGGTACCAGAGGAGAGACGTCAAAATAATGATTTGGGCCAGAAAACCGTCTTCCTCCAAATTTAATTCTCGCTTAAATAGAGAAAGATTAGTTCTATGCTCTAGAAAGTAGGATATGCTAACTAAGCTACTAAAATAGATGATCTTCTCGGAAAAAGGAAAATGTTACAGAGAAGATGTTACGACATTTGGGCCGTCAACGGTTGGGGCCTTTTTGGTGCACTTTTTGAGCGTTCTCTGTTTCCTGTGATTCTATTCTACACCAAGGCAGCTATGATTTTTCATTCTTTGACATGGGCTCTTCGGCTTCTAATCTATACCTCACCCAATCCCAAACCATTGTCAGGTAGGGCTTTTTATTTAGGGTTTCGTCTTAATATCCTTGTCCAGAAAAATCGAGGCTGGCAACATGCCCATTTGACTTATTCTCCTGGATAAACATTTTATGGATATCATAGATATTCTAAGCATATTGATTTACAATTGTTTTTAACTAATGCTGTAAATCGAGTTTTTCAATTATAATCGTACGTGGTGAAGAATTCTGTTGAAATATATTTTCGCTGCATTTAAATTACTATCTCAATAGAATCAACTATTGGCATGAATATAAAGTACTGACTGAAAGAAAAAGAAATCAAATAATATTTGTGCCGCACATTTTCACAGTTGATGGACATTGGGATATGGACATGAATAATTGTATCAAATACGGCTGTATGCGTGAAGAGACCACTTGTCAGATCTTAATGCAGGTGTCCAATGTATCATTTGATTATTCACAAACTTTCAGGACTTTCCTTCTTGCCAAGATTAGTCAACTTGGCAAGAAAAGAGCATTTAACTTGGATATCCATCCCCTGTGCTTGCTTCTTTGTTCCTTTTCTATATGAACGGACACAGTTTAAATCACCTATTTTTTTGTGGAGAGGTGTCAATGTACTCTGCGGATGTCCAATGAACATCTGGAAGGTGAAATGTGGTCTTTAGAGGAATTAATCGTAGTGCATCAAAAGTCGTTCGAGCAAACTTCCCTTTGCTGATTTGCACGTGTCCATTGAAGTTTTTTGGCAATCCTACTTGCTGCATATCCCAAAACTTCCACATTTTTATCTTGTTCTGCGACTCTGACTCTCCATGTCGATGCTAATTTTTTCTTTCATCTACTTTGAAGATATACATGTCAATTTAACTTCTGTGAGCACTTAATGGGAGAATACCACTATCCTCAGGTCTTTACTGCTCTGGCCTTTGCGCTTTTCTCTAAGGAAAATGTTGATATTGCGGTCATTGAGGTACGAAGTTTTTTTTTTTTTTACTTTATGAGATTTTTCCAATCTGTGATTATTCTTTAATCCTCTCTGTGAAGTGTTGAAGCATTTTACTTGAGAAATTTAGCAGATTATTAATGTGATGGAACCTGATGGTGTCCCGTATTGTGTCAGGCTGGCCTTGGTGGAGCACGAGATGCAACTAATGTACTGAGCAGCAGTAAATTAGCCATCTCTGTTATAACAACGGTCGGTGAGGAACATTTGGCTGCCCTTGGTGGATCCTTGGAGAGCATTGCATTGGCAAAGTCAGGGATCATCAAACATGGGCGCCCAGTACTGCTCTTATCCTTCTTCATTCTTTTCCATCAAAACTCAGCTGAGACCATAAAATAGTGCCGATGTATTGAATCATTTTCGTTTTCATTCTGGGTAGAAAGGCCCTTTGAACTTTTCGGTCATTACACATACTATTGCTTATACGTTACAGATCAATGTCCCCTCCCCCTTTACCAGAGACACTTTTGTGCAAGTGGGCACCAACCTATTTCAGCTTACAATCATTTATATTCATTATGAAATTTGCCATTGATAGCATCATGCTGAGACTTTCATTCCTTTTGTTTTCGTGAAAATTTCCTGGTACTCATCTTCAATGTAGATGTCATAAACTCCGTGCACTTTTTTTCTGGGCACACTTGAGAAATTAAACACGGAAATTAGGATCGGTCCAATTTTTCATTTTCCCCCATTCTTCATTCGTCAACTCTCTCTCTCTCTCTCTCTGACATGGGCCTCTTGTTTGGGCGTCTCAGTTGGTGATCGGTGGTCCATTTGATATGCACATAGAAAAGATACTCCGGAGCCGAGCATCATCTATGTGTTCTCCCGTGGTATCCGGGTGCGATCCTGGAGTTCGAGGTGTCATTAAAGGCGTTGGAACAGTAGATGGCAAACCTTGCCAATTTTGTGACATACACATCAAAATAGAAAGGGATTTACAGTTGGTAAGACCTTGATTTTATTAAAAGCTATCCCCTTATTTTTGAAGCAAGTGATCCCTCAGAGCTGCGGTATTTTCTGTGCAGTGCAGTGACTTCTCCAATGTTAAACTGCGAATGATTGGACATCATCAGCTGCAGAATGCCATTACTGCCGCTTGTGCATCACTGTGCCTCCGTGATCAAGGTGGGTACCTTGACTTGGCCTAGTTTTGACATTAAATTACCTGTTCGCCACCAGTAGTTTATCCCTGATGAATAATTAGATTTTCAGTGATGATCGATGTGTCTCTAACTAATCTTTGTCTGGTTCCTAAATTATTACTGCACCGATTAAGGAAAAAAAAAAGAAGCAGAGTTGAAGAGGCATTCTTAGGGTTTGCTAGGCTATTGAAAACTGGGTACCTTCTGTTTCCCAAAGGAGAATGTTTGGCTGTTTTCGAATGCCTAACTAGCCTCATGTTTCAGCAGAAATTGAACAAAGCGTGGCATGAGTTGATCATCAGGGTCATTCAGAAATTGAAATTTTTATCATTTTTTTGGAGAACGGAAATGTGAAATCTGAATCAGCTAATAACCCAGAAGACCAAATGGATTAAATGAAAGTCATATTCTATCTGTAGCACGAAGGAATAGCTGTCAGAAGCCTCATCAGGGACCTTAAGGGGTTGGTTGTATGCCAGCTTTGCTTTACTTATAATTTAGTGTTTATATGTTATTAACCACAGTTTTTACGTTATTTTTATTAATCTTTTTGCGCTCCACCGGGTACCAGCTGATCATAATCCTTGGTATTTGTTGAAAGTTTTACAAAACAAAAGTAAATATGGAAAGAAAATGAGTCAAAGGCAAGTAGGTCTGTCAACAGCCCATCTCAAAATCACCCATATATCGCCCCATCTCTCTCTCTCTCTCTCTCTCTCTCTCTCTCTCTTGACAAATTTCCGAGACATTAGGATGGGAGGTACCAGCCGAGTCTATCCACAGCGGGTTGGAGAAAACGGAGCTACTCGGGAGAAGCCAGTTCTTGACACCCATAGAAGTTGAAGCCCTCGGACTGTCCGGAGTCTCAGTGCTCCTTGACGGAGGTAACTCTACACCTCAAGTTTCTTACTCATATTATCCTCACATCACACCACCACCACCATCTTCTTATAGTTTCTTACTTGTTGACAAATATGCAGCCCACACCGAAGCTTCTGCCAAAGCTCTGGCGGACACGGTCAACATGGTCGCTCCAAATCGGCAGCTGGCCCTCGTAGTAGCCATGGCCAGTGACAAGGACCATCTCAAGTTCGCAAGTCAACTCCTTTCAGGTGACAACTTCTTCTGACCCTCTCTCTCTCTCTCTCTCTCTCTCTCTCTCTCTCTCTCTCTCTCTTCATGAATCTGCAGCTTCAGCTGGGAATTTCCTCGGTTTCCTCTCTCCACTGCTGCAGGTCTGAGGCCGGAGATTGTGCTACTATCCGAAGTGAGCATTGCCGGAGGTGGGTCCCGCACGGCGCCAGCGTTGACTCTGAAGGATGCCTGGGTAGATACTGCAGTGGCCCTGGCTTTGGATTTCAAGGACATCGGGCCGGGGGAAGAAGTCAACGCGAGTGGGCCCACAACGCTCATCGGCTGCCGAGCCTCGCCAATCGAGGACTCCTTGAGGGTCGCACACCAGCTTCTCAGGTCCAGACCGGAAGGGTTGGATCGTCTAGTTGTGGTCACCGGCTCTCTCCATATCGTTTCACATGTACTTCGCTCAGTCCAGTAACCCCTTTTTTTTTGGAAAATGAAAATATTTTTTAATAATTTTCGTGCTATGTTTCTTGATTTTCTTGGCTTAAGAAACTCGTGTGTATTAAATGGGTAATTTAATCGCCAAATAGGCGAATTATGTGAGTTTACAAGCATATAAAAGATTTTAAAATCGCATAAATGGCTTAATATTTTTAATATTAATGGAATCCCGAAAGAAGAATTTTCCAATTTTGGTAGCTTTGTTCTTAAATGGGACTCTAGAGAGAGAGAGAGAAGGTGGTCCCCACACCAGATCAAGAAGCTGCCCGTCCCACCCACCTTCAGATCCGGCAACGGTAAGAGGCGGACGTCACCACCGGTATGTATTTCGTTTTTATCGTTTTGAAATTTGAAATCTATGACCGTTGGGAATCGTCTTCCCCCCATTTTATAAAGGGGAACTCCCAGCGGAGGGGGAAGAATACTCTCACTCTGTCAGTGAGCGAGCTGATCGGCCTTCGAACCCTAGCCTTTCTCCTTCCCTCATCTCAGAAGCCATGGCTGATGTCGCAGTGATATCCACGAATGAGGCCCCGAGAAGGAAGGCTAGAGGGCGAAGGGCGGCGCTGAAGGATCTGTCGACCAACGAGATATCCGCCGATAAGTCCGCCGCTGCGTCACTGGAGCCCTCGAGCGGGGCTAAGAAGGGGAGTAATGGGGTTGGCCTCTCCGTCGTACTATCCCCCAAGAAATCCAGAGCCGTCAGGAAGACGAAAGCTGTTGTGGCTGCACCTGCGGGGAATTCCTTCGCCGACGATCTGGAAGAGCTGCAGGCGAGGCTCAACCAGCTCCGGCTCGAGAAGGAGAAGGCCGAGGAGATGCTCAAGGAGAAGGACGAGATGCTGAAGCAGAAGGAGGAGGAGCAGGAGAAGCTCCAGAAGGAGTTCAAGAAGCTGCAGAAAGTAAAAGAGTTCAAACCGAATATGGTTCGATCTCCTCCCTTCCACTCATTCTCCTTAGTTCTGTAACTAGGCTTCCGAAATATACTGATCTCTCTTTGCTCGTTGCAGAGTTTTCCCGTTTTGCAGTCCCTCAAGGACAAGGAACAGGAGACGAAGGAAACGAAGAAGAAAAACAAGGACCTCCCAGAGAAGAAGAAGCCATCCCCCGCCTATGTCCTCTGGTGTAAAGACCAGTGGAATGAGGTATTAACGCTTTCCAGTTTTATGTGGGATAGTTCACATGAACTAGCAAGAAAGCTTATGAAACTTCTATCTCTGCAGGTCAAGAAGGGGAGGCCAGAAGCAGAATTCAAGGAAATATCGAACATATTAGGAGCAAGATGGAAATGTCTGAGCGCGGAGGAGAAGAAACCATATGAAGAGAGATACCAGCGAGACAAAGAAGCCTACCTTCAGGTCGTTGGGCAGGAGAAAAGAGAGAATGAAGCGATGAAGCTTCTCGAAGAGGAGCAGATGCAGAAGACAGCCATGGAACTGCTGGAGCAGTATCTTCAGTTCAAACAGGTTTGTCGGAGGTACCGACAAAGATCCTTTTCTGAAGCCCTTATCCTTGACCATCATTCTAATATTTGACGTCACCTTGGTGCAGGAAACTAAGAAGGAGAACAAGAAGAAGAGGTATTGTGAGAATCGTTTGGAGGATTTTGACATCTCTCTCTCTCTCTCTCTCTCTCTCTCTCATTACGCTTTTCTCAGTTAATGTCGATTACTATAACATTATGCCTCCACTGCAGAAAGGAGAAAGATCCCTTAAGACCAAAGAAGCCCATGCCCGCTTTCTTCCTGTTCTCCAATGAGCGCCGAGCAGCGCTGCATCACGAAAACAAGAGCGTTCTCGAGGTAACCCAATTTTTTTCTCTCACCTCTCTCTCTTTCTCTCTATCTCCCTCTCAACTCTGGTGTTTCATCATGTGATTATTTGTTTCTATTGTCTTTATCAGATAGCCAAGATAACGGGAGAGGAGTGGAAGAGCATGCCTGCTGAGAGAAGGCTGCCATATGAAGAGAAGGCAAGGAAGGAGAAAGAAGAGTACACCCAGCGGATGGAGCTGTATACAAATAGGAAAGCCGAGGTAGTTACTGATCGTTGAATATATTTACATCTGAATCAGTAACGTTAAGAATGTAATTTAATGGGTGAAACTTTTTCGAAATTATTTAGGAGGCTGTAAACCAGAAAAAGGAAGAAGAAGAGCATCAGAAAGTCATGAAGCACGAAGCTCTTCAATTGCTTAAGAAGAAGGAAAAAACAGAGAACATAATCAAGGTTCATACATAGCTGCACAGCCATCTTCCATACCAAATCATCCGTCATATCTTCTTACTCATTTCTGTTTGATCTCGGGAGAGCAGAAGGCCAAGGAAACCCGTAAGAAGCAGAAGGATACGAAGAGCTCAGATCCGAACAAACCCAAGAAGCCTGCATCTTCTTTCCTCCTTTTCAGGTGAGAAATTACCTCAATATTTTTTGGTCCTAAAATAGGAAGAGTCGGACCTCAAAACCTTTAGCATGCTTTCCCGGATGCAGCAAGGATGCAAGGAATTCCCTCCAGCAGGAGAGGCCTGGCATCGACAACTCTACTCTCACTGCTCTCATTTCAGTGAAATGGAAGGTATAACCTGTGGTTCTCTCTCTCTCTCTCTCTCTCTCTCTCTCTCTCTCTCTCTCTCTCTCTCTCTCTCGCTATCACTTGCCTAAATCTATCGTTTGATCAGGACTTGAATGAGACAGAGAGGCAGGTCTGGAATGACAAGGCAGCGGAGGCCATGTCTGTGTACAAGAAAGAGGTGAAAGAGTACATGGACAAAGCAGCTGCTGCGGCAGAGAAAAAGGATTCAGCTGTGTGACGACGATCACATCTCAGGGGAAGAAGCCCGCCCAACTCGGGGTCTTCAATTCTACGGACGGGTCTTGTATCTTGCAATGTTCAACAAGTATTGTTGAACACTGACCCAAGTCGCGATTTTCTTTCATCCTTCGATTAGAGCGGCAAAGACAAGTTAATGTGGTCTCATTTTTAATTATTGTTGATAAAACTTAGTATCATTCTGACTCAGATACCTTCAATTATGCACAGATGGTAGCTGTTTTTCTGATTCGTGTAGTTCAAAATTCCATCTTAAAATCCTGAAATAGTATATTATTAATAGCACATTCTCACACATTAATTGATATAATGACAACAATTGCAAAGCCGAAATGAAATCGCACTCACATTCAGCAATAAAAGTGAGAACTAGATGATCCCTCCCTCTCCCCAAATTGTAAAATAGACAATTTTTGGTAATTATTTAAAGAAAAACATTCTGATTTTTTTTAAAAAAGGGTCTCTATCTAATGAAGAAAATACTCCATTACTCTACAATTTGGGATGATGAAGAAGCTGCAATGAAAATCATTTACAAAAAATCAGAATGATTCCACAGCTAACAAAGATGATTCTGAAATATAATCATTGTAAATAGACTTAATTGTTCATACTTATTTTTAAAAAATTTGCATACCAATGCAAACTGTATCGAATGAGTTTGACTCTTTCCATTTAACATATCTAAAGAAGGGAGTGCTAATGGCTTAAAACTATGGATGATATTTGTGGCATTTTCCTTGTACATAGAAATGTGAATTCTAGGTCAGATTGTTATGTACAATGTTCACCATAGATTAGTGAACCCAGTATAGTATATTGAACTACTACTCATAAGAGTTATACTAGGTCAAAGAGGCCATTAACCATATGCTCCAAATCACTTAGCATAAGTTTCTCGTTAGATTGACAAGTGAATTGACAATAGATTTGACCGTTAGATACAAAGCCCACATTATGATGAACAGGATATTAGACACTAGTTCAGTTGTGCATCAAGTTCATAGGTTCATCATTATTAGGCATGAACCTTTACATTATACTGATGAATCAGATGATTGACCATTTGGCAGAGGGCATGCATAAGGTCAAATGGGCCATTAAATATGCATCCATTAGGCCATTCTTTTTAAAATTATGAGATTTTGAATTTCAGCTCAATTGGGTTTCTTCACAAGATTAAAGTTGTGATAGAACTTTAATGTATTTTTCACATGATTCCATGTACAACATGTTGAAACTTAGCCTCTTATTGGGTATTCTATCTTTCCTATTATAGGTGTATCTCTTCTATCTCTCCTCTCACTTATGGCTGTACACTCTTACGTCTATGTGCACTCTATGTATCATGGGGAGGATCTGAGAAGGAGAAAGTCTCAATCAACTCTATTTTTTTCTCATCCATCTCAATGCCATTTGAGGGGGGACATTTTCACCTCCCTCGTGTTGCTTCTTCTTGTTCATTTTTTCACAACTTCTTACGTGGGATGTGAAAGCATTCATCTCCTTATTCCTGTATCATAGAGGAGGCTGTATAAGATGGCAACAGCCCTTCTTCTGTAGCCAGCATTACATCTTGGCGATGAAAGTCTCAAACCCACCCTGCTCCACATATGTACTCTCGATGTATAATGCTTGGATTTAAGAGTGAAAATGTCCAAGTTCCCAAGGACAGTAGAGGGAGGAGATATAATAAGATCGAGAGAGAGAGAGAGAGAGAGAGAGAGAGAGGGAAAGCGGTGGCGAGTCGTCAACCAGCTGAGGACAACCAAGGGAGAGGCCGCCAGCGCGGTGGGTCCTGGGTCAAGGCACTGGGAAAGGCATAGAGAAGGATGAGGAAGAGTTGGACGAGGAGGTAGGGAAAGGGGACAGAGGAGGAAGAAGGTCTCTTACTTTCGAACGTTCTCCCTTGGTTCTCTCGCCTCCGTGCCTTTAAGAAGGCGCTGGTTGCAGGCCTGATGATCCAAAGTGGGCCGACGGGCCTTCCTCGTCTTCTTCCTGACGTCTACCCTTGATGGGCATGTACCACGGTCAATCCTATAAGGTGGTGTGGAGGTTTCTTATCTTTGTTGCTTCAAACGGTGACAATATAAGTACTGGTAATCCCTCCTTATAAGGTGTATCGGCCTTTGAGTTGACCCAGGTCAATTGTGACTTGGGATGAAGGTAGTTGACTTTCCTATCTGCCCAACACGATAATCGTATTCTTCCTTCTAGTGAGCCCATTTGTTTTGACTTGGGATGAAGGTATTTGTTTGTTTCCGGACGAACTGCAAGCATCGAACCTTACTTCCATTATGGTGTTGGTGAATAACCAAGGCCCACTGTTTGGACAGATATATTAAGCCATCGTTTTGAAGACGTCATCTGCACCGTTCCCGAGGCTCACAATGGCCCTGATGTTTCATGGGCCTTCCCCGATTGGGCCTGGAGCTACCTGCTGGGCAGATTTCCCCATTGAAGGCGCCTATTTACGAAGAAAACATCTGCAACTTTAAATAGTGCAGCTCGATATCCCGACCCTCTACTGGCAACTCGGACGACATTCCCCATGCGACGTTAAGGGAGGAGGGGGGAGTAGGATGGGCTGGCCGGCGAGTTATGGTGGGCGGACAGGCGGCGCCAGAGCCGCCGGCGGCGCTGAGAAGGAGTTCTCGCCGGCGTGTTGTGGGTGTGTTATGATGGCGGAGTATCCTTCTTTATCATCTGCCCCCGCCATTTACTCTGACTCTCATACCTCCTTCGTGGTGCCATTCAATGCCTGGCTTCGGAGGAGGGGGGGGGGGAATCAATGAAGCCTCCATCCTCCATCCTCCCCTCTCCATTCACTCTCAGACGACAAAAACGAGACCCCTTGGGGGAGACGGAGATGGTTTAGAAGATGGGTCTCACTTACAAGTGAGAACGTGGGCTTCATGCATGCCACATCACTATAGAAGCGAATAAACGGTGGGAGACGGCGAGAGATAGAGGTTTGTAAGAGTGGTTTCAAGCGTGAACCAACATAGAATTAGAGAGAGAGAGAGAGAGAGAGAGAGAGAGAGAGAGAGAGAGAGAGAGAGAGAGAGAGAGAGAGAGAGAGAGAGAGAGAGAGAGAGAGGCTTGGAAGACGATGGGTTTGACGCGTGCGATCACATTCCCACGCGGTAAGGGATTGTTTGGGCATTTTACGTTCGCCAAGGAAAGATTAGTGGCGAGTTATTGTCTCATTCAGCGGCCCTCTTGTCCTGCGAGCTCAACACCGGTCCAGCTCACGCGCGTATTGAGGGGTAGGTTGGGTATTTCCTATCGTTTGAGTTGTTTCCTCCTCTCATTCAGCTGTCGTCCTTTTCTGATGTCGGACAAAGATCTAAACGGAAAACGAGGGAGCGGCCCATCTGCAGGACCAAAAGCCGTTGACGTCATCCAACCCAAGACTAATGGTCATATTTATCCAACGCACAGATGTTCACCGGCAAATGGACTATCAACATTTGAAGCTCACAGGACCAAAAGCTCCCACTTACTATCATAACCGTCTGATCTAAGATAGAGATCGGTATGATGTGACGTTCTAAGCTTGGTCTGTACCTAATTTGACCATGATGCAGGACGTTTGATTTAGGCCATATGAGTTGATTTTGATGGATTGTGCATCTATATTGGAGATAAAGAGGAAGAGAGAGAAGGGTGGAGGAAGAAGAGAGAGTGAGAGAGGAAGAAAAGAGAGAGACATGAGGGAGAAAGAAAGTTGAGAGAGAGAGAGAGGAAGAGAGAGAAGGGTGGAGGAAGAAGAGAGAGTTAGAGAGGAAGAAAGAAAGTAGAGAGAGAGAGAGAGTTCTCATGTTGTAGCTTGTACACGATCTTATTTGCATGCTGAAAAAGTCATAAAAAATTAGCCTTGATGATCCCAGACCACAACGTTCGCAGCTGAAAGTACATCGTAGAGGACATGCATCAACACTAATGTGACGTGCATCATGAACTAGAAATTCTCCAAAATATTATTTAATCAAGAAGAGAGTAGAGCGGACCTTGTAGGGTTTAATGAGGCTAGATTCTGTAAATTACTTCTACGAATAGTTATGAAAAAAAAATCCAAAAATGGAAAATTAGAGTATTTCTGATTGACAGCCACCAAGATAAAAAGTCTCACAATCTAAGCAAATCCTTCTTTTCCCCTTACTTTTGGAAGACATTGGAACAATATATGCATGTGGGTGTTATATATATGTAATGAATGAAGGGGAGAGAGGGATTTATCAGCGTACACATTATCATTTACGCTCATAACTACAAATGATAAGATGCATAAATCTTATTCTCACTAATCAACCAGAGTATTAATGTCAGATAAAGTCATCTTGAATGCTCTTCTCATTCTTTGTAACTCAAACATCATAGACAAGAGGATGTTATCTCCGAGTACATGGATGGCCATGCACATGTCAAGATTTTCCAAGCACCATCATTTCTTGACTGGAATATCACCATATTCTAATTTTTCTATTACTTTAATTTTCAATATAATTTTTTACCTATTAGTTTCAAATTCTATATCTCAAGGATAGGGGCAACATGGTGCTAGATATCTCTCTTAGGTGAAAGGTTACTAGGTAAGTTTCCTAGGATTTAAACTAAGATAAACTTTTCTATGTATGCTAATTTATAACATTAAAAATATATATCTTGTATTTACCTTTCTCACTATAGTAAAATCTCTTATTTATCATCTAATTTGATTTTTTGTCAACTAACAATGCACATTTTTCTCTTTTACATCAATACTAGAAAAATTATTTTATTCAATCAAACAAATAATGCTTTGTCTCTTTCTATAAAATAGATGAAGATTGTCTTCATCACAATAAGCAGCATGAACATCAAACTGCTAGGATCTTCCCACCGTAATGTAACGTAATTGAATTTTGAGCTTGAATACAATTAATACCCTCAAATCTTTGGTGTCCACACTTTTCAAGCCATGCAAGCCACCAAATTTGTGGCTCTATCAGTTCCTTAAGTGGTACTCTAAATCAAAAACCTACAAACGAATGTGATGGAGGTTTCTAAGGAGTTATGGATCACAACGTCAATGAATTTGTCAATGATGGACTCGTTTTATAGCTAAGAATTTTTAAAAAAACCCTTAAAAAGATAAAAATAGTACAAATAAATTTCTGAATTGTCGGGGGCAGAAAATGCATGTAGACGAAATAAAGAATTTTCTGTCATGGCTGGTCTCCCTCCAACAACGGGCTGCGACGAATGAAGTCCACGGCTATGGACCCCACATGATACCACAATATGAGCTGGTGTTGAATGGGCCGAGCATAGTTGGAATTTGGCCGTCTCTTTCACAGCCTGTGCGAGATGGGAGTATTTAAGTTAATGGGCTGGATTCCGTGGGGGCTTTTTCTCATCAGCTGAATCTGGTTGGGACAGATGGGCCAGTTTGACAGCACAAATCATGTTAAATCGACTGGATCTGGAACATGCATTTGGCGGGGTAAGTTACCGGGCCGAACTCAACTAAATTTCGGGTAATTCTTTTCCGGGCTTTTTTCCTAGATGAACCTTACTAAATATGCCTATATATGGACCACTAAGTAGACTGGATAGGGGCCTTTGAGCCGGCCCAACCCAATTTTCACTTGGGGCGGGGGACCGAAGTGGTTGACTTTCATGTCTGCCCAGCCCAATCGTGATCTTCTTCCTTGGAGTGGGCCCCAGAAGCGCCGAAGAGTCTTCAATTGATGGACTCGGCGAGGGGCGCATGAGTGGGACCCACGGATCCCGACTCTCATAATAGGCCTGATTTTCCACTGGCCTTCTAAATGGGCCTGGCGCATTCTCCATTGAAGGCGCCTACTTACGAAGAAAACACCTGCACCATTAAATAATGGGGGTTGCGGGAAGAAGGGAGGTTGCCACGTAGCCCGACGACATTCCCCATGCGACGTTAAAGGGGTCGGTCGGCCGGCCGGCGAGTTATGGTGGCCGGACAGGCGGCGCCGGAGCCGCCGCCGGCGGGTGCAGAGAGAGAGAGAGAGAGAGGGAGTTCTCGCCGGCGTGTTGTGGGTGTGTTATGATGGTGGAGTATCCTTCTTTATCATCTGCCCCCGCCATTTACTCTGCCTCTCATACCTCCTTCGTGGTGCCATTCAATGCCTGGCTTTGGAGGAGGGGCGGCATGAATGAAGTCTCCATCCTCCCCTCTCCATTCACTCGCAGACGACAAAATGAGACCTCTTAGAGGAGACGGAGAGGGTTAAGAAGATGGGTTTCAAACCTCTCTGGATGAGGATGAGAGAGAGAGAGAGAGAGAGAGAGAGAGAGAGAGAGAGAGGTTTGGAAGAGTGGTTTCAGGCGTGGACCTTTGGGACTTTCTGTCCAATAGACACGCAAAAGAGGGGAGAGAGGATGAAAGGTAGTTCGGGTATTTCCATGTACCTCAATCCAACAAGGATCCGTGGCGAGTTCTTTGCGCCTCTCATTCAGCTGACGTGTTGTCCTAGGGACATCACAACGGGTCGAACTCACGCGCGTTGTGAGGGGTATATTGGGGATTTGCAACCGCCAGCCCAAGGAGGATCCGCTCGAGATGTTTTCTCCTTTCATTCAGCTGCCGTGCTTTGTTTTTCTAGTCATCTAGCGGGGCCCACACGCTTTTCCAACTGGACAAAGATTTGCACGGACAACGAGGGAGAAGCCCGTGGGCCCCATACTAAAATCCCCAATGAACGTAGCTATTGTTCCAGGGCTTCACCAGTGACGTCATCGACACCCAAGATTAAGCTGTTTTCATCCGACGTACGGATGTTCATCATGGTCAACTTTTGAGGCTCAGATGGCCAAAAGCGCTCACAACATCTTCAAAGTTGATTATGGTACTGTGGGTAGATCTAGATGAGGCCATCATGATCCGACTTCCAAGGTTTTGTTCGTACCTGATTTGGCAATGTAGTTCAAGCTTTCCAAAGAAAGTCGATTTTGTACTAACCCATCAAAATTAGGTACCTAATAAATCCTTTGTCATATTAATCATTACTGTGACCAAATGTCCAAAACATCATTGCAATTCATCATTTTGTTTCAGCCTTTGAGAGCGTCTTTAATCAAATGCTTCAGTTTTTTAATCTTAAATATATTTTTTAATTATTTTATGAACAGCCTGCACCAGCTTTGTCCACGTAGATATAAATTTATGCTTGGCGATTTTTCTCTCTCAAAGTGTATAAAACATAATTTACCACACAATTTATATCCTTGAATTTTGGGGTTGAATTGGTTTTGACTTCACTCTTTGCTTTTCAGACTATACAAATCACCAATTTTAGGCCTTTATCCTCTACTGAAATGCTATTCTACATCAGCAATTATAAATGAAGTTGATGGAGCTTTCTAAGGAGTTGTGTTGAGGCATGAAAGTCACATTACTGTCAATAATAACCGTATTTTATAGACAAGAAAAAAAACCCTTATATATATATATATATGTTATAATTGTTTGGAGTATAAACGACTAAAAAAAGAATTTGCTATGATGACTAGTCTCTCTCCAACACGGGATATGATGAATGAAACCCACAACATATGTGCCCTCATGCGTTGTCTGATTTCATCAACATGATATGATTTTGATTGATTCCATATCATCTAATCTATTTTATCAGCGTGCATAGGAGTTACAATCTTATGTTTAAGAATCAAGAAATAAGCAATTTTTAATAGTTGTGATGCCGTTTCATTGTGGAGAATGCTCAGATACATTGCATGTAGTATACTTGTACGCATATACATGTGTGACTAGAGCGTGTTTGTGTGTGTGTGTGTGTGTGCGTGTGTGCGTCGTGAGAGAGAGAGAGAGAGAGAGAGAGAGAGGGGTGGAAGAGTGAATGTTGTAACATTAAAAGACGAGACACTAAAAACCTAAAGTATCTCATGAGCAACTGCTGTAGTAATGTATTAATGTCAGTTACTTCATTAGATACTTTAGAGTTTAAATGACGAGTCATCTTGAATGCTCCCCTCGTTCTTTGTAGCCTGAAAATTAAGATCAAGAGAACATCACCCCCACGTATAGATGTTTGTGCAAGCGTCAATCTTGCAAGCACCATCATTTATTAATTGTCGTATCACCATATTCTATTTTTTATATTAATTTAAATTCAATATATTTTTCCATATGCATACTTCTTTGTCTTTTCTCACTAGAGTTCAAATTTTAAGCCCCTAATTTTGTCTTCAATGTATTTTGGATAATTTTATTTGTTTCTCTATACATATATTATTTAATGACAAATGTCTAGTTTCGTTTTACATCAACAAAGGTTATGTGATCTAAGTGCTTCACTAGTCCAACATTAAGTCACTTTGCGGAACAAAAGCCTAGCATTTAGAAAGGGCAATCAAATGTGACCAAATGGCAAATATTTTAATATGTAATCTAGCTTACACTACATCCATATTAAATTATTTTCCTTTTCCCTTTTTTTACGGATATAAAATGTGTTTCTATTTAAAGCCTCACAATGATTGGAATTTAATCTATTAGGCCCTTTGATGTACCTCAACGTAGAAACTCCATAACATCTATCAATTACCAAGAACAAGAGCTTAGTGGTCGGAAATAACATTTCATTTGAAAATTAAATGTCCTCTATAAAATCTAAATATATCGACATGGAAGCATCATAAATGTGAGCGCAGGGGGAAATTTCCCTACCACTGAGTCTTCATGAGATCTTTAGTTTCTTGCATTTTTTTTTAATGCAATTCGTATATAATTCAGCATAATTTGAAGTACCTTTAATTCATTGTTTCCTGCCCTTGACGCCCTAGATTTCCAATTATAGGCACTTGCAAGAGTGGCAAAAGGTTGATTCTGTATGGATAACATGATTATCATATGTTTATAAATGCCCGAAAATACCCATCTGGCTTCCCAGATGGTTGAGCATGCATTTATGACGCAATAAGAGGATCTATTTGCTATAGAGCGCACCCAACAACGTCCAACGGTCTCCATCGATGCCTCGACCGTTCCTTTTCAATCCAAGATGAAACGCTCGCTGATGCCCCGACGTCAGGTCGCTTTCTGACCCGAATCTGACCACTTATTTACTCCGTTCTCTCCTACCATCGGCACTCTAAAACCCTTCCTCTCCTCCCCTCCAGTCTTCATCTCAGACGCTGCTTCTCCCTTCCATGGTTTCCTTCGCTCCGAGGGCCACCACGTGAAACCCGCCATTCCTCTGAGGTGGACATGGACAATAACCAAGCTCTGTCGGACCTCTTCGACGGCTCTGAGAACCTCTTCAGTATGCTGGAGTCACTGGAGGACGACAGGGGGAGTCTCCTCTCGCCATTGGAAGAGGTTTTCAGCCCTCGGGGCTCCTCATCCGCCGATTTGGAGGCTCCAGCCTCTCGCAAGAGGATGAGGATGGGGGACTATGCAGCGGCTGCCATCGCTGTCGCCGGAGAGGGGCAGATGAGGATGTCCCATATCACCGTGGAGAGGAACCGGCGAAAACAGATGAACGAGCACCTTTCCGTGTTGAAGTCCCTCATGCCTTGTTTCTATGTGAAGAGGGTAATATATCTGTCCTCATCTCTTATTCATCTGAGTAATCTCTTCGTCCAAGTTTCTCTGCATATCCTCTCTCTCTCTCTCTCTCTCTCCTTTTCTACCTATCTCTAAGTCTCACTTCCGTGTTCACCTTTTATTTACTGTCAAACCTAATTGAAACGTGGACGCCAGTACTCTTTTTTCTTCATTGCCGGACTGCCGTATGCTTTCCGTATCCATCGGCTTGATAGTTTTTCTCTCTTCTGTTATGGCCATGCTACCACACAGCCCAACCTCTCTTTCTCTCTCTCTCTCTCTCTCTCTCTCTCTCTCTCTCTCGCTCTCTCGCTCTCTCGCTCTAAACATGTGAACATTATACAGGGAGATCAAGCGTCAATAATCGGAGGAGTGGTGGAGTACATCAAGGAGCTGCAGCAGGTGCTACAGTCGCTGGAGGCGAAGAAGCAAAGGAAAGTGTACAGCGAAGTGCTAAGCCCTAGGCCAGTCTCAAGCCCCAGGCCATCTCCCTTGAGCCCAAGGCCTCCTCCCCCCAGCCCAAGGATAAGCCTCCCCATCAGCCCCCGGACGCCCCAGCCGGGGAGTCCCTATAAGCCTAGGGTGCAACAGTCTTATCTCTCTCCCTCCATATCGCCCTCTCTTGAGCCCTCCGCCGTATTCGACGGCGCCACCGATCTGTCGGCGAACTCCAGGTCGCCGGTGGCTAATGTGGAGGTGAAGTTTCTGGGCCCCAACGTTCTGCTGAAGACGATATCCCCTCGTATCTCGGGCCAAGCCCTAAGGATAGTCGCTGTTCTAGAGAGACTCGCTCTCGAGATTCTCCAGGTGGACATCAACACCGTTGACGACACCATGCTCAACTCGTTCACCATCAAGGTAGACCTCTCTCTCTCTCTCTCTCTCTCTCTCTCTCTCTCTCTAGAACGCTTATATTTTCTTTTCGGGTTTCTGGGGAGTTTCTACAGTTTAGTTGTCTCATTCTCCATCTCTCTTCTGCTGGTTTCTCTCTCTTATCAATGTTATTCCTTGTTGTTCAGAAGAAGGGTACATTTAAGTGGGGTCCTTCACAGAGTCACCCTCTTAGGGTCCATTAAAAACTAGGGCTCTTATCTTCTGTCTGTCTCAACCTTCTCTCTCTCTCTGTCTCTCTCTCTTTCTCTCTCTCTAACTCTAGATATTTTTACATATATATATATGCAACGCACTAAAACAAAGTTTGGGTATCGATTGAGAAAAAGCACAAGAGTGCAAGATTATTATGCATCATTATCCTCAGACAAAGAAGATAAAATATTCGTAACTATTCCTTCATGGGCTTCTCGTCCATGTTTCGGCAATGACTGATTCTATCTCCGTCCGTTTCTCTCTCTAAACGTTTCTATTCCTTCCTGCGTTTGAATGCTCTTCACCTGTGGACAGATTGGAATTGAATGCGAGCTGAGTGCAGAAGATCTCGCCAACGAAGTACAGCAGACCTTTTCCTGACGAAAGCCGTCGGCGGAACCCTAAACCCTGTCCCCAGATCTCTTTCTTTCTCTATCTCCACGACCCGGCGGTGATCAGATACATTAAGCAAGAGGATTGGAGGAGACGATCAGCCTTCTGACAAAGCATCGCTCCGTCCCAAGGGATCCCAAATACCAACTGTCTTGCGGTGTGATACTCGGAACTCGTCTCAGAGCTTGACTTCCTGGTTTATTTTTTCGCGCTTACGTTGTTTTCCTCCTCTGATGTCCCGTTTCTGCTTGGCTCTGTGCTCTTGCATTTATAATATGACTCTTCTGTCAGTCTCTAGCATCTCTTCATTCAGCTGATGACGATCTATTCTCCTCTACCGAGAGAGGCAGGGGAGAGAGAGTCGTCTGTGCATGTGGAGCGAGCGAGCGAGCGAGAGAGAGAGAGAGAGAGAGAGAGAGAGAGAGAGAGAGCCATGCTTAAACGTAAACGGGCAGAGAGGGAGATGGAGAGGGAGAGAGAGGGGGAGAGAGAGAGAGTAAGAAAGACCCATGCTTAAATGTAAACGGGCAGAGATAGATAAGGAGTAGTTGATATAACGAGAAACCTGCACACGTATACATGCGTTTAGAGAGAGAAGTTAAGCTACGAAGAGAGAGAGAGTGACTTCAACCTTCAAGTTTTCTTCTTGTTTGCTACATCGTTCATCCCTTTCAAAAAAAAATTAAGACCCACAGCGGGCAACGGGGAGGTATGAGCGACAAAAAAGTGCAGAATCTTGCTGCATGCATTCCACGTGGGCCAATTGGGCCTACCCGATTCCCTTAGAATCTCGAGCTCCTCCCACGTCATTGCTACAGAGGGCCCATTACGGGTCCACGAGAAATCCTCTCCGAGACAATGTCAACCCAGACGTCAGAGGGTAAATATGGTGGGCCGTAGCAAACGTTGGACCACTCTCCTCAATCAGTAGGGCCGAATAACACTCGGCGACCAAGAAGCCAAGATGGGCCTGACTGAGAGATCTCAACCCATGGGCCCAATAAAGAATGGGCTCCACCGACTATTCTTCGAAACTGGGCCTCAATTTGGAAATTACCATTTTTGGGCCCGATCTAGGAAGGAGGGAGGAGGGGGGCTCTTCTCATACGAATATAAATGTCAAATGCAAAAATATATTAATGATTTTATTTATTTAATGCTAAATGCCACGTCATCCTCTCGCGGCAAAAAAATGTGCCAGACCGAGCGGCGGAGAGCTGGCCGACGTGGAGGCGGGAGAGCCCGCTGGGGTGATGTGGCTGGTGGGCCCCACTAAGGCCGTTCCACCCCTAATATCTAGTGGAGCTAATGGGAAGCGCACGCGTGGCTCAGCCTCATCCTCGTGCTTCTGGAAAAATCTGAGTCACCCGGTCGTCTGGTTCGCGACCTTCCACGTCGCTCCACGGCGGCGGAGGCCCACCGCCGCTGCCCCGGCGGCAGGATCTGGTCCGTCCGATGGAGGAGAGGACGGAGGTAGCGCCGTAGAGGGGGTTTGTGTACTCCACCACGAGTTTCTTTTTCCGCGAATTTCTTCCGCAATCCGTATAAATACGCGAGAGGTAAATTTGTCATTGTGGTTCTTCATCCGCGATCTGCTGCCGAGAAATCAGGTTGGCTTGTCGGCGTCCGCAGAATCTGCTCGCCGCAGGATACGCGCCATAGGTTTCGTCGGACAGCTCGATCGAGAGAGGTATGCCGCGGTTCTCATCTCTCTCCTCTGTCTGACGTTCTCTTTGTGACTTTACACTGCTTGTTTTCTCTTCTCTTCGGATGTTGTCTTCTGCTGAGGAAGGAATGAAGTGTGAGTGGAAAGTTTTGGAGGGATCCGGCGGGGAAAGGGATTGCGGAGCCTGAACAGGGGTTTACTCGCGAGGGGGAGGGGGAAGACGGGAACGCAGTGCATTCCGTTTGCTGCTTGTAATGTGGGAGTACACAGTCTAGGATGTTCTATTGCAAGGTCACGTTTACGTCTACCACGGATTCAGGGTTGATGCAATTGTCGTACTGCAAATCTTCTGTAGGTAATCAGAGAAGGCACTTAACGTGGTTACTGATGAATCAGAGTCTCGAGTGATGATATTACCGTTAATCAACCTACAAATTAGGAGAAAATATATGCCCTGATTTCTTAACCTGCGATTTCGCGTCGGAAACGGAATGAGTGAATGATAGTTTGCATAGGGTACCACACAAAAACCATCTTTTTTGGTCCTGCTATCGAAGTGGCTGCATTCTTCGAGTTTCCAGATGACCTCTTTTGCTCATGACGGGAAACGCATTCAACGATAGAGGAAAATCCTAAGTTTCGTTTGCTATTGTCGTTTAGAAATCATATCCGGGAGTTTTGTCTCTTTGGGATGATTCCTTGTGATCTAAGCTTAGAAGTGAATGCAAAATGTGAAACACGTGTATTTTGTCTCTGAAGGTCTGCTGCTTTTTCTGATTTCATTTGCCTCTTAATTCTTCTAAAAGGACGTCCTCATTGTCATGATTATCAGGGCAAATTCTTTCACACTTTGGATTGAGAAACAGCAATCTGGGACTATGTTATCCTTCTTTTCCTCTCTCTCAGTAAGTTCATATTGATGGTAGCCGCCCACTATCCCCTCTCATACTCCAGTGACATGGACTAGGCCTGTACTGAGCATAGACGATGAAAAGCTTGCGGCTTATTGAGTCTCTCTAGCCATTGATTATTTAATGTTTCATTTTTCCTTATCATGTCTGTTATTGGGAAAAAGCACCCGTAATATCTATGCATATGTACTAATCCCGACTTCGTCATCACTGCAGGTTGTTGACTGTGAGTGATTCAGATCAGAAATAGTATCTACTGATCTTGGCATGGGCGTTGTAAGTGTTTCTAGTTCGGCTTCAAGGTTTCCACTAGGCTCAAATTCAAAACTTTCAAGGAATTCGAACTGTCGCTCTCCAATAAGAAGACCTGTCTTTCTGGCTTTCAAAATAGAGAAAAGAAAGAATAAAGCATTCAGCACGCAGCAAGATCCAATAGCTTTAGGCATAGACACTGTAAAAGATCCAAACAGCTCTGTCAAAAGAGTCCACACAGATTCCAAAAGAGTAAAGGCAGTCTGCGTTGATGAGGCCTCTTCCACTGCAGAGTTGGATTATAATGAAGTTGCAGCCACACTTGAAAATTTATATAAGCTTAGTCCTGGTGAAATATCTCATGTAGAAAAGTCAGATCAAGCTGCACAGAAACGTGGTGGAAGAAGGAAGATAACCAAAGAACATGTAAGTAAGAAGGTGAAAGTGCCTGATGTCTTCCAGAATGATAAGAGGAAACTGAAGCGATTAAGTCTTCACGAGAGAATATCATTGACAAAGAAAAAGGGTGAAGCATCTGCTGTTGCGAAGCACAGTACAGAAGATGGCAAGAAAACTAGGGACACTGAGGGTAGACTTCTCAGGGACTACTCTGTGTCGACTGATTTAGTCAGCCTAGACTGGAAAAAAATGAAGATACCCGCAGTTCTCTCTTCTTCAGAACATACCTCTCTGTTTAAATTGCTGCAACCTGTGAAGGTGAGCTTGTTCCTCTGAATTCTCTAAATTCTGGAGTGAAATGATTCCTTTTAGGATACGATTATTTAAATTTGGACTTGTCACGTGTTTTCCTGAGATTTTGTATCGGATTTTCTAATTTTCCCACCATAAATCTGTTTGTTTACGCTAATATCCTGTGTGCTATATTTCAAGAGTACAACCGTAAGTTGCGTGTAGTTAGATATGAAATGTCCATAATCATTCACCCTATTGTATTCTTTGAATTTTAAGATGATTATTTTTTAATCATAAAACATTTGTTTTTCATTATTCCGAATATTGATATTGCTTTTCATGTTAATTTTTAGTATCAGTTGTGTCGCTTCTTGGTAATTTTACATGATTAAAGAAAATTATTTACTACATCCCGTTTGACTAATCGATGGTGCTAATACTAATTTTTCTTCTGGAAATTTAGGCTACACTTGCAGTTAAGGACACCCTGTGTGTGGACTTGGGTAGAGAACCTACAGACGGTGAATTGGCGAGCGCAATAAACATGAATGTTCAACAATTGAGAAGGCATCTAGAAGTTGGCCATGCTGCAAGAAATAAATTAATCAAGGTAATCATTTACAGTGAAGAATTTCAGGTTTGATTTTGTCCACGTCCGTTGATGACCGATACTGTGGCGTAGTTGAATGAAACACATGCCCCATTCCCACATGGGAAGATGAACCACAGATAGCAAAACATCACTCTTGCTCCTTTGATCAAAGTAGCCCTGAACGAATTGCTCTATATTAGAATATCAGCTCTGCCTACGGTGTGAGATTCAAACTTTATGAGCAAATGTTATAATAAATAAAATTATCTAATTTCTGTAAAGTAGTAATGGATTTTGAATTTCCACGGGTGTTTAGAAGGTAGGAGGCTCGATTTAGTTGCTCTTGAGACATGAATCTAACTTTACTAGGCTACTGTCTCGCACACTATGTTTATATTCAACGTGCTAAAGTTAAATATTCTTGTTCTGTTACTTGGGACCTTGGACCTAAAGCGTGAGACTCGATCGCTTTGTGCAGCATAATCTTCGTCTTGTTCTGTTTGCGATCAACAAGTATTATCATGAGATAGCCAACGGGCAGAAATTCCAAGACCTCTGCCAAGCTGGAGTCAAGGGCCTCATCACTGCCATCGATCGGTTCGAGCCAAAACGTGGTTTCCGTCTATCCACTTATGCTCTGTTCTGGATCCGTCATGCCATCATCCGATCCATGACCATCTCCAGTTTTGCTCGTGTCCCTTTCGGCATTGAATCGGTATGATTCCCAATTTATTTATTTACTTGGTTTCACGTCCAAAATAAAAATTTTTGTGTCCATCTTTTGACTTAAAAAAATTATATGGTATTTTTACCGGAGTTAATGGGGCAGGTAAACCCCACAGGTCTGAAAGCTCAGAATCTTATTTCCTTCCTCTCTCTCTCTCTCTCTCTCTCTCGCTCTCTCGCTCTCTCTCTCTCTCTCTCTCATCCTCATCGATTCATGTGGAAGCCTGGTCTGAGCATATTCGGAAGCAAGCTTCTTGGGAGTTCAGACCCTGTTTCCAGGCTTTTCTTTGGGCTTAGCAACGTCAGGGCCCCACCCAATCCATTGACAACTTCGCATATTTCTTTGTAATTTTTCTTTATTAAAATGCTATATTCTTGAAAAATGTGACAAACCAGATCCCTCTTTTGCATATTATACCGCCCATAAATTCATCTGGTCGATACCCAAATTTTTTTGTGAATCAGATAGTCTGACCTAGAAGGAGCAGACACTTATCCATCTCGCCACTGCAGGTCAGGCAAGAGATCCAGAGGGCCAAGTTGGAGCTGACCTTCGAGCTGAAGAGGGAGCCAACAGAAGAGGAGATCGTTTCCAGGGTGGGGATATCTCCGGACAGATACAACGACGTCCTGAGGGCTTCGAAGCCCATCATCTCCCTCAACGCCAGGCACGCCACCACGCAGGAGGAGTTCATCAAGGGGGTCGCCGACATTGACAGCGTGGGCGACAGGCGGAGACAGCCTGCGCTTCTACGGCTGGCCCTAGACGACGTGGTAATTCATCTTGATGAAACCCCTCCTCTTCGGCTTTAATTGACCCTGATCTCGATTTTATTCTCTCTCTCTCTCTCTCTCTCTCTCTCTAGCTCGGTCGCTCGATTTTACATGTTTAGATGAAATTGATTTATTTTATTTTATTTTCCCAAATTGTCTGTAGCTTGATTCGCTGAAGCCTAAGGAGAGCCTGGTAATCCGCCAGAGATACGGCCTCGACGGCAAAGGTGACAGAACGCTGGGAGAGATAGCCGGGAACCTCAACATCTCGAGGGAGATGGTCCGAAAGCACGAGGTGAAGGCCCTGATGAAGCTCAAGCACCCAGCCCGCGTTGACTATCTCCGAAGGTACATCGTTTGACCAGCCGCCGCCGCCGCGGTTGACCCAGCCGGCCTCCCTCTTCCTCCCCTCTTATGTTTTGAGCTCTGTATCATAGCCCCCGTGATGATTTGACATAACAGCCGCATGTATATCCGCCTCATATTCTCCGTAACTCCTGTAAAGATACTATAGAAGGTGGGTGTCGTAGATCTCTCCTCCATCCAGCTTTAGACTCCTGGCCTGTTTGACTCTGTACATTCATTCATTCATTCACCCGTCGCGCGGAGATTTATCTTATGGAGAAGGCTGGGCGTTCCAATCCTGAGTGTTCTTGCTATGTCCTGTGGGTGAGCCTTATATATATATATATATAATTATTATTTTTTTTTTTGGGGCCTGATATTTTACTAACTTATTACGTGGAGTCAAACCGCCAGCTGCTCGTGGGCTTCTACTGACCCAGCTGGGTCATAAAACTCGACCGTTAATCTTGGAATCTGTCAGTTTGGATAGGGCACGGACCAGAGGAACTGAAAAACGATCAGGATACCATGTCATTACAACGGTTATTGCATGGGACCCACCCCTCATAAAGGTATTTTATGATGAATATATAAAGTATAAGTATTATTAAGTAGTTCATAAATGTGAGGTAATATTAAAAAAAGATAACGAACGGAATACCATTAACGGGGGGAAAAGGATACTGTACTCGGATATCGGGTGTCGTTCATGATCGACCGACGAGGACGTCCTTGTAGGGTGTAGAGGGAGGTGGCGGCGGCGCCGCCTCCTCTCCTCGCTGCCGGCGGGCTTCTTCCAAGATGAGGGGAACTTGACCTTCCCTCTCAGTGATCAGCCTCTCTTGGGCTCCACCGCGGAGTTTCTCCAGCCTGATCCCGTCCATCTGCTGCATCTTGAACACCTTCACCACGTTGAACAGCCCTCCGAGGAGGAAGAACAGGCTCCCGCTGAGGCTCAGCCAGGCCCAGCTCTCGCCCTGCAATGGAACAGATCGGTTCAAGCCTCATCTTCCTCCTCCGACATCAAGAACAGGCGATCGGAAGGGACGGATCGGGATGGGGAAGAGCTTCGCGACGGGAATTGGAGATACCGTGATTTCTCGGCTGTTGAAGACTCCTCCCACCAGGAACAGGAGGCTGCCCATGAGGAAAGGGATCTGGACGAACTTCTGCAGGATCTGAACGTGGCCGTCAGCCCTCTCGTAAACTTGACAGAGGTTGTGGATGGATCCAAGCAACCACAGCGCCGGCCCCGCCACCAGCGTGTTCACCGCCTGCTTCTCCATTCTCTGGCTGTAGCCTCTCTCCCTCTGCGATGCCGCCAGAGCATGAAGCAGATCAGCCCTCTGTGGCGGACGAATCGAGAAAGAAATGCGAGCGGAGATTTTTCTACTTGCCTGAATGAACAGGAGGAGGATGCCAACGAAGGTGACGGCGGATCCGAGCATCTGCAACAAGGGGACGGCGACCTCCACCAGCGCCAGTTGGGAATCGAGCAACAGGAGGGAGAGCAGGTAGTCGATGCCGGCCAAGTGAGCGACGAGGTCGTGCCCGTTCACCGCCGCGACGATCGCTAGGCCGATGAGGAGAACCACGAGGCCGGATCTCGCATCTGAGGAGAGCTGCGACGCGAAGCCGCCGGTGAGGAGGATTGCGGCGAAGACGTAGAGGCCGGCGTTGATGTACTCCCACCGGTTTCGGACCAGCCTCGTCCCGTACATCCTGCTCTCGCGCGTCGTTGCCAGCTTCACCATCTCTCGAAGACCTGAGGAAGAAAACGGAAGATCTCCTGGATTCTAACCAGCGATTTGCTCGGGAAGAGAGGAGGGACGACCGGGATTAGGGTTCCGGCGAGTGTGGGGATGGTGGCCTGAGGAGGGGAGAGGGCGGCGAGAAGCGGTTCGAATCGACACGTGGCACCATGCATGCGTGTCCACGCGACGGACAGCCGTTTTGGTATTATGTCAAAATACTGACTGAAGGAAAGGTGATGATGAACGGTCCGTATCAACCGACGGCTGATTTGATTTAGAAGGGGAAGGGAAGATGCGAGCGGGCCGAGCCGAGAAGTATGGGCTTACTTTGGGCCTGGAAAAGGCTCGGCCCGTTGAGACCCATACAGTTGGTGACTAACTCTATCTCACTCTCTCTCTCTCCTCCGCCAATGGCGACGAGGAAGCGGGGGCGCCGGATCTCCGGCGCTGCGGAGATCAGTAGGAGGAATGATCCCGCCGGACGGATGCCTCGGCCGGGGAGCGGCAGCACCTCCTCTGGCCGCCTCCGTATTTTCTCTCTTCTCGCTCTTATCCTCCTCGCCCTTCTTCTCCTATACTTCAAAGCTTACGGCGGCAGAAAGTACGGCACGGTCTCCGAAGACGGCTCGATCCTTTCCGTTTACGATAGAGGACTGGTCAAACGTGAAATTACATACCGTGAAGTTCTCGCTGTAAGTAGGGAAATGGATTTTTCTCTCTTACGTCCTGATTTTGGTCGTCAAAGGAGTATGTTGATATGTCTGTATTTTTAATATTATTTTCTGTCTTTTTACTTCTTTTAATTCTCTTCCAAGAAATCCAGGAAAATTCAAGGACCTCAGAGAATACATCTGTCCGTCATTTCCTAAATCCCGTTCTCGCGTATGTGACGCCGTGGTACGCACTGCAAATTCTTGTCGGACGGAATTTACACCTGATAAGGCTGAAATGTTTATTTGTTGACTAACCCTGTTGGTTTTGTTCGGAGTAGAAACTTTCAGAACGACAATCTCTGGTAGCATAAATATATTCAAATTAATGCTGCAGGAATTCACTGGGATATGAATTGGCAGAGAAGTTTTGTTTTAAGCTGACTCACGTATCACCAGTCTGGTACGATTTGAAGAGGTAACTCCCAAAAAATGCAGTGTATAGCGGGATGCAACTATTTTCTCGCTTTCTGCTGGTCTCTTTCCCCACTGATGATATTTTTTTTTGTCTGCTTCTAGTGAGAGAAACAATTTTTTTCTCGAGGGCCGGCATAATTCTGATTCACAGTGGATTTCTAGGATTAAAACTAATCGAAACCTAGTGGTATGCTCGTCAATTCACGCCTCTCTTAAATAACTAGTTTTAATCATGTGCGTGGCAATTTTTTTTAGAATTCTGGCGACGTTCTTGTTGATTTTGATTTTAAAATGCCTTCAATCTTATTTTCAAGAACTATGCTTCCAAAAATCTCTTCATAGAGTGTATTTCTTTGTTGACGCTCTGACGTATACCTCATTTTTTTTTAGGTACTTCCTAGATTTGTCCTCGAGGTGTTACCCTCTGAGATGCTAAAAAGGAAGAAACAAAGGGACAAGGTCATTGATATTATTGTATCAGAATGCAAGTACAGTTTTATGTTAAAGTGAAACATTTTTCTGATTCCATTCTGTTTCCTTCAAGCGTCTTTTGGATTCTTATGGCTGTTTTGATGTTGCTTTCCATTGAACAGGGAAATGGGATATGATGGTGTTGTACTAGAATCCTGGTCAAGATGGGCTATGCACGGTGTACTACATGACGTAGACATGCGCAGGAGGGTTAGTGGAATATTATCATTTTGTAATACATTATCAGCATAAAGACATCTCTTCAGTTATTTCTGCGCTGATTTTTTCATTCTTCTGACGACAACCGTAGTGATTCTGATCGATTTCTTTGATTTTCCTTTTTATGATTTACGAAAGGCTATGCTATTCACATTCGACCAATGATATGCATAATATGTTCCTTTTCTGTCTGTTTTAATATCCGGTCTTTTTACCTATATTATGCCTCATGTTTAGTACCTAGACTTCATTGGGGACCATTTTAGTGGCTGGATTAAGTTGCAGTTTGAAGTATGTGATAGAAATCGGCTTCATTTTAGTTCTTTTTATATATTTTAAGGCTTTTTTCATATATCCGGAAATAATTTCAAGGGAAGAAGAATACGACATTTATGCCAGAGGTTGATTTTAATCAGCGCCTTAGTCAGCTGAATGGATCTAGATATTAGGCTCTACATTCTGGAGGTTTGGATATGGCTGGATTTCAAATTCATTGTCAGTACTATTAAAAATTTGCTTGGGGAATTTAAAAATGAAGGAATCGCAACTCCAAAAGAAACCTTTTGAAGAACAGGTTTGTTATGTTGCTTCTTTCGCCTTTAAAGGAACTGATAATGAGCCAGAATGTCCATCGAAGCAGGATTTATTTAATGCAAAAGAGACCAAAAGCTGTCCATGGATCTCCTTGTCCTGTGACGATACTGTCATTCTCCGAGTGCTTGTGAGCTCTTCTGAAAAAAGAACGAAAGTCCTTCCCTTTGTACGTGCAGACCACTAATTTTGATCCAAAGTTGACTTAAAATGCGATATTTTAATAATTAATAGTATGATAATAGAATAATTTGCAAGTTTAACACATGTAAAGTTGGATTAATTCCCCTAATTTGCAAGAGTTTATTTCCTCTATGGGTAGAGGTTCCACTCAAGTTCTTACAGAGTATTGGGAGAATATTCATGATAGAAGTTACCTAACATAAAGGGACGTAATAATTTCCTAAATTCAAGGGTTCTCACTCGAATCTGTATATTTCGCTCTTGCAACTAGTGTTTTCACTCTTTCTGCTTGATTTGGTCACTGCTTTCACAACGTGACATCACATCACAGTTCTAGTTGAGTCTATGGATGTAGCTTATGGAAGGGAGAAATTTGTCTGACCTTGTTTGCTCCATGACCCTATATTTAGGCATTGGAGTTCGTCAAGGAGCTGGCTACTACTCTGCACTCTGTGAACTCGTCTGCAAGCCCCCGAGGGCACTTGGAGCTAGTCTTCGTCATCCCACCTCCGCGCTCACAGCATCTCAAAGAACATGACTTTGGACGCGATGATCTTCGGCGTCTCCTGGACATCGTGGACGGCTTCTCACTGATGACGTACGATTTTTCAGGTCCTCATAGCCCCGGACCCAACGCTCCCTTGCTATGGATCAGGTCAACCCTCGAGCTGCTTCTCGGTGACGACGGTGGTGCTCGAGAAAATGCTTACAAGATCTTCGTAGGCATAAATTTCTATGGGAATGATTTCCTCCTGACAGAAGGTGCGCGTCTCAACAAACCCGTCGTTCTTCTGTGCCTTTGATTCAGAAAATCATCGACAAGAAACTATCATCGTGTTTACTTTCCTGCCTCTACCCTGCTAGAGCTGGAGTTTTATTTCTCTTTGATCTTCAGATGAAACCCTAAAAAAAAGTTATGGGTCCACCCCTATCTGGGCCTGCTTCGCCTCTCTCTCTCTCTCTCGTTCAAACTCCATGGTTTCTGTCCTCAAAGCTTCCCCCTCCTCCTTGAAGGTCCGGGTGGTGAGGCCATCACTGGGAGGGACTACCTGTCTCTACTCCGGAAGCACAGGCCGGCGCTGCAGTGGGAGGCCGAGAGCTCGGAACATTTCTTCCTCTACTCCCACGACAAGGTCAGACGCGCCGTTTTCTACCCCTCCTTGTTGTCGATCTCCCTGCGCCTGGGCGAAGCCCGCTCTCGGGGAGCCGCCCTCTCCATCTGGGAGATCGGCCAAGGTCTGGATTACTTCTTCGATCTTCTATGATCACTCCCTTTTTCCTACCAGATTCCTCGTTTGTAGTTGTTTAGAAATCATGCACAATGCTCCATTGTCTGTCATTTCAATAAAGTTAAAGCTTGATATGTTACACGAGGAAGAAGGAAGGCCGTTCTCTAGCATTGAAGGGCCGCCGCATCGAGTAACGATATATGTTTACAGAGGTGGGGGGTATGCTCGGCGAGGGCAGCTTCAGGCGAACCCATGTGTGTGCTTCATCAGCCAAAATCTCTCAATCTCCTCCGCCGTCCGGCCAGGGGTTCGTCCCGCTATCAGGTTCCACCTGGAAGGATGAAGAGGAGGGTGGTCCTCAATATGGGGCTCTCTCTTTCTCTCTCTAAGATGAGCAGTGAGACTCGGGATTTGACTGGGTTCAGCGGGACTACAAAGAAGTTACCTGTCGCCGACGAGCCTGTACATACGGTAGATGAGGTCTTCTTCTTGGTCCGTCATGTCGATGGCCTCCCACCTGGCGCTGCTGACCTCTGTTTTTTGGGGGAAGAAGAACCCCAGGGAGAGTTGAGGGATAGAGAGAGAGAGAGAGAGAGAGAGAGAGAGAGAGAGAGAGAGAGAGAGAGGGAAAGAGAGATTTGTGGGTCACCTTCGGACTCGCACTTGGTGGCCTTAGGCTTCTTGCGCCAGCGTCTATTGCCGTCCATTCAGCTCCTCAGCAGTCCACCACGGCCGAGCTGGAAGGAAGAAAGGCAACTCGCGAACAGAGCTCCAGGCTTAGACCCTGAAGAATACTCTCTTTGTCTCTATCTATCTACTCTATCTATCTGCAGCTATTGGTCCTTCTGTAGAGGACTAAGAACACGGTATAAATAAGGGAAACAGTACGGTTGTGGACAGAGAGGATATGCCGACCACCAAGAAATTTGGTGAGGAAGACAACAATAGCGGACGACTTGACGAGTAGTTGCCGCCGGCGAGTCCGCAGAAAGCGGCCGCCCCAACCGCTCCTACTTTCAAGCGTGTTGTAGCCTTCAAATGGGCGGGTCTCTCTCTCTCTCTCTCTCCATCTTAATAAAGTTTATTTGGTTTTATCTATAACTAAATTATTAGGTTTAAAAATGTATTTTATTTCCAGCTATCGGAAGGAACTGTAGGAGCGCATTCGCCGAAACGTGGCTTGCGGCGCAGAGAGTACTATCCGATTAGTGGGGCCCGCAAACGAATGTCCCGCATCGACATTATTGGCATGGGGACCGATGTGACGTAAGCTTCGTGGGCGAATAAGAACGCGACCCCATTTCCTTGAAAACCATTTTCGGATAAAAAGAGTACATTGAAGTGTTTATATTGAATATTCTTATCACACCCAAAATAGTGATTACTATTACTCAGGGGTCCAAGTTAGACCAACCATGCTAGGAAAAACCCAAGCAAGGTAATTGGGCAGGCCCAATATGGAATTAATGACCTCGAAGTTGCTCCGGCCCAATTATTGACAGGTCCCAAGGAGATCTAGGAGCATCGTTTTCCTTGCACATGCTCTCTCTCTCTCTCTCTCTCTCTCTAAACCCCAAAATTATAAATTTCATTTCAAAAATTATAATTATTTTTTAAAAAAATAATTGAAATGGGGTTAATCTTATATAAGCAGAAATGTGTAGCCCGCCGCAGAAAACTATGTCAGAGGGAGGATGGTGGAATGTCAGAGGAGGTGGGCCACCGGTTCAGGAAATGGCCCAATAACGGAAGCGGCCCACATATCCCGAAACCTGTGCCAGCCGGACCCCGGCAGCCCACCACGTGGGCAGGCCTGCAACTGCGGTCAGACGGGCGAAGAGAATCTTGACAGTTAAATGATGACAGGCCTACGTGGGCAGGCCTGTCTACGTGTCCTCTTCTCTTCGTTCCCCCCCAGAGTTCAAGTTTGTCCACGTCAACCGAAGTCATGCCAGCTCCGCTTGAATCCTATGGATGACTTAAAGCTGTCGGTCCATCCTTCGTAATTTTCTGATGACGTGGCTTTTGGGCTCGGGCAGGGATGGGCATGCAGTCTTTCGGCCCGGCCCGAACGTTCTAGATAGATATACGTATATAAGTGGATATTTTATCCATAATTGGCTGGGCGGAGGGGGACCCACACTGTACGTCGGATTCAGACTGTACTGTTTCTTGTTTTGATCGTCTGAAAGCCGCCGGTCTCAGCTTCACTATTGGTGATGATTTGTACCACGACCGGCCGCGGTCGCTCCTCTGGATCCATGACCTTCCCGGGGGAAGAGGGGGGCGCACATCGCCATTGGTTTGACTTCTCTCACTCTACGTGGACCTCTCAAGGCTGGTCAGTCACGGCTACTTGCTCTGACGTCATAATGGTGGCTGCAGAAATGTCGGCCTCTCTCTCTCTCTCTCTCTCTCTCTCTATCTCGCTCTAGCTTGTTCATATTTCCTCATGTACTAGAGATAATTGGCTTAAACGGGAGTTTGACGGTGTCTTGTGTGCGCCACATGTACATGTACTGGGTCAACTTGGCTGTTCTTCGGAGTGATGCCACCGAGAGAGGGCTCGGCCTATATAATTGAAAAAGATGGGGTTGGTAGGGGTATGTGTTCGCAGGTTATTGGTGCGTGCCCCCCGGCGAGGGAGCAGCCCACGCATGAAACGACTCAACATGTGAAGGTGGAGGCTTCTATGTCCCCTCTAGTGGGTGCTGCATGACCGGCGCCTACCACTACGCGTCTGATGTCCTTTCGAAACCAAGCTTAAGAAACAAGAAGAGAGAGAGAGAGTAGGTGAGGGACGTAAGAGAAGGCACTGAGCACATGTTGAATTCATGTGAACGATGCCACTGCCCCCTCTGGGCTGTATAAATAGCGGCGAAAGGCGGGCTCAATTCTCCGTTCCATTTCTCACTTTGCGCCGGAAACTGTCGCTCTGAGAGAATAGGAGGAGAGGGCAGCGTGTGGCAAGAGGCAATGGGGTCGAAGAAAACCTACTTCGTCTTCATGAATTTCGACCCCGAGTACGAGCGTCTGCGCAAGAACCGGTCCGTCCTATTCAGATATCCCTTCCAATCTCCCCTAAATCAGTGTGATATGTCTACTCTCTCTCTCTCTCTATATATATATATCTATCTCTCTCTCCATCTTATGAATTACGGGCAGAGCAAGGCAAGAGGAGCTCGACATGTATCTCAGCAGGAAGCACGAGAGGCTACTCTCAGAGCTTCTGGAGCCCAACACCTACAGTAAGAAGTCTTCCCTCGTCATCGTCGACGGGTTCGCAGTGGAGATAACCGACGAACAGGTTACGATGCTGACAACATATCTACTCGTTTTCTTCAAGATTTTCTGTGGCTAATGGAAAGGGCTGCGTGTTTTCCTCTTCATTAGGCTAAGCTGTTGAGATCTTCGAACAAGGTGAGGATTGTGGAGAAGAACCAAGAACTAGAGTGACCTGACAAGTGAATTAAGGAGAACTGAATAAGAAGATACTCTGATCATCGTGCTATATTCCTAGTATTTCCGCCATCTAGGCATCAGACTTATTCTCATAGAGAGATGTGTATATCTAACGATGCATCTCAGCATGTACTACATGACTCTTCAGAGAGTAGAAGAAGCCTCCTTGACATCGCTCAGATTTCCTCTCTCTCTCTCTCTCTCTCTCTCTCTCTCTCCCTCCCTCCTCACCCCAACACCCCCGGCCCTACACATTCCGGATCCGCACTGCCTCCTCAAGCCTGGTAAGAGTGGAATGACTTGTTAGCGTGCATTGGGCCACTAGGACGGGAGAAAAGGAGATCCGTAGTAAGTTATATCATGGTAAAAGACACCCTTTGTCCCGAAGGAAACGACCTCGATGTTGTTCTTCGGCATTTATTTCGACTCATAAAGGCTACGTACTGATCTAACGTGAAAATTGTGAAAAACTAAGGTACACTATGCGATCTGATGATGATCGATTGGGAGAGGAGGAAGAAGAGGACACGTTTGAAACCAATTATAATCGGGTTTTGAACACTCATTTGCCGATGATGTTGCGGTGCCCAAAAATGTGGAGATTGATTTAACGCCATTGAGGAAATAGTTCCATGAACCGGGTTACGGTCCCAAATAATAACGAGACTACAAAGTAAGAACGCATTACATTGTTGCCTCTCACACAGATTTCGCCTTTCAGATTGCATGATACTTCTGTATTCGATCCGCAAGATACGATCACCTATTGATGCACGCAATATCACGATGTCGAACCCGTCATTTCTTCAGTCGACAGGGAGGAGAGAGAGGGAGGGAGGGAGGGAGGGAGAGTGTGTGTCGGAAGCAAAAGTAGTCAGTCGTCGGCCAAACGAGATAGAAAGAAAGAGTCCATGAGTAAAGAAGAAGAGATAGTACACATGATTATTGTATACATTGTCATCCTTATTTATAGAGTGAGAAAATGGACAAAAAACGCCAAGGGAAAGAGACCGTTTGCAAGACGAGTCTATTCTCAGTGGGCACATCTATTCATTATTCTCTCAAGATGCGAAAAATCATAGCATACTCGGCCAATGGATTCGGGCACGCGAGCTGCAGCAGAAGTCCGTGATCGAATAACAGAAAGCAATTCTGATTAAATACGGCCGAGGCGCAATATTTGACTCAGGAAGGCTGCTTGCACTCCGTACCAACTCGGGGAGATACACGAGTGATGATGTAAAAAGTACCTTTAATAATAAGAAATATCTCCTTCCCCATTTCAGCGGCAGCAGGCACGCAGACTTTTCTTTCCTGTGACGATAATAGGGAATGAGAAGAAAAGGTTTGGCCACAGGCCACCTACCCCATCTCATCCCTACAAGTCACGACGATTCCCATTGAAACAGACGAGAGGGAGGCCAATAGGATTGCTTGGGAAGGTGAAAACAGTCTGGCCATCCCCCTACCTCTACTGTTCATATCTACAGTGAAAGTTTCACCAGAGATGATTGAGGTTGAGTCGCGTGTCGCTTGGGGATGTGAGAATAGTGAGGTTGTCCACCCTAGCTCTGCTGTTCACTGCTACAGAGAAAGTATCACTGGAGAGTAAGAGTGAGAGAGAGAGAGAGAGCGAAGGGTATCGGTCGCTCCTCCCTCTGGGTCATCTTCGACCATGGTCCTGTCTTCTCTCCAACCGTCACGTCAGGCAGCATTCTGGCTTTCGAAAGCTTCTAATGCAATCTCAGAAAGCGTGAGAGAATCCAACTTACGGCGCCGCCGTGAGGCTCCCCCTGGCCTGTTCCTCTTCTCACAACGTGGTCGAAATCCTTTTAGGGGGACGGCGCCGTGACCCGCCGTGAACGGCCGTCGACGAGAGCTGCCCCAGTCCCTTTATTCGCGAGAAAAAGGGTAAAAAGGAAGAAGAGAACAAGACGCCACTGTGTAATCGCGCCATATCTCTCGTTCGGCCCATTCATAAGTTTTCTCCCAGACTTCTCCTGGCCCAGACGCAATAAAGAAGAATCAGGCAGGCCCATTCTAGAGCCCCGAACCCCCCCGTAGGTCCGTCGTGGCCGACCATCCGACCAAACGGCTTTGTGTCCCAGTCCTTTCCAGTTTTATTTGATGGAATCATCTGGTGACGACATAACTTCTGATAGATCTAAGAGATATGCCTAAACTTCTGAGAGAAATCAGTATAAGAAAATGAAACGACATAACTAGGAAGAACGTTTCTACGTCAAATGTGCTAGGGACCCTTCCGCGACGAAAGAAGGGCAGTTTTCAGTAAAATTGCTCTAAAAGTAGTTTAAGGTATATGCATGGGAGATGGATTTCAACCTTAAGTTGGACTTGCCTTCATTTCCGGGAATGGAACTCATCTTATGCCAGTCTTCGCCATCATCGAAGCGGCAACGACCGGGAAGATCTTTGGAGTGCAAGTAAAAGTCGCTGTGGTCAACCACGTGTGTATGATGTCCGTCTAAGAGTCCGATACCTTCAGATGAGCCACTTTTACAGATACTAAAGGTTTACCTAGCTAGAGAAGAAAGAATGAAAGAGAGAAGAAGGCACTCGACTCCATCCCTGAGAGTCAGTCCCTTGGTGGACCTGTTCTCATCGAAAAGAGCTGGGCGTTTGTGAGAAACGGTCAGACAGTTACTTATTATTAATTGGATTTGTCCCTCGCCATTTGTCAAATTGAAATATCAATCTTCACAGGAAAGAATCCACATGACTAGGCCTACCATGGCAAACTCAACTTCTCTATTCATCAATATTCTGAAGTCAAAAACTAGCCATTGTGGGCATCAACGTCAAAGATGTAGCATTAGAATGGTTTTGCTTGGTCAAAGCTCACAACATTTTATCGTCTGATTCAACCTCCAATGATAACTCTTAAATCATTTTAGATCATCTAATGAGGGTAATTTATGAGAACAGCTTTTAAACCTAACTCAATGAAATTCAGTAGCTGACTCCCAACAATCTCCCTTGGTTAATTGGATTATATGCCACTGCATCAACTTGACTGACTCTAAACTTCATGTAAAAAAAGCACAAAGTCTTTGTTTTTCCTATGATGAGAAATTTACTACAAGTCATCACTGTTGATGAGAACTCCAGATGATGATATTCACATATAACAATCTATTGCATGACTTTAAAAATAGAACCGTTCCATGTACATGTGCCTTAGGTGCTAGGGGACAAGAAAAAAAATGATACTAAGACAGACCTAGGGACTATGAAAGTTAAAAGAAAATTTGGCATCAAAGATATAACTTTTCTAATTGATACATGTGCAACACAAAAAAAAAAATTCCACTAATTTTTTGACATTATTATGGGTATCGTCACATCTATTCTAAGCCACTAGTTGTGTCACAACATCATCATATAATTATAAAGAATCACTATTTGAAAATATTCTCTTCTCATTCAACTTTACAATGTACAATATATTTTAAGCATGTAATGATTATTAACATTAGGCAAGATAAGATCAAATTACAAGAATTTCATAATGTAGTTCATGTTGAACAAGGTTGAATTAAAATGAATCTAAATTTACAAAGTTAAACATTCCATTGATATTTTTGGAACAAGAGTTATATCATAATCTTTGTATTATTATCAGATTATGATATTTCACCACAAAGGACAACACAAAGTTTGCACTTAAGTATTCTTAGTTACGATAGGTCTTCCTCCTCAATGCGATGTGGATCACATCATCAACTTATTTTCAAACATTCTTTTCATCAATGTTTGTTCTTATCAATATCCTCACATATAGAAAATTGTGATTACATAACTAATTAGAGAAATATGTAAATAATATATTATTAAATCATCTACAAGTCACTTCTCAAGTCTAATGGAATTTGGCTTCGCTGCATCCTGAATCCATAAAAAAACTACATGAAAAGATTCATCTCATTTCATTTTGGCGAGAGAGATTCTATATTAACTGTTGAACATTAAATCACACAACTATTTCAAATAAATTTTCTATTTCAGTGGTTGATGAATTACTTGATAAGTTACATAGGGGTGTCATATTTTCTAAATTGAAAGATACATTATGTTATCATCAGGTTCAAATGAAAGAGTCCAATATTTTAGACTTAACAAGGCTATTATAAATTTTTAGTAATGAATTTAGGCTTTATGAATATCCTTGGAAGTTTACTATCGCTTATTAATCAAATACTCAATGAACTTTTACAGTATTTTGTGTTGATCTTCTTCAATGAGATTCTCATATATAGTATGTATATTGACTCATATAATGAATATCTATCTCAATTATTATTCGTTCTTTAAGCCCATCATTTGTATATTCATACAAAATATATATATAAGTTCATATTTTCTTTAATTAATTATTTAAGTGACTTTATATCTATGAAATTAGTTATCATCTATCAATTCAAAATTAAAACTATTAAGAAATGATTGACATTGAAGATAGTTAAAAAACTATAATAACTTTTGAAACTCACTAATTATTATCACTGATTTATAATCAATAATGATTTACTAGCTTCCACAACTTTTGAATAATTATAGTCCACATTAACAACAACTCTTGTAAATGTTGTCTATTTATTATCTCCCATTTAAATTGGAGGTTGACATATTTGAATATAACATCAATATAGTTTTCATGTAAAGGCAACAACTCATTATATTTTTTAAGCCATATACTCTTACATCATCATCAACTCAACTCTTGCTACCAATGAGAATTCATGACATTTATTATTTACACTAACCAACATGGCTTCAAGTTTCTCTTAAAACAAAGGTAAATTGCCTCAAAATATTAATCTTGGTTATTTAAGCTGTCAGGATATCAACTCTCTAATTAAAACATTTTAACTACTTTTAGATGTGTGATAACCAACTACCAATGAAATAAAGTACTTTGTCAATGATGATATGAACCATGAAAAAATTATTTCATTAGTTCTTTTTCAAGCAATAAAGTTTAGATATGATTGTTAGACTCTCTTATAATTAGTGAGTCTTTTAAAATAGTGAATTAAACTTGTTGACTATGAACATATAATTATAACTATTGAGGAGAAGGATGAATTGAGTTCCCCATAAAAAGTAGTTGTGTGATAACTTTAAGAGAAGTAAATGTATTACATTTAGAAGTGTTGTCATAGATCAATATGCTATTAAATAGAGAAGGTCTAAGACCATATGAAGAAAATAAAGAAGATAGAGAGAAAAAAGGAGAAAATTAAAGAGAGTAAAAAGTAAGGTATAAGATGAGAGAAGTACACTTGATGATTTAGGAACACTTTGACCTGATGTATAAAGATGGTGAGTGATCTTTGATAGGAACGTGGGATGGAAAGAAAAGAGTGATGTCAATGTGGACTTGAATAATACCTTAAATTTAAATAGAACTAAATTATTTTAGTTATAGTGCTCACTAACATGTAATGATGATGAACTAATTGTCTCTCTTTTGTCCCTCTCTTAGTCAAGGCTTAGACTAGAGCTAGACCAAGGATGCAATAGACAATGAGACAAGAGAGTAAGAGAGAGAGAGACACACACACACAAACATAGAGAGAGTGATAACAACAAAGAGTAAAGACTAGCTGAAATCAATAGTTCTCCTGATAAGGGAGATTTTTCAAGTAGTCTCTTCCCCTAATTTATTATTTCCTCATTGTCATTGATTAGCTTAAGTAACTTCAGATGTATTGATGGTTATTTCTTGTGGAACTATTTATGATGTCAGCATGATTGTCACATTCTCATTGATTGTTTAAGATGTGGAGTAGTTACATGGGTTTTATGGTGATATACTTGACCTCTTCCTCTTGTGTGCAGATCTTCTTGGAATCTACTAATATCTTCTCTATGGAAATGAACCTTGTTCACAAGGTTGAGGTTGTGAATTTGCTAGTTAAATAATATTATTAATTCTAAAGTTACTTTGAATTTTAGAAGACCCTTTCATATCACTAAAAGCTTATGTTTTATTTGTAAAATATCTTGAGGCTCTATGATCCAATTCATGTCAGAGTCAATAATGAGAAGGTAAAGGTTGTCATATGTTGTGAGAAGAACGTTAAAAAAAGTTATGATATATGACATCATATGAGTATGAGATGATGATGAAAGCTCCAACTTATAAACCACTACTTTGATAGGCTCTATGATATAATAAGTGCCAAAGTATTGTGAGGAGTATTGAGCTATAGATTAATTAATTATGATTTTGATGATTTTTTAAATATTAGTATGAAACCATAATTGATAATATGATGTATTAGATGAGATCAAAGAGTATAAATTATTTTAGCGGAGAACTAAGGTTTTGCAATAATAAATATCTCATATTATTTAAAATTCTCGTAAATGATATAACTATTAAATTATGTGAGTATAAAGGTAATAAAAATCTGTGTGAGATAAAAATACTATGAATTTATGTGTAAATCTTAATATTTAATTTTTTTATATAAATTAGTTCACTAGTACATAGATATTAATAAACAGCACAAAGATCTTTGAATGAAGAGTAAAATTAAAAAAACAAAGCAGAGAAGATGATCAATACATTGATTTGTCATTGATTTTACAAGATTATTCATTTAATATGTTCACTCAAGAGAAAAATATTCTTGAAGTTTGACCCTACTTACTAAAATGATTTTTATCTCAAAGAATGTCACAAATATAGGCATGCAATCAACCAATGGGAAGATCATCCAAAGAAAAATCTAGAACTAAAAATTTACATCAAAAATAATTTTTCTTGCCATATTTAATTTTTTGATGTTTTCTATATTGATCAACACATTTAATAAATAAAATTTTGTAACTAAAAATAATTTTAACCTCTTCAATCGTCAAGGTGTCTTTACCATAAAAAATGGTAGCCACCAAATGATCATAGGACTGATCTTATTCTTCTAAATTAACCTTCAAATTGTGAAGTTGTAAGACCAACTTGTTGAAAATATTCATATGTTATAATATATTTTCGTATTCACTAATGAAAAATCTAAATAGTTTTTTTCAATATAACATATTTGTAAGGATATTTGATATATAAAACACCTCTAATGTGTCCCTTAAATTCAATTTTTACCTTAGAAATATTATACATCACATCATCAGAAAAATCTAATTGTATAGTATTAACTATTCAAATCTAACACATACTAGTCTTCATCAATTAATTTTTCTGATTTTTTTCTATAATAAAAACTTTTGAAATAATTATTTTATGATTTTTTTTTTACTCTCTTTTCTCATAGCTCAAAATTAATTTTGCCATCAAATTTTACAACCTCAAACTTTGTAATTGACATATTTAAAAATTAAACTTAACAAAGAAATACTAACTTAGGTCTAGTACCAAATGTTGTGACAAATATCTTTATAAAGAAATTAGAGCTAAAAGAGATCTAAAAAAAATTAAATTAGATGTCATATATTAAACATGTGGTTGTGAAAATTACAAGAACACACCACAAATATAGCAGATTCCACATTGCATCATAAGTGATACTAAATTATATTTCTCTTAGAATAATAAAACTTTTTAAAGAGTCAATAATGGCCCATAATATTGTAAACATAATTGATGATAAATTATATTCAAATCACATCAAACTGAAATAAAATAGGTGATATAATTTCTTGTTGTTTGGAGAAAGAAATTTTACATCCTCATCAAGAACAAATAAGGCTTAAGTGAAGAAACTAACAAAGAAATGTAATAATTTCAAATTTTCCTCTTTTAAAAACTTAGAGATGAAGTTTCAAACCCAAAACTCCATTTGAAATAGCAACCTCTCTTCTTCACATAGCTGTTGAACTTTCTAGATTTCCCTAATGTCTCTCTTATTTTCCTATAGGTGTGTGATGCCCTTACAAAGGGAGGGGAAAAGTAATTTCTTCTTTTTTGCGATTGGGCCATTATGGTTTTACCTATGGCTTTTGTCTGCTTAATAATAACATGTTATCTCCTTGTCGGGTAGGTCAAGGAGCCTCTCAACCATGTTTGCAATGAATCATGGAGAGCTGCCTGATCCCTTTAAAGAAAGATCAATCTTAAAGACTTTTGAAACTTTTACGATTTCTTGAAGGGTAGGAATTAAGCTATAGGGTTGTTTCAAAGCATTCTTCAATGAAAAGTTGGACATTTTCTTTTGTGGCCATCAAATGTAAGTAGGGTTTTTTGACATATTGAGCAAAATAAGAACATTGATTTAGTTGAGGAGGAATTTTAATCTTAATAATTGGGATGAGTTGAATTTATTTAATTTCCAGTTTGAATCTGATAACTCCATTACCACTACCATGAATGTGAGTCATTTTGAGATAGTGCTTGGCCACTGGCTTTTAAAACTGATTCATCCACTCATTATGGCTAGGCATGCAAGAGTGTTGGAGTATGGTGAGTCTTGTGCACCACAGGTGAAGTCTTATTAAAGAAATCAAGAAATTTGTAGACACAAGCAATAACGTAAATTAAACCTTACTCAATTCTCATTAAAGACATTATATACTTCAAGAAAGTATGTAATGATAACATAATGACCCAAGTATTTGCCTTGTCATGTTTCAAAAAAATTAATGGCATGTAGCAGTAGTCAATTGAAAACTATAAAATATAATAATGACTAATGAGTAAGCTTTTGATCAGCGAGCTCTTTGCTGGATAATCTTCATCTTCAATGTTTCAGATTTGGTCAAATGACAAGAGGTGATATGACATCAGCCCATTTTAGCCTTGATCACCAGTTAAAAATGAGCATCACCCTTAATAAACCCAACTTTTTATACTGCCTTGAGAAGATCGCGTTCAATATAAATTGGATGAATTGGTTTCTCTTTAAACTTAAGCCTGCTCCAGGGCCTACAACTCTCAAAAAGAGGGAAGAAGAAAATCAACCCATTGAAGCAGTTGGGCGGCCTCTTATCCAAGCCTTCGCATATGAAGACAATGGGCGTAGCTTCCTTCTGAACACAGGAGTTTAGCTGGAACCCCAGACGCCAACTTTAGCGTCTGGGGTAAAGAACAGTATGGGATTCATGGTTCACGGAGACAGCTGGTTGAAGCGGCTATCCCCACCGTAAAGCCGAGCGAGGACACCGAGCATGGGGGCGTTGTTGTAGGTAGCTGGTTCGGTCTGCTCGTAGTTGTCCCTCACGTCGGCGAAGTTGTCGTAGGCGTCGGGGCCGCCGACAATAGCCCCCTCGAGAAGGTTTGGGTCTCCAGCCTTGCTGACGAACCAGGTATTGTAGCCTCCCCGGCAGCTCACGAAAGCAGGATCAACCTTGATGGAGACGATGGAGGAGGCACGGTGGTGCACCTGCTGGGGGTAGGTCTTGCCGTAGCCTACCATGTAGCTTGTGGCCCTCGGGTTGTCCCCGAGTACGTAGTCCACCTGCGACTTGGCAAAGGACTGGAGCTCGGCTGGGGAAGCTTCGCCAGCGGCGCAGCTCAGAGTCCTTCCGGCGGAGGAGAGGTAATCGGAGTACACAGTGAGGAGGAAGGCGGCGCTGGAGACAAACTGGAGGTTGTTCCACCTCTGCCGGAACAACAACCCACCGGGAGTCCGTCGAACATTGCGTGTTCCCTTCCCCAAGCAAGCGCACATGAAGAACTCCGCCTTCTGCTTGTATTGCTCAAAGACCGCCTCCCGGTGCGCCGCCTTCCCCTGCAGCAAGACCTAGAGCAAGATGGCGTGCAAAGGAGTCATCCCTCTCCGGCAACGGCAACGACAACGTCATGGGGGCATAAAATCGGCTGAGGAGGCACCTTGGAAACCAGAACCTGGACGCCGGCGTACTTCATACCCCACCCGAACTCCGCCATGGCCCAGACGGTGCCGCCTAGAGACCTACCGTTGTCGGCGAGATAGTCCAGGTAACGCAAGTCACCCGTTGCACGGTGCATCCACGCGGCGGCCCACAGCAACTCGTCCTGCAGGAATGAACCCAGCCGTCAGACTGGGGGGAAGAACTTGATGCCATCTAGGACGATGCATCAACTGAACTACTTACGTTGTAGCCACTGTAAGATCCGTAGTACTTCTGGGCCACCTTAATGCTGCTGTCGTACTTCCCTCTGTGCTTGTCTGCGAACTCGAAGAGCTGACCAAGCATGAAAACACGTAATGATCAGCTTATTGGGACCTCAATGATCTATGAGGCCCATCAAATAACACAAGTTTCGATCTTTGGCTCTTCTTTGATGCCTCAAATGGCCTCCCCCTAGTGATCCAGAACTTCTCGACCAGATAAACCGTTTCCGGCGGTGGAAGGTGGAAGCGGAAGCTCTGACTCGCCATTTAATGGACCGGCCCCGAGAAGTCGGTTGGTGAACCAGAAAGAGAGAGAGAGAGCTGGTAGTGGGCCGGACCTGCTTGGCGTGGCGCAGGAGCTCGTCCGAATACGCTGGGTTAAAGCGCCGGAACACAATAGCCGCCGAGGCCATCGCCGCCACCGTCTCGCCGGCGAGATCCGAGCCGGGGTTGTCGACGTCGATGCGGTAGGCCGTGCGGGGCGTCGTCATGTCCTCCGGCCGCTGCCAACATCTGTGGTCCGAGTTGCCGTCGCCGACCTGCAAGAGTGATTCCTGACCTAGGTAATTCTCTCACCTGCCGTGCATGTGAAACTCCTCAAGGCACACAGATAACGGCAAGAGGTGTACAGCCTTCCAACGGTCGATTCGCACGTGAGAAGACATCGAGGACAGCCGTCTGGAGTCCCCTAGAGTGTGTGTGTGTGCCTGTGTGTAAGCGAGAGAGAGAGAGGGCTATGGACAAGGGGGAGGGCAACCTCTCCGTAGAGGACATAGGGCTGTGGATGGGCTTTGATGAGGTAGTCAGTGCCCCACTTGACGGCCTCCAATGCGTGCCCAAGCTCGCCGGCCGCAGCCATCTGCCGGCCGTACTCGGCGATGCTCCATGACATCATGGTAATGGTGAAAGCCATGGGCAGCCCGAATTTCACATTGTCTCCAGCGTCGTAGTAACCTCCGACCAGATCAACCTGTGGAAGGATGAGACGATCTTTCATGATTCTGATAACTCGTATAGACGAGAATAATGAAACCGCTAGGAACCAAGATGAAGAAGAAGAGGAAGCCAGATGGACATGCAGGGAAGAACTTACCCCGCTGGCCTTCCCGTCTTGCAGGCCGGAATTGTCCCTCCAGTTGACCCTCTGATGGGCAGGGAGGTATCCGGATCTCTGCGCCTCGAAGAAGAGAATGCTCTTCCTCAGAGCGCTCCTGTAGTCGTGGCCGGCACCCAAAGATGGCGCCAAAAATAGAAGCACTTGCAGTAACAGTGCGATGGCGGCCATGGAGAGGACGGCAGGAAGGTGGAGATGTAGAAGTAAATCGGAGCAGAGCTAACCAAACCACGAACCTGAACGCCGGGGACGAGCAGACTTCCTTCTAAGAAAAACCCATTCGCTTTCGTCTCCCTAGAGAGAGAAAAACAATATAGAGGCAGTAGAAGAGAGGCTTTGATTAGCGTCGAGAAGGGGAAATGGCAATCGGAGGAAAGCTGTCAGCGGATGAACAGCTCTCTCTCTCCCTCTCTCTCTTTCTCTCTCTCTCTCTCTGATCGCATGAAGCATTTTATACTGGGGCAAGTAATCTGACCGTTGAGTAGCTGACGTGAGCATGGAGTGTGGATCGTCTGGAGGGAGGTATTGGACCGTTACGGCGCGCCCACGGGGGAATAGTTAATGTGGTGAGACGAATTTAAGAAACAGCAAGATAATATGATGATCTGGCGCGTACCCCATAAATTTTCGCATATTCAAGTGATAACAGCGACAAAACTACCCATTCAACTGGCGGATCCAAACAAAAAGCTTCCCCACCCCTCCCTCTCCCACCCTGTCGTCGAGAGGAACTGACCAAACAATGGTCAGGGGATGGCGATGGGCATGTCATGTGTCCTAGATGGAGAGATAGATAGAGATAGCGAGAGAGAGAGAGAGAGAGAGAGAGAGAGAGAGAGAGAGATGGCGGATAGTCGTTGATTGCATTACCTCATTCATGGTATTCTTCTCCCTCTCCAGAATCAGAGGACGCCAGATTTGCCGTCGACAGAGGGACGGAAGATCCGCCACTCCCCCCGCCGGTCCGTCCGTCTCTCTTCCTCACCAGTTAATGCATTCATGATCGCATTTCCAGTTTTAGGAAATGTCGATGGTGCTTAGTGATCGACCTGTCCGATGGTGCTGCTTCTGTAGCTCCCCCCAGTGAGTTTTTCTTCTTCGCCGTCTGTGTAGAACGGACTAATCCCAAAGCAAATCAGAGGAAAATAGGCTCTCTGTTCGTGTCTCGTTCATGAGAATGTTGATGACGACGACTACAGCAATATCTAATGCCCAGCGTCGAGGAGATTGAATTTAATCTACATGAATCTCTAATTCATGATCTGTGAGGTTTTTATAGAGTTAATGTGATCATTCATTGCAATCAAATGATGTGCAAAATCAAGAACAAGATCAGAGAAGAATGTCTCCGACCGTCATCGCCTCGGCCTTTGGAAGAAATCCCCCAGGATCCCGTGCGAGAGGGAAGAAGAGACGGGCGGCAGTCGCCATCGACGCTCACCGGAGGGGAAATTAGGCCGACGAAGGAACTGGTTCTACAGTGAGGGGTAGGGAGCGGAAGGGAGCCATGCCGGCAGAAGTTCCACTGTGAGGAGGAAGAAGAGGCCGCCGGAGGCAAGACGGAGACGAGGAGAAGCAGGTGAGCCCCACACTACTGAAAAAAAGTAACCGGAAGTAGAGACAATCTCATACTCAAATAACAGGATAATTGGGCTAATGATATCGTGTCACATTGTTCATTGGTTGGCTTAGAAAATGAAACCCATTATCCATTAAGATCAACCCTAGTGACTTAGGAGGTATTCATCAACAGCTTCTGACTAGTAGCTCCATTAAATTTTAGTGTAGACTCAGGAATGGGTTAGTTCTTATGTTTTTAAGTCAGCATGAAGAACCAGTCAGGTTTTGATATTTTGTGTCCATATAATGTGAGCAAAGTTATGAGTAAAATAATTATTTTCGTTGTAGAACTTGGCATAGATCATGATGGCAGATTTTACGAACAAAAAAGGTTAAGACATACAATCAAGAATAACAAAAAGTTGAATAAAATTGGAAAAATGAAAAAAAAACGCGAATTATATATTGGAAAGTTTTATAATCATTAAATAAAAACTTGAAAAATAGTCCATCCCTGCTAGAAAATATATGATAAATAAATGAAGCAAAAAATAAAAGGTCCTCGTTATGTGATAGCAGTCATGGTGGAAAATTCCTGATCCGGATATTATTCTAACATCATTTACTCTAATGATATCTCAATTCCTTAAAAAAAATATGTTATTAGGGTTACGAAATCATATCACGTATACAAGAACATATGTCAATGTAAAATTATTGTTTTGTCACAATCAGCGTATCACGTTGTTGGCTTAGATGTCGATACAAACTTTTCTTATGTAAATTATATTATATATTTTTTTCTTTATTGTTTGCGCGTGGAAATATTCACAAGTGTATGAGGCCATCATATCATGCAGCCAATCCGGACTACCCCGCACAGTGTTCCCCGTTGTTCAGCAAGTGGCCAGATATTATTGGACAGTAGGTCTCTGAAGAGAAGTGGATTTCTCTCTTGGAGGATCGTCGACAGCCCCTGTCCGCAGAAGACAGATCTGAGGAAGAGAACACCGGTAACAGCGTGGGGAATTCCTCAGGCAATCCCTCCGCTCCTTCTCGCAATTCCCCCCTAATTCCTCGTATTTTCGTAGGAGAAGATGGCCATGATCGCGGACGCCTTCGTGTCGTACATGGTCGAGAGGATCCTGGAACTGGCCGAAAAAGAGGTGACGAGGCTGCTGGGAGTGAGGGAGAACTTCAAACAACTCCTTGAAAGGATGGAGGAGTTGGCGGTCTTCCTCAATGATGCCGATAGGAAGGAGATCGGCGATAGTTCTATCCACCTCTGGCTCAGCAGACTGAGGGAGGTCGTGTACGACATCGACGACCTCATCGACGATTACCAATTCGAGGCCGACAATCTCCCTCGGACGCAGGAGGATCGGGCGGCGGGTTCATCGGCAAACTGCGGCCACTTCATTCCTTCCTGCATCTCCTCCCTCCCTTTCCGGCACAGGATAGGAAGGAGAATCGATTCCATCAATAGGAGACTGGAGGGCATCCGCAAGGAGAAGCCGCCGCAGCTGGTGAAATCTCAAGCCGGTCCCGACCGCGACATTTATCAGGGACGGAGGAGGGAGGACCGCTTGACGACCTGGCGGATGGATGGGGGAACCGTCGTGGGGATCGATCTGGAAGCCGATCAGATGGTGGAGAAACTCACGAAGGGGACCAACGCGAAGTGCCTCATCTACGCCATTGTTGGAATGGGGGGAATAGGGAAGACAACCCTAGCCAAGAAGGTCTACAACGACCCCCGCATCCAGTCTCACTTCGAGGTGACGCCGTGGGTCTGCGTCACTCAAGATGTCGTCAAGAAGGATCTTCTGAAGGCGATTCTCGACTCGGCGAAGGTCGACTGCGACCAGAACGACACAGTAGAATCCATGGAATCCAAAGTCGAGGAGCTCGTCAGCGACAAGAGGATTCTGCTCGTGTTGGACGACGTCTGGGACGGGGGAATTTGGGAGGATAACCTGGAGTATCTACTGCAGGGCAGCGCGATGAACAGTCGGCTCTTGATAACCACCAGAAAGGAAGAAGTCTCCAGGAGGATGGGAAGCTTTGAGACATACAAGAAGAAGCGGCTGTCCCCAGACGAAGGATGGCGGATCCTTCGCACCGCGTTGGAGGATTCAATCACTCAGGAGAGGCTTCAGAATTTCCGGATGGTCGGCATGGAAATTGTGGATAAATGTGGGGGCCTTCCTCTGGCAGTCAAGGTCGTTCGAGGAGTTCTGAAATCCAAGGGCTCCCCTCGTATTGAAGACTGGAAGACTGTCCGCGACAACCCGTCCTGGAAACAGCCGAGAGACGAGCGTGAGAGCTTGCAGGAGCTGATACCGGCTCTGTATCTGAGCTACGCAGACCTGCCACCGAATCTGAAGCAGTGCTTCATCTACTGCTCCCTCTTCCCCGAGGACTTCAAGTTCCACAAGCCGAACCTCGCTCAGATGTGGGTAGCCGAGGGTTTCGTGCGGCCGGCGGGGAGCCGTGCCAAAGAGGACGTCGCCCTCGAATACTTCACGCAGCTGATGAACAGGAGCCTTCTGCAAGAATTGCCAGGATATTTTGAGGACTGGGGCGCCACGATGCACGATGCAGTGAGAGACCTCGCCGTCCACGTTTCTACAAAAAAGTACCAGTTCCAACAGGGCTCTCGGCATTGGACGCTCTTGAGGAAGGACGCAAAAGAGGCGCCGAGCTTGAACGATATGAGGAAACACGTGAGGACCCTGCTGCTCTCCAGGAATCCGTCCATTACTTGTCTGCCCAAGAATTATTTCGGGAAGCTCAGGCGTCTGCGCGTCCTGGATCTCTCATACACGGGGATTGAGAGTCTGGACGACTCCATCGGGAAACTCGTCCAGTTGAGATTTCTTAATATCTCATACACCAAGCTGAAGGGGATTCCAGACTCCATCCAGAACCTGCGAAATCTGCAGACCCTGCATTCATATGGCTGCAAGTTCTTGAAGAGGCTTCCGAATGGGATGTCTCAACTCGTCAACTTGACTGATCTCAGAGTCGATCCTGCCGACGGTCAGCTGGACCAAATGCCCGTTGGAATGGGGAATCTTGTAAATCTGCGAACATTAAGGGGCTTCGTGGCGAACGATCAGACTCAGGGTGAGAACAACATGAAGGACTTGGAGGGTTTGACCCAGCTCCGAGATCTTGCCGTGTACAAGCTGGAGGCAGTGACAAGCAGGGCTAAGGCACAGGAAGCATGCTTGAAAAATAAGCAGAAATTGAATAAACTTCAATTGTCATGCAACCCAAGGAAAGATCTAGATCGAGAGGATCCTGAAATAAAAAGAATTGAAAAAGTATTTCAAGGTCTTTCGCCACCTTCAATGTTAGAGATCCTTCACATTGAAAAGTTTTTTGGTAAGAGACTTCCTGACTGGATCAGTAACGATTCCCTCAGTAATCTCCGATGGTTGAGACTGGAAAACTGCAAGTTTTGCAGAGAGCTTCCTCCTCTAGGGAAGCTGTCTGAATTAAGAGTTCTCCACATTTGGAGTCTTTCATCAATATCTGCTATTGGCGCCGAGTGCTTTGGCGGTGAGACAGAAGTAAGATCATCCTTGCCCAGCTTAGAGACACTGTACTTTCGGGGCATGTCCAAATGGAAACTCTGGTCAGGCTTAGGATGCGGTGCACTGCCTGTTCTCAACAGCTTGCACATTGCCAAGTGTCCAAAGCTGAGATCTCTTCCAGACGGTCTATGTCATGCTACTTCTTTGAGGCAGTTACAGATTGACGGCGCTGATAAACTGAAGGTCATCAAGGATCTCCCGTCGGTTACTGAATTGAAGATCTCAAATAACCAGAATCTGGAGGAGATCTCCAATCTCACACAACTGAAGACCATGGATATCTGCAATTGCCCATCTATAACGCAGACCAACTTTCTTGACGTCCTAGCTCATCTGAAGTTGGTGGATTCCAAGATTGACATCCTGCCCGTGTGGTTGACACGAACCACTTCACTCCAAAGGCTAGAACTGGTATGTAGCGTTGATCTTCTCAAACGTTGTTGCTTGGCCGATAGTGAAGACTGGTGTAAGATAAGCAACGTTCCCCGAATCGAAGCAAGGTCCCATGAAGGGTCGAAATACATATCCTATGTAAAGCACCCACACTCTTTCGAGAGCAACTGAGCTGTAAATGCCCATTTGTCTGCCCTGGCCTAGTTCCGGCTACATTTTAGGTATCAAAGTTATTCCCATTTTATCCTTCGATTATTGATATGCCTCGTTGCGTTAACAATCTGCAATCTGCCAAGATGTCTCCGACAAGTTCTTCTTGTGTAGCAGGTTTCATGCTCCACAGTTCTTGGCTCGACAGTCCATTTCCCATGAACTGATAAATGAGAGAGCTTTGTTGAAAATTTTATATCGGCACTGAATCTAAGTCACAATATTCATTCAAATCATCCTCACATGCTTTCTAAGATGGATGTTAAATGTCGTGTGCCCTATAAAAAAAATTTCCCTATTTATTTTGACGAATGTATTCAATTCCTTTTTCAGCTTTATTGCTGTATTCTGTTGTAGACATTGCCCGAGAACTAGTCCTCGTTTGTACCCTTGAAAAACTTTAAAAACTATCTGTGACTGCGTGAAGATTGGTTCTGTATTTATCTGGACGTAGATCTCTGTAGATTTTCCTTGTCAGATTCGTTCTGATTCTTCCTTTCCTTTCTATCTTTCTGTGTCTCCAGCAAAATTTTCCTCCATCTGTTTCTGCTCTGCTATTTTTCTCAATTCTCATTGCTCATCTCCTTTAGTGCCATTGTTCATATCATGCGTAATTCTTTTCTCTTTTTTTTTTGTAGTACATGTAGATGCCAATAAAATAAAATAATAATAAAAAAAGCATTCTTTGATGTGAAAGTCTTTTCCAATTCAATAACTCCTATTGAATTATGGTGCTCACAACTAATCACTTGGTCATCGGCATCTCCTGATGCAAAATAGATTGTCCCATTTCCGAATATAGCAGATTCACCTTGTCATTTTCAGTCATTGGTCAAATCCCATTCAAACTCTGTAACTGTTTCTCATGAGCACAGCAAGAAATTATTGAAGCTACAGGACCAAACATTTGATCTTTTCCTCAGCCTTGACACGGATATGGAACGATAATGAACAGTGGGATCATTGAATTCCACAATAGATTAATCGCTTTCTCAGCCATTACAAGCATGCAAGACTTATGACCCTACGGGTCAGAGAGTGGTGCTTGAATTGGAACGATTTTCTGTTCTTAGAAAAACACAATCTATGTGCGTTGAAAATGGAAACTGAACTCTTTAGATGCAAATTTACCCTTGAAATATGGACACCGATGTTCTCCCAATTTTTCTGTCTTCATGATACCACTCAAGAACAAGAGAGAGCCTGACCCTTTCTTGTCTCTATGATTGTTCAAATGGGTTCTTCCATTTTCTGCAAGGAAGAAAAGGATATTGTTTTAATTAATCCTTTCATTTATCAAAATAAAAATCGAACAAATCTTCTTGGCAGCTTTACTGTCGTTGACTCTTCATCACTGGCTTTTCTGTCGGAAAAATGGTTTTTTTAAATATCAAAATGGCTGATTTTCCAATATTTTCGCAAGTTTTATTCCAGTGAAATGGACCCATTCTCTATGAGCTTTCCGTCCTTTTATCGCCTGAGATGTCTGCCATATGAGATAAGTTATCTGTTTGTCTGACTGATGACCTTGAAACGATTATGAATCCTGAAGAAAACTCTGATTAATCACTTGATGCACAGAAGATCGGGGATACATAAAATGGAACATTTCAACAATGCGTTAAAAATAGAATTATAAAAATAAATTATAATTTCGTTAATCATTGTTTCTTTGTTGGGTCAACATATGAAACCCTTGATCCATTAAGATCCAGCCCGGTGGGCTTAAGTGGGATTCCACAACAACTTATAATGCGTTGACCCTCCATATATCCACGAAATATCAGAGAGCCTTCAGTCCTATAAGCTGTCCATCAGATTTTCAACGTTGACCAACAAATGGGTTAGTTCTTGTGTGTTTAGGTGGGCAGCAAGAACACGTCAGTTTTTGATACTTTGTGTCCACTATAGTCTGAACAAAGACAAGACTAATTTATTTTTTTTCCATTGCCGACATGACAAAAATCAAAATGTCAAAGGCCGACGAATAGTTCGAACTATCTGAGATCGGCGATATTCAGAAGGGTATGAGGCCATCACATCATACAGCGAGTCTGACAATGACCGCTGACCGGAAGGGGCCCCACCCCGCTGTTTAGCACGAGGCTGGCAGATACTACTGGACAGTAGGGTTCTTAAATGATTGGAGGGTTACCCACTCTTCGTTGGCATTAGGAGAAGTCAACTCCTAATGCTGATGCGACCCGAATTTCTTGAATAAGAGCTGGGTTTTCCTCGGCCAATTAACTCAGAACGCGGTAAGAAGATCGACCACGAAGGAAGGACCGTTTCATGGAAGACGGCGACTCAAATGCCACTCTAAAGGCAGGTCAGAGGAGAGGTGGAATCGATGGGCACCTGTCAACGGCGGCTAACAGCCGGCGTCGCGCCTCTGGATCCCCTCGGGGAGCGCCGGGGGCGGCGGGGTGGCCGGGTCGCCGCCACGGCCGCCGCCGACGCCGTTCCCGGTGAGGGTCTGGACGACGGACTTGAACTGGGCCGCGTCCGTGGTCATGAACTGGGTAACGATAATCTTCACCTTCACCTGGTCGTCGCCTCCGCTCCCCATTTTTCCAGTCTCTCCCGGTCGCCGCTGCATGACCCGTGGAGCTACCGGCGGCGAGAGAGAGAAAGAGAGAGAGAGACAGAGAGAGAGAGACAGAGAGAGACAGAGAGACAGAGAGACAGACAGAGGAAGCGTACCAGAGAGTCGACGTCTAAGCTTCGGCTGGTGGTCACGAGGTAAGCACTGGGTCTGGAACACCAGAGGTGGCGGTGTTGACGAGGAAGAAGAATAATAGAATGTGACGGCGGGTCTGTCCCAGCCAACAGCGGCAGGTCCCACGGGGGACTGTGGTTCCCCCCGGCAGATGGTAGCCTAGGCGGCTGTCCAGTCAACAGCGGCACTCGCTCTATCAAGCAAGGCGAGCTCCTGACTTTGGACCACTTTCTCGTCCAATGAGAGAGAGAGAAAGAGGCATTGTGTAAGAGTGTAGAGATCTAACAAGGAGAGAGCAAGAAAGAGAGCTGTGAGCACCGAATTCCACACAAAGGATAAGAGGACATAATTCCCGCGGTCTCCCAAGCACAAGCGTCTTCTAGTCAACTTCGAAGTCAGCTCCCACTGGTTCCACTGCTCTGCAAAGGTCAACCCCCACCGTCTGTCAGCATCAGCACAAGGCCAGGCAACAAGTCCTATAAAAGCAGGTACACTCTGGAAGAAGATCATTTCCCAATAATCACTCATGGGGCTGTTCGATCATACATCAGCAGGAAGAATTGAAGGAGAATGACGTGAGCCCTGCCCGTTGCAAAATATTACCTACCTCGTCACTCGGTCACAGCTCAGCAACTCCCACATTCTTGGAATTCATATTGGCTGCAGAAAATATTACGTACCACGTCTGTCTCTCCATCTATCTATATCTCTGAATGTAATGAGTAATGAGGAAGAAAAGTGAGTGAAATAATAGGAAACGGTTTGGATTAATTGGCTTGAACCGTGTCCAATCATCGGATCCATCCATCGCTCTCTCTCGACCTATCTATCCGTATCTGTATATCTCTCTATATATATATCTCTATCTCTCTCTCTCTGTGAAGATAATGAGGACGAAAAGTCAATGAGAATAATAGGAAACGATTTGGATTAAATGGCTTTGTCAAAGGTCAAAGTGAAGGGGGTAGCTGCAGTAACTCTCCCTCTTGATGCAGAGGAAGAGGCGCTCGTAGGCCGCCGCCATCTTCCTCGCCGTGAACATGGAGGCGGCGTAGTTCCTCCCTGCCCGCCCCCGCTCGGCCAGTCGGCGGGGGCCCTCCCGCACCGCCGTCTCCAGCGCCACCGCCAGCGCTTCCACGTTCGGCGCGAAGAGATGCCCAAACTCCTCGTCCACGATCAGCGTCCCCTTGATGCTCGGAAACCTCGTAGCCATGATCGGCGTCCCGCACTGCATCGCCTCCATGAGCGTGAGATCGAGTCCCTGCGGCCGCAGCGTCGGGTTCACGAACACGTCGATTGCATTGTAGAAGGCCTTGAGCTTCGCCGGCGGTATGGGTCCCAGCCCAATCACCTGCGGCCGCAGCTGGCCGTAGCGTTTCGCCCACGGCCCCGAGCCTACCACCACCAAGTACATGCCAGGATGGTACTTTACCAGGCGGGAGAAGGCCCTGTGCAGAAGAGAGTGGCCCTTGTCCCTCACCAGCCGGCCGGCGACCCCAATAACCAGGGTGGCGTTGGCCGGCACGCCGATCTCCTCCCTGAAGGACCGCCCCAGGTTCTCGTCGGGGGAGAATTCCTCCTCGTCGACGCCGTTGGCGATGACATGCACCCGGTCGTCGGGGATCTGGTAGACGTCTCTGAGCATCTCGCCGCCGCTGTCGGTGATGGTGACGTGGTGGGTATAGTCTTTGAAGAAGGCGATTTCCTGGATGACCTTCAGGGGCTGCCCGTGGAGGGTGCTGTTGAGGTCAGGCGAAAACGGCTCCTCCCGCGACTGCGTCACCGCCTGGAGGAGAAGCGACTGCAGTTTCTCGAGGGCGTTGCCGTGCCAGGAGACGGCCAGGTTGGGGAGATCACGGGCGAGGGGATGGGGCAGGGCCACGCTCTCGGAGTGCACCACATCGAAAGGCTCCCGATCGTCCTCCGCCTTGAAGAGCGACCAGGCGTCGTTGGGCCGCCACTGCCCCGCCGGGCCCTTGATGAAGTGGAGCTCCGGCATCGCGGCGGCGCCGCCGTTGCCGGCGGCCTCCACTGGCGGGGATGTGAAGACGTGGACGCGGTGGCCGCGGCGAGCGAGGGCGGAGTGGAGGGTGAGAGCGTGGCGCTCCATGCCGCCGGGGACAGAGGCGGTGGGCCACTTCCGGGAGAAGACGGCGATCTTGAGGGTCTCCGGCGGGGAGTTCCCCTCGGAGAATCGGAGGTGGTTCCAGGAGAAGTGGGCTCGCCGGAGATCGCCGGCCCATCCAGCCTTGCCGGAGCTTGGTGCGCCGACGCAAGCGGCGCTGACGAGCTCCTGCCGGCGATGGAGGAAGAGGACAGCGGGGAGCGCGACGACCAGAAGGCAAATGATGATCGTCCGGACGGAGCTCAGCGAGGACACCATGGTGGGGGATTTCTTCAACCTACTGTGGCCGACGGTCGCCATACCCTTCTTCCGCATCCCCGGTGGTGCGCACTATTCCTTCAGTGGGTGGAGTCATATCTGCAAGTAAAGGAGTGCAACGGAGAGTTTATGGAGACAGATGGCAATTAAAGAACGTTGACGTGACTAGATATTAGAGAGAGAGAGAGTGGGCAGAGGCACTGGAAGGGGGGAGTTAGGCAGGGGAATAACGGCGGTTTTCAGACCTTCATCCGTTTCCACAGCTCGTCTTCTCCTACTTTCCCTCCCCCTCCCCGGCCGTCATGTCTCCGTGAGAAGGAGGTGGAAGCTGTCTTCTTCCTTTTCTCTCAGACTCTCTCTGACTCTTTCTCTCTCTCTCTCTCTCTCTCTCTCGTGTGTTCATCCCGAGTCAGACGCCGCCAAAAGCGCGGAGGGCTGTATCGGCCTACTTTCCGGTGGAACAGAGACGGGTTCTGCTGCTAGGCTCCCTCCCCTTGATGACGTCAAGTGAAGATAAAAAAATAAGGCACTGAAACAGGAGGCTCTGCTTCCCGGGAGGACCAAGAACTACAGACAATGTCATTAATGCAAAGGGCGATAGTGCGGGGAGATGCTAGAAGTCAACCCAGTTGTACGGCGCGCCGTTCGATATGATGAAGAGGTAGATTCCTATATTTACAATAAATGATATAAACCCGCATTAAACCGACTTAAATGCGCTCTTGTTTATATGGGAGGAAAATGGCAGTTGGTCAACGACCCAAGTGGGGCACGAGCCTCCTCAGGTCCAGTTGACCATTATGAATCGAGACTCGGTTGGCCAATAGTGCCACTACCTTTCAGCAAACATCAGATGTTGGTACGGATAAAAATAATAATTCATATATCAATACCGCATTTGAAGCGATGCTAAAATTCACATTTCCAAAAATAGGACTAATTTAGTTTCAAGAAGATTTTGGATAAAACCCTGGTACGCTGATTAATATCATTGCAATAATGATAATATTAATAATGATAATTTAATAATGTCGTGGCACACTAGGGTGGAGTCCATCATCTCTTTAAGAGGTACATCATTGCAATTATCTTACGTAATAATATAAAAGAAAAATACTACTATTTTTGTTAAAGTGTGTTCTTGAAGATAATAGTGCAGATATTAATTAAATAATATTTTACAAGGTTGGCTTTGTGGGAGTTTTGACTTGGATCTTGGTGGTTGGTGGTGCTGCCCATTTGACTAAAATTCTATTTTAGGAAATTTAAAAAGAAAAGGTGCACGTTTGATTTTGTTGGTCACCGGAGTGGTTACTCCACGCAGCATTTGGTTGTGACTAGGTGCATTGAGTCAGATTATGAGCAGGCAGCCTGGCGGCCCTGGGGATTCTGCACTCCATGTGAGGTAGGCACCGAGAATTATATAGGGAGAGGTGCATATTGGATCTAGACGTTTTTACGTGTCTTGCTTGTTGTTTGTGCCCAAATCAGGCTCTCATTGAGGCGATGCCATGTGGTGTGAACCAGACTTCTCATGCTAGGAGCTGTGCACTGGTCTTTCTTTTCTCTTGAGAGAGAGGGAGGGGGAGAGAGAGAGAGAGAGGGAGGGGGAGAGAGAGGGAGAGGGAGGGGGAGAGAGAGGGAGAGAGAGGGGGAGAGAGAGAGAGAGAGAGAGAGAGAGAGAGAGAGAGAGAGAGAGAGAGAGAGAGAGAGAGAGAGAGAGAGAGAGAGAGAGAGAGAGAGAGAGAGAGAGAATTGTGTTCTTACCAAATCATTGAAATGTTTGTATACATAAGTTAATGTCCCAAATCTAGTGAAAAAAAATGGTGTGGCTGAGCTTCTGTTTGAAATAAATCCAGAAATGTGATCACAACTTAAATTGGACTTAACAAGACTCGTACCCCCAAGAATACCCACGACCTCTCATGCTCGGCCCAATTTCTATAATTCATTTTTCTCGTAATTTCATTCATTGCATTTCAGGCTCTCGGGCTCAAATGGGCCACGCACGACATCAAGACCCTGGCCCGATCCCACTTACAGCGGGATTCAAATGGGCCAATTCCTCCACCGTTGACTTTCCCAACGACGGAAGAGGTCGATGTTCCCTGAAGGCTGATGCGACCCGAATTTCTTGAATAAGAGCTGGGTTTTCCTCGGCCAATTAACTCAGAACGCGGTAAGAGGATCGACCACGAAGGAAGGACCGTTTCATGGAAGACGGCGACTCAAATGCCACTCTAAAGGCAGGTCAGAGGAGAGGTGGAATCGATGGGCACCTGTCAATGGCGGCTAACAGCCGGCGTCGCGCCTCTGGATCCCCTCGGGGAGCGCCGGGGGCGGCGGGGTGGCCGGGTCGCCGCCACCGCCGCCACCGCCGCCGCCGACGCCGTTCCCGGTGAGGGTCTGGACGACGGACTTGAACTGGGCCGCGTCCGTGGTCACGAACTGGGTAACGATAATCTTCACCTTCACCTGGTCGCCGCCTCCGCTTCCCATTTTTTCAGGCTCTCCCGCCTGCCGCTGCCTGGCCCGTGGAGCTACCGGCGGCGAGAGAGAGAGAGAGAGAGAGAGAGGAAGCATACCATGGAGTCGACGTCTGAGCTTCGGCTGGTGGTCACGAGGTAAGCGCCTGGTCTGGAACACCAGAGGTGGCGGTGTTGACGAGGAAGAAGAATAATAGAATGTGACGGCAGATCTGTTCGAGTCAACAGCGGCAGGTCCGCGAGGGAACTCAGGTTCCCCCGGGCGGCAGCCGCGGCGGCTTTCCAGTCAACAGCGGTACTCGCCCTGTCAAGCAAGGCGAGCTCCTGACTTTGGACCACTTTCTCGTCCAATGAGAGAAAGAGAGAGAGAGAGAGAGAGAGAGAGAGAGAGAGAGAGAGAGAGAGAGGCATTGTGTAAGAGTGTAGAGATCTAACAAGGAGAGAGCAAGAAAGAGGGCTGTGAGCACCGAATTCCACACAAAAGATAAGAGGACATAATTCCCGCGGTCTCCCAAGCACAAGCATCTTCTAGTCAACTTCGAAGTCAGCTCCCACTGGTTCCACTGCTCTGCAAAGGTCAACCCCCACCGTCTGTCAGCATCAGCCAAGGCCAGGCAACAAGTCCTATAAAAGCAGGTACAATCTGGAAGAAGATCATTTCCTAATAATCACTCATGGGGCTGTTCGATCATACATCAGCAGGAAGAATTGAACGATAACATTCTTGGAATTGAAAGGTCTCTGTGCCTGCCGATGATGTCTTTGAAGGAGATTGAAAGGCACAAGGCAGTCATAAATCAGGCAGAAGCTGGTGTTCAGGTAAGATTTATCGTGGAATGGGATGGGATGAACAGATCGAGGAAAATGATGATTTGACATTGTTCATCAGCAGCAGCGCTCTTCTGGCCCAAAAGAATGGAACAATTGGTAGCAGCCTGCTCGAGATAATTTCAAATAGAACTGCCAGAACATCTATCAGAAGCCGGAGATTGTCCAACCGACAGAGCAGAGCAGACAGGATACGGCGGAGAAGAAAAGGGAAGATCGATGAGTAATTCCCCTGTGCGGCCGATGAATTCGGTCCCGAGATAATGGGAAGATAAGAGGTTCAGGGAGGAGGAAGAGGGGAGAACCTCTCTGTACATGTTCAGGTACATCCTGAGCGGCCCCACGTAGTCCTCGAAGCCTAGAGTTCCCATTGCCCAGAGGAGATCATCGCCGTTCACCGTCTTCCTCTTCTCCTTCTGGCATTTACCGCTGGCTCTACAATCGACGACGAGAAGAGCAGACAATGTCAACGAACATGGAAGGGGATTCTTCCTTCCGCCGGAGGGAGATCTCCCTACTTACTCGCTCGTGACGAAGCTGATGAACTCGGAGACGCACTCCTGCACGGATTCCTTGGCGTCTTTGGCGATCTTGCCGTTCTCAGGGATCCCCTTCCTCATGATGCGCCCGATGTTGGCGATCGGGAGGAACCGATCCTGCTCGCGGAGGCCGTTGCCAGAGCGTCCTTCCCCCGCCTGGTCCCCGCCGCCGGAGTGACCACTCTCCGGCGAGTCCGGCGCGCGTGCCTCCGCCATGCAGACCTGAAATGAAAACCGTGTCCCAGCGCTAGATCCACTCACAGTTGCAGGCAGGATCGGAGGGGGGAAGGCGCATCTGGAAGGAAGGAGCTTAGGTTTAGCAACACTCTTCTAACCCTAAATTCACGGCGAAAACCCGCGCCTCTTTCCCTCTCCTCCCCTTTACGTCGGTCGCCGAGTGTATCGCCGGCTACAGCTCTTCCACCACAGGGAGACCAAGCCAGCGAGCTAGAGAGAGAGAGAGAGAGAGAGAGAGAGAGAGAGAGAGAGAGAGAGAGAAGAGGACGAAAGATTGTCTGCAAGTTTTTCTGCGCTTTTATTTATTAGAAAACAGAAAATAGACCACAGTAGATAAACTTCCCCGAGCTGGGGCATACAACTCAGAATTATAATTATTAAAAAAAATCGGTCCTCAGAAAATTTCAAGATAGACCCTGCCGAAGCTGAAAGGCGGTTAGTACTACATTTTGTAGAAAACCCCTCTCAACTATCTTCTATTAATTTCATGCCCATCAGTCAATACGTAGAGATAGAAAGAGAGAGAGGAGACGATCGACCGAGGGACATCCAGAACAACATTATAAAGGTTGAAGATCGTTCAATCATCGAAAGGACATCCTTATTCCCAAAACTGGTTCATACTCTCTCAGCCTCAGGCACGGCCTCTGGGCTGCAATCAGGATAAACACGTGCCCAACAAGAAATCCCCACATGCGTTAGAGAGAGAGAGGAGAGAGAGAGAGAGGAGAGAGAGAGGAGAGAGAGAGAGAGAGTTTTTGGGTAATCTGGGATAGAGAGAGAGTTTCCTGGGTAATCTGGGCTACAGAGAGAAAGTACTTGCGGGTCCTAATTGCCCACAAGTCTGGCTTTCAGCTCCTCTGCGACTGCGTCGATGAACTCCTCTGTGTTGAGGTACTGGTCACGGGGGACCCTGCGCAGGGAAGAAGCATCTCTGCATTAGAGAGTGTGTGTGTGTGTGTGGGGTCATTGTAATGATGCCGGGAGTCTGATGCGTACTTGGATCCGTGGATGAGTAGGGCAAGATCCTTGGTCATCTTTCCCGCCTCCACAACCCCGACGCATGCCGCCTCGAGCTTCTCAGAGAAGTCCAGCAGCCTGCTGTTGTCGTCCAGCTTCGCCCTGAGGAGATACACTCCGCATCGTTAGCGAGAGCTCGATGCATAGACTGATGCAGAGATGATGGGTTTTATTCGTTCACCTGTGGGCGAGGCCACGAGTCCAGGCGAAGATGGAAGCGATGCTGTTCGTGCTTGTCTCGCCGCCTTTCTGGTGGACCCGGTAATGGCGAGTCACAGTGCCATGGGCAGCTTCGGCTTCGATGGTCTTCCCGTCGGGGCACACGAGCACCGAAGTCATCAGCCCCAAGGATCCAAACCCTGGACCAGAGACGCAGAGGCTTTGAAGACGGCGGAGCAACACGGTCTCACAGAGAGACGCCGGCAGAGAAAGCCTGTACCTTGCGCCAAGAAGTCGCTCTGGACATCTCCGTCGTAGTTCTTGCAGGCCCAGACATAGCCGCCTTCGCTCTTCAGAGCGTATGCGACCATGTCATCAATGAGCCGATGTTCATACCTGAAAAACTTAAAACATTAGTAACTACGAAGCTGTAACTGAGAGGAACTGAGCAGAGATTGCTGAGGAGTTGGCCAACCAGATGCCCGCGGCTTCATACTTCGATTTCCACTCGGCCTCATAAACCTCTTGGAATATGTCCTTGAACCTGCGATTTGAAGCCAAAAGAGAAATGAACAAATGGAAGGGGGGGCCTGGTTGAAACGTGAGAAGCGAGACTGGAGTGAGATAGTGAAATGAGGTACCTCCCATCGTATTTCTTCAATATTGTATTTTTTGTGCTCAGATAAAGAGGCCACTTCTTCTGGTAAGCAGTGTTCATCGATGCCTCAGCAAAAGAGCGAATGGACTGTGTGTAAGTTTGTGACGAGAAGAACACCAGGTGGTCAGGTACCGATCCTTGACTAAAGCGTTAAATATCTAAAGAAGACGGACAGAATCTGCACCTCATCAGTGTTGTACATTGACAACGCTACTCCTCCTTCACCGGTGAAGTTGAAAACTTCAATCTCAATCTCCTCCTCTTTCCCCTCTAAAAGAAACAAAAAAGAAAAGAAAAGGAGGAGACATGGTTGAGAACCGCTTCCAGTGTGGATTATGGAACCGGAAATCTCAAATGATGGATGGGCCATACCAAACACCAACTTCAACTTTCCAGGTCCTTTGATCACCGCATCAGTTGCCCGATACTGATCACCAAAAGCATGCCTTCCGATGCATATGGGCTTGGTCCATCCTACGAAAAAAAAGAAGAAATTAATAACAGGTACAATGGAAACGTTTAAAATAAGAAAAATGAGCAGAGCATTTTCTGATACCTGGAACAAGACGAGGAACATTTTTGCAGATGATAGGTTCCCTGAACACCGTACCTACAACAAATGCACAGAATGAAAGTGATACATAGAGAGTGATAACAAGTGTAGGAACTGAGAGGCATAGAACTAAGTTGGATGTCTCACCATTCAAAATGTTTCTGATTGTCCCATTAGGACTTTTCCACATAGATTTCAGGTTAAACTCCTTCACACGAGCCTCATCTGCCATGGATATAAAATTAAAATTGCCAGGCAAGCATTAATCTCAATATGCGATGACATAATAGCAACAGGAATTATCTATCTATTGCTTAGCTAACCAAAGAGAATGCTATCATAAAATCTATGCAATACCTGGTGTTATTGTAGCACACTTGATCGCAACATTGTATCTGTCACAAGTAAAAGATGGAAGTCAGTTGAAAAGCATCTAGCAGAAGGGTTTTGGGATCGAGAACAATGAACCTAAAGGGTGGTAAACCCTTTCAATCAAAAAGCATAGAATATACCATGTGCCAAGACAATGATTGTGATAACGTGGAAATATACTCCACTTATAATTTGGTGCCCAATTAATATCAAGCTAAGGTCTCGGGACTAAAAGGTTGGCGTTCAACAGTTATGGAATTTATCTTTGGTCTTCCATAGCTACACTTACACAAAAGGTAACAATAAGATTCCTAAATATTAGCCACAATTTTATGTCACTTGTTGTTAAGATAAAAGTAACAACGATCAACCATCGGATTACAAAACAATGATCAGCTTAATCTTATTTAAAGGCAATATTAAACTGTACTGTACGATTCAATGTTTTAGGTTGACAATAGCAAGAAATGACACCAAGAACCCGTGAATAAATCCTTGCGGGCCATCTAAAAACTGCATAATGAGAGTCACATGATGTGGAAAGTCAGGTCTGACAGAGTTCATCAGAGCGTAAATGCACACGCAGAAGGAATTGAATACGACAGACAATGGTTGAACCTCACTTGAGTGTAGCTTCAGCACTCTCGACAGTAACTTTGTCATCCGTAGCATCACGATGTGGAAGTCCCAGGTCAAAGTACTTTATGTCCAAATCCAAGAACGGGAAGATCAGCTGCCAGATTAGCCAGAAAACCACGTTTTAGCGTAAGTATAAAAGGGACGTGCTATCACACAAGTTGATAGGAAACTTAGCATAAGACGAGAAAAATGAAATAATCTTCATTACCTTGTCCTTGATAAATTCCCAGATAACACGAGTCATCTCATCACCTGAGTTAAAACATGGAACGGGAAGGAAAAGTTAGCAAGGAAAAACCGAGAGTTTTCAAACACCTTGTCTGAGAATAATAGAAATGAAAAGAACGATCAGGCATCACGGGGGACATTCAAAGCTCAAACTGCAACGTCGTCGAAAACTTCCGATCAAAGGTGATAAGAAAATAGTACCAAAATAAATTATGTCTTCCACCTTCCGCAATCGGCGTCATTACATTCATTCTTAAAAAGATGCGATGATTTGGAGAGGTCGAGAACAACCAAACATAAAGGGTCCTAGTTGACACGATCGGCGCCGAAAGGCCACAGATCTCAGCCGATCAGGTCGTAACCCAAGAAAAATGAGACTAATGACGATGAGAAATGTCCACCGCTGCGCAGTCATATCAGTCACGAGACTCGGAATCTCTAGCGGGAGAACTTGAGACAAAAGATCGCGAATAAGATCGACAGGAATATAAAAACAGCAACGGAAACCAACGGTTGACTCAAAAGAAGTATCTCAGGGGAGCTGCGTTTACCGTCCATCTCCACAATCGGGTTGGCGACCTTGATCTTCTCGAAAGCCATGGCGAGCAGATCTATGGGAGAATAGCGGCCGCAGATCGGGGGACGGACGGAAGGAACTCGCCGGGAACGCCCACCAACCTCAGCACTGTGGAGAGCGAACGAGGCTGCGGCGACGAGACGAAATGGAAATGGGACTATACAACCCTGTTATATTCGGATCGGTCAAACGAGATAGTTTTGGGGGGGGATCGAATGAGATAAGCCTCATTTATCCAAACATTTACAAGAGTACCACTTATCCAGAAGCACCAAATCGTTGAAACTTCTGGTTCACCGGACGGCGGAGATTTCTCGGTCAGCGGATGTGTAGTGTCGTAATTTAATGTGTCGGGCTGGATTTTGAGTCGACCGAGTTGGCACGAATCGGCCGGTGGACCGGTCGGGAGGGCATCCCACCTAACTTGGCCGCAGCTGAAGGTCAGCTGAAGGCCTTCGTGGACCTATTTATAAATCTAATGGGCCCCAGTTCAACCGACGAGTGGGCCCGGCTTAACGCCGAAATTATCAAGCATATAACTATATACTTGCATTGTTATAGACATAGATACATTTTTATGAGAAAAAAATATGGTTATTGACCGGAGTATTTTGACCATTTTATTTAAAACTAAACCATGTGGGCCCATTAAAAAACTTTCCTGATTTAACGGATATCGATATTTAATTTAGCGAAATTATGCGAAAAGAATAAACTTTTGATGTTTTTTATGTGAATAACGATGGCCGATTCAAGAAATGAACCGTTTTTTCCGATTCGAAGGGGAGTCTGATTAGTCAACGGATTCTTCATGGCCGCGTCGATGAGTCTCTCGGACGTGACTCAGACTCGGAAAAAGTCCGAAGAACAGATTGTGGAGGTTGACCTAACCATGAGATTTGATCGTAAACTTCTTAATATCTACGTATTTATATCAGGTGGTCAATCTCGAATGGGAAGACCTTTCGGCGAGGGCAGTGTGTGCGGTGTCGCAGCAGCGGGATTGGCGAATCCTGTGAGCCGACGATGACCGCGGGATAGTGGATCTTCCGTTGGATGCTGTTCCTTGTTCTCCGCCAGCCGGGGGTGGGAAGAATCGGGAGGGCGGCCGCACAACGCTCAGCTTCTTCTCCGCACTCAACCGAGTCTGGGGTGGAGATTCTGGTGGTGAACTTCTGAATAAGGTTTGCTGTAAGAACGCGACCTCGGAGCATTGAGGGAGATGAAGAGAAGAGGCCGTCTCGCCGCCTACCAGAACGACCTCCTGGTGAGGATCCCCCGCCTAGGTTTTCTCACCGTCCAGATCAGATCGGCGCCTACCCCGGTCGGTAGAGCCTCTCCGTGATGCGGTGGCCAGTGGCGAGTCACGTGGCGAGGCCGCTCCCCGAGCAATGGCGGCGTCCCTTCGCACGGAGTGCAGGCGAGGTCGTGGGACGACCACTCGAGACCATCATCATCCTCACCATCACGGGAGAGAAGAAAGTCGATCCGACGATTCCATCTCTCCTTCCTCGCAGTCGATCTGAGGACACCGACAGCCAGCTGCAAACGCATCACAGGACCGATTCCCCGTGGTTTCTTCACGAGGAAGGCAGCTAATCCTCTCGAGATCTCAGCCACTGATCAAACACCGGCAAGCCAGAGACGGATCTGCAGAAGCAAGCCCTCGAAGATGGAAACCCTCCGCCGCATTGATGGAGACCCTCCAGAGCCACTGCACATGCAATATATATACACACACAAACAGAAACAGGCGTCGGAGGGAATCCTGAAATAAATCGGGCCACCAAAGCGGAACGGCGGCCATTTTCGAATCTGGCCGCCTGCCACCGCGGCCGAAACTCCCCTCCCTCCGCCTGGTTTTCCCCCTTTCCGCCATTGGATGGGGAAGGAGGGGAAAGGCGAGGGCTAGGACAGGGTTTCCCTCGTCGCCTTCGTCCTAACAACCTCCCACATGTGCGCGGGCGCACGCTCTCTCGCACGCGCGCAACCCATCCCCTTCCTCCGCTTCCCCCGTCTTCTCGGACGAAAATAAAGCGAACCCGTGAAGACGGAGGCGGAAATCGGGAAAGGGACAGGGGAGAAGGCGATCCGTCGGATGGCCGCGCCCGCCCATCTCCTCCGTCTGTTGCCGCGTCGTTGCAGATTTGTAGCCGGAAGCGGAGGCAGTTAGGAGAGAGAAAGGAAGAAGATTGGTGGTGCCTTCGGAAGCCTTCCCCTCTCTCTCTCTCTCTCTCTCACTTGCTGTGCTTCTTGGGTCCCCAATCCGGGCGCCTCCTCCTGTTGGAATTCCCATCCTTGCGGAATTATCCACAGAGGATCTGGGGGTCGACTGGTTCTGATCTCGGGGCGCCATTGGGTTGCTTTCCTCTTCCGGCGGGGTATCTCCTTCGGCCCTGCGATTCTGGAGATCTCTGCGTCTTGCAGGGATTAGGGTTTGGATGTGGCGCTTACGAGGATGATAATTAAGCGGGAGACGAAATCGAGAATGCCGAATCTGCAGCGGTGCCAGACCGTTGCGACGGCGTTCTCAATCGGCGACGAGGACGGCGGTGGGGAGGCCGGCGATGGTTGCCGGAAGAGGAGGAGAGAGAGCGGCGGGTTCCACCCGCTGGAGATGCTCGGCGGCGCCGCCGCTGTGCGGAGCTCGCTCGCAGAGGAGGATTGCTGCCCCCCGCAGGTCTTCGTGGACGACGATCACGAGGACTTCAGCAGCGTCGCGGCGCCCGCTTCGTCGCGGTGCTCCGAGGTCTCGATTTGCTCCGGAGAGGTGGAGTCCGAATCGAGGATCGGCCCGCGGAGAGAGGAGGATGTCGACCGAGCGGCCGGGGACGAGGAGGCTCCGGCGGGGGCGGCGGGGCCGCGGCCGCCGGTGGTCAAGACGTCGCGGGGCCGAGTTCAGGTTCTTCCTTCAAGATTCAACGATTCCGTTCTCCTCGACCCGTGGAAGAAGGAGAAGCAGAAGTCGAAGGCTTTGAATGCAGGTCCCTGCGGAGTGGAAGAGCCCCTTATGGCTAAAGAGGCCTTTGGACCCAAGTTGATCCCCGCGGCGGGAGACCCCAATCTTCTGGGATTGGTGAAAGAAGAAGAAGAACAATGCTACTCAGCCGGGGGAAACGTGAGTATGAAGGGCTCTACTTCGCGGAGCACTCTTACTTCACTCCACGAGGCAGCGCTCGGGATGCAAATTAGGCCCCAGAAGCGAAAGATGAAGGCGGAGCCACAGGAGCGCCTCGAACCAATGCTCAGGGAGAGGTGGTTATCAGAGGAGCATCCTGAACGGAGGAAGGACTTCTATTTTCTGGAAGACTTCGTATGTGGGGACATCGTTTGGGCAAAGAGCGGAAAAAGGTACCCCACATGGCCTGCAGTTGTTATCGATCCACTCCGGCAAGCACCTCAGACTGTGTTGAATTCATGCATCGCAAGAACTCTTTGCGTGATGTACTTTGGATACTCTGGCAACGGTCACGAAAGGGTAAAGTCAATAAAATTCAATATCTTATTCTTTGACACGGAAAATCTCTATGATGTCCTTGTTGAATCACAGGCATTTAATAATTCAAGTTTAGTTTCCTTGATTGTGTGCAAATTGGAGTAAGCAGGACTATGCGTGGGTGAGACAGGGATCAATCTTTCCGTTCGTAGATTATTTGGACAGGTCAGTCCTCTACAGTTACTCTAAGAAATCTTGTTAACAAGGGACATCTGATCAAATTGTTTGCTTTATATCAGGTTCCAGGGCCAGACCCAATTGCACAAGAGCAAGCCTAGTGACTTCCGTATGGCGATAGAGGAGGCTTTCTTGGCGGAGCATGGCTTTATGGCAATGCAGATGGAGGAAAGGAATATTGCTGGGCAACCCGTTTATTCCCACCATGTGCAGGAGGCCACTGACTCTAATCAGGATCTGGACTGTCAATCACATGCACAGGTAAGCTGATTTCACGTTTATATTGTTTTCATTACTAATTCACAATAGTATGGTGCTAGATTTCTTCTCTGGATAACTTTTTCGGAATTTTTTTTTCCTTCGGTTGAATTACTCTACTGTAGAAGGCATATAGATTCATAGTCTATTTCTCGTAGTTTAGACAAGAAAACAAATCTACGTTGTTGGAGTTTACAAATGTATTATCCTTTGTAGGCTATTAAGAAATCAAAGTTACATTGTCAGAGCTGTGGTTCAGGCCTGCCATTCAAAAGTACAAAAAAAGTCAAGAGTGGATCAGAACAGTTACTATGCAGGCACTGTACTAAGGTTCACATATTTCCAACATGAGCTCTTGTAATGGAATATATGTTTTCTTCTATTATTTTAAAAGAGCGTTTGATTTTCATGATTATTTATCTTGCTCACTGTAGTTGCTGAAGTCTAAACAGTACTGTGGCATTTGCAAGAAGATATGGCATCATACAGATGGTGGACGCTGGGTAAGATCAACAATGGACGATCGTTTTGGTTATTTTTCTTCTCCAAATGGACTATATTTATTCATTTCTGTTCGGTGGTTTACTAGGTTCGTTGTGATGGATGTAAGGTGTGGGTCCATGCAGAATGTGATAAAATTTGCAGTAGCCACTTCAAGGTTTACTGTCCCCTTAACGTGGATGATGTTCCTCGCTATGATTAATGATATTTTGATCGTACATTGTGTACCAAGTACTAATTGAGTTTTCTGTGTCAAAGGACCTAGAAAAAACAGATTATTTCTGCCCTGAGTGCAAGGCGAAATCTAATTTTGAATCATCAGATACAGAGAAGAAGCCCCTGCAAAGAAGGTGATGAACTTGGATTCTTTCTTTAACTTCTATTTGGCAACTAGTTGTGGGCTAGGATGAGAGTTATTCCATTTTGAAGTGTGAAAATATTTTTTGAGAAGCATTAGCCTAATGTACAAATATTCTATCAGATGGCTGACTAATTGATCGGTTATGTTGTCGTAATTATCATTTATTTACGTACTGATGACACTACTGTTTAAGCAGACATGATGATGTCGATACACAAGACTCCCAGCCTGAGATGGTCGCTGTTTGCTGTTATGGTATGGAAGGGATATATTTACCGAGACAGCATTTGTAAGTACCAGACGATGAACTGATGGTTGCATAGTTTGATTGAAAACGAGAAAATTAATTAGAGCATTTCTGCACATTCTTTCTGTTTATAATTGAAGTTCCAATTCGTTTATACCTTTTTTTGCCAGGTTTTTTGTGATTTTCTTTCAATGCGACGAGTAAACATTTATTGTGTATCGATGCACAGGTTGTTGTAGCCACTTTTAACCAGAACGCATGAGATAGGACCTTTTCAAGCGGTTCTTTTGGTGTCGTGTAAAATGTGCACTAATGCACCTGTATATGGTTGTATGTAGACTGGGGATGTTGTTTTGCTTTGGCCCTAAAAAGATCTTACGCATTCTTTTACTTCCCTTGGAATTATGTTTGGCATGTAGCGGCTGAAACCCAAGAAGGATACTGTTGGATTCTTAACATTCACTGAAAAGCAGAATGAGTCACCTCAGTCTAGCATTCGAGTGTCTGCGTGTAAAGCATCAATAATCACTCAGCGCACATCATTTTGAATCCCGTCCAAGAATTGGGAAAATATGGAGAATTCATTGGTTCCAAAATATATCCTTGTCACCCTTGTACATGGCCTAGGTGCTGATCTTCTTTTTTAGTTTTTTTTGGGCTTGCACACAATATATACACACAATTAATTCGTGCCAAATTTCCTCTTTTATATATTATGTATGTACATGGTTACTATCTATTCTTACATGTTTAAGAAAGGTCGACCTTCTCAGAAAATGTTTTTTATTCTTCCTCTTTTGTTTATTTTAGGATACTTTCCTCTTCCTCTGTCAACAGTAATTTTGCCTTTAATTTTTTATTCCCTCTATCTCCCTCCCATTCTCAAGCATGTTTTTGTGCGTTTGTACTAAGATGCACCTCTTGGTCACTAAGCTAGCATGATACTTCCCAGAAGAATGGACGAATCTACCTGGCTTTGGCCGTTGAAATTGAACTTAATTTTGATAAGGTGTGCTCATCTTATTTGTAGTTATGGTGATTGATTTTTCGTGTTTTGATCATGTTCTAGAGTTGTTTGCCAATGTGGAGTATGTGGGACGGAGAAACGGAGTCTTAGTGAGTGGGAGCGCCATACTGGTTCAAGAAGCAAAAACTGGAAGACTAGTGTGAAGGTCAAAGATTCCATGCAACCACTGGAAAAATGGGTTCGTATTTGATGTGTTCGATGACATCCCGCTTTATAAAAGCACTAGTTTCTTTTAATGAAAACATTGACATGCTGTTCGACATTTAAAAAATACTTCCTTGTTCTCCACACCTTGCACTTTTTTCTTTGGGAAAACCGGATTCCTCCGTGCATGTGCAGACACAGTCTAAGTTTGAATGACAGATGATTAGATGCTGGCGGTATAAAAGTAAACTGAGCTTTAGTCAAATTCTAGATGCCGCTTTTCAATACTATATATGTTTAGCAATGGATGTTTTATGTATTGTACATTTATTTAATTCTATCACTTGTCTCTTTAGATTGAAGAGAACCGCACATTTGAATGGATAATTGGAGCTAAGCGTCCATCTCCAAAAGTAAGGAAACAGAAGCTACTTGATTTCCTGAATGGTAAGTATATTCTCCAAAATGCTTGCTTCTGGAAGATATTTATTATCATTTTGCCTTATGCCTTGACGAATTCATGGGTCATAATCAACTGATAGCTATGATTTCACATCAACAGGAAGGTATGACCCGGTCTATGCTAAGTGGACAACGGAGCGCTGTGCAATCTGTCGATGGGTTGAAGACTGGGATTACAATAAAATTATCATTTGTAATAGGTATGATGCCACGTTTACTAGTTTTTTGCTCGGTCAGCTGGCTATCTTTTGTATGGTGAAGGATAATGTGCCTTTTCTGTTTGAGATAGGAGTTCTGATATGAATGCATTGGTATATGTATTTCAGATGTCAAATAGCCGTTCATCAGGAATGTTATGGGGCCAGAAACATCCGTGATTTCACTTCTTGGGTCTGCAGAGCATGTGAGACACCTCACATCAGACGGGAATGTTGCCTTTGTCCGGTGAAAGGTATTTTCCTACTTTCTCTTGTTGCTGATTCAAGCTGACTGGAGCTTTAAGAGAAGGTGGGGGGTGGGGAAGGGGAGCGGGACAAAACACTTAATTTCATGTTTATCGTTTTCAAATTTTAAGCAATTTTTTATCTTTTAATTTTCAGATTTTTTATCTTCGCCTGTTATGTAACTCAATATCGTAACGTGTACTTTATACCCTTCATTTTTTAATCATTGCTCTCACATCTAATACTCGTACTTCTTTCTCTAGGTGGTGCTTTGAAGCCAACAGATGTCGATGGTCTTTGGGTTCATGTCACATGTGCTTGGTTTCAACCAGAAGTGTCCTTTCCAAGCGATGAGCTGATGGAACCTGCTATGGGCATACTGAACATCCCGTCTCAATCCTTTGTCAAGGTTTAAAGATTTCACCAGATACTAATCTTTCATTGGCTGATGCTATTTGTTCTGGTCAAAGGTTCTAACTCTACTGCTCTGTTTCTTGTGCATTCAGACCTGTGTAGTTTGCAAGCAAGTGCACGGATCCTGTACACAGTGTTATCGGTGTTCAACTTATTATCATGCAATGTGTGCGTCAAGGGCCGGATACCGCATGGAGGTAGGTTCTGGGATCGTTGTCTTTTTTTCGAAGATTATTACAGGAGGTACCTTAATGCGATGTGCCTTGATCACTTCTTTCCTACACTTCACAGTAACCACAAAGGCAGAAGTAACCATGGGTTAATACCTGGTTCATCACATACCGTTTAAGCCATTAGATTTCTTAAAAGATATAGAACAAATCATCCTCTCAATTGATTTCTTGTTTCGCTGTGCTTTAGGGTGAACTAATTTCTGCCCCTTGTCGTTGTTGATGGATTGCAGTTGCACTGCTCGGAGAAGAACGGGAGACAAACAACAAAAATGGTTTCATATTGTGCTCATCACAGGTGAGATCGACAGTGCATTTGTTCGTTCGCCATGTGTTGTGATTCATGCATGTCTACATCGAATCCCCAGTTGCTCGATCTATCTGGCAATCAGTGGGCCTATAAATTAAGGGGCAATGGCTATATTTTTTATTTTTTGCAAGGGCTGTGGGCCGAAATAAAGTCATATTTCGGTTGACATTTTGTGCGCCTGTTCCTCTTATCTTTACATGTTCCAAGTTGACTTCTTGGTTTGTTTCTATGTAGGGCTCCTAACCCAGATACTGTTCTAGTCATACAAAGTCCTCTTGGGGTTTTCTCTACGAAAAGTATGCTCCAAAATAAGGAAAAACGAACGTGCTCACGATCGATCAGGAAGGACACCGAACACCAGTTGGCGGTTCCGGCACACAATTCTGATGCGTCTTCTTCTTCTGCAAGGTGCCGAGTGTACGGCAAGATGGACATCAAGGTATGCTGTGTTTTGATTACATCTTCTCGTCGTGTTGGAAGGAAAGATCATGATATTTTGCATACACCCAAAAGAATGAAATGATTTCATGAATATCTCTGATTATCATATTTTGTCCTTTAGATTTTTAGGATGTGAACAAGGAGCAAAAATCCATGTTTTTTCCCTTACGAATAATTAATATTTCTTTAATTAGTTGTCTGCATTTGTTTCTCTATTGCTCGAAAACTTTCAGCCAAGGGGAACAGAAGCATTAGCTCACCTCCTGATGGGGCCTCGCCATCACAGCCTTGATGCAATCGAGCATTTGAATCCGGCCAAGGTATTCTTCGGGATCATTCATCCCCCCAGAGAAGATGGATTTCGGAACGAAATTGTGCTCCCGATGTGGGTATATCTCTCAGATTATTAACTGGCCTTCTGGTCGTACATTCTCTCCAACAGGACGAGATGGCTTCCAGACCTTTCTCCTCCTTCAGAGATCGTCTCTACTACTTACAGGCCACAGAGAAGAACAGAGTATGCTTCGGTAAATCAGGCATCCACGGATGGGGTCTCTTCGCTCGGAGGAACATCCAAGAAGGAGAAATGGTACTCTTCTGGCCCTTTCCCTTCCATCTTTCTGTTCTCCTGTGAGATCTGGTCTGACCCACCTACCACTGGTCTTCAGGTCATCGAATACCGCGGTGAGCAGGTCCGACGTAGTGTCGCCGATCTGAGAGAGGCACGCTACCGCCATGAGGGCAAGGACTGCTATGTGAGTCGTTTTCTCTTGCCATTTTTAGTTATCGGCTGTTGTTCTTTGATCCGACGGCCTGAAGGATGTTTTTAGCATTGATTCTATTTATGGCATCAAGATCTTTACTTTCTCTGAGTTGACTTTTGTTCCTGGGTTCATCGGCTTTTTTGTGGAAATGAGCAGCTGTTTAAAATCAGCGAAGAGGTCGTCGTGGATGCCACGGACAAAGGCAACATTGCCCGTCTGATTAACCATTCTGTAGGTTTCCATTTTAATCTTATAACCTGCTTTTCGGGCTGATTTATTTCGTCAATCTCTCTTTTAACAAGAATCACCCCTCTCTCTCTCTCTCGCTATGTATATACATTTGCAGTGCATGCCCAACTGCTACTCGAGGATCATGAACGTGAGTGACGAAGAACAGCGAATAGTGCTCATCGCCAAGACAAAGGTTTCTGCAGGCGAAGAGCTGACGTACCATCCTCACCTTTTTATTTTCTGTCTTCTTACTCTACGCATGCTCTTGATATTATCCATCTCTTAAACATCGTGGTGTATACCGAGAAAGTCTGAGACATGCCCCCATCTCATGAAATATGATGAGAGAGAGAGAGAGAGAGGGGCTACCGAGGCGTCATGCTGATATATGTGGCCGGGTTCTCAATGTTTGCAGGTACGACTACCTGTTCGACCCCGATGAAGGCGAGGAGTGCAAGGTTCCCTGCCTCTGCGGAGCCCCGAACTGCCGCAAGTTCATGAACTAACCGAAGAAGACGAAGGATCATTCTTTGGCTCCGGAGATTCCATCAGAGAAAATGAAATTTGTATTTTTTTCTTCTTTTTTTTTTTTTGGCTGCCCAATTTGTTCGTTCATCGCTGATTCTTTCCGAGTTCAATAATGAAGCTCAGGTTATCAACACGGCGGCCTTTTTGTATGTAATCCCTCTCTCTCTCTCTCGCTAGGCTCTTGGTACGTCTCAGATGGGCTGGGTTCAGAACGCGGCCCAGTTTAAGGAGGGCCGACCCACGTAGAAATTGGGCTCGTGGATAAGAAATGTTTTGTGATGGGGAAAATAGATAATTCTTGGATTTATTTCCAAGTGGGGTGGCACGTGCGGCGGGGCCCGTGAGCACGTGCCATCGTCGATCATCACGGGGTAGTGGAACGAGGGGAGGTTAGGAGTGGAGGCGCCGACAAGGGCCCGGTATTTGTTGAGAGACGGCTCACCAGGCCAGAGGAACTACCGCGGAGACGATCGGCGGGGGAAAGGTCAAGAAGGTTCACCCGCCCGCCCGCCCGCCCGCCCCCTTCTTCGGGTCTCCTCTACCTCCCGCAGTTACCCCGGAGAACACAGTAGCAGCAGGAGCTCGAGTGTCTGTCCTCGCCGCCGCTACCGCTTGGCCGGCGACGTCTCGTCTTCCCGGGCGGTGAGTTGATGCCGCTGGATTTCTACTGATTTTCTGTCTCCGGGAGGATAATAGTTCGTCCTGCTGGTTTTGTCGGTGATTGGAGGCGGGTGGGGGGGGGGGGGGATTCTTGGTGTTGGGTGTTGGGTGTTGTGTTCTGTCGTCGATCTGAAATTGGGGGCTAGGGCTTGCCGGGGGAGACATGCCGCGGAGTTCTCGCCACGAGTCCTCGCACAGGGGGCACGGGCGCAGTTCGAGGGATGCCAGGGAGCGGTCGGATTCTGAGGAGGAGGAGACGTCGAGGGAGCGGAAGTCGAGGGAGACTTCTGTGGCTGCTGAGTCGGAGAAGCGGAAGAGCTCCTCTTCGTCTCTGCGTTCCCAGGGGAAAGGGGTTTCGGGAACTGAGAATGGCGACTATGGTGGCGGTCACGGAGGGAAGAAGAAAGACAGGCACGCAGACTCGGCCTCCCCTGCCGACCGAGGCGATGATGGTGACGAGCAGGACAGCTTGGATGAGACGGAGTTGAAAGTGGAAGATCTCGGACACGTGGACTTGGATGAGATGGCCAAAACGAAGGTCTCGACTGCTGATTCAAAAGTTAGGTCTAGCAGACGGCACGAAAGTTCCAGCGATAGGAAGAATGATTCTGGCAAGCGGAAGTCGGACAAAGACTACAACCGAAGAGAGAGCAGTACTCATCATAAGGACGGGAAGGACAGGGACAGGGAGCGCGGCTCCGAGAGGGACAGCGAGCACGGATCGGAGAGGGTACGAGAGCGTGACTCAGAGAGGTATAATGAAAGCGGTCTGGAGAGGGGCAGAGAGAGTCGGTCTGAGAAGGAGAGAGAACGGGGTTCAGAGAGAGAGAAGAAAAATCAGGATGCCAAGCGCGACAGATCAGAGGATACATCCACTAGAAAGCGAGGTGGTACGGCAAGTAGCTTGGATGAAGAATATGCAATGAAGAGGGATGTGGAAAGTGACGGTAAGCTAAATTTAAATTTGAATGGGTATCTGAAATTTCTATCGTACTTAATATGTCATTGTAGACTCAGTTTTTTGAACAATTTGCATATTGTTTAGTGGGCATATGATGTTCACTACATTGAATTTGTAATTTTAGAAACTACCGTGCAGATTAAATTATTCTCGAGCAGAGAGTGCTACAAAATAGAGAGAATGAAAAGATCAGTGGGTTAACAATGCCAATGACTATGACGATCTTGAAAAGAGAAAATTAGAAAGATCTAGATAATGTCATTTGGGTTTGATTTTTCCTGCTCTAGAGCTTTATCTCGATAAGAAATTAAATTATGGTGTGAAGAAACCTTATAAGGTTTTGATACATATAAAACTACTGAAATGACATAATCAATAAATAATGAAGAAAAGGCAAACTTGTGGGAATGATATTATCAGTCTTTATGCTCAGGAGCAAGATATCCTTTCAATGGTATTAAATTTGGCGTTAAGAATATTCCAGCTTTTATTCTCTTCAACAATTTGAGGGAGGAGCGTTTACATGTTAAAATAATTTGGAAAAGAAGTAGCACGGTTTTCATTGTGCGGGGTTTAGTTTGGGCTTGGCCTGGGCCGTAAGAATCAAGTGCAGTAGGAACCACTTCATGAGTCCAACCTGATCCACCCAATAAACCCCACATGTTTCATGCATTTTGATCAGGATGGAGAATGAAAGAAGAGAAGTAGATGCAGAGGAAGATAAAAATGGGAAATAGATGAACAGGATAACAGGGGATTGAGGGGATGACATCCCGGTGATGAGGAGGCACGACCGAAGGGATGGATTTTTCAAGAAATGCGTGGTGATGATGCTTTCAGTAGATTAGGCAGCATAAAAACCTTGTGAAACGAGTTGGATTAGAATTTAGGTACGATGGATTTATTATGGATTTTCACCTTCCATGGTATGTAGGTTATTAATGATGTGGACAAGTGTCTAGCGATTGTCCAGCTCCATATCGTCTCTGTATTTTTTAAGACGTAACACTAAATGGTGAACTTCAGAACCTGAAATTTCGTTTTTGAAGCTTCCACGCTATTTTGTTCTTCCGGCCCCAACAATATCAGGCCATAGAGTGAGATCAGTGACGCATGATCATTCAATTGAAGCATGCACTTTTGTCTAAATTTTTCTTTGGGGAAATAACCATGTCTGTACGAGCTAGAGTTAGACATTTGTTATAGGGATTTTGGGGAGACAATTAGATTGTCTCACATGCGAGACCCTTACTTTGAAAGTTGATCATACCGTGTTCTGTAGAATTATCCTAGCTAGATCCTCACATTCTGCAGTAGGGACTTCTCTCCATTCAATTTTGATGGTTCGCCGTGTTGAATCTCTTACTATATACAGAGAATTCAGAATCGGATTTGCTGGCTGGATAAACCACTGCCGAAAGGATCCTGATATGAAGGATGCCATGTTCCTAAAATTGACCTGTATTGACCAACTCTGCCCCCAACTTTTTATTATAGTGGATTTTGAATTTCTCTATTACAATCCAATTTGCTGCTGCTCCAGCTGTTTTGTGTAACTCTAGTTTATGGATTGTCTAATCAGATTTGATTTTTTTTATCCAAGAGTGGACAAGACCCATTTATTTAGTCATATTGTGGTTCCATTGAAAGTTGGCTGATTCCACCTCTTAACACTGTTTCATTAGTCTTTGACAGTAGGGGAGACGTATGTAGAGGGCATATGACCGTTAGTAAATATCATGGATTGGTTATGGATGACGTACTATAAATAAAAAGGTTGGAGCCCTCTGTTGAAGATGAAGCTCTCTGTTGAAGCCCTCCGTCGGTTGGAGTTGCACGTTTAAATACTTTTTGTGTGGTATCTTACTTTAAAATTCCTATTTAGTACCCCCTTTAAAATTTGTCGATTTGAGAGCTCTCCATTCCTGAACGGAAGGCCTAATTCACCAGATAGGTTCAGGCAATTCTGAATACGTCTCAGTTTAGCTATCTTTTATACCTCATTCTCAGAATATGGGGGTAGGGCAATAGCGAAAGAAGAGAAGATAACTGTGATTCTTGACACTGAACTCATTTCTGTTTCGTTCGGTTTGTTTCAGAAAATAGGGAGATATGGATTTAGTGCAATAGTGTACGTTAGAAAATATGAGAACTTTGACTGATGTCTCTAAACTAAATTTGTATTTCGTCTGGATTTGCATCAGAGACGATACGGTTCACAAAAATTTGTGCACTATTGAAGTTGATCTCTTGATTAGTGGCACTCTGGTACCTAACATATGTCGTAAATATTGGGTCTAACATTACACAATGCTTATCTCGTCTAGAATGGATCATACTACCAAATGTCAGAAAGATAAAGGTTCATGAAAATTGAGTTTAACTTTATGCATTCTCTAGTCACCTCTCAGTTAAAAAGCTGACTGGCGTTTGTTGAGACACTTTTGCAGGTTGCTCTATCTTAACTCATCGAATATGTTTTTATTATTAAATAGGGTTCTTCTGAACTTATTTTGGAAAAGAAGCTGATTAGAGGTGGTTTTGTTACTAGATACGAATGGCTGGCGTTTTATCTATATTTTTTATTTTTACAAATTCTGAACAGTGAAGAAAGAGAACAGAATATCAATGAGATCTCTTCATTTGTCTCTTCAGTTTTGTTTGTCTTTGCGGAACGTTGATACATTTAAGCTTTTGTCTAATTGTATCTGTGGACTGCAAACTCTGGTTCGAATATAGTTTTCATGTATGCTAGGAGATGGAACTGCCAGCTTCTCTTGATTCTTTTGAGATGAAGTACGGAATTTACAGAATGCACCTTCTTGAGATCAAAATTTGTTTCATTTTTGAATTTTTTGCTGATAGTAAAGCTGTCTTTTTAAGATGTGGCTTGTACTGTTTCTCTCAAGGCTGAACACGACGATGGCTCATTATTTGAAGACGTTATTACGGTTTTATCTGTTGTCTTAGAGCTGTCCATGGAAAAAAATGTCCACATGAGTCGAAAGATTTTGATTTGTTTTTATTTTCTATCCTTGTCAAAATATTTGATGATTGGAACTACTGTTGATATTAATTTTGTTGGATGTAACTGCAGTTGTTTCCCATTATGTATTTCAAAACATTTGTGTACAGAAAGCTGATGTAGGATTCAATGTTCACTTGGTTAATTACTCAGTCAGTTTTATTTTTTAAGCCAAGCCCTAACTTTCCCTAGATTTCAAATGGTTTTCATCATACTGATTTCAGCCGGATGTTTTAAGCCTATTTGCATTATGAACTTTTATGAACTTTTGTGACACGATTCGTTGCTAATTCATTTGAGTGTTATATTTAGCTTTAAATATAATTTGATTACTCAAGAATTTCTGCTTCCATATGTACTTGTACTATCTGTTTCCAAGTTTTGTATCTTGGTTCACGCCGCATACTTGATACAATCGCATGATTATTCATTCAGTAGCAAGCATATTATGCCATTTTCTGGAGTTTGGTTAATTTCATCACAATATCCAGTTTATCTGTTTCCTTAATTTGCATTACGCAGTCTTTGTCCCAAGCAGCACTTTTTTGACAAATTTTGCGTTATTATTTAGAAGAAGTAATAAATTTTTGGACTTTCGAGCTTTAACTTATTGATTTCAATTATTTTGTGCTACTGTTTTTCCCTCAGACTGGCAAATGGAAGATGAACTCCATAGCGCCGAATTAGAGAAGGAGATGGAGAAACAGGATCCGAAGAGAAGGGATGACCTTCGAGACTGCCAAGATGGTGACAATAGCGATGCAGTTCTCATGAAAAGTGATAAATCTCAGGGAGAAGCAAGAGATGGTGACGATAAACGACTGCATTCCAGGGAAAATCGCATGAAAAATGGGAGTCAAAAGGATGATAAGCACAGGGATGGAAGTCATAGAGACAAGCACAAGGATGACGGAAGCCATAGAGATAAATACAAAGATGATGGAAGTTACAAAGACAAGTACAGAGATGATGGAAGCTATAGAGAAAAGCACAGAGATGATAAGGTGAAGGATGATTACTCAAGAGACCATAATAGTAGCAGGTCCCATGGTAAGCATTACAGGGATGACAAGAAGTCTGAGAGTGCCTACAAGAAGAGCAAGCACCATGACAGCGACTATGATGGCAGCCCTTATGCTGAAGACCGTGACAGCAAATACAGGGACAGTAGAGGAAGGAAGCGGCCTTCTGATGAAGGCGACGACCATGTTGATGCTAAGTCGAGGAATGCAAAGGAACCTCGTGTGAACTTGGAGAGAAGTGCATCAAATAGCTTTAATGTAGATCGCAGTAGTGACAGAGATAGGCAAGAAGATGTACAGGACAGGACTGATTCCCAATATAACCAACCAAAAGGCTCCCCCAGTTCAAGTGCTCAACATACCAGGTATCAGAATCGGTATTTTTTTTTTTCTCTGTCATTTTTTCTGAAGCTAGTTCTACTTCGTGATCAGCTATTGGGTGTGCCCATTCTATGCATTCGATTGAAAAGCCCGCATTAAAAACTTCGTTACTTTACAGCTATCAGACAAATTTTCGTTTCCCATACTTTCTAGGGAAATTCTTCATCCAAACGGATTCAATTTTATGTTGAATCATGGTTTTTGCAAAGCTATTTTTGTGAAAAAAAAACTTTTCTGGCAACTGCGAAGAGAAACAATAATTCATTAGAAGCCCATGCCTTTTATAGTGAATTTCCGCAAGTTCGAGTTTGCATCTAGTGTATTCTTCTGCTTCTAAATGTTCGTCGTACCGTTCACTTGGAACAGATGACACAATTCATGTACATTACACTTTTTAGAAAGGTGAACATCCTGAATTATCAAGGAATTCTGTCCTCATCCGTTCTTTGTTCTCCCTTATTCAGGCATAGTTCCAAGCAGGTGGAAGCCACGGGAGGGAGTTCCTTGTCTGAAGAGAGACCTCGCGTTATCACAACTTCAACAGGGGATACGATCACCTCCCCGGCATTGCTTGGCAAAGCCTCTGAGCCACGGTCTCTGGAGAGGAGCAGTGCGAGGGAGGAGAAGCGTGTGAATGAGTCGTCAGTCAGGAGCGTCTCTTCTTCAAAACACGAAAGAAGCCCTAGGTCTGATCACCTCGGCTCGCCTACTCAGCTGACCGAAAAAACCCCCTCCACGGCAAGTGACCGGCGGCGGTCAGGTAGGAGCAGCATGAGGCATAATAGCCTCGACGCTGAGGACTCTGGGCAGAGGAGCAGCATCTCAAAGGAAGACACGGAGAAACCCATCGCAGATGACCGTTCTCAGGCAGACCCAAACAACAGCTATTCGGGGGCCATCGGTTTATCTCCATTCTCCAGAGCTGATAGCTTCTCCGGCGGCTTCCCAGGCCATCTTTCCCCAACCATGAGGTTTGGAATGGACAACCCGGGCATGGCCTCCTTTGACGAAGATGGATCATTCAAGGCTGGCACTCGCTACAAGCGGAATATGGATCTCAGCATGAACCGAGCCCAGGGAAATATCTGGAAAGGCGTCCACAGCTGGCCTTCCCCGGCCGTGAACGGGTTCATCCCCTTCCAGCATATGCCGCCTCCCGGCGGGTTTCTCCAGCAGTTTCCTCCTTCTCTGTTTGGCGTCAGGCCACACATGGACATGAGCCATCCGGGAGTTCCTTACCATCTGCACGAGGCTTCGGAGAGGTTTGGCGGCCATGGCCGGCCCTATCTGTGGCCTAACCCGGCCGACGGCTCTATCTCCCCGCACATGCAGGTGTGGGATGAGAGCGGAGGCCTCTCTATGGATGATCCTCACATGTATGGCCGACCAGAATGGGAGCAGAGCAGGCACTCCATGGCCGCCATGGGATGGGAGATGAATGCAGATGCTCGGAAGGGGCAGAATGGAACTGGCGGCACGGACTTCCTGAAAGAAGCCGATTACTCAAGATCTGCTCACCCTTCTCGCACTGAGCCTGCCAGATCTCCTGCAGAAAGTGCCGGGACCAGGGGATCCCAGGAGGCCGTTCCAGGGAAGGAGGTGGCTGAAGTGCCATCCAAGGGATCGCGGGAGAGGATCCAAGGGCCTTCCAAGAGCGATGACAGTGCCCGCTTCTGCAGCGTCTATCTTTCCAGACTTGACATCTCGGCTGGCCTTGCGGGGCCTGAGCTGTATAAGCAATGCATGGAACTGATCGGTGGAGCTGACCCAGTGGAGACTAACTCGAAGGTTTCTAACTGTTATCTCCAGGTACTGTGGAAGATCCACTGATAGACTTATTTGGATTTTTCCCCATTTTCTGTGCCAAGCTGGATTCAGCAGAGGTCTAACTGCCCACACTTGTTTCTGCAGAGCATTGGAGGCGACCCCAAGGTAGAATCGAAGGAGCCCGTCACCCTGAGTTCTTACTTCCCTGCCTTGCCAGAAACAGTTTTTGAGGTAAAATTTTTTGCTCAGAAGAGATTACGATTGATCTTTCTATGGTGAAAAGATTTGATCTTTCTAATGAAGACACTTTATAGCTAATCTTTTTTTATTAATCTGATATTCTCTTCCTACTCTCAAACTCAAGCATCTCCCTCTCTCTCTATACCCACATATCTATCTCTCCATCTCTAACCCATTGGCTTTGGAACAATGCAGAGAGCCATGTCGCTGTACAACAAGCAGAGCGAAGACCGGAAGGCGAAGGCGGAGCTGTTATTCTTCAAGGAAGAGGAAAAGAGGGTTCTTCCCCCTTCAGCTGCCGAAGCCGCGGTGGCGGAGCCTGAGAACCCCCCCACCTCCGAAGACATCATAATACCCACCAAAGAGGACCTAAACGCCACCACCACCATCACCACCGACGCCCAACTCGTCCCCCCCTGCTGCCCCACGGAAGAACAATCAGCAGCCACCACCACCACCGACGCCCAACTCGCCCCCCCATCCTGCCCCACGGAAGAACAATCAGCAGACGCCACCACCGACGCCCAGCTCGCCCCCCCCTGCTGCCCCACAGAAGAACAATCAGCAGCAGCCGCCGCCACCGCCGCCACCGCCGCCGACGCCCAACTCGTCCCCCCCTCCTGCCCCACGGAAGAACAATCAGCAGCCGTCACCACCACCGTCCTGGGCCTCCCTGAGCCGGGCGAGGATATCGCAATGGATGAAGACTCCAGCGCCGAGATCGCCAGCGAAGAGGACCTCAAGAGCGCCGCCGAGAAGCAACCGCCCAATGCCGTCGTGCCCGGCTGCGTTTCTCTCGAGGGCCCTCCAGCGCCGTGTGAGGACGTTTTAATGGAAGAATCCGGTGCCCTGAATGTAAGTCGGATACATCATTCCTCTGAAAGTACACATTGAAGCGGCCCCTCCCTTCCTTGAAATCCCATTCTTATTAGGCCTCCTATCCTCCATTCATTATCCGACTCTTGAAAATTTCATCTCCCTCTGTTGTCGCCCTCCTCGTGCTTCAGCTCCTCAGAAGGCGGTAGTAGCCACCGAGGTTAGAGGGTGGGCTCCTCATCATCCATGTAAGAGCTTCTTCCGTGGGGCTTCTAAGTCTCCCTTTCCATCCTCAATGTTGAGTTCTGCCGAAGGTCCACAAGTGCAGCTCGGAAGTAAAAAGCTATTGCAGTCTGTTAACCGCATGGTCTGACTTTGGGTTGCTTCGACCTCTTCCTCAGGGATCCAAAAATGTCAACGTTGGGGGGGAATCCTCGTGCAAAGCTCACTCGTTGACCGACCCCCCGGCCATCTAGCAGCTGATTCCTGAGTCCTGGAAGCAATCCAACCATTCTCGTCCTAGAACAGGCCCTCAATTTATTAAACAAAACTCATTTAAGTACAGAGGGGGGGGGGAGGGGAGAGAGAGAGAGAGAGAGATTCAGGAACTTAAGTATGAAGGATTAACACAAAGCAGTCCGGTGCTTTTTAGAAAATTCGCAGGGGTGAAGTTGAGGAAAGGGAAAGAGCACCCCGCGAATCCCATCATGCCGCTGCTGTTCCAGGGTCAGAAGTTGCCACCCAACTGCCAGAACAAAACGAATTCTCTGGTGAGAAGATTATATGCATTATGTGTAGATTGAATGCCAAAGCGCATGCACTTTGTTGAAACAACCCAAGGTGCTAATACCTAATTAAATATTTATCAGGATATTCATTCCTTGAGCAACCGGGGCGTTTGGTGAATAAAGCTTTTGGAAAGATCTTGGTGAGAAAGTCTGAGGCAATTCCAAAAAAAATAAATCAACGGCTCTACCACAAAAAAGGACCCAAAAAACCTTCTCAGAAAGAATTGGCCTCCACTGTCTCATCCATTGCATAATATGCACCGGTGTGTGCGTGGTTCATCAGCTTCCATCTGGTATGAAATGGGAGGGCACGTTCGAGTCCAGAAAAATAGAAAGAAACACCTTCGCCTTGCGTTTCCGCGCATGAAAATGTCTGTTTAATCAGCTTCCTTTGACATAGAATTGAGGAAGGGCACGGGTACGCACAAGCCCAGGAGATTGGAACGAAGCATCGAAAACCTTTCAAGTGTTCATATACTATTGCGACATCTAGTCGATAAGATAGCAACTAAATTCATTTTCTTCCTCACTGACATATTTCTTTAGCATTCTTCACCAGATATCTCTTCAGAAACAATTTTTTCCCAACAAAATTATCCCCGACTATGGCATCTGAAGAGGGCAAAACGATTAGGAAGTACCAGAATAGATTCAATCTCCTTTTCGGAGACAGGTGTTCGATGCGGCTGAAGAGAAGCCCTCCCTCCCACAGCGGTGTTGGTAGGTGGAGCAGGAACCTCAGACTTATGTGGCTGTTGAGCCTCCTGAGCAGATGAGGGTATCTGCTGCTTTGATGCCGATCCTGAATGACCATAGCCAAGTGCTGTCAGTCCAAATGGTCTCCATGTCCACCAGGTACATGTAGATAGCGGGAATAAATAAGCGCAACCCAGTTTTTTCAGAGATATAATAATTTTGTATTTTTTTTTGTGTCACTAAAACATCAAGATCAACGCTATAAATAATGTTTTTAGTAATAAATAATATTTTCTCTTGATTTAGTACCCTATTCATTAGCCATGGTGTAAATGGGGCAACTGCTGGATGTATCTCCATTTTCAACAGGATTGAAGAACCAGGGCCACGACCAATCGACAAACACCAGAAGCAAGTGTTCGTGAGTATAACCATGATCTCTTCCCTAAAGACCACCGGTATTTAACCTGATGTCAACCCTCCCACCTTTTCCTCGAGTTCCTTCGCGGTTGACCTGCAATCGTTGGTTTAGTGGTGGATTGCACAGAAGATCGCCAACAAAACAACCACAAAGGAGTCTTCCAACAACTGTTCCCCAATATTTCCCAGAATCCTTGGGCCAAATAATAAACTTCTCATTCGAATGGTGCAACAGGGAGCCCCCCACAGATATCGACGGCAGCAACTCAAGCCCATGCGTGCGGTCGACAAATGCGAACTAGAAAGACTTCCATGAAGATGCGCGAGTCATCAATTCCAAATAAACATCAGAAGATAGCTATAAATCTGAGTTCATAGAGAAATAAACATCAACAATCTACAGATCAAAACCCTAATAAAAATGAAATTCGTTTATACTCCAGAAAAAGAAAAAGAGATGAAACGTAAGAGGATTGAACCTGCTGGGTTTGGATGCCTCTGAGGGAATTTAATCCGCGGGATCCTCTTCATCATCTGAGCTCCCGCCATTGTTCTCTGACGACCTCTCTTCCTCTCTCTCCCTCGCCTCCCCGTTCTTGTCTTCCCTCTCCTTCGTGCGAAAGACAGCAGATTCCGGCAGCAGACCCATCCATCATAGAAGCAGCGTTCACAGGGCCGAATCGGCGTGGAAATCCGGCCCACGTTTTCTATGCTGTGGGTCAAACAAAAGTAACGGACCAATAGGCGTCGGACCGTACATCCCTCCCACTCAGGCCCCCCCGTCTGTGTAGCTAATGGGCCTAATAGCTTCCCATTCCCGGGCCGTTCAGGTTCGGTTCTTTGGTCGGGGGAGTCTAATGAGATCACAAATCTTCAAAGCCCGCCGATTTCCTATTTTTGTTATAATCATTTAATTAATGAGAATATTAATTTTAGAAAAAAAATTGCTCACAATCTTTTTCCTGCTATACAAATTCCAATACTATCCAAGTCAAAGAATAATACACATTTTATCTTATAATTTTATTTTTAACGCGTTGTTCAGATGATTACCGAAAGTAGAATATTACACAATAATTTATATATAATAAAATGGTACATAATTAATTTCCGACATCTTTAATCATCATATTTATGCCCCGGTATGATCGGAGAGTGCAGAGTATTATTGTTTGAGGATTCATAATCTTTTCAGATAAACAGATAACTTACCTCACCAGCTTGCACGCATCTCAGGCAATAAAAGGACGAAAAAAGCTCATCTAGAATCTCGCCAGTGGAATAAATGGTTCATTTCACTGGAATAAAATTACCGAAAATATCCATAAATCAGTCTTTCTGGCATTTAATAAACCTGTTTTTGACAGAAAAAGCCAGTGATGAAGCGCCAACAGTTCATCTCTCAGATCTTGGAACATTACCATTTTGGGAGGACCCATTTGAGCAATCAGAGAGAGAGAGAGAGACGAGTCAGGTTCTCTCTCTCTCTTGCCCTTGTCACCCTTGTCAACGCGGATTCCAAGGGTGGGTACCTTTCATGTGAACAGATCAGTTTTCCCATTTCGGCACAGATCAATATTTTTCCAAGAACTGCAAATCGTTCCTATTCAAGCACCGGCCTCTGACAATGTTCGGAACTTCCATCTCCCCCAACAAAAAAGTCAGCCCCGGCGTCAGAAGGATCACATAGTCAATAATAGATTAATTCGCCGTGGAATTCGACGATGCCACTGTCAGGGCTGTGCATATGAGCAAATGTATGGTTCTGTGGCGTTAATTACTTACTGTCTGTTTGGATGGGAATTGACCAGCGACTGAACATGAGAAGGTGAACCAACTTGATTTGTCAAAATAAATAGGGAAAATTAGATGAACGAAGTCAACGGCGAGGGTTCATAACCACAGAATTGAAGAAAGTAAGAAAGCGAAGAGAAACAAACGACGACTTTTTTTCCCTAGAAACATCACTATTTTCAACAAGGCTCTCTCATTTATCCGCTCGTGCTCCTGCTGAAAGCATTTGAATGCGCTGGAAATGGATTTGTCGAGCCGAGAACTGTGGAGCATGAGACCTGCTCCACAAGAAGAACTTGTAGGAGACATCTTTGCCGGTTTTCTTTACTGAAACAATGAACGCAAGCGGATATATTGGGAATCCAAGGACATATTGGGAAGAGTTTTGATACCTCAAATTTAGCAGGAACTAGGCCAGGGCAGACGAATTGATATTTTCAGTTAAGTTGCTCGAGAAAGAGTGTGGGCTCTTCACATAGGATATGTATTTCGACCCGTCACGGGACTTGGCTTCGATTCGAGGAATGTTGCTTATCTTACACCAGTCTTCACCATCAGCAAAGCAAAAACGACATAGAAGATCAAGGCTACATACCAGTTCTAGCCTTTGGAGTGAAGTGGTTTGAGTCAGCCACATGGTCAGCGTGTCCATGTTGGAATCATCCAACTTCAGATGAGCTAGGACGTCAAGAAAGTTGGTCTGCATTATAGATGGGCAATTGCAGATATCCATGGTCTTCAGTTGTGTGAGATTGGAGATCTCCTCCAGATTCCTGTTCTTCGAGATCATCAATTCAGTAACTGACGGGAGATCCTTGATGACCTTGAGCACATCAGCACCTTCAATCTTCAACTGCCTCAAAGAAGTAGCATGACATAAACTCTCTGGAAGAGATCTCAGTTTTGGACAGTTGACAATATGCAAGCTGTTGAGAACGGGCAGTGCACCGCATTCTAAGCGCGACCAGTGTTCCCATTTGGACATGCCCCGAAAGTACAGCGTCTCTAATCTGGGTAAGGACGATTTCGCTTCTGTCTCACCGCCAAAGCACTCAGTGCCAATAGCAGATATTGATGAAAGACCCCTAATGTGGAGAACTCTTAACTCAGACAGCCTTCCCTAAAGGAGGAAGCGCTTGGCAAAATTTGCAGTTTTCCAGTCTCAACCATCGGAGGTGTCTGAGAGAATTGTTATTGATCCAGACGGGAAATCTCAAACCAAAAAACCATTCGATGTGAAGGACCTCTAACCTTGAAGGTGGCGAAAAACCTTGAAATGAATATTCAATTCTTTGTATTTCCGGATTCTCTCGACGGAGGTCTGTCCTTGGAGTGCATGACAATCGAAGGTTATTCAATTTCTGCATGTTTTTCAACCCTGCTTCCTGTGCCATAGCCATGCTTGTCACTGCCTCCAGCTTGTACATGGCAAGATCTCGGAGCTGGGCCAATTCCTTCAAATGCCTCATGTTGTTCTCACCCTGAGTCACATCGTTCGCCACGAAGCCCTTTAGTATGCGCAGCTCTACAAGATTCCCCATTCCAACGGGCATTTGCTCCAGTTGGCCAGCCGCGGGAACGACTCCGAGATCAGTCAAATTGACAAGACAAGATATCCCATTCGGAAGCCTCTTCAAGGAATCGCAGCCAGTTAACTTGAAGGTCTGCAGATTTCGCAGGTTCTGGATTGAGTCTGGAATCCCCTTCAGCTTGGTGTAGGAAACGTTCAGACCTCAGATGGACAAGTTTCCCGATGGAGTCGTCCAGACTCTCAATCCCCGTGTATGAGAGATCCAGGACGCGCAGACGCCTGAGCTTCCCGAGATAATTTTCGGGCAGACGAGTAATGGATGGATTCCTGAAGAGCAGCAGCGTTCTCACGCGTTTCCCCATCTCCTTCAAGCTCGGCGCCTCTAGTAAGCCCTTCCTCACGCACGACAAATGACGAGAGCCTGGTGGGAGCTTGCTAGAGTCTTGTTGGAACCGGTACTTTTTGTTGCAGACGTGGACGGCGAGGTTTCTCACGGCGTCGTGCATCTTGCCGCCCGATTCCTTAACATATTCAGGCACATCTTGCAGAAGGCTCCTGCTCTTCAGCCGCGTGAAGTATTCGTGGGCGTCGTCCTCTTCGCTCTTCGGCAGGAAACCTTCGGCCACCCACATCTGAGTGAGGTTCGTCCTTTGAAACCTGAAGTCGTCGGGGGAAGAGGGAGCAGTAGAGGAAGCACTGCTTCAGATTCGGAGGCAGGTCTTCGTAGCTCAGAGACAGAGCCGGTATCACCTGATCCGAACTCTCGCCCTCGTCTATCGGCGCTTTCGAAGATAGCTTCCTGCGGATGGCCTCCCAAACATCAATACGAAGTTCCTTGGATATAAGAACTCCTATAACGACGTTGACGGCCAGAGGAAGGCCCCCGCATTTCTCCACAATCTCCATGCCGATTTCCCGAAACTCCTGAAGCCTCTCCTGAGCGACTGAATTGCCCAACGCAGTGCGGAGGATCTCCCACCCGTCGTTTGTGGACAGCACCTGCTTCTGGTATGTCTTGAAGCTTTTCATCCCCTTGGAGACTTCTTCCTTTCTGGTGGTTATCAAGAGCCGACTGTTCATCGCGCTGTCCAGCATTAGATAAGCCAGACTCTCAATCCCCTTCCCTCTATGCCTCTCTCTCTCTCCCCCCTCTCTCTTCCTCTCTCTCCGTCCGCCTCTCTCCCATGACAAAAGGATCTCATGGGCGAGTCTAGGCTTCACAAAGGCTCAATTTCTGGCTAGTTTTCCTACTTGTTCAAGAGAAAATAAAGACCAACACACAGCTCTTAGCATGAAAAGTCTGGTTCACACTACATGACATCGCCATCGCCATCGCCATCGCCGCAACGAGAGCCTGATGTGGGCACAAACAACGAAGTTCGTACGAATGTCTGCCTCTAATCCTAGTCCCCATCCCTCCCCTCCCATATTATATTATATTATATAATATGCATTCTTGGTTCCTACCTCACATGGAGCACAGAATCCCCAGGACCACCGGGCTACTTGCTTCCATAGAAAGGAGCTAAAAAGCTTGTTCATAATCTAACTCTATGCGCCTAGTCAGATCCCACTCCAATGACCTACAAAATCAAACGGGCATTTTTGTTTTACAATTTCCTAGAATGGTATTTTACTCAAATGGGCACCACCACCCACCACCAAGATCCAACTCAAAACTCCCACAAAGCCAACCTGGTCAAATATTATTTAATTAATATCTGCAGTATTATCTCCAAGAACACACAATGGTTGACAAAACTCCTAGTATTTTTATTTTATATTATTACGTAAAAATAGTCAAAGCTCCCTCATGAATCTAAGGTAGTCACGTTTTTCTATCAATACTTGCACTGTTGCACCTCTTAAAAAGATGATGAACTCCACCACTCTAGTTTGCCACGACATTATTAAATAATAATAATAATCATTAAATTATTAGTATTATTATAGCTGATTTAAAACATGGTATTAATCAGCGTACCAGGGTTTTATCCAGAATCTTCTTGAAGCTAATTTAGTCATATTTTGGGTAATGTGAATTTTAGCAGCGCTTTGAATGCGGTATTGATATATGAATGATTTATTTTCTTTGTACCAACATCTGTTGGAAGCGATGCAAAAAATAATGAGGATGTTTGCTGGAAGGTAGTTGTACTATTTGGTCAACCGAGTCTCCATTTGAGGAGAAGAATGGAGAGAGGATTTCCAGGATAAATTCAGCATGGTCAACTGTGCTGGGCCCGTGGAGGCTCGTGCCTCCATTTTGGTCGTTGACGAACTATTGTTTTCCCATATAACAATAGCATATTTAAATCGGTTTAAGGCGGGTTTATATTATTTATTGTAAATCTAGGATCTGCCTCGTCCATCGTATCGTACGGCGCACCATACTGGGTTGACTTTTATAATCTCCCCGAACCGTCGTCCTTTGCATTAATGACATTTGCTGTCCTAAGTTCTTGGCCTTGTCCGGAGGAAGCAGGGGCTCCTGTTTCACTGCCTGTTATTTTTCTCTCCACGTGACTTTTTCGGCAGGCGTGGGCTTTTCATCTCTGACCAAACACTACCAGGGGGGCCTATAGCAGCGGAACCCCTCTCTGTTCCGCCGGAAATCAAGCCGACACTCATTCGCGTTTTTGGCGGCGTCTGTCTCGGGATGAACGCACGAGAGAAGAGAGTCAGTGGGGGGAATCAAGACAGAAGGAAGAAGACAGCTTCTACTTTCTCACGGAGACATGGCGACCGGGGAGGGGGAGGGAAAGTAGGAGAAGACGAGCCGTGGAAACGGCTGAAGGTCTGAAAACGGCCGTTTTTCCTCTGCCTAACTCCCCCCTCGTGCCTTTTAACCTAAACTCGTGCTTCTGCCTACTCTCTCTCTCTCTCTCTCTCTCTCTCTCTCTCTAATATCTAGTCACTGAAGGAATAGTGCGCACCACCAAAGGATAGCGAAGAAAAGGGGGGAGAGCTGAAGGACGGAAGAAAGTATGGCGACCGTCGGCCACAGTAGGTTGAAGAAATCCCCCACCATGGTGTCCTCGCTGAGCTCCGTCCGGACGATCATCATTTGCCTTCTGGTCGTCGCGCTCCCCGCTGTCCTCTTCCTCCATCGCCAGCAGGGGCTCGTCAGCGCCGCTTGCGCCGGCGCACCAGGCTCCGGCAAGGCTGGATGGGCCGGCGATCTCCGGCGAGTTCACTTTTCCTGGAATCACCTCCGATTCTCCGAGGGGAACTCCCCGCCAGAGACCCTCAAGATCGCCGTCTTCTCCCGGAAGTGGCCCACCGCCTCTGTCCCCGGGGGCATGGAGCGCCACGCTCTCACCCTCCACTCCGCCCTCGCCCGCCGCGGCCACCGCGTCCACGTCTTCACATCCCCGCCAGTGGAGGCCGCCGGCAACGGCGGCGCCGCCGCGATGCCGGAGCTCCACTTTATCGAGGGCCCGGCGGGGCAGTGGCGGCCCAACGACGCCTGGTCGCTCTTCAAGGCGGAGGACGATCGGGAGCCTTTCGATGTGGTGCACTCCGAGAGCGTGGCCCTGCCCCATCCCCTCGCCCGCGATCTCCCCAACCTGGCCGTCTCCTGGCACGGCAACGCCCTCGAGAGCCTGCAGTCGTTGCTCTTCCAGGCGGTGGCGCAGTCGCCGGAGGAGCCGTTTCCGTCAGGCCTCACAAGCGGCCTCCAGGGGCAGCCCCTGAAGGTCGTCCAGGAGATCGCCTTCTTCAAAGACTACACCCACCACGTCGCCATCACCGACAGCGGCGGCGAGATGCTCAGAGACGTCTACCAGATCCCCGACGGCCGGGTGCATGTCATCGCCAACGGCGTCGACGAGGAGGAATTCTCCCCCGACGAGAACCTGGGGCGGTCCTTCAGGGAGGAGATCGGCGTGCCGGCCAACGCCACCCTGGTTATAGGGGCCGCTGGCCGGCTGGTGAGGGACAAGGGCCACTCTCTTCTGCACAGGGCCTTCTCCCGCCTGGTGAAGGACCATCCCGGCGTGTACCTGGTGGTGGCGGGATCGGGGCCGTGGGCGCAGCGTTACGGCGAGCTGTGCCCGGAGGTGGTGGCGCTGGGACCCATGCCGCCGGCGAAGCTCAAGGCCTTCTACAATGCAATCGACGTGTTCGTGAACCCGACGCTGCGGCCGCAGGGACTCGATCTCATGCTCATGGAGGCGATGCAGTGCGGGACGCCGATCATGGCTACGAGGTTTCCGAGCATTAAGGGGACGCTGATCGTGGACGAGGAGTTTGGGCATCTCTTCGCGCCGAACGTGGAAGCGCTGGCGGAGGCGCTGGAGACGGCGGTGCGGGAGGGCCCCCGCCGACTGGCCGAGCGGGGGCGGGCAGGGAGGAACTACGCCGCCTCCATGTTCACGGCGAGGAAGATGGCGGCGGCCTACGAGCGCCTCTTCCTCTGCATCAAGAGGGAGAGTTACTGCAGCTACCCCCTTCACTTTGACCTTTGACAAAGCCATTTAATCCAAATCGTTTCCTATTATTCTCATTGACTTTTCGTCCTCATTATCTTCACAGAGAGAGAGAGATAGAGATATATATAGAGAGATATACAGATACGGATAGATAGGTCGAGAGAGAGCGATGGATGGATCCGATGATTGGACACGGTTCAAGCCAATTAATCCAAACCGTTTCCTATTATTTCACTCACTTTTCTTCCTCATTACTCATTACATTCGGAGATATAGATAGATGGAGAGACAGACGTGGTACGTAATATTTTCTGCAGCCAATATGAATTCCAAGAATGTGGGAGTTGCTGAGCTGTGACCGAGTGACGAGGTAGGTAATATTTTGCAACGGGCAGGGCTCACGTCATTCTCCTTCAATTCTTCCTGCTGATGTATGATCGAACAGCCCCATGAGTGATTATTGGGAAATGATCTTCTTCCAGAGTGTACCTGCTTTTATAGGACTTGTTGCCTGGCCTTGTGCTGATGCTGACAGGCGGTGGGGGTTGACCTTTGCAGAGCAGTGGAACCAGTGGGAGCTGACTTCGAAGTTGACTAGAAGACGCTTGTGCTTGGGAGACCGCGGGAATTATGTCCTCTTATCCTTTGTGTGGAATTCGGTGCTCACAGCTCTCTTTCTTGCTCTCTCCTTGTTAGATCTCTACACTCTTACACAATGACTCTTTCTCTCTCTCTCATTGGACGAGAAAGTGGTCCAAAGTCAGGAGCTCGCCTTGCTTGACAGAGCGAGTGCCGCTGTTGACTGGACAGCCGCCTAGGCTACCATCTGCCGGGGGGAACCACAGTCCCCCGTGGGACCTGCCGCTGTTGGCTGGGACAGACCCGCCGTCACATTCTATTATTCTTCTTCCTCGTCAACACCGCCACCTCTGGTGTTCCAGACCCAGTGCTTACCTCGTGACCACCAGCCGAAGCTTAGACGTCGACTCTCTGGTACGCTTCCTCTGTCTGTCTCTCTGTCTCTCTGTCTCTCTCTGTCTCTCTCTCTCTTTCTCTCTCTCGCCGCCGGTAGCTCCACGGGTCATGCAGCGGCGACCGGGAGAGACTGGAAAAATGGGGAGCGGAGGCGGCGACCAGGTGAAGGTGAAGATTATCGTTACCCAGTTCATGACCACGGACGCGGCCCAGTTCAAGTCCGTCGTCCAGACCCTCACCGGGAACGGCGTCGGCGGCGGCGGTGGCGGCGACCCGGCCACCTCGCCGCCCCCGGCGCTCCCCGAGGGGGTCCAGAGGCGCGACGCCGGCTGTTAGCCGCCGTTGACAGGTGCCCATCGATTCCACCTCTCCTCTGACCTGCCTTTAGAGTGGCATTTGAGTCGCCGTCTTCCATGAAACGGTCCTTCCTTCGTGGTCGATCTTCTTACCGCGTTCTGAGTTAATTGGCCGAGGAAAACCCAGCTCTTATTCAAGAAATTCGGGTCGCATCAGCCTTCAGGGAACATCGACCTCTTCCGTCGTTGGGAAAGTCAACGGTGGAGGAATTGGCCCATTTGAATCCCGCTGTAAGTGGGATCGGGCCAGGGTCTTGATGTCGTGCGTGGCCCATTTGAGCCCGAGAGCCTGAAATGCAATGAATGAAATTACGAGAAAAATGAATTATAGAAATTGGGCCGAGCATGAGAGGTCGTGGGTATTCTTGGGGGTACGAGTCTTGTTAAGTCCAATTAAGAGTCAGTCTTGGGTTGTAGCCCATTGAGGTCCTTCCCCTATGTTTAGACCATCTTTTAAAGTCTAAGCACACTTCTTGATTTTACTTTGTACCAACATCTGATGAAAGCAATGCATACGAATGAGGATGTCCCTGACAAATTCATCACGCTCAGCTGGTCTTGGCTCGAGCCTCACTTGGGCCGTTCAGTAATTATTGTTTTCCCTCTGAAGCAAGAGAGCATTACGGTTTTATGCGGGTTTATATTATTGATTATAAATCTACGATCTATCTCTTCCATCGTACCGAACGGCACGCAGTAGTCGGTTGACTTTTTGTAATCCCCCCGAACTATCGCCATTTGCATTAATGATAGTTGACGTCACAAGTCCTTGATCTTAACTGGAAGTAGGGCCTCATCTTTCAGTTCCCCTTTTTTTTTTCTCTCCAGGTGACTTGGTCAACGGGCGCGGGTTGGTTTCATGTCAGCCAAACTCACCGGGGGGGGGCCCTTTGCAGCGGAGCCCGTCTTTTTTCCGCCGAAATTAAACCTATCCGCTTCGGGTTTTCTGCGGCGTCTGACTCGGGGTGAACACACGAGAGAGAGAGAGAGAGAGAGAGGAGGAAGAAAGAGATGGCGGGCGGGGAGGGGGAGAGAAAGTAGGAGAAGACGAGCCGCGGAAACGCCCGCGGTCAGAAAACGGCCGCTATTCCCTGGTGCACCGGGCCCATTCCCTTCCTACCTCCCCCTCCTCATGCCCTTCAACTTAAACTCTAGCTTCTGCCCATCTCTTTCTAGCTCTCTCTCTCTCTCATCTAGTCACGTCAACGTTCTTTAATTGCCATCTCTGTCCATTAAGTTCTCCGTTGCTCTCCCTTACTGTCCATCGAGGGACGGAAGAGGGTATGGCGACCGTCGGCCACAGTAGGTTGAAGAAATCCCCCACCATGGTTTCCTCGCTGAGCTCCGTCCGGACGATCATCATTTGCCTTCTGGTCGTCGCGCTCCCCACCGTCGTCTTGCTCCATCGCCGGCAGGAGCTCGTCAGCGCCGCTTGCGCCGGCGCACCAGGCTCCGGCAAGGCTGGATGGGCCGGCGATCTCCGGCGAGTTCACTTTTCCTGGAATCACCTCCGATTCTCCGAGGGGAACTCCCCGCCAGAGACCCTCAAGATCGCCGCCTTCTCCCGGAAGTGGCCTACCGCCTCTGTCCCCGGCGGCATGGAGCGCCACGCTCTCACCCTCCACTCCGCCCTCGCTCGCCGCGGCCACCGCGTCCACGTCTTCACATCCCCGCCGGAGGGAGGGCCGCCGGTGGAGGCCGCCACGATGCTGGAGCTCCACTTTATTGAGGGCCCGGCGGGGCAGTGGCGGCCCAACGACGCCTGGTCGCTCTTCAAGGCGGAGGACGATCGGGAGCCTTTCGATGTGGTGCACTCCGAGAGCGTGGCCCTGCCCCATCCCCTCGCCCGCGATCTCCCCAACCTGGCCGTCTCCTGGCACGGCAACGCCCTCGAGAGCCTGCAGTCGTTGCTCTTCCAGGCGGTGGCGCAGTCGCCGGAGGAGCCGTTTCTGTCAGGCCTCACAAGCGGCCTCCAGGGGCAGCCCCTGAAGGTCGTCCAGGAGATCGCCTTCTTCAAAGACTACACCCACCACGTCGCCACCACCGAGAGCAATGGCGAGATGCTCAGAGACGTCTACCAGATCCCCGACGGCCGCGTGCATGTCATCAACACCGGCATCGATGAGGAATTCTCCCCCGACGAGAACCTGGGGCGGTCCTTCAGGGAGGAGATCGGCGTGCCGGCCAACGCCACCCTGGTTATGGGGGTCGCCGGCCGGCTGGTGAGGGACAAGGGCCACTCTCTTCTGCACAGGGCCTTCTCCCGCCTGGTGAAGGACCATCCCGGCGTGTACCTGGTGGTGGTGGGCTCGGGGCCGTGGGCCAAGCGCTATGGGGAGCTGCGGCCGCAGGTGATGGCGCTGGGGGCCGTGCCGTCGGCGAAGCTCAAGGCCTTCTACAATGCAATCGACGTGTTCGTGAACCCGACGCTGCGGCCGCAGGGACTCGATCTCATGCTCATGGAGGCGATGCAGTGCGGGACGCCGATCATGGCTACGAGGTTTCCGAGCATTAAGGGGACGCTGATCGTGGACGAGGAGTTTGGGCATCTCTTCGCGCCGAACGTGGAAGCGCTGGCGGAGGCGCTGGAGACGGCGGTGCGGGAGGGCCCCCGCCGACTGGCCGAGCGGGGGCGTGCAGGGAGGAACTACGCCGCCTCCATGTTCACGGCGAGGAAGATGGCTGCTGCCTACGAGCGCCTCTTCCTCTGCATCAAGAGGGAGAGTTACTGCAGCTACCCCCTTCACTTTGACCTTTGACAAAGCCATTTAATCCAAATCGTTTCCTATTAATCCCTTCACTTCACTTTGACTTTTCTTCCTCATTACTCATGATCTTCACAGATAGATAGAGAGAGAGAGAGAGAGAGAGAGAGAGAGAGAGAGAGAGAGAGAGAGAGAGAGAGAGAGGGCCCAGTTTGGCAAGCGTTGGGCAACGGGCCCACAAGCTGAGTTAACAGAAGGTCAACGATGAGACTATACATAGCCCTCGTTTCAAGTCGGGTCATAGAGATCGAGCAACAAGTAATCCCGATTCTTGAGTTACCCCCGATCCCGGCTACACATCCAAATGCCACAGAAGCAAAACGGGGTTTCCCATATTTCCAGCCGCCCCAGAAAACTCCTCAGGATTCCGGGCCAGAACAGTGAATGCTGATCAGGGGTCCAATGGGCGTTGAAGAATTGAAAGAATGGATACATATGTAAAGAGAGATAAAGTGAAAGAACGAGAGAGAGAGAGAGAGAGAGGATGGTGGGGGAAAAAATGGCTGAATTTGTCTCATGTCCCAGTTCAATCTCAATTATATAGTATAGTTGGTTCACTCACTGTAGTGGCTGACAGCCATACTAGCTGACCTCCGTGGTCGATGAAGGCGGCGGCGGCGGCGGTGGCAGTGGCGGCGTTGCTGGAAACAGAAGACTCCTCTTCCTCCCTCTAGAGCCCGTAGTGTCGGACTGAGCACTCCAGCACCTGCCGGCTGGGGCAGATCATCTCCTTCACCCGAGAACCATTCCTGTAGATTTTGAACGTCGGCACTATCCTTATGCTCTCGGCCCCGGCGATCTCCGGGCTCTCGTCCACATCCACCTGCACAGTCAAGCACACAGAACGCCCGCCGGTTTAGGGTTTTTAGCTTCTGTCGGAGGAAGATTCAGGCTTCCTTCCTGTGAATTGCGATGGGCTTCATTGATGCATTCGATGCGGGATCGTTCTAATATGATCTACTAGAAGGTGTCGCTGACCTTGAGAAAATTCACCGATGGATATTTAGTGCTCAAGGTGTCCAAAAATGGAGACATCTGCAGGCACTGCTGGTTCAATGCGGAGACGAAGTGAGCCACCGAGACCCCTGAATCTCACAAGATTTGATCAAACTGAAGCCCAAAAACACAGAAACAGGAGAGAGAGAGAGAGAGAGAGAGAGAGAGAGAGAGAGAGAGAGAGAGAGAGAGAGAGAGAGAGAGAGAGAGAGAGAGAGAGAGAGAGAGAGAGAGGCTCACCGGGTAGCGACAAGGCGGCTCTAAATTGTTCAGGTCCTGAGATCTCCACCACCTTGCCACCAAACTTCAAGCTGGAAGCCTCTTCTCCTCGAGATTTCTTGAGAGAAATCTGGGCGTGGGAGAGCGCTTCTGCCACCTCAATGTCTCCGGGGAGGTCGTTCCTCAACACCTCGTAGTCCTGAACGGCCTCCGCCCACCGCTCGAGCTGGTCGGAATTTCCCAACAATGGCAAGATCAACGCTGGCACTGGCGGCGCCCCAAACAAGTGGGCATACAGAGAGCTTGCTCACCTTGGCATTGGAGGCGGCTCGCCGAAGGAGCGCCTTCGTGTAATTGGGGTGGATGATCAGAGCCTCGTCACAGTCCTCTATTGACTTCTCCCACTGCCCCAGCTTTGACCAGCAGGCCGCCCTGTTGCAGTAGAGCACAGGGTTCGAAGGGTCAACCTTGAGGCCCTCCCCGTAGGCGACCGACGCCTCTGTGAACCTCCCCGAGTTGAACAGCTCGTTCCCCCTTGACCGAGCCCTCACAACCGACTTCACATTCCCGAGCACCGCCGCCACCTCTGCGCTCTGCGGGTCCAGCTGCGCCGCCCTCTCGGCGCAGGCCACCGCGCTCTCGAACCTGCCGAACATCCATCCCCACACAACCCGTAAGAACTCCCCGCCGAGAAAGGTACCCCAATTGGCTAATTTTTACAGTACCAGTGATCCTAGAAATGAAGAATTATGATCGAGAAGGCTCTCACCTTCCCATGGCCATCTCCACTTGGGCTCGGACGATGTAAAAATACGAGCTTGAGAGCATGCCGAACGTCGTCTGCGTGGATGAGGTGGGGGCCGTCTCGAGCTTGGAGGTGGTCGATAAGACCGAATCGGCTTCCTTGAGCCGGTGGAGCTGGAGAAGGGCTTCTGCTTTTGATGCCAGGAGCTGAAGCATTGGAGGGATGATTAGAACCGAGATGGGCAGTTTCTCTGCGCAGGAGTTTGAGGTTCTTGAGAGGTCGAGGAGGGTCACCAGAGTGGAGGAATCGGCCCCTGCTGCAATGGCAGCACCGGTTTCCCGCAGGGCGTTCTTCCAGTCTCCGATCTTCCTGGCACTCGCGCATCTGCCCAGGTGCCGCTCGATGGCCTGGAGCTTCTGCGATTCGGCGTGATCGAGCTGCTGCCCAGAAGAGAAGATATGCTTCTGAGCTTCCTCGACCTGCCCTAACCTGGGAGAGAATTAGATTGCAGAAGTTCATGAGTACTCGATATGCGATCAATCGCGCTCTGGGTAATTATTTTTTACAAAAATCGGAATAAAAATGGGTCCTTTGATTCAAAGGAATGATAAGAAATTAGGAGATGATATGATATCATTCAGAAACTGTTTTTTTTTCTTTCGCTCGATTATCCGGAGAAGCCTTCTCTGCAACTCCCGGAGAGGATTTCTTTCTAACATTACCATTGAGCTAGAAGAAAAAAAGAAACTATACCATGAGATCGGTGGAGAGGAGATATGATCAGGGGGATCATGTTCACAGAAGAAGATCGTCTTCACCTGAGATACAGAGACGCCAACCTCTGGTGAGCCCGCCAGTAGGTCGGATCCAGCCGCACGGCCTCCTCGCACTCCCTGACAGCTTCGGTCAGCCTCCCCGTCGCAATCAGAGCCGCCGCTCGGTTGCTATGGCAGGAAGCATTACCAGGGCACATGGAGATGGCCCTGTCGTAGAGCTTCAGGGCGTCGCCGAAGTGGCCACGCTTGTACTGCTCGTTGCCGGTCCTCTTCACTTCCTCCGGATCCATACTCGCCATGGCCCTCTTCACTGAATCTGTGCTCCCCTGCAACGACATGGATTCCGGCGGCGGCCTTCCGGCGGCGGCGCCGCCACGCATAATGCTGCCGTGCCCGTAGTTGCCGGTGCCCGAGCCCAGCACGTCACTCCTCGCCGAGCTCCGGCTTATCATGCCCGTCTTCCCAATTCTACCCGACGGGCAAATGTTGCCCGCCGGAAGGACATTGGCGGCTGGGGAGGTGGCGGAGCAGGCGCCACCGCCGCCGCCGCCGGAGAAGATGAACGGACCGGATCCTGTCCTGCGATGCCCGGGCTTCCAATTGCTCGAACCCCCCGATCCGGCGCCGTCGGCGCCCGCAGGGCTGCTGCCGCTGGAGCCCAGAATCTCCCCTGAGTGACTCTTGCCGTCGAACTTCCTCCCGACGGCGTTGGGGCCAGTTCTTCCCGTGATTGACCCGGAGGAGCTGGAGCTGCTGCTGGTGATGGTGACGCCGGCGGAGGTGTCCCCATCCCTTAGAGGGGAAACCGGGGAGCCCAAATCGAGCTCCTTCGAGCCGGGCTTACCGCCGTCGACGGCGACGGCGGAGTGGAAGCGATCTGAGATAGAATCCAGCGCTGGGGCTGCAATGGCTCTGCCGGCGTCGCTACTCATGCCTGCCGAGAAACGACGCCGCCGGAATGGCGAAAATGTTCCAAACTTCGACGTTCCTTCCCCCTTGCAGAGATCTCCACCAGAATCTACAGCCCCCGATCCTCCGCCGCCACTGCTGCTACGAGTGCCGCCCCCTTGGACCAGCGGCTGTAGCAGCAGCAGCAGCAACTACAGGGAGAGCGGGGGACTGCGCAGGCGGAAGCCGAGCTCCTCCTCCTACGGGACGCTAAGAAGCCATGAACGCTGAGATGGCGTCAATGGGCAGAGTGGGTGAGGCGAGGGATCGAAGCGTAAAGATGGGGATCTCGTGAATGGAAAGCAGGACGCAAGGTATGAATGTGGGTAGATTTGGAGTTGTCCAAGGGAAGGAGAGGTGAAAGACGCAGCGGAGACGGAAGAAGGGAAGAGTGTCAAGTTGTTCTCTTTTCTCTCTCCTCTCTCCTCTCTCTCCCCACCTGCTGCTGACCCAGTCTTCTTCTATCCTCTTCCTCCCCCGTTTCTTCCGATCTGTGACCGTGTTTTCTCTGTTTCCGACTTTCTCTCTCTTCCCTTCAGCGTCCGTCCGTGGACGGTGACCTGACTTCAGAGGCTTACCCATCTCCCCGGTCACAGAGAGAGAGAGAGAGAGAGTGGGGGGGGGGAGGATGTAATCACCGCTTTCGCCCTCCATCGCTCTACGGGACGGTAAATTTCGTAAAATCACCGTCATATATCCCCACCCCCTTCGGGAAGTGAACTTACCGCCACCCATTTCTTTATAAGATCCGCCACCTCTGACGGTCCCCGTCATCTCATGAGAGGGTATTTTCGTAAAACGGGGTCCCCCACAGGACACAGGGAGGCAGCTGGCCGGACGCAGGGCTGCCTTGCCAGCTGGCAGAACCGAACTCTCCAGCGCCCTCCAGGTAAGCAGCAGATTAACGACGGCCCCGACGGCCCCGACGGCCCCTGCCGTGTGCCGGTGCCGTAGGGGCATCAGCGCAATTTCCCCGTTGATGGGGGGTCAATCCACAATAGGCCCAATTAAGATTAATTGGCCCACTAAATACCAACGGCCGGTTGTTGAGTCAGAGAGGGGCTGAATCATGCTGGGGAATCACTCCCTTGCCGATGTGGCACCTTCCTCCCGCTGGTCGGTGAGAGGGAGGCTTGACCTGGAGGAGGAGCATTCGGGGGATGACGACGGCGACTTTCCCCGGAGGCGGGCGGGGCCACGTGGAGGCCCACCCACTTGACCCCACCCCACTTGCGGCGCCGCCTCGCCCTCACGGCACCGTTGTTTCCATGGAGCCTCCACTGCCCCCCGCCCCCCTCCTACTCATCCTAGCAGAAGAGAAAGCGAGAGAGAGAGAGAGAGAGTCAGCGGTCGTTTGCCGAGGGGAAAGTCTACGGGGGCTTCGAGAACTTTGGACGTATTGAAGATCTTCGCCCCCGGTATGCCTTACATACGGGATATTTCCCCCGCTCTCTCTCTCTCGCTCTCTCGCTCTCTCGCTCTCTCGCTATCTACCTATCTCTATCTCAGCTCCCCTACAGCTGTCGTAAGCGACCGACCACCCGCGACGTCGACTTCGGATTGATTACGTGTGGAAGGCTTTCCCCACGTGGGACTAAAACACGAAGAAGTTTCCCTCCATGGAGGGGTAGAGAGAGAGTGAGAGAGAGAGAGCAGACACCCCTAAATTTATCTCCTTTTTACTAGTTGATTTATTATTTATGTGAATTGCATACTTTTAAACTCTCAATACGGAAATGCTGGAGTAGTTGTAGCAAAATCTAGAGGGGAATCTGGGCCTGAAGGGCCGTGTCACAGTGTGAGGGCGTAGTCCGATGATTTCGGGCTGTAGGTGCAGTCCATAGAGGCCCATTAAAGGACAAATATCTAATTCCATTCCTATCCTATTCTGGGAGGTTCTAGACTCGAGAGGTGGGCAGGCCTCTTCTTCTACAGAAGAACCGGTCGGATGTCGTCACTCTGCGTCTCCCCTTTTCATCTCCCCTTCTTCATAAACCCCGCCACTGTCCGAGGCGTCAGGCGTCGATCGGCCGTACATCTCGAACGGAGGAGCTCCGAGATCTCGGCAATGGCGTCTTCTCCACTCCAGAAGAGGGTGAGCATCTCGTCCGTCGACGGCGGCTCTATACATGTTCTGTTTTTTTTTCGGATGTTTTGCTCAACTCTGGAGACCACCTGTGATGGATTTCTTAGGTGCTCGTCCCGGTTGCGAATGGCACGGAGCCGATGGAGGCGGTGATCATTATCGACGTCTTGAGGAGAGCCGGCGCGGACGTCACGGTCGCGTCCGTGGAGAAGGATATTCGCGTATATGGTTCCTGGGGGGTGAAGCTCGACGCGGACGCTCTCGTGGCGAACTGCGCCGGGACACACTTTGACCTGATTTCTATTCCTGTGGGTTCTGGATGCCGTTTTTCATGGTAATTTAGGCGTCTTTTCTCTTCGGAATTATGTTTAAGTTGATCTTTCTCGTATTTCCAGGGCGGTATGCCTGGCTCTGCCACTCTCAGAGACTGTGCAATTCTGGAGGAGATGGTGAAGAAACATGTCGCTGATGGTGGCCTGTATGCTGCTATTTGCGCGGCTCCGGCTGTTGTGCTTGGATCGTGGGGTCTGTTGACGGGTTTGCAAGTAGGATTCGACCGTTTATTCAAGCAAATTATACGTTTTCGATGCGTCTACCCGTTTTTTTTTTATGTAATTTCATTTTCTCCATTCATAGTTGCACCAAAACTTGTCTCATATATATATATATATATATATATCCTTTTTTGGTACCGTTTTCCTTCTCGTCTTCGTCAGATGATTTTTCTACCCCCACAAAATGTTACGTAACTTCAATCAGACATCCCTAGGTAATTTTATTTGCCATCCACCTCTTTTTAAATATGATGTTTTCAGGCAACTTGCTATCCCTCATTCATGGAAAAACTACCAGCGGATGTAACCGCTGTTGAATCGAGGGTCCAGGTGGATGGTAAAGCTATTACTAGTCGGGGAGCTGGGACAGGGATTGAGTTTGCCGTGACATTGGTTGAGCAGCTTTATGGTAAAGACAAGGCCGACGAAGTTGCTACGCCCATGGTAAGTCACCTATGTCCTGTGTCACCACTAGTTTCTGATTAATTCTTGTCACAGTTGGGCTAGGACCTATTGATTCCATGGGCGAGAAAGACTGTTTAATGGTTATTACTTCTAGATCGTTCTCATTGAAAACGGTAAACACTGGATCATTGTGCCGTGTTTCTTTTGAGGACCATTTTGTCAGTTTGAGTCCTTCGATTGTGGGCAAATGTCTATTGGGTACTTTGCATAACATCTTGATTGTACATCTAACACCGTGGAGAATTGTTAAAATATTCTTATTTACATAAAATTGGGAAAATGTTATCTGTAGGTCTGCACAATATCCAGCTGTCATATGTGATTGACGCCAAAGATCGTAGTAGTTATTTGGTTTGCATATTTGCTTTGAGTTTTATTGATAGGTACAGGTTCAGTTACTGTGTTAAGGCCTTATTAATTCATTGGCTGGCTCAATCGTATCCTGCTATTTATTGCTTTCCACTTCATGAATCTTAGTTGGAGGATTGACAACCTGCCTTATAATTTCTTGTTTCATGTTTCTTTTCTGGAGTTAATTGCTCAGAACAGGAACTTCATGAAAAAGGGACCGCTCCTGGTATCCCCAATATTTCTGGCTAAAATGTCTTATCTTATATTATCTTTTCGCTTGAATTCTGCAAGGAGTATACAAATTCTTGGTATGGGCTAAGTTATTAAAGAATGGGATGGTACATCTTCTGTGTAGAGTTCTCTGATTCGTCCCTAATGTTCACTTTTAGATGCCCATTAATTATATAGAGTTTATATCTTTTGGTGGGGTGCATAATATTACTATTTCTGATGGCACCTTTGACAAATATATTATTCACTAATCTAACATTTCGCATCTTCTATCCAAAGATGCTAAATTTGGACAGAGTATTAAATCAACTTTAAAACTGAGATTTGAGTGGTCGCTTCAGCTTCAGTTTCAGTTTCATGTCAGCCTTATTACTCTTTTACTAGAGTTTAGGGCAGTAATACATATCTATCAACTCTGTCTAACTCTCAAATCACCATCCTACACCAAATTCACGTTAAGTACATTTTCTCCCGTCATAGTTCTTACGATTATATGCCATATTTTCTTCCAGAGATTGTCCTTCCAAAACCGTCAATGCATGCCATTCGTCGTGGCAAGCTCTGTGGATAGTTACTAAGAAGGGCATATTGTTGTAACAGCTTTTGAGATCATTCATTCATATAGATATTAAGGGATGGTCGACAGTAGTAACCTTGGCATATAATTGATTGGCTTCCGTGTATTAAAATAGAAAGTCACTATTTCGTACATTAAATTAAAGTAATAAAAGTAAGATGCTTGTGATTATCTATGCAAGCGGACTTGCAATATCACCCACAGATAATTATCGCAACCGTTCATTGTGTATGTTGGTTCTGCTGCGACATGTGCAATCATTTATTTCTAAACTTCTGCCCACTCAAAATCATATTTAGGTATTATCCATAAAAAATGGATGAGGATCTTTTCATCCGAAGGATTTGGTGGGATACATCTGGTTTGAAGACAATCTTGTAGGATTTATGTAGGCTAAGGAGAAGACTGGGAGAAGGGTGTTCTGTCGTAAAACTATTTATGGACTGGTCCCATGGAAGCTTTCAGAATGCTCCTGCCGCATGCAATCATGGTGCTGGTATTCAGACATAGCATACCTTTGTACATTGTCACGTGATTTATCATCTCCGACAAGGGGCTTATGCACTTATAGGATGTGCTTCACCTGGGGATATGCGGTGAAATATGGGCAATGCACGACTTAGGACATAAGTTGCATGTATACTACTTGTTGTGCCTGAACAACCTTTTTCCTCTGGGATTTCCTTTTATGAAGACTCTCCAACATTCTTATCCCTACATTGTCCTGCATTGTCCCGCAAATCATTTCTAAGATCTCAAAATATAATGTGGAGCATGTTTTTGTAACGTGGTCCACTATATTGCGCATAATGATCTCAGTTACCATACTTTCCCGTGGGAGTGGTTCGAGCGTGGTTCATATTCAGTTTGTGGCCACCACGTTGACAGGAAATGAATTGCTCTAGTTTGTTGTTCATCTTTCGTGACTAATTCAGTGATCTCAATCCTTTCAGGTTATGCGTCCTCATCATGGTGAGGAGTTCAGCCTGGCAGAACTGAATCCTATAGAATGGAAAATCGGCACCACCCCTCAGGTGAGGAATGAACCTACCTTGTGGTGCTTACCGAGCGTTTTACCCTTCAATGTCACTATTATTATTTTTGGACTGAGTAAAACATTTACCGTAGAAAAAACGGTATTTTTACTTAATGCATCTGTGGCACAGCTCAGAAATTCAGCCGGGGAAGGTTTCAAGTTCCGTGCCTGACCTTGAATCTCTTACTTTATTCTTGAAGATATGCTGATTGACTGTGAACAACAAGAGAGAGCGTGGCCTATCTAAGAATCAAGACGGGGGTTCCTGATTCTAATATTTTGAAAGAAACTGGTTTAGGAAGAACTAAGAATCATACATGAAAATTCCTCTCGGTGTCATATGTCTGAACATGGAATTATTGTCTTAAGCAGGGTTTTTATTCTTCTCAATTCTTGTTCTCTTCTCCTCACAGATCTTCGTTGCATTAGCTGATGGTGTTGAGGAGATGGAGGCCGTCATGATCATCGACATCTTGCGTCGAGCTAAGGCCAACGTCGTGGCCGTGTCCATTGAAGACAAGCTCGAGATCCTCGCATCCCGAAAGACTAAATTAGTGGCCGACATGCTCTTCGAAGATGCCGCCAAGCTTCAATTCGATCTTATTTTACTACCCGTAAGCCATCTCCCCATTTTATGGATGCCAGGAACACGCAGAATCGTCAAATCTCTTGCCCATAATACCGTCATCCGGCTTCAGGGTGGGCTCGGCGGCGCCCGGGCGTTTGCAGACTCGGAGAAACTGGTGAGCCTGCTGAAGGAGCAGGCGGCCTCTAGCAAGTTCTACGGGGCGGTGTGTGCCTCTCCGGCGATGGTCCTCGAGCCCCACGGCTTGCTGAAGGTACCACTGCGGATTAGCTTCACTCCTCCTTAAAAAAGCTCCTCCTCCATGGGCCACCCACCGGAGCTCTCTTGTCTGGTTTAATAATGGCAGGCAAAGAAGGCGACGTCGTACCCGGCCATGTGGAGCTCTCTCTCTGATCCGAGCGAGTCTCAGAATAGGGTCCTCGTCGACGGCAACTTGATCACCAGCCAAGGCCCGGGATCCTCAATGGAGTTCGCCCTCGCCGTCGTCGAGAAGCTCTTCGGCCGGCAGAGAACCCTCGACCTCGCCAAGAGCCTGGTCTTCATCTGAGGTATCTATGAACTGTGTTTTCTCTCTCAAGAAGATGTTAAGAAAAAAGCCCCAAAACCGGGTTCCTCCTCTTCTACACTGTCTTCCTGCACCTGAGCCAGAGGACGGCGAAGGCGAGGACCCTGTACCCGGCGACGAAGCCGGCCATCACCCCGGCCCTGGTCCACCTCCTGGCCCCCTCCAAGCCCTCCCTCCCGAGGAACATCTCCCCGTCCACCACACAGGCGCCCCCCTCTCGCTGCAGGCACATCCTCCTCCCCCCCTCCCCCCCGTACTCGTTGATCAAAAAGGCCTCGAAGGGGTACTTGAACAGGCTCAGGTAGTGCACGAATATCCACTGCCTGGGGATGCTCTCCTTAGCTATGAAGTACCCGGAGAAGAGGAAGAAGCACCCGAGCAGCCCCGCCGCCGCCGAGCTCCCCACCACGAAGCTGGGCGCCAGCGCGGCCACGCAGGAGAGCAAGGAGTTCGCTGCGGCCATCGCCAGCCACACCACCAGCGCGAAGAAGAGAAACCCGTCGAGCTCCCGCCGAAGGCCCACAAGCCAGTACACCGGTGCCGCGTAGAGCAGCGCGGCGGCGAGCAGTAGCGGCAGGTACACGGCGGCGTTGGCCAACGCGTAGGAGGAGACCCTGTACGCCCCCCGCGAGGTCTCCCTAGCGACGATCTTCCTCTCCCGGAGGAACACCGGCAGCGCCTCCGTCGTGGAGGAGAGCAGGAAGGTGAGGCTGAAGGCGAAGAACCCCACCCTCGCCTGCAGGTCATCTGCCCTCATGAAGACCGACCCGAGCCCCAGCCCCGCCGCCAGCGACTGCACTATCTTCGTCGCGAAGAGCTGGTTTGACCGCCGGACGGTGGCGGCCAACCTCCCCCCGAGGACCAGCACCTCCCGGAGGTGGCCGTTGGTGTTGACCAGCTGCCCGCGGGGGTCGTCTTCTTCTTCGAGCTCCTCCGAGGTTGATTCCTCCACGGGGAGGAGGGCCCACTGGGGGAGGTCGTTCTCCATGGCGTACTCCAGCGCGTTGACTTGGTTGGGGATGCGGTGGCCGGCTTCCTTGAGCCGCCGCTCGAGGAGCTCCAGCGGCCCACGATGGCGCACCTCGCCGGCGACAAGGATGACCACCTGATCGATGAGCTCCAAGATGCGGAAACCCGGCTGGTGGACGGTCACGACAACGGCCTTCGACTCGGCCCTGGCCATCGCCCTCAGCAGGGAGATTATCTGCACGGCGGAGGCCGAGTCCAATCCGGACGTCGGCTCGTCCAGGAGAATCGCCCCGGGGCGGTGCACCAGCTCAACCCCGATGGAGACCCGCCGCCGCTCGCCGCCGGAGATCCCGGACCCCACACGGCAGCCCGCCACGTGGTCGAGCCCCAGCTGCCGGAGCAACTCGCGGGCTCTATCGGCGGCGGCAGCGCCGCCGAGCCTCAGATAGGCGCTATAAAGGAGCGACTCCTCAACGGTGAGCTGCGGGAGGAGGGAATCCTCCTGTGGGACGTAGCCGGAGACACGCCGGAAGAGGGCGGCGTCCATTGGGCGCCCGTTGACGAGGACCTCGCCGCTGACCCGGCGGAGGGGCACCATGCCGGCGAGGATAGAGAGGAGGGTGGTCTTGCCGGCGCCGCTTGGACCCACCACGGCGGTGATTTCGCCCGGTAGGTACCTGCAACTCACGTCCCGAAGGATGGGTTTCGAGCCGGCGCGCCCCCACCACCACCGGCAAGCCCAGTCAAGCTCGCCGCCACCGTCCGCCGGCCGCCGGTACGATACCGACTTCGTTTCTATCAAGTAGCGGGTTTTCCACTCGCTAGTTGCCGGACCTCTCACCGGTAACTCCATGACTGAGAACCTCCACACAGAGCTAGAGAGAGAGAGAGAGAGAGAGAGAGAGAGAGAGAGAGAGAGAGAGAGAGAGAGAGAGAGAGAGAGAGAGAGAGAGAGAGAGAGAGAGAGAGATGGGCGAGGAGTTAGATACAAATCGACGGTAGCTCCGGGCGTTACGCTGAGGTTTTCTGCCGTTAAAGATGAGGTGACGAGGGGAGGGAATCATGCAGGTGAGTCTTCACGACCGAGCCATCGGGGGTCGAAGGGTTCATGATCTCCGTGTGACCCGGAGAGCCGGAAGAATCCTGTGCAGTACGTGTCGCCTCGGAAGTTACTGTCCACGTAGGTACTCCGATAATTGACTTTGACTGTTCGTTTTAAATGCAAATATTCTTATCTTTTAGACACTAGTACCGGTCGAAACATTTATTAGCAAACTAAGTACACTTTAATCCAAAAAAGTAATAAATATATACATATACATATAAACGGACTGTGAAAAAATACCCAAAACTGTCCATAAATACGACAAGGGGCACATTTAAAATTGATTATTGTAAAGTGCAGAAATTCAAAGGTTATTTACTAAATTTCACCATTAACTCATCCTATTCTCATATCATATATTTTCCCATTAGTTGAACTTAGATTAAATGATGCTCATACGTAGCCACGATTCACGAGAAAGTCAACCCTGAAGAGCCATTTTCCTCGCAAACATGAAAAATATCACTTACACTAATAATGGTTAATTAATTATGAGTTGGAGGGCTCAAACCCAAGGCCCAGCCCACCTTATAATGGGCCTTTTTCTGGGCTGGTGTGAGGTCCAAAATGGCTCCAACCCTTTATGGGGCCCACCGACCAAAACCCTGGCGTCGTCTACCCTTGCGATCCGTCGGAGACAGGGCTCGTCCTCGCCTTCCGACCATCGTGCTGCTCACCGACTAGAGTCCTCTGGCGACCTGCTGGCGGTCGCGCCGCCGTTTGTCTCTATAACACCTCCTGGGACACAGATATAGATATATTTCTAAACCCTCGGTAAACCCTTACGCTGGAGGGCTCCTGTCTCGTTTGATCGACCCTCTATTTCCCATTTCGCCGATCGGTGCGGCCGGCGGAGGCAGCGGCGGGTGACGAAGGCGGCCAGAATATCGCGGCGGGAGTTGTGTCAGGTACGTTGCTCCTCTGCGTCCTCTTTTTCTTCTCTGTTCTTAGGTTTGAGTGGCGGCCTCGGCAATGACTGATGTATGGCGGTCACCGGGTTTTTCTTCTTTCTCCTCAACAGAAGATAAAATGCGTGTCTAGTTGTTTGGCATTTTGGTACTGAGAAGGGTCGTCCACATCTCCTGTTCCAGAACACGCTCATACACCTGATGATGTCCCTTCTCGTCCCCATTCTCTGTCTCTCCCTCTATTCTTGTCTCCGTTTTTAAGTAGAATGAGATCAGATCCGGTCCCCGGAGGCGGCACAAAATTGCTCCTGCGAGGGTTGAATCCTGGTTACCTAACGCTGTAGCTTCACACAATTAAACGAGTGGATTGTGTGTTGCTTGTGCCATGCTGTGGATATCTGTTAGCCTGTGCTCTATGCGACTGAGGTCAAGCAAGAAATGAGGAATAAAAGTGAAAGTTTAGGTACTAGAACGTTTTTCCATTTCATGTACTTCCTCTGTATGCGCCAGTGAATAGGTAAAGAAGAAGATGAAAAACGCACAGGATGCTCTTTGCGAATTAGGAAAAGGATAAAGAAAAGAGCATCGTTTAGTCTTCGGGGTTGATATACTTCCTTGTTGCCAGGAAAAATGTGGAGTTAATCTTGTTAGCATTTTGTCGTTCGCAAAATTTTCTGAAATTTCCAAGGTATTATATAACGGTGCGGGAGATTTGTGTTTCTCCGAATGGTGGAAGAACATTGAAAGAGGATTTCCGGAGGTCTTATTCTCATTAATTTTGATAATTTGATTTTGCGTGGAATTTTGGCTTAATAGGGTCTCTTATCATATCAGATGACTGTCTGATGCATCTAGAAAGGAGGAAAGATAATCGGATTGCTTTTCGAGGATATTGATTTTATGTGGATATTCAGGTCATACTTCACAGGCTGAATCATGGCTAGCTATCTGCATACTAGGAGGAACACGCTCGGTTGTCCAGAATAGAAGTACTCCAATTGTGGACACAGCTGAGAATAGTAGTCGGAAATGATATTGCAGTTGTGGGTTTACTATCACATGATGGGGATTCAAGTATAGTGAAGTCAGTCATCAATAAAACAGCAAAAATTGGAGCCGGATGCCTACATTTTAAATCAAAATTTTAATCTTATCTCCGAATTTTATTTTTATTCGGAGAAAAAAATATTTAATTAGAGATGGGTTTCAGGTCTTTTAGACTTTGAAATAGCTTTCTGAAAGATATCTCTCTTCTGTGTTTCTCAATGGATGTAAAAGCCTCTCTCTCTCTCTCACACACACACATGCACACACACCCACACATACACACACTGGCTCTCTGCTTGTGCAAAGTGCTCGCTGACTCTCTGTCACCTGAATGTCAGTGAGAAAGACTTTCCTAAAACTAAGCCAGGGATCATGGCTGGCAGGTTTTATGTGTATGATTTACGATTTTGGGAGAAAAACCAGTGTAATTTTCCTTCACCGCTAATTACCTTTCAGATTCCGTCATGCACTATCAAGTCCTTAGGGCAACAGAGGAAAGTGGCTCTCGTATATATGCTTGAAGAGACTGACATGGAAGTTGAAGAAGATTTCCCACCAAAGTAGGATTATTGTCGAGGATGAATTTGAACTGGTGAAGATGGGTCAATTGCGTGATTACTTATGCTAGTCAAGCTTGTCCATTGACTATCATGTACTGAACAAATAGTAGACCATTTGTTTGGTGCACGTCTAGTAACTGATTTCATTTGAATAGTTATCATCAAATGCTTAGACATCGGATTTCTGTGATCCTTCGACTGATTACCATGTTGAAGGGTTCATGTCAAGGGAGGTAATAAATGAAGTTCGTAGTGGCCCATTGTTCATGTTCTCTTTCTTCTTGTTCACTCTCTGTCTGACATCTAGCCTTCCTTTTTGTAACCTTTCCTCTCCATGACAACTTCCTGTTATTTTTCCGTTAAAGAAGTGGGATTGTAATTTGGCCTATAGTTAGCATTGAAACATGAATTCTATTCGAGTTGATCTATGTGAGAGATCTGGGAGAGATTATTGTAGTGTAGGAATGCGATTGATGTGGAAAATTTGTGATAACATTTACCTGCTAGAGATCACTTTCATTGCTGTTGGAGGACAGGATAATATGGGCAAATAGAGGGCACAGATGGATGCGGTTTTGTATTCACAGGCTATGTAATGTAGAATGAATTTTATAGAGAAACAAAGGACTGTGGTTCTGATAGTCTGTTTCATGCCGATGATCCATTGGATTCAAGGGTTAGACTTTCAGGTCCCTCAGTCCTTAGATCATCATTGGGTTCTTCTTCCTCCACAACAGAGCGGATATTCGTCAGGGTATGGTTAAGAGGAATATCTGGCTTGACCGGTTTGATATTTTAGTTCATACTCTTTACTTATTGCCTCCTCTGATTAGTCTGGTTGCTCTCACCTCAAGAATAATGCTCTGTATTGACTCAACAGGGTAACCACCTGCTTCTTCTTTGAATCCTTCAGTGGTAGCTATGAGCGCAGCTGTTGGTTCTAAATGGTCGTCAGGTATTTTTCTCTCCCGTATATTTATGTTGAAACTTTTTCCGTTCATCTCTTGTGGTAGGAAAGTATGTGGGCATTATTCTAACACAGTTAAGGCTGAAATGCATCCCTCTCTCAGCTGTCTGCAATGGGAAGATGAATACTTTTTCATATATCTGTTTACTTTGTTCAGGGTTTATTTCTTCTTGGATAAAAATTTCTCCGTGATGGAAAAATTCTCTGAAAATCACTTTGAAGTTTCTTATTCGTTTCCATCTTGTGCCCATTACTGCTGGCTGCGGCTTGGCTCTCATTTGGTGATGCCTAGATTGCCCACTCTCGGCAACAAGACTGTATGAAAAGAAGTAGATGAACGCCATTAATAAAAAAACAATCTCCTTTGGGGTGGGCTGGTCTTTAATCTTACGACCATCATGTTTCTATCTATCTCTTTGTATTTTTTTATTTTTCATTTTATCTTCATTTAGTAGTTTTCTTCCATGTGTCTAACTGTTAATCGGATATTTTGAGCTAGCAGGCCGCTCACTGATGGGAACTGCCGGCAAACTCATTCTGGGTGCGACGAGAATGAATCTTGGAAGCATTATAACACCATCTTGCAACGCTAATAATACCTTGTGCCAGGTACCCCTTCGATCCTTTATTTCTCATTGTTTGTATAGTTAGATAGTTTAAAGGATAGATCATTGATCGGTGCACTTTGTATTTACTTGCGATTATTGGGCTGCAACTGTGAACCGATCCATCGATGCCCTTATTAAACTAACAACCCTTCTTATAAGTTGAAGCCATTAGAACAGTTTTCAGCGGAGATCCTTGGTTGACCCACTTCTTTTTGTTTTGCTGTAAATTTTCAAAAAAAAAAAAAAAAGAAAAAAAAGAAAAGGGTTTTTCAAACATCATATGCTTGAGAAACCTGCCTTCTCGGGCATTGAACTGCTGGAAAAGCATCAAGTGGAGATCTTTGCACAAATATTAATCTTTTCAAAGACTCTTTTATTTAGTTGATCATTAGATTATTAATTTGGAGGATCTCGAAACCTATGGGTACTGAAATCCGTTTTAGGAAGACCCCACCACCTACCCACTTACTCATTTGAGATGTTTATTTGTTTTAATTTTTGTTGTTCTTGGGGCAGATGCAGCAGCAGGTGAGGGGGTTCATCCAGATGAGGACGAACCTGAAGGTGGTGGACAATTCGGGGGCGAAGAGGGTGATGTGCATCCAGGCGATGAAGGGAAGGAAGGGGGCGCGACTGGGGGACACCATCATCGCCTCCGTGAAGGAGGCCCAGCCGCGTGGCAAGGTCAAGAAGGGGGACGTCGTCTACGGCGTCGTCGTCAGGGCGGCGATGCAGCGGGGCCGCTGCGACGGCAGCGAGATCAAGTTCGACGACAACGCCGTCGTCCTCGTCAACAAGCAGGGCGAGCCCATCGGCACCCGCGTCTTCGGCCCCGTCCCCCACGAGCTACGCCGCAAGAAGCACGTCAAGATCCTCACCTTGGCCGAGCACATCGCCTGACCCCGCCCAAAACACAGCCCTCCCCTCTTCCTCTCTCTCTCTAGATTTCTCTCTCCTCCCCGCTGCGGCATTGTTTTTCCCGTTTTAGGACGCTTCGGAGGATGGAACGTTCTGATTGGCCGGTGAACGGCCTCTTTCTTCTTTCGTTCCTAATAAAATATTTGGAACACCCATCGTCAACCAGAAAATATTGCCGTATTACTGTTCTAGGAAATTGCTTGTCTCTCTCTCTCTATCTCAGTTTCTCTCTCTAAAAATAATGCCGCATTGTGATCATGACGAACGATTAAAACTCCATTAGAGGGAAGGGAGGAGAGGGTGGGGTCTTTGATTGATTAATTCACAGTATCTAAGACCTTATTCCTGAGATGAAAAACGTGCCGACGGGGGGGAATCCATGGCTGAGCAGAGCAGAAGAACGCTGAAAGAAGTTGGGGCGATCCCCCACTGACTCATCAAATTAATTCTCACGGGCAAACTTGATGCCCTTCTCGATGGAGGCTCTGAGCTCTGGCTTGAGATTCTCAAGGCCCTCCTTCTCGTAGCCTGAGAGGGGCCCCAGCCCCAGCACTTCTTCGACACCGTTCTTTCCCAGCCTCACCTGCAATGAGTGATCACATTCATAACAGTTAAATGATATAATTCATGGTGTCACAGTTTAATCGGATGTATCTCGTTGCCATACCCTTGAGTTTTGTTCTTATGAGTGGCCATGGCTCTTGATTTGATCACAGGCAAGAAATTTTCAGTACAATGAAAACTCCAATAATTTAATTTAATTTAATTTAATTGGGAAACAACCAACAATCGGATTGCTGCTAATCTTTGACATTTTCATCCGGAAGAAATCATGGATTTGAGTCAATCGGAAAGGGAGATTTTCAAGAAATGAAAAAAAATAATTATAATTTAATCTAATAGGGAAACAAACGAGATTAGGTGTCGTTGCTAACATAGTTTTGTTCTTGGAAGTGTGAATTAATAAAGAAATTTCTGGGATAGGGAAAATTCCAATAACTTGATACAATCCAACGTTTATTTTCAGGGAAACGATCATCGCTTTAATTGAATGAAAAAATAAAATTTCAGCATAATGGAAACGCTAATAATTAAATTTAATTTCGTCAGGAAACAAGCAACGATGGGTTAAACTTTAATTTTTCATCTGCCACAAATCACAGCCTTAACGTAATAAAAAACATAAAATGTCAGTAAAATAAACACCAATTATTTTATTTTTATTTTATTTATTGGGAAAAAGAAAGGGTGGGTCGCGATGGAAATAATACCCGGTTTTAATCATGTGGAATGGGCCAAATTATTTGATCTAAAGTTCAAGCACTCACAGAAAAAAGGCCACAAAAAATTATAGGGTTGATGATAACTAATTACCGAAAAATTAAAAAAGTAAAATAATATTTCAAACAAAATATCCTGGTGGACCAGGAAATAAGAAGGAAACCCACCATGAGAGGGCGACCCTCTAACCGGTGGCAGAGTCTACGGAAGCACATAAAAAAGGGAACAATGACCAATTAACGAAGCAAATTTCACAACTTTCACACAAGAAGTCGCAGAAAACCATTGTAAGCCAGATCCACATAGCACGGACATTAAATTTTCCACAGCATTAAAAAAATATATCATTTCACTAAAAACACTAATATTAACAGTAATATTACTACTGATAATAATAACAATAGATTATAAGGTGTTTAGAGAAAAATAGAGGTAATTTAAGATACCTTAGAGGCAAAGAAAGGGAGTTCGGTGACGCTCGATTGCACAAAAGAGCATTCCACAATGTCTGGAACTCCATTGAGACCCTTTAAGCATGCATCAGCAAAAATGGCACCAGCATAGCTGCAGAAGTACGTGATACAAGTGAGGTGCCGACCCATTGATGAGAGATAATATACAGAAAGAATGCACAAAAATTAGTCTTTTTTTTCTTGCCATTTTCTGAAGACATAAGCACTGAGCCAGATACTGATCCGTCGATAAGAAATCATTACATTCAATGCCGAAAACCGAAGAGTTTTATAGAAGGATACCCATCATCAGCAACTATGACTAAAGTCCAGATACCCCAACTAGGATAAATGTTTATCATACATTAAGTGGGAGCAACTATGGATATTACACTATGGTCTTCACCATCACATATTATACAGAATGAATGCACAAAAGATAGATTTTTATTTCCTATTTTCTGAAGAAAAAAGCACTGAGCCAGGTACTGATCCATAGATAAAAAATCATGACATTCAATACAGAAAATCGAATAGTTATGGTCTTCCATCACGTGAAACTACATTATGGTCTAAATTTTTTTATAGAATGAGTGTGAGAAACGAGGAATACTACATTATGGTCTTCACCATCACATGAAACTCATAGAAACCAAACATCCCTAGAATCTTTTTTTCATCGGATGGCCAATGATGGCCGGCAAAAAGTAACCAAGAGGGTATGTTTATCATCTTCTTTCTAGAAAAAGATGACAGAAGATGGGCAGAGGATTGAAGAGATAAGTGAAAATATTGAGATTGACGTTGACTGCAGAAGAGGAGCTTCTGAATAGAATTGTCCAGTGACTTACGCCATAGATAAGGTCGCAGAACCTTTTCCAGCCTTCGCTTCCACCACCTCTGTCCCTCCATCCTGAGTTCTCTTAGTGAGAGCCTTAATGTCCTCGGTGGATAGATTGGACGCAGGAGTCGCCTGTTAAGCAGGAAAGGGCGGAGATATCTACGTTCTTCAGCGATAACTGATCAAAGGGAACAGAACAAGCGGATGGAAAAGAATGGAGACGAAGAACGAGCCTGCGAAAACAGTGGGAGAATGGTTATCCCAGCATGGCCTCCGACGACTGGAACGTTGGTGGCTGGATAAAAACAGATCCGAGTGATCATCAGGATTCAACATAAAATCACATCCATTCGTTGAAAAGCACGAAATTAAGAGAAGCCATTACATACGGCGGAGTATTACCAGCAGGGATAGATCCAGCCTTCCCGGCGTAGAAAGTTTTAGCTCTGAGGACGTCAAGTGTAGTGACTCCAAAGAGCTTCTTCTCATCGTAGGTTCCCGCTTTCTTGAAGACCTCCGCTGCGATTGGAACCGTCGAGTTCACTGGGTTGCTTATCATGTTCACGATCGCCTGGTTCGCCGACGAGAATGGTGAGAGTCGTGAACGGGGAAGAAGAAAATAAATAAATAACAGGGATATTTCGCCACGAGTGGGGTTTTTCGAATTACATGCGGGCAGAACTTGGCGATCGCGGTGCAGAGGGACTTGACGATGCCGGCATTGATGTTGAAAAGATCGTCACGAGTCATGCCCGGCTTTCTTGGGACGCCGGCGGGGATGATAACCACATCGGATCCCTCCAGGGCGAGCCCTAGCTGCTCCTCTGACGCGTAACCAGTCACCTGAACAGAAATTCATGGAGGAGCAGAAAACCGAAACCCTGCCAAGATCAAAATCCCGGCGAAGACAGAATATGGTTGGCTATGGCAGGACGAGGACGACATAGCGGGAAGCACTCACCTCAGCACGGGTGTTGATGTGGCTGACATCGGCCGCAACTCCGGGAGTCCCGGCGATATCGTAGAGGCTGAGGCGGGAAACGAGAGGGTTCAGCTTCATGAGAAGGGAGAGCGGCTGCCCAATCCCTCCGGCGGCACCGAGGACGGCGACCTTCCGCTCCGGTGTCGACTCGGATCCGTAGGATCTGCGGAGGGTGTGAGCAGAAGGGGCCAGCGAAGGCGTTGCAGAGGACGAGGCCCTCCTCCTCAGGGCCTCCCCAGCGGATCTGACCAGCGAAGTCCTCATCGTCGTCGCCGGAGGGAAGCAACACTGCGCCGCAAGGTAAAACGTAGGTCTTCAAGTGCCAACGCAGGATCTCCCTACTGTCAGACCCCGGTGGCTTTATACGCCCTCAGCCGGAGAAGAGGCTCCTATTTTCCCGGGTTTCTTTAATAAATTAGCTAGTTTCGTAGCTTAAATTTACAAAATCTTCTGTTATTATTATTTTTTCAAAATTCTAAGGCCATCCCATTTTTCCTTTATATTTCGTCTCAGAACCCATTTGAAAAATTATCCAACCACCAATAAGTTCCGACCACAAAAATTGAGAGTATAATACCTCATCTTGGCAAAATAAAGTAGCCAGTTTGGTAGCTTTACTCAATATAATCTTCAGTCATTAAATTTTTGCAAAAATTCTGAGACCAACCCATTTGAAAAATTATCCAAACACCTCAGTAAGTTCAGACGAAAAAAAAATCAGAGTATACTACCTCATCTAGTCAAAATAAAGTAGCCAGTTTGATATCTTTAATTTAAAAAATCTTCAGTTATTTTTTTGTTTCAAAATTTCTGAGTCCAGCCCAATTTTCCCTCATATTTCGTCTCAAAACCCATTTGAAAAATCATTCAAAGACTGATGAGATCCAAGCCAAAAAAATCAGGAGTATAATACCTCATCTTGTTAAATAAATTAGCCGGTTTAATAGCTTTAATTCTAAATAATTATTACCATTTTCCAAATCCCGAGCCCAGCACAATTTTCCATCATATTTCGTCTCAAAACCCATTTGAAAAATTATTCAAACACTAATAAGATCCGACCCTGGATCTCTCTCTCTCTCTCTCTCTGTGGGAGGACCCAACTTCTGACATTCGTCGCTGATGGGTTGATCTCAAACAATATTTATCAAGATCATATTATCCACGTAAGAACAAGACAGATCACACCCAACAGGGATCTCGGATGGATCCTCCCAGAGTCAACAGAGAGCCACGCCCTCCCTTCGGAGGTCAACCCCTCCCCATCTTCAAGTCGCCCATCATGTTGGGCGGCGGACGCCGCGAGGAGCTTGATATGCGTCGGCGCCGTCAGCAGGGAAATGGATGCTCCACCGGCGGGAACCGCGCCATCCGCATGAGCTGATTAATTGTAACTCGGCATTGACAGTAAGCAGCCGACGGAGAAGAGATCCAGAGGGGAAAGATCACAGCTTTTCTCAGTCATCATCAGCGCGGAACACCTGCAAGATCCAGTGTCAGAACAGGGACAGAGAGCCAGGTTGAAGACGACCTCAACAAGCCAAGCAATGGTGAAGTAGTCCCCAGAGCCCCAACCATGGTTTGGAAAATATGATTCAGGGTCCTCAGATAATATGAGAAATAAATAAAATAGCATGGGAACAAAAGCCCAACATCCGGTGACATGACCGGTGCCTGCAACTCTGTGATATTTTATCAAATATTGCTCAGATGGAAACATAAGGTGAACTATTTCTGAATAAAAAAACCCGGACCTTGGGGATTCACGGGCAAGAGAGAGCTCTCACTCCCCAAGGCCGCAGATGGGTAGCCAATGAACTAGACTGATTTCTAAAGAACCCCATATCCTTCTGATGAACGCCGAAAGGTCGGAACATGGGGAGCTCGCGGTGAAGATGAGGAAAGAAAGATGGTGAAGATAGAGTATTGCCCTTAAATTCCAAGAAAAAAAAAAAACTAGTTAATCGATGTTGTTCCTTGGGAAAATCAGACGATATTTTCCCTGTTCACCAGAGAATCGTACAAAGTTTCCGCGATTAATTCACATCCCTGATACAAGGTTGCTTGGGATTATCGGTGATTATTTTCAGAGGCAATGTGGGGGCTGTAATTGGCATGATTGTATTTTATTTTATTTTATTTTGCCTAGCAATGCAGAGCTGCTCTAGCGAAACCAAAATAAATAAAATTAGATAAAATCATACCGCCAGATGAAGACCGGGAATCGCTGGATGAGCTGCTTGAATCAGATGATCGAGATGGCGTCTTCTGATCAATTTTAGTTGGCGGAGGGGAAACCCGGTGGGTTGACCCTGCCAGTTTATTATCCTCTGTTGGTCAGACCTTCACATCGACCAGGGTTAATGACCCGGGGGGTCAGAAAGCCAAACAGGGCGTCATCCGAAAAAAGTTACCTGGCTTACTCTCTTCGGGTGGATCCACAGCAGCAGGAGCTGGAGTCGGAGGGCGCTGAATAATATAAAGAGAAGGAAATTGTGATCTTTTTCTGGCAAGCAAGCAGTGACGAACGACACAAGGACTTTCAATCCATTTCACAGACATACCCTTCCATGGAGGTCCTGCTGGGCTTCCTCCCCCGGGAAAGTCTCAGACTCCACCTTCCTCTTCTTCCTGCTTACACTCGACTGGTAGTTGGATATGAATCTGTGGAGCTCCCAGAGGGTCTCGGCATCCATGCTGTCGATGTCCACTTCGATCTCATCATCATCCTGCTGATTCAGGGCCGAGTTCCTCTTCCTGATAATCTGCACGATGCTCTCCAGCATCTCCAATGGCAGGCTCTGGAGGTCGTCCCGGAGCCTCTGCTTCTCCTCGTAGGTCATGTCCCTCTTGTGAGCGTCCTTGGCTTTCTGTTTCTTCGAGGGTCGACCCACGAAGGACTCAGACTTCTCAAGGGCGGTCTTTCTCGTGACCGAAGGGGGCGGAGGACGCGGCGGAGGCGTCGAAGAAGATGCGGCTGCGCATCCTGCTTCAATGGGGGGCCAACCCTCCTCGAAAATCCTGGACAGCTGCTCGGCCATGCTGTGAACCTCGTGACCCTTTGGGTTGTAGGTCATGGCGTTCGCGAAGGCGAGTCTAACGTCCTCTGCGAATCTCGCAGGGGACTTGTACCAGTTTCGGTCAAGTCGAGTCTTCACGGTGCCGAGGTCCATTGGGCTTTTGATGATGGTGAAGTAATCATGGAGTCCGAGCCCCTCGGCATCCACGGGGGAGCTGAAGACCCATCCGTGCCTGTGCTTCATCAGCTTCGACATCAGCACAGAGCAGTTCCTGAAGGCATCTGCATACTGGCTATCTGGTTCTAGGGTTTGATCTACCTTGGCCTTCGATTTCTTGCTAGGCAAGGCAGGAGGAAGCTTCTCCTTACCGAGGAGGAGCTCGGAGTTCCTGTGGAAAGGGCTCGCCTTGGGCGCCCTCTTCTTATTCTCCACCGCCCCTCTTGCCAGTGGCCGCCTACTGGGCTTCTTCGCCGAAGGGTATGCAGCAGCGGATGCGGCGAGCTGGAGCTCGCAGGCCTGGAGCTTTCTGACGCAGGCGCGGACTTGCTCGAGCTCTTTTATGAGCTCGAGGCGGAGTTCTCGAACCTCGTGGCGGGACTTGGAGGCGATGCTTATCGTGACCGTGCTTGGCCCACCGTTCTCCTGCTTCAAGGAGCGAATTGGGTGGCTCCGCTTCTTGAGATTGCGGGGTGGACGACCTCCAGGGCTCCGCTTCTTGAGATTGCTGGAGGCGGCGGCGGGATTGTGGCCGCGGCGGTTGTTGTCGCCGTCGGAGATGTCGCCGTCGGAGACGGCAGAATCTGAGCGGTGAAACTTGGGGGGGGGCGGCTGCGGCCGCCGAGGCCGGCTCTGGGCGGCGGCTGATTTTTTGGCCTTGCCCGATTTCTTGCTGCGTGCCTTGCTTGTCCCCCCACCGCCGCCTCCAGCAATGGCGTCCGACGCCATACATACAAGCAAAAACCAAGAAAGCCAAACAGGGAATTTGGGGCAACGAATCAGACAGAAATGCAAGACCCAGGCGAAAATCACGGCCGCGGAGCGCGATAGAACCCTAATTTCGCCGGAGATGGCGGGACCTCCAGGTAGAGCCGACAGCTAGGGTTTCGAACCTTTGTGTACGGTGAAGAAACAGAATGAAAGAGAATGAGGGGGGGGTGGAGGGGGAGGGAGGGAGAGAGAGAGAGCATCGTTTTTCAACGGTCAACTATATTTTGCTACCTGATGATATTATGCCGTTGACTTACTAGATTAATAGTACGGACGTCAGTGGGCCGTCAGATATGCGCCCGAGTTGGGCCGCCCAAAAATATCTGGGCTTTTTGTATCACCCACAAATAGATCTCACCAAGTGTGAGCATATTATTTTTCTATAAAAGCAAAATTATATTTTTCATCATCTTCGTTAATAAGTGGCCACATTTGGTAACATAATACCATATAAAATTACTCACCATTTATTTTACTAAAATTTTCCATTTTAAGTTATGATATATATTATACTTCAAAACTATATCTCCACCTATGCATATATTTTAGTGATATAAAAATAAATGGGTTATCTAACGGTCATGGTTTACTTGCTGTTTTTAAAATGTTTTTTGCAAAAAAGAAGATTTTTTAAACTAAATGCAGCAAGGGAAGAGGAGATAGAAATTTCTTCGAAATAGAAAATTTGAAATAGAATAATAAAAAATTAAGAAAAAGGCCATCATTTTCTTTCCAACTTGTACGGTTGATTACTAAGAATGAGAGGAGTCATTGCGCCAGGGCAGGATCTCTCTCTCTCTCTCTCTCTCCCTCTCTCTCTCTCTCTCAAGAACCTTCTTCAAATTCTTGTCAAATGACGTCAAAATTTCCTTTCATACCTGATTTTATGCCTCTAACCTTGGCAACTCAGGCAATTAAAATACTCTTGAAAACGCTATACATAGATGTCTCTCTGTGGGCTTATGGGCTTGGTCGGGGTCTAGATGGGGAGTGGATGGGCTCGACTGGAGCTATTTTCTCGTTCCGGCCAGGAATTTTAGGATTAGACTCAAAAACATCCCCGAATATCAGATCTTTTCATGAGAGAGAAACAAAAGAATGAGGGAGAAAATTAATTACGACCGCTTACCTGCGAGTCTGTGTGTCTAAAATGGAGATTTAATGATGGACAAGTTATTGATTGACGCACAGCTTGCAGAGTCGCAGCTAGTGTTCAGTGCCTCGCACATGTCCACCAACAAACGTAGGCATATTAATTTCCTTGAAACAGACCAGTCCGGCCCACCCCCTCTCTCTCTTCCTGTTTTCTCCCTCTTTTCAGTCAAATATGATAGTACACAGTAGATTTGCTGTGATATGATGGAGTAATGGGGGGAAGTAGAGTGATGGTGATCTCATAGTGCCCATTTTTATGTACATCTGTCTCTCTCTCTGTCTCTGTTTCTCTCTCTCTCTCTCTCCCGCCAGCTAGCTGCCTTCCCCCTAAAATTCAGACATAATACGTAGCACAGTACACTTGATATATTATGATGGAACAAAGTACAAGGCTGCTGGTCTCATCACATCCATTTTTATCTGGACAACTCCCTCTCTGTATCTATCTCTTCCTTTTGTCCCCCTCGTCCGTTGAGACATCTGGCTTAGTGCAAACAGTAGTGTCATTCTACGTTCTTCGATGAAGATAACTCTCTCTCTCTCTCTCGTGCCTTGACTCGTTCTACGTAGACCATCCGCCAACGTTGGCACCGGACAGCGGAAGCAACGCAGGATGCAGTCAACAATAAGTTGGCACGACACATCGCATAACTGCACCATTCAATTGCGAGGAGATGTTGCATAGCTGACACGGTTCGTCGAGCAGCTATGCACGTGAGACTTGGCCTTTGCCGGCACGTGTAAGGACGATATACAGCGCCCGCCTCGCTCGAGCTGGGTCTGCCGTTTATGGAGCTCAACCACTTCTCCAGTTGGCACCATCAAAGAGAGAGAGAGAGAGAGAGAGAGAGAGAAGGAAGGACAGGAAGAGGAAGGGATACAGCGAGAGAAGATGGGTTTCTTTTGAGATACACTGAACCAAGAAGGTCATTCGGCATCTCTATTTACTCTACTTTCTTCTGTCGCCTGCAGTCGAACTAGACTGACGAAGCGGAAGCTGTTCCCTACGTGGACTCCCTTCTTCCTGACTCTACCAAATCCAATGTCAACCACACGTGGACCACATCCAGGGATCTCCCCCCCCTCCCCTCTCTGTCTCTCTCTCTCTCGCTAGCTATTTCCTCCCTCTTTCTCGCTTCCCCTTGGACCTTGGACCCTCTGCTTCTCTCTCCCCCCCTCTCTGACCTGAAGGAGGTCATTGGAAGGTAGATGTCTCTTCTGAGCCGCCTGCAAGCGAAGTCCATCACCGGATGAGCTCAAAGATAAGATCGACGTTGCTCGAACTCATGGCTGTCGAGCTCGGACAAACCGAGGCCAACTGTAACATGCGTCCGCGTAGCGGCAGCTAGCACGTGCTGGGAAGCTCAGCCGTACGCCGCCGCGGGGGTCTTCCCCTTCCGACTATAAAAGGAAATGATACGGTCTATTATTTCTAGACATAAATGGCCGGAAAAATCTGCTACAGTCTCCGCATCGATAAATTTCGACCTAAAATTGGCATAAATTTTACCCAAAAGAGATCAGGCGTGGCACGGTTGTTTCCCAGAAAAGGGTTTTTTTTCTTGGGTGATATATCTGATTAGTTAAAACTCAAGTTTCTCCTGCGGGTGCGAACTTGAGACTTGCCTATTGAAGTGAGATCCACTGCTGTAATCAGACCGAACCACGGAGAGAGAGAGAGAGAGAGAGAGAGAGAGAGAGAGAGAGAGAGAGAGAGAGAGAGAGAGAGAAAGAGATGGGGGAGCATCTGTGCTAAAAATTCTGTCTCTTTCACCTTGTCCTCTCCAGACGGCATAGCCCACTCCTTGACCTCATGTACATAGATAAATACATATATTCCAAGAAGATCTAAGAACCTTGTAGACGTCAAATTACTGGAATAGAAAGAGGTTCGCCAATATCTATGTACATTGATTTTTACGAAAATTTATTCGACCCCAGTTGGACTCGCCGACTCAAAACCTAAAGGTTAGGCGATTTGTTACCGCAGTTTATTTAGACTCTGCGTGGAATTGCTCGAACTCGATCACCTGAATATGTCGAGGCCGAGAAGACTAAGGTAGACAGTAGGCCATGTAGGGTTCCTCGTGCCGCCTTGAGCATCCCTACCTGGAACCCTAGCGCAGATCTTCTGAACACCGTACGAATTGGGAAGACCACTCTCGTAAAGTTGACAAACCCTCTCTTTATGCCTTACAATCAGATTTTTAGCGTAATCTAGGGATTCAATACTAAATTTGTGTTGAACATTGAGTATACCCGTTGTTTTGGAAATGGGGTTCTAATCAAGTGACGAAAATACAGTTTTCTTGGGGATCTTGGTGGAAAAGATAGGGATTCGTATGCAAATTCAGTTGAACAGGCTCAAACGTAGAACAAGATCAAATGGAAGAAAAGCAGGCCAATTAGGGTTCTTCCTTTCTTCCGAGAGTGACATTATCGGGGCGAGCACTAGCGTAAAAACTCAGAAACTTACATCGATGGTCTTTCCCAAGCGAGTGGAAACAACGGGGTCGACGTCGGGTACCGTACATGCTTCACTGTCTGTCGTCTGCTCTGCGTGGTGGCATTAATGGCGAGGTGGTCCTCGCCGCGGACTGCTGCGAATCCCGGAGGAAGCTCTTGTCGCGCTCGAACTGGTTTTTCCCTCATTTAAGCGATGGGGGTTCGACAGGAAGGATTGCAGACGAGGTCTTCCCATCGCTGTCTCTCCTGCGCCGTCGCCATGGAGGGATCAAATGGCCGGGCCGAGATCGTGAGGATAAGAACAGCATCCCTTCCCGCATCCGGTCGCGGTTTATCTACGCTGTCGCCCCCTAGCCACACGCTCACCGCCCGGGGATGCTGCCGAAAGACGATTTTGAGGGCGGCGAGAGCAAAACTGGGGTGTTGTCTTGAGGAGAGGAGTTGCGACGATGAAGGAAATATAGGCAGATTTTCCTCTCATTTACACGTACTGTGTTTGTGGATTGTCGCACTTGACTATTGGCCTCGCAGGCAAGGTCACCGCGTGACGTAACTTTAGGTCTCTCTCTCTCTCTCTCTCTCTCTATCCCTCTATTACGGTATATCTTTACATCTCCCTCTCTAGATACATATATATATCCCTCCTCTCTCCCTCACTCTCCTCTTGTCAATTTCCTCACTATCATGTCTCTCTCCCTCTCTCTCTCTCTATATCTATCTCCTTGTCATCAACGTACACACACACACACTCTCTCTATCAATTTGTCGCTCTACCTGTCTCCCTCTCTCTCCATCTGTCTATCTTTCTCTCTTTCTCTCCCGATCTTTTATCTATGTTCTCTCTCTGTTATCCGTCTGTTTCCCTCTCCCTCCACCCACCTATCTATCTAGGCACATCTCTCTCTCTCTTTCTCTCTCTGCGGGGTTACTGAAAGTAGCTTGAGGAAGTTGTCGACCCAAACGTAGCCGGAATTTCAGTCATCATTCGCCATCTCCATTTGCCCCATTTTATTACCGCTCAAAGTCTAAAGCGCCACCACGCATGCCTTTCTTCACCTCGTCTCTTCTCTCTCTCTCTATATCCTCTCTCCTCTTCTGCCGGAAGGTGGGAGGTGGGCTCGGTCACATGATGCGTCCCACGTGTCACGTGATCGGAAGCTGCCGAGGCGACGATAGAGAGAGGAGACCAACTGTAAAGCGCGCAGAGTGGACAAACGAGAGCCGTAGCTGCCGAATAATGGAGCTGCCGCGTCTGCTCCCCCTCGCTGTTCCCCCTGTCCGATCCTACCCCTCCTGCCCCCGCCTACATAGATAGCTAGATGGATAGATAGGCAGATAGATTTGGAGAGAGAGGGAAACTCAAGAAGACGAGAGAGAAGCGGAGAAGAGGCTCGAGACTCGCAGCCAAACACGCTCAACCCATTTGATAAACATAACAGATCGATAGCTGGGTAGATTGATAGAGAGAGGGAGGCAGGCAGAGAGATAGAAGAGAGAGAAGATGGGATCTCCGTTGGATGAGGACGATGGGTTCCATGAGAGGGCTTCGAGCCCCCGTCGGGTCGTTGTCCGGCCAACCGACTCGTGGATTCCTGTGCCCTGGGCTCTTCGGATTCGACCGTTCATCGGATAGAACAGCGACGCCGTCCCGCTTTCTTTCGACGATGGACTTACTACCCCCGACCGTCCTTTCATCCCGGGAGAGAGAAACTGAAGAGAGAGACGTAGACCTTGACGAACTGTTCGTCGGTGCTTTCATGCAACGTGCTTCCTTTTTAATGAAAACAGGCGGATCTGATGACACTGGTGACGCGTCGCCTTCGGCGATGCTTTTGTCGCAGGAGAGAGAAGCTGATGAGAGAGAGAGAGAGTTAATGCGAGAGGCACAGCTTGTAGGGACTATATGTTTGTCATAGGACTTCTGCCATAGAATATAGAGACGGAGTGACATGTTCCATTCATGCAACGATGTAACTTACGTTGACAATCCTCCGAAGGCGTAGTCCCGCCAAATTTCTCTAGATGAGTTTATGATCATGCACCTATCACAAACCACATGATACGTTCACACATTTCCATCGAGAATTGAAGGAAGACCCATGCTTTCAGATCACGCCCTGCACGCAGAGGGCCCATTAGATTCGAGGAGTGAAGGAGTTTGACCTTAAAAATTCATGAGATGGGCATGGTTGACCGCTCGATCCCTAGATATAACCAAGACTACGTGGAGAACAAAGAAGGGTAAAAAACCTGCCGATTATTTGGTTGTAGTCGTGTCGGAGCGGACAGATCCTGGAGAACACGGCTCATCAAGCTTAGCCATGCCCCTCGAGCAAACTCTTGAAAGTTGCAGTGTGACATGGGCGCTTACCATTGATGATCAAAAAGGGGAAACTGAGAGCTATTCTCTTGGGCATGTCCGCGGGAAATCCGTAGATCATGTTGATTAGGATGACGTGATGCCACAAGTCAACCATTGGAGAGTATATACGCGCTCTCTCTTTCTCTCTCGTTTGACCTGTGAAGCACATTCCTAGTATTGGATTTGGGCTGTGATATGGTGACCGCGCCATGCATTCCCCACCAATTCTAACCATTGGTGGTCATCTACGGATACTTCACAGTGACAGTAGCACAAAGCACTAGCATGAGCTAGAGGATGGGATCAACAACGCTGGATCAGTTCAAGATCATCTCCCATTTAGTAGGTCAACTCATTCTTAAGAGGTCAACGAACGATATTAATGGAGCGTATGATTGATTGCCTTCATTTTATTAGGTTTATTATGAAAATTTAACCGGCATCGTGAGTTTTGCTCGATCATGACCGGGGATTCTTCTCCAGGATCACATCAAGGGAATGATATCCAAGACGCGAGCAGGCTTCAGCATTTCATATTAAATAAATTAAATTGATTGAAATGCCAAAAGGGACAATAAATTGGAAATTATGTTCAAATCAAATGAGGCTGTCGGAGATCGGGTGTGTTCCGTAGTCCGGCAGACATCTCTACAGCGGCGGATGGGGGAGGAGGGGGGGCCACTAGCCTCCCTCCCCCCCGCGGGCCCAACACGGCCGGCCCTTCTCCTTCCTCCGACCAGTCGTCTGCGCGCTGTTTGTTTTATTGCCTCCTGCTTTCCCTATCCTCTGCTGGCGGACTTCCTGTTTTACCCATCTTCTTCTTCTCTCTTCTGTGAGGCCGGGGAGGCGAAGAAGATTCCCTCCGTCTCCCTGGGTCCTCTCCCTCCTCCCCACTCCGGGGTCTCTTTCTTTTCCCGGGCATGCCCCGCTTTCTCCTCTCCTTTTTTCTAGGTGGGGGGTGAGAGGGGTTTAGGCTCCGCCCCACAGCTTCCTCCGGGGGCCCTCTGGTTCAGCGGCGGTGGGACTCCGGCGGGTCTTCTTTTGGGGGCGGCGTGGATGAGATTGTGGGGGTTGGATGGCCGGAAGCGGCAGCAGCAGCGCGAGGAGGCCGGAACTGTCACAGCAGCAGCAGGAGCAGCAGGAGCGGCAACGGAGGAAGGATTAGGGTTTTGAAAGCTGGAAGGGAAGGCGGGGAAAGAGGGTTTCGAGCGGCTGAGGGAGCGAGCTTGTGAGTTCGAATATGCGCGTTTCTCCGAGGGGATGGAAGAGAGCCACCGCCACCATCTGCACCAGTACCACCAGCAGCAGCAGCATCAGCTGCTGCAGCCCCGCCACGGCCGGCCGGCGGCGCAGTCCAGGTTGGTGGCGCTGAAGGACACCGTGGGGGAGATCGTAGAGGTGGAGGGGGGCCACATTGTGCGGTCCACCGGCCGCAAGGACCGCCACAGCAAGGTCTTCACGGCCAAGGGCCCAAGGGACCGCCGGGTCCGCCTCTCCGCCCACACCGCCATCCAGTTCTACGACGTCCAGGACCGCCTCGGCTACGACCGCCCCAGCAAGGCCGTCGACTGGCTCATCAAGAACGCCAAGGCCGCCATTGACGAGCTCGCCGAGCTCCCACCCTGGAACCCCACGGACCAGAGCCCTCCTCCTCTCCAGCAGGAGGAAGCTACCCACGAACCGCCGGGAGGACCCACCAGGAAGCGGCTGCCTGAGTCGGACCCCGTCGCGTCGTCCCCCGCCTTCGTCTTCGGCGCCGGCAACTTCTTGCCGCCGTCTCTGGACTCCGATTCCATCGCCGACACCATCAAGTACTTCTTCCCGGTGTCCGCCGCCACCGGCGGCGCTTCCATCCCCGGCGGTGGTTTCCAGAGCTACCCGTCGGTGGACCTCCTGCAGCGCGGCGGGTCGCAGGCCCAGGATCTCCGTCTCTCGCTTCAGTCCTTCCAGGAGCCGATTCTTCTGCACCACCCCCAACAGCCGCCCGCCACCGCCGAGCAGTCGCTCTTCACCAGCTCCTCCTCCACCGCTCTGGCCTTCGATGGGAGCTCCCCCGGTTGGCCCGATCTGAACCAGCGGGCGTTCTCGTGGAATGGTCCCGAGGAGAATGGTGGCGCCGGCAGCGGCGGTGGCGGTGGCGGCGGCGGCGGCGGCGGCGGCGGCGGTGGAGGGTTCATCTTCTCGGTTCCGCCGCCACAGGCCGTGCCGCTGCACCCAGTGCTCGGCCAAGGCCAGTTTCTCACACAGAGGGGTCCCCTTCAGTCCATTGCATCGCCCCATGTCCGCGCTTGGACGGACGCCGCGGCGGTGCTTCAGCCGGCGCCGTCCTTCGCGGCGGCGGCCGGCGGATTCTCAGGGTTCCGTGTACCAGCGCGGATTCAGGGCGAGGAGGAGCACGACGGCATCCCCAGAAAGCCGTCCTCTACTTCCTCCGCTTCTCGCCATTGACGACGGAAAGCTTAAGATCGACATCCCCCGGCTCGTCCTCCATCTGGTAACCCAAACTCCATTTTCAAACTTCCGAGAATCGCCCTCGCTCACCCAAAATCACCTCAACATCCTTTTTTTTTCTTTCCTTTTTCCCCTGCGCAGCTGCTCACTGATTCGCCAAGCCGTGGAGGAGTCTAAGGATAGATCTCTGTCACCTTCCGAAGAAACCAGGTTTCTCCTTCCCGTAGGCTCTGCGAAGAGCCTCCTCCTCTCTACTGTTCTTGTTCTTGGTGTTCTTTTAGTTGTTCTCATCTTCGTCAGAAGCACTGTTTCCCCCTCGGGGTAACCTTGTAAGTTGTTGCCTTTCCTTCTGGGGAGCTCCCCATGGTTTCAGGAACTCCACTCCCCAGCAACGGGGTTCCGATTGGGACATTCAGGCACGCCCTCCTCTTGGGTTAGATTCCTCTGCAATCAGTGGCCTTCCTTCTTCCCTGTCTGTATCCCTCGCCACCCAGAAAACCCTAAAACGGAAACTCCCCACGCCCCCTCCCGGCGGCGGGGCATCTGTCTCTTTCCCATCTTGTCATTCTCCCTGTCTGTCAGAGAGGGGTCGCAGATCTTTCCCCTCTCCCCCGGCCGGTGATTGGGCATCACCCTCCGGGGGATTCCATGACCGGGCATCGAGACCCATCGGAGCATTCAACTCCTCGGAAGAAGTTGGGGGCTTTGTGGTCTCCTTAATCTCCGGCGGATGGCCGGTCCCTTGAACTCCTCGTCTCTAAGACCAATCGTCCGTGAGAGTAGGCAGCAGGGCGGCCATCCCCCGCCGCTGTCTCTCCCGGCGACGGCGGGGGCGACGCACGCCGGAGAGGGTCAGCTCCGCCGTCTCAGAGAGCCGTGCCGAAAGACACCCTTTTTGTTATCTGCAGTTAATTTAGTGGGCTCTGTGCGAAGAGACTGCTCTCTTACTGGGTGGAGGCTTCTTTGATAAGGCTTTCGACCCCCAAAATACGAGTTCTTCTCTGGAAGGCCGGAGGAAGTATGACGATCTCCACTTGTTTAAAGCTTCTAGTCAACCCCCCTGCAGATTGATCACGGCGGGGGAGGGGGCTATCGTCTTCACCAGGCCAACAGAGCCGACCTTCGACCGCCAGAAGCAGCGAAGGTTTTAGGTCACCTATGTACACAACAATCCACGAGAAAGACGAGTTCTTCTCCCTTCTTCTACACCGGTTTCCCGACCGTTGCGGCCGGCTTGGCCCGAGCGGAGGCCGTTCTCCGGCCGTCTTTTCTCGTCGTCTTCGCCGGCGACGGTTTCTCGGCAGCGGCGGCGGCGGGGGGCTGAGGGGGGCGGGGCTCCCACGGCCGCGCTGCCACCCAGCGGTCCATCCAGCTCCAGCTCCAGCCGTCCTCTCCTTGCTCGTAGACGAATTGGTGGCCGAGCTTCTTCTCTCCGGCGTTTGCCCTCCACTGTCAACGACGACGGAAACTCAGAGGGGAGCGAATAACGGGGAAGGGATCGGATTCGAGAACCGACCTGGTGAGCGAAGGCGTAGGCCATGGCCCGCTCCCGCTTGGCCGCCGCCTCCTTTCTCTGCCGCGTCCGCGCGAGCATCTCCTCCCTCGTTTCAGGCCCTCCGCGCCACTCCGCCAGCTGATGAGTTCCGAAATGCAGCACCATGGCGGACATTTCCATAAATGGGAAGATTTAGACTTAATGGGTTCGAACAGGAACTAAATTTAGAGCAAGAAAAATCAGAGTTTTCCCCATAAAACTAAAAAACCTAAACACGAACTATGGAGAACATCCTCCTGTTCAGTGTGCATCTGTTTTTTTTTTTTTTTTGTCCTATTTAGATGGTTCTTCTTCTACCTCTGGATCATGCAGTTTATCCCCGGGTTTTGACTGGCTGTCAAACCTCTTTTCCCTGCTCCGGCGTTCGATCACCAGCGAACGGCGACGAGCAGATATCTCAGATTGAATCTTCGTCCATGACTGCACGCAGCTCATGGTGCTGGATGCCTGCCCACGAACGGGATCCCCCTGAGCGAAGTCCCTCAATCTCTTCTCACCTCTCAACGACTGCAAGATCTTTCGCGCCTGGAAGCAGATGAACCGCCATTAATGGCAGCTTCAGATTTCTTGAAATATATATTGTATGGTGTTAGGCTAAAGAAACCACAGCAATCAGCTGAATGCACCCGAAAAGAAAACAATGAACGATTGTTGATTAAATACTAATTAATAGTATCTGTGTTCTTGATCGGCTCTCCATCCCAGCCTACCTTGTGGCATCTGAATGCTGTCTGAATGCGTGTTGCCGCAGTACCCTCATCTGAAATCCCAGAAACACCGCCAGATGCCTTGCGGCTGAGTTTATTTGGATTTTCTCCAGATTCATTCGACTTGAACCCATTAGATTCTTCAGCTGTCAAATCCTGTTCAGTAAAATAAAAATAAAAATGAGAGAAAATGGGAGAAAATCTATAGAACAGAGATCATAGTTCACATAATTTGAAGGGCGAATTTCAGGTAAGTTCAGGTGCTACAGATCAAAATTTTGGAAGAATTCGAGAATATTTTCAGCAAGATCTCGTAATCTGCAGCTGTTGGAAAAGCATTGAACCGTAATAAACACATAAAAATGCTCATCCGACATTTTTTTTTTGGTACTGAAGCGGATGGAAAATGGTTGGCCACCGTGATCTACATCATCAGATTCAATCATTCATATGGCTTGGCAGCAGGATCTGAAGAACAACGACTAAAGATTCTTCTCGGCCTTTTACAACAAGTCTCATCCGCCAAAACCAAGATCAAATCATATAAGTAAAGCTCGTTAATTCAAGAAATATTCCTCTACTTCAAAATTAATGAAAAAATGTTTACACAACAAACTAGTAGCGGTCAATGATAAAAACCAGTGATGAACATGAGCTAGTCCGCTGATACTAGAATATGGTCTTGAACCTTGGAATTCTTTGACTTTGATGACCTTATTTTCTTCAGGGTAATGATCGTCTTCAACCAATCTCCGGAACCCATGAGCATCAAACAGAGACCTGCAAAATTTCTTCATTTAGCAATTAATTGAGGAAAAATTAAGAACGTTGGGAACCCATCAATTCTGCATACAAATTTACAAAACTACCGTGAATAACTTCCGGGAACAATAGAAAGTAATCTAAGTTGGGTATCAAATTTCTTCAGAACTTTGAGCTTCGTGCCCACAATATCCCCAATTCACAACTCGGCAAGACCTCTGTCTATAATCAGGACCAAGAAAACGGCCACATATTTTTATCTCGAATCAATAATTCCCCGTCCAACGTCCAATCTATGCCATGATATTAGAAAATAACATTGAAACGAAGCAATCAGCTGACCACAAGCTCACTTCCTGGGCAATATCGATGGAAGATTATGAGTTCGGTATCCAGTCTAAAATGGATGATTTTTAGAAAATTTATGATCCTAAAAGTTCGGTTTGTTCTCGTCACATATTCCCCTGATTACAAAGAAATAGAACATGAAGCATCCAAACCAGATGATAAGCTCAGCCACATAGAAGGAATAAGATTACGCCGTACGAATAAAACATTAGCCAGTTCAAACTTCGATCATGCGAAAACAAGCCAATCATGCGGGTAGACTATAAAAAAGAACCAAGGTACCCTCTAGCAACTGTCAGAAGAAATCTCTTTACACCCTCCTATTCCTGACCCTCTTGTGGGAGGATGAGACGATCCTGAGCACGATGAAGTTGCGGCAACAAGGAGTTCGGGACAAACAAGGAGTGGGCAGACGGGGGAAGCAGGGAAGGGCGAGCCCAGAACAGAGCGGGGAAGAAGGGGGGAGCGAGGGGTGGGGGAGGGGGTGGGGGAGAAGAACAAGAGAGATAGACAAATAAGCGGTAGGAGAGCCCATGGCCCAGCTGCCGAATCTTTTCTCCTCTTACCTCCCCCCGTTCCCCACCCCTTCAGCCCCCCCCCCCCCCCACCCACTTCACCTTCTCTCTTATTCCCAGGGCAATGCATAGCTCTCTCTATCCAGGCTTCTGTAATCGGGATTTTCTCCGGGGAATCACTCAAATGTTGCGGTGGCGACATCAATCGACGATCGTTCGGGTTCTTGTCGTTGTCGTCGTTGCGCCGTCGGCGTCCGAACGCGGGCGCGATTACACCAACCCGAGCAGAAATCGACATCAGCAGAGAGAATCGTGCCCCGTCATCAGTATTTGATATTATCCGCTCCATCGGTCTCATATTTAACGAAACTTGAACGAGTACTTCTGCTAATTATAACCGATAGATACCTTTGAATCGCTCAATTCTCATTTTAAACTAATGAATCATATTCCCAAAAAAATTCGAATTTCGCCCGCGCTCCGCCGTCTCCGACAACGATAGGTTCAAGGACCCTTGTCCTGATACAGTAGTCGTATTATTGAAGCTGCGTCGAATCCCCCAAGTCCTTTTTTTTTGTACTCTCTCTCCCTCTCTCTCTCTCTCTAGAAAACCATATTATTAGACATACACTTCGAGTTCCCCCACCTCACCTCTTTTCCCTGCGATTAACAGGCCGCATATTTTCCTTTGAACTAATCCGCAGGCGATGCATGGTGTTCTCCACGGCCACGCCTGAGCGGAAGTCTGACGGCCGCCCCAGGCGCGCATGACGGACGAGGACTGCAGATTTGAGGTCTGAAAATTTCTCCGGAGAATCAAAAGGTTCGGGGGGTGCTTCTGCCGATAATCTCCCATCAGTGAAAGGATACATAAACATACATTCGGCCGTAGTCAACGGTTCGGGTCGCTTATTCTGAGTGAAACAGACGAGATGAGCCCAGAGGGCTGCTTGATCCGATGCATCATCTCCATGCATCTATTCTTGGTCTCTGATATTAAGAAAAAAATCCGGTTTTTTGGGAGAATTGGTGGGTTTAGGGAAGATCCATCTTGGTGCATCAGCATTTCTAACACTTTTTTTTCTTTTCTAAGGGAATGATTTGGAAGGTGTATGCAGAAAAGAGGAAGAACGAGATAATACAACATGATGAAATTCGCTGACTAGTTATGGAATCAAATCCATCACGGAGAAAATTAGTTTTTGAGGAAAAGCGTGAAAATACAATGAAGCCCTTGTTGGCATTGAGAGCCTTAAAATAGTTTTGATCATTAAAAGCTTAGGAGAAAGGTACAATGGTAATTTTTATTAGCCAAAATTGTGCTGAGATAATAGTAAAATATTTAAAAAATATTTTCCTAACACATAGAGTAGCCTACCTGATTTCAGGACTGATTCCATGACTGGAGTTTCTCATTGTGTTTCTAGAAACAGAGTTGGCTCCTCAGTCAACTTACCTAACTAGTTGAGTTTTACACTAAATAGTTGGAAAAAACTCAAAAAATAATTTTTTAATTTCAGAATATCATAAATATCTTACTAATTAGAGTCTAAATATGAGATTAAAGATAATGAATTCAAGAGTGAAGCTAGTAGTTTCACATTAAACAATAGTTAAGCATCTTAGTGACCTTTGAAAATGTTTGATTATGTTGCAAATACTCTAATAAATACAATTTTTAGAGCTTGGTTTACAATATTTATATTTTACTTATAATAAGAAAAGAGCTGACTCACAAGAGATAGAAAATAGTTGAAGGCATGGTGTATTGTAGGACAACATAGGGAAAACATCAACACACCATAATATTGTTAAAATAACCATTAAAGTGTGCCATAGCTGTCGGGAGACCCTTTTTTAACTGTTTTTAATTTTTTTTCAAATCAATATAAATAAAAAACAGGTAAAATTAGAAAGAACATACTCCAAATAATTAGGCTAAGGAAAGATCATTCAAGGATTGAATAAACTCATAACTGCAAGCTGGATACACATTTTAGGGTCAATTTCGCGCCTCTAAAAGTTATGTGCATCTTACTATTTTTATCTTGTTCTTTATTTATAGTTGAGTACTTCTACTACTTGAGATAACTTCGAGTTGTGAAGTTAGAAGAGATTAGTCATTTACTTCATTGGGCTTTAAGAACTATGAATCTAAAATGTGTGTTACTGAAATACACATGGGTAAGATGAAATTCTGAAATCTAGTAGAGGTTGGCTGAAGACTTTGTGCTCATGTTTTGTAATAATAAAACCTGAAGACAATATCTTTAAGATTGAAATATGTTAGGTCAGTCAAATCACACCGTAATTTAAAATTTTCATAGTTTTATAGACTTCGGGATGAGACCTCAGCAGAAAAAAACGGTGACTCTAATCCTGTTCATGGTTAGTTATTCATTCCTCTCGTAGTGAGAATGTGAACTAGTTGGAAACTATTTTATAGCCTTGTAAAAATAAATTAGGGAAAAAAATATGTAGCATGGACATTATAGTAAAACTAATAAAATTTGATAGCTTGATCTTATTCTTTCACCAATTCTTCATACAAATCTTGTTTCATTTAGTCAACTCCTGAAACATAACGTGCTTGCTGATGTACCAAATAAATTATCTTCATTTTAAGAATTCTTTTAATTCATTTAAATTGAGAATTTGTCCATCATAAATCAGTTTCTCAATAAATTAAACAAAGAGGTAAGTTGTTAATTTATAATTAGTTGCTGGACTCGATAGAAAATCAATGATGTTTCTTGTTGTCAAGACAACTCCTGCTTCAATTATATCTACCTCTTTTTGTATGCATATTCGACGGATATGTTGATTCATGGATTGAGAAAGAGCCGAGAGAGACATGTCAAAGAGGTGGAGACCTCTCCACAAGACTACCTCAAGTGCACGAGAGAGAGAAAGAGAGAGGGAGAGAGAGGCGTGACATGAGACATGCTCTATGCATCAGAGATATAAAATGCTAAATAATAATAAGTTAGAAGCACAGCGTACAACACGTTAGATTTGACTTGGCTGAATGATATCCTCGCGAGGGAGGTTTGTTAGGGTAGGAGGGCTGTCGTCGGGGTGGAGCCTCAGTTGGGCTGGTGGGTGTCGATGACCAAACTGAAGTGATTGTCCCAGGATGAGACCCAATCCGACGTGGTGGGACAGTCAGCAAGACAAAGAGATAGAGCTCGCCTATAAATACTTGATAGAAAATGCGTAATTTAGATTGTCTCATTAATTGTGTATTGAAAACTTAACTTGTGCAGGTTCACGGTTTGGAAGCTCCGACGTTTTTTTTTTCCCCAAAGTAGTAACTGTTCTTGCGACCCTCTTCTCGAAGTTGACACCAGGAGACGTTTACGGGTCGGGGACGCCTCATTTTCGGGAATGTGAATGCTTGAAAATATGAATGTTGGCTCCTCCTCGGATATATATATATATATATACATATAGCGAGAGAGAGAAAGAGATGGAGAGAGAGAGAGAGAGAGACCCAAGCCTAGGAAATCGAATAGGTACCTAGGAGATGGTAGGTCGGATACATCCAGCGTTGCTATCCATGCTTTTAGAGTTAGATTTCCAGAAGCAATCCGGAAACAAATACTTAATCCTCACCTAATAGCAGCGTGAGTTGGCCTCGACTTTTGACACCCTCCGGTCCGACTATATATATATTTATATATAATATGATTACTATAAAGATGCAGCGACGTGTTCGTCCAGCCCTCTCATGTCTTCAACCGGCCCCTTCTCCAACCCCGAGACGAGAAATCCAGAGCCGGCTGTTGGTCACTGGAGATATCGGCACCGGCGAAGCCGCCGGGCAGAGAGCGAGGCAGACCCGCACCTCCGGCTATGTTCACGCCCAGGTACGGGCTTCAAAACGGTGTCATGCTCACCGCCATCCTTTCCCTCGCCTTCGTCGTCCTCCTCGTCGTCCTTCTCCACCTTTACATTCGCCTCTTCCTTCGCCGGCACCAAGCCGGCCGCCAGGTCAACCCCCGTTTCTCCGTCGCCGGCACCATGGGCGCCCTTGATACCGTCTCCGTAGAGTTCCCCAAGGCCGGGCTCGATCCATCTGTCTTGAGCGCGCTGCCCACCTTCAAGTACATGAGGGCTGACGGCGGTGGCGCTGCGTCCACCGTCGACTGCGCGGTTTGCCTGGCGGCGCTAGAGGAGGGGGAGCTGACCAGGCTTTTACCCACTTGCCGCCACGTCTTCCACGTCGAGTGTATCGACATGTGGCTCTATTCCCACACAAGCTGCCCCATTTGCCGGGCAGAGGTTGAAGCGCCTCCCACACTTTCCTGTTCTCCAGCGGGCAGTGCGCAACTGCCAGAGCAGGACAGTGGAAGTGTCGATCCGCCGGCGGCTGCAGCAGTCGGAGAGGCCACGTTCGGGACGTACAAAGATCAGGAGAGCTCCACCTCGCGATTGAACCTGTCGCTGCGGAGGATGCTTAGCCGGGCGAGCTCGCAAAGGTCAGCCAGTGCGGATGTTCTTCCAGATATTGAGAGGGAGTAGAGAGAGAGATCGTCGAGCTTCTATGGATCTACGGCTGAACGCACTGTCAGCAGTCTGAAGTTTGGCGGTTCCCCAAGGGTTCTGCGGCGAGTTCTCGCTGAATTTCGACGTTGAAGACGATGAGCCCGAGATTTGGGGTTGGTGAGGGCAGTTGGTGAAGACGTGGGGGACTTACCGTTTCAGTAGAGGCCACGGCTCCCGGCTTCAACGGCAGACGAGTTGATGTTGACCCGCGGAACCCTGACTCGCCTGTTCCACGTCGCGTTGGTCTCAGCATGTCGGTTGTCAATTTCTTTAAAAAATTTGGTGTAATGTTGGCAGTCCCCCGGCCGAGGCTTATTCATTACTTTTAATAATATAATATATAATGCGCTGGCAAGAGGCCGGATGACCGGCCGCCGACCGCCCGAGTAAGTTAAGGGCTGGGTTTATGCAAAGCGGGCCCAGTCCTGGATGGAATAGATGGAGTCTGCCCTAAAAATTCGGAGCCCATCTAGGGCTGATCTGGTCAGTTGGTCAAGGTCAGAATGGCCAGCATTGGTGGCGTGGGCTGTTGACAAAGGTTGGATTGCGTCAGACGGCTATCTTGTTGATCACTTGTGCCAACATGGCGCAAGGAGAACTTATTCTTCCCCAATTGCCGAGTCAACTTGCCAGGTCGAGCTTGGCGTGGCGGAGTCCAGCCTTAGGTTGGAGTTCAAGTTCAAGGTCCAGACACAACCCAGGTCTCTATATAGATCCGAAAAATAGGCTCCAAGCTGCACCTTTTGTGAAGCTGAACACATGCTTCAAATGCAATCAAATTACACTGTGTGTGTGTGTGTGTGTGTGAGAGAGAGAGAGAGAGAGAGAGAGAGAGAGAGAGAGCCATGCAATGACCCAATCTCAAATTCTATTTACAACAAAACTAATTGGGTGAGAAACGCAGGATATTTATGAACAAAATATTTCACAGCAAACAGTGATAAGAGGTGTACGTCAGTATCATTGATATGTTTAAGCTAAAAACTGAACCTAATTTACTTAGTCTATTATTTATGATCTCGGGGTTTGAAAAAAATGCTTGAAACTATTCTAACTAATCAAATATGTATATAAATGTGATTAAACCTTATACATTTCTTATCAATATAACATTGCATTCAATTTCTGTTGAAAAAATTGTGAATATTTTTCAACCTTAGAGAATGTCGTAAATATTTTATTAAAAACTTCAAGATAAGGATATTGTCATTGTGAATTTGTGCTTGTTTTAATTAAATATTAGTATCTTTTACTTCTTCTTGAATATGAGAATAAATGAATTAACTTGGAATGGCTTATATTTTACTTGGAAGTTTAGAAATTTGAGTATGGCCTTTTGTATCCCAAGAGATGTATTGTTTAAATTTATTTAAGACGTTTCAAGTGGAAAATTAGAATAGTTTCTGTACATCAGTGAATCTGAAAATTTTCATGATCAAATATAGAGAAGAAATTTATTTCATGACATTAATTACCTTATTTTATTTATACCATATGATTTTTTTTTGTTCTAGCATGTTTAATATCCCCACGCATCCATGTTTCTTCAAATCTTCATTTAGCAGTAGTAAAAAGAATTCTCCACCATAATTAGAAGACTGCTGCTTATGGTGGTACACGTAAGTAACTTTGATGGTATTGGTTACACTCATAATGATTGGGCATGCAACTTAGAAGATTGAAACCCTACTAAATGGTATTTTTTCAACCTCAGAGTTGGTATTTATCTTGCACATCAAACAAATAAACAAAAGCCTTATCATTAATGAAACATGAATACGTGACAACATCTACCATATCGCATGTAATATGGATTCAATGGGTTTGTCAACTTTATGGTATCTAAGAGCATACTTGGCAATGTGCAGGAAGTCACATTATTGTGTGAGAAGAAATATTCTAAAACAGTCACGAAGAATAATTCGCCTTCAGCACTAAAGGTTAGAGATTCTTTTTAAAGATGGGATACTATAAATCAATGGATAATTAACCCTAGATTCAATATCTAGTTCCATATTTTTGGGTGCGTTTTTGTGTAATTTATTGGTAGGTATCAAGCTCACTTTATGCAGGATTATATGAAACATTCTTCTTGGCCACCTAAGCTCTCCAAGCTTGCACATTAATTTAAACCCCTGTGCTGCAATGTTTTATTCTATCTTTTTGTTCCTCTTAATTTCAATCACTCACTAATGCTGTAGTCATTTGATTTAGGCCATTTGTTGACCTTGATGTGACTTATTTCCTATACGAAGAAAAGTTTCGGATTCCACCCTGGCTTGGCAATCGTCGTTCATTGCAAATAGATGCAATATTGTTGCTCTGAGGCATCTAGATGCTGTCTAATTTACAGACGACCGCATATAGTCTCAAAATTATGTGAATGGAAATGGATTTGATCCGGAGATATAGAGGGCGAGAAATCCCGCTCTTAGCTGTGTGTCCGCCTCCTTCTCCATTCCTCGGCCCATTAAAGCCCATCATGTGATTAGCACCACCCAAGAACGTGTCCGGCTGTACAATACAGACCTCACATTGAAACCTATTTTTAGTCTTTTCTTCATATATTAGGCCTTCAATTGTAAGTGGGCCTATATCATTGACGAAGATATTTCGAGATTTTAACTTATTACAACGAATGATACTTTAAATGCCAAATGAGAAAAAAAATTCAGATGCTTGACCTGTACGCTCAAAATGACTGTAGATAAGGGGAAATTCCTGGGTTCTTTGTGCGTTTTCATACGAATAACCGTGGGTTAGAACGTAAAAGATGCTCAGGTTCAACGTGTAGGGTCTGGTGGTGCCAACGGCTTGGTCAAGGGCAGGGTTGCCAAGGCTTCCTGATCGTGGGCTTGTTTTAAAAGGGCTGGACCAAGCTTGGAGACAAGCTTCAGAGACGGTCTCTAGGATCAGACCCCATTGAAACCTGAGACCATCTCAGTCTTTCGGATACCCTTATACAATATAGTTCCCTGAAGCTTCCCCTGAAGGTAGGGAAGGGAGATAGAGAGAGGAACCGCCAAGTAAATGGTAGGGTGGCTTAACCCTGAAGTATCTTTCTCTCTGGGTGGTAGATACTAGGGCCAAGAGTAAAGAAGTCAAGCACGACCAAGTTGTACAGCGTTCATCGACAAACTTAGCGAGGTCTTGCTTTCAGTTGCATGATTCAAATTAAAAACAAAAGAAATAGGAAAATCGAAACCAATGGAATAAGTACTTCTGACCAAAGTAGATAAATCATAACAATTTGCGTTGACAAAAAGGAGGAAAGGCTTGGAAATGACGTCAGTCCATTCAAATTGACGGCGATGACGGTACGAACATAATGATGCGAAGTATAAATATATTGGAAAGAGACAATAAAAAAAGGTTTTGCACCCGTTGATTTGTTGAATTAAAAGGACGACTGACGCAATGAACTCTGAAGGGATGGGGAACGTTTGTCGCGTGGAAGTCTCAATGGGCATGCTAAGGTGACATTGCAATCATTGTAAATCAGCGTAAATGCTGATAATATAAAGGCATCATTGATTTGGAGATAAGGAAGGAAAATGATAATGGACAACGGGGTTTAGCAAGCAAGGTAGGCATGGAGCCTGGGTGGACTATTTTTGAGATTAGACGTAAAAATCAAGTTTTGAAAGAAAAATAATCCCGACTGGATGCATAGACAAGTCGGGTCTGATCTTTGATAGGAGACGTTCATGAAGCAAACACGATTCTTATTTTCTATCACGTGGCTGTTCATGGTTCTTTCATAATCAGATAGATGGCATGCTTCCCCCCTCTCCCTGTCGTGGAAAGGTAGTCGCTGAGGTCTGGAACCAAACTCCGTAAAGATCTGAACTTTCTGAAATAGGGGCAGTTTCAGGCTGAGCTTGACAAAGCCAGGCTCCGGACCATGAAAAACAGTCTTTTTATGATGTCTAGAAACCACATAGCAAGTGGCATCTGCATTTTGTGGAATAAATATGGAAGGTTAGAGAATCACTAAGCCGTGAATTTTCTGCCACAAAAATCGCATTTTACTCATGCACCTCCACATTTAGTAACCAATGAATAGTTTTATCACGAGTGCAACCTGGAACCTTCAATTTAGCGAAGAAACTATTCTCCGAACGCAACCCACAATCGGTAGCGACAGCCTTCTCGTGACATAGCGAAGAGGGAGACGGGAGGTTAGTCGGTGATGCCAGCGGGGTTCTAGCCCACTCTCCGGCTACTCCTCACTCACAATAGCAGCCGGTGATCGAGAAGGAGGGGCGGAGATGACGAGCGAGAGAAATAAAAAAGGGGCGACTGCACGTGATGGACCTGGAATGGGAACTAGGCGAGAGAGCGGGAGGTGGTGGTCGGGTTAGACAGTGCACATGGGGCGAAGACACAAATGATTAAGATCTATCGTCCCCCCTCCATCACTGCCCCGGCCCACCATCTTAACCCCCGCCATCTCCCCCCACGCCTCCCACCCCAATTACTATATATTATCCAAGACCCAAGTAAATGAAATCCCGTATTATTTGAATAAATAGTTCATTCAATATTATTCTTGTTACATTTCGACGTTATTTTCTTATTTGTTATCGACTTCGAGACATGTGTTAGTTCATTATCTACAATCTTTCGATGTTAAATATAATTCCTGAAGAGTTCTTACCGTTGTTTCATGTAATAAGAGAAGAGTAGGGGCATGGTAGCAAGAATTAGATTAGCGGTCAAATCAGACATTACCGAGCTCGTTTCTTGGAGATGACTGAGCTTTACTTATTGTTCCAAATGACGGCATCGTCTTTTTCGGTTCTCGACCGAGATTGATCCCTTAAGCGAGGAGACAATGGTGAAGGGGGGAGGAGGATGTGAGGAGAACATATATCTAATCGTCAAGGACTGTACACAATTACCTTTTCTGAGAGAACCCAGAGCTCCGGTCATGTCGGCACGTGGCTCCTCGTTCCGACACTTTAGCCTCACCCGGTTTGATCTTCCTGAGAGCCCTGAGGCGAGGCCAACCCTATTCTGTCCCGGGTTTCCTTCACAGCTGTTGCCAGCTGTCGCCCTCGCCCTCTCTTCATCTCGCTCTCTCTCTCCTCCACTTCCCTTCAACGTCATGTGCCTCCCCATTTCTTCCGCCTTCATTATGTCGACCTCTATCTTCTCCCCAACCTTCTCGCTAGCTTTGTCTCTCGCCCCACATAGGGAAGCTCACACCAACACCATCAGAGGAGGAAGGAAAGAGAGACGAAAAGCCTGGTTGACAAAGAAGATATATATATATATATATACAGAGAGAGAGAGAGAGAGAGAGAGAGAGAGAGAGAGAATATACAGAGGCTGGTTCCCAACGTTGAGATGCCCCGGAAAGCTCCTTCACAGAGTTAGTTGAGGTCTCTCTTGGTTTATGTTGGTGGTTTTCGGGAAGCCGACAATGGCGCAATTGCCTCCCAAGGTCCCGAATGTGTCCCCCAGCGTGGCCAGCTTCGTCCACCAGAAAGCGCCACTAATGGCAACCATCTTCCCTGCCTCTTCCCCCCACGCCGGCGCAGCCGCCTCCCATCTTTGCTGGGTGGACGAATTCTTCGATTTCTCCTCTGCTGCCCAGCGGGGGGCCCATGGCAGGTCCTTGAGCGACACCATCTCCTTCTTCAACCCCCCAGCTGACGCCTCAGCGGAAGAGAGCCACATCGACGATGCCATGGCCAAAGGCAGCCGGGTCCAGGATTTCGACCGCCTCGGCGTCGACCAGCTCATGTCAATGTTCTCCGACAACGCTCCGTCGGACCACGACAGCGTACACGAGGAGAAAATCGACGGCGGGTCCGCGCAGGCGGCGCCGGATCCACATTCTCAGGAGGAGCAGAGTAGGTGCAAGATCGAGCCACCGGAAGCCTCAGGAATGCAACAGGTGTTAGCTGCTGAATATGCCGTCGACCCAAAGAGGATAAAGAGGTGTGTAGTGTTAGAACATTCTGGGTAGTACAGAAATTTGAAATTAAGCTCATCGGTAATTAGTCTTCAAATCTAATTTATATTGTAAACTCCTCTTTGGCGACGGGCCCGATCTCAAATTCTCAGGATCCTAGCAAACAGGCAATCAGCGCAAAGGTCGCGAGTGAGGAAGCTTCAGTACATATCGGAACTCGAACAAAGCGTCATGTCGTTGCAGGTAGAATGCGGGAACCCGCGAATTAGATCATGTTTGATTCATAAAATGAAGCAACTAAATCATGTAATCAAGTATATAGGGTTACTATACTCGTCGTTAAGTTTGAATTCGGCCGTTCAATTATGTTACAGATTTAGGTTGACATTTCTCTGGAGACGGAGAGAGAGGTTCAATGAAATTAGCTAATCAGCATCATTATTGCAGACGGAGGTGGCGGATTTGTCGCCGCGGGTGGCCTTCTTAGACCACCAACGATCGTTGCTCATAGTGGGGAACACTGCGCTTAGGCAGCGAATTGCTGCTCTTGCACAGGATAAGATCTTCAAGGACGGTAAGGTCTCGGCATGTGAAATGCCTTACCTCTATAGAACAGTTATTATTCGGCAAATTACTTCGATCGATCATTACGTGAATCAGATTAAACCAAAGGTTAGTAAGAATAACGGGTTATCCATCTAGTGGCTTGAAAACAATATGATCTAAGGCGACTTCATTTTATGTGTCTACTACCCTTGTCTCAAGTGATTGATGGTCACCAACTGAAAGGACTTATATGATTCGGAATGCAGCTCACCAGGAGGTGTTGAAGAAGGAGATTGAGAGGCTGAGGCAGGCGTACTCGCAGAAGGATCTCAAGAAGATGCCCTCCGCCGTCGGACCTCCTCCCTCTCCCCACCACAAGGTCGAGAAGCTGCTCAGCTGAGGCAGAGGTCGGTGGTGGTTCCAGAGTCGCAGCAGCCCCGACGTGGAACTATAGTTGTTTCTCCCATAGGAGACGAGCATGGAACAGTCGTCCGGACTCTCTCATTAATTCTGTCTCAGGGAGTGGTGCTGTTTCTCCTTAGGTCAAAAGAGCTGGGGTTATGATTGTGGTGACTTTGGTACCTCTCTCTCTCTCTCTCTCTCGCTCTCTCTCTCGTTAGATCAAAAAACCTCTCTCATTAACTTTCTACTATGGGGTTGATGACCGGCATAAGCTGTAGGATACGAAGGTCGAAAGGCTTCAGCACGGAATTATTTCTCTGTAATGTTCTGGGGTTGTTCTCTGGGGCGTGAATAAATCACGACAGATCGAAGACAGTAGGAATGCTGCGAACTGCACACCATTAGTCATGGGCTCCTTATCTCGATTAGCTGGTGCTCAATATATACATATCACATTCGCCATTCGTGTTCAAGATATTATCAATTTCTACTCTTGTGCTCATCGTGTGGTAGACGAAGCACTGAGCTGGCTCTTCGTCCCCACAGCCATGTTACAGCTCTGGGTAAGCGTAATGAGGGCTGCGAGTGCACATGCGCGGCACGTGCTCTCCACAGGGGAATTGTGTCTGTGGCTGGACGCTAAACAAACTATAATAGATATGCGTTGAAGATCACAAGTTATATCATGTGGTTTTGCATAAAGTTTCATCTTATCGGTATTCAACCTTTTTTAAATTGGACAACCCGATTGATTTACGGTGGTCTTATGAATCTCTTATTGAGAACGAGAAAGAAGATCGGATCAGGGGTAGATGACAAACATCCTAGGGTCAGAACGAGCGGCCAGATCTTGATCTCGATCTAGAACTGTCGAATCAGCGAGTTCCATTCTGTTAATGACATTCCATTGCCACTCGGATCAGATCAGATCGCCACACCCCAACCCCACTATTGATCTGATTCGGTATTCATAATCTGATCATCCGATCCAGATTGTGATTAAGTTATCGAACGTACCATCTTAAAGCCTGCAGTGTTATCAGAAACCTCACTCATTAAAGATTGCGTATTTATGAAGATTCGATTTATGAAAGAGAACTAAATTAAACTGAGTAACAGCTTATATCTCGCCAACAAAAGGAACAAGCAGACACGCACAGCCCATTTCGGAAACTATGCGATGTGGGCCCACATCTCACATTGGACCCACTACTTTATCTAGCCTTTTGGTGAACGGAGGTGAGCTGGAGATATACTTGGATCTGCTCACCCTTGGTAAGGCTATGCTAATCAATGAAGGATTCCTCTAGTAGTATAATCTCAAGGTTATGTTGAAACCATTTCCGCCGTGTATTTAGTACCTCTGTCCTCGGAGCATGCTAATATTTTGAGCTCAACCTGCGTGCATACTCTGACATCAATCATGAAATGGAAAGCGTCTTTTGGAGTTTGGCCCGTTTGGGCTTTAATGGATCGGAGAAAGCTTCTTTAAAGTCAACCTCCCATTGTTCTATGGGTCAATATCAACATCAAGCCTATAAAGGAAAAGATAGGCCCGCTTTGTCACGACTCGTCCCCTGTCTACGCTTCGATGAGATCTAGCCTGAAAGTTTTTAGTCCGTTCTCTCTCTCTCTCTCTCTCTCGGACAAGTACATACAGAAAGAGATAATAAGTCCCTCGTAAAAGAGTTTGAAATGGAGTAGGGCTTCACAGGTTATATGGTCGATCTGATCTGTTCTCTGCTACTTACAATTATGATATATCTGATGGACAAAAGTCCCATCTCTCTAATTCCGATGGCACATCACTACTCTCATTGTGAGGAGAGAACACGGATCCCGATGCCAATAAGATGGCCTGGGCTAACTAAAGCCCATGGAAACTGACCGGAATGTTGGAGCTTTTCTGGTAACACAGGATGAGGACAGAACCTGGACTCTGCTGGGACATGAATTCGAGCCACAATACAAGAAGAAAAAAGGCATAGCTCGTTCCACATCTACCCAATTCAATCTTCAATAGGCCTCATCCCGAAATCCGGCGCTCTGCTTTTTCCACTTAGATTCTCCGACGATCATTCATGTGATATCCCACTTGTTGACCTATCATCTCATTTATTTCGTTTCTCGGTAAGCGTCTAGATGGAGCTGATCCGTCAAGGTTGTCCAACGTCCGGGCTTCATTTTGGTGAGACCCAGGATTTATTTTTCGGAGGGCTCGGCTTGTAAAGTTCCAGGCACAGTGTGGCTTGTTGACTCCCGTAAGGAAAATTATCCTATTTTTTGTGGATGAACTCAATCATGTAGATTTTCACTTCGCATTAATTGGGCGTTGTGCTTAGTATTTAAGTAATCTAAAAAGAACTATGGGACGTCAGTTCATCAGTCTAAATGTGTACTGATTAAGCTACAGTTGGGTATTCATATTGCTCAACTCCACTTCGATACACATAATGAACAGGTGAAAGTAAGGACGAACGACGTATTAAAGCAACCCACGACTTATGGGCTCTTCGTTCGGTACGTTTTGGAATGGGAAAACTCTCCCTTCCTCTCTCTCTCTCTCTCTCTCGCTAAGTCGAATGCGCAAGTGATGCCATGAGTGTTCAAGAGTGTGCCTGGGCCTTACTAAAAAAACCCCTAATACGTATTTTACAGGGTTTGAGTTTAGAGAGAAGTCTCAGAGAATGGACCCTAAATAAAACAAGAATGGGCTGTGTTATGGGTTTAGACACTTTATCAGGCAACCGTATTTTGGAAAATATGATATTTTAAAGATAGAACTGTTAACAGAATTGAAATCAACGTTATTTGGTCATTGGGGGTAAAATTAATCAATAAACCTATAATTAATCTTAAAAAACTATTCACGTGATAAAAGGAATCCTGTCGAAAAATGAAATCAATGGTTGGTCGATCACTCGGACGTCAGAAGTCTTTACAGAATTAAGACCATGAGGAGCTTGTTCAATCCTCGAGGAGACCACATGCCTGTCTCCGAGGAGGTGATGCCATGCCATAACGTTCATATTTCTGTGCATACCGTCTCTTTCGCCCTCTCTCTCTCTCTCTCTCTCTCTCTCTCTCTCTCTCTCTCTCCTCTTGTTCGATGTAACAACAGTAAATACTGTCTCCTCAGTTCTTATCCGACTGTTTTGGTAGGCAGCAGTGGCCGACTTGGTGGACCCCGTCTGATGCCGGCACAGCTATGGCAGTCACCGGCTGTTTTCCAAGCGAACGCCCTCTACAATGGGGTAGGAGAGACCGAGCGTTTAGCATAGGCCTCTTAAAGACTGGTAAGTTTGTAGTCTAGTCATAGTTGGTCTAGTTCCCTTTAGTTCAGAGTTCAGGCCCTTAAGCCATTTTCAGCTAACTGACATCCTAAACGAGTCGGGTCTTTGCTGGGTTAGTGTTCACCGCGGAAGCCCAGATGGCAAATATGACCTCAGGACTCGGACCTTCAATTCTTTCATCTTGTTGAAATACTAGTTAACACGACTCTGGATCAAAGGATAACACGATGAGAAAAAGGGTAATGTAAAAACGATAGTCTCATTAGTGTTATTCCTAAACCCTCCCCACTCCGTTCGTGCTCTCTCCATCTTCTGGCCCGCCAGCTTCCACCTCCATCTGCCGGAAGCCTCCATCCTACATAATGTTCCTCATCTTCCAACATCCATGCCAACCCTCCTCATCACTGCCCTACCAGGCAGCCCTTCCTATACTCTCCCTCTAGAAGCATTCCTCTCGGCCGGGGCCAAGTCCGAGCCTTGTATAACACCAAAGAGGCTTGAGTTTGGAAATCTTCCAGCCTGACTCAATGAACTCTATAGCTAAGGGTGAAACTTAGTCTTTTAATTAAAAATAATAGTTGAAATTGTGGCCTGAAATATAAATAAGCAAAGCCTTTAAAAGTAAAATATGAAAGAAAAATAGCTGTGGGAAAGCTGGTGTACCCAGTTCTCATTCATCGCGAACGACCAGACCTGTCCGGCGTATGCCTGCCACACACGTGGCTTGCCCCCTTCGTTATCCTCTCATGAATATTGATGATTGGTCTGTGGTTCATCTAGGCCCATCAGCAGCCCATCTTCCAAGTTCTTTCCGGGCCCGATCGGGTAATAAGCATTACAAAAGACCCATTGGCATTCGTCACCCATGTTTGTTTATTATTTATTACCGATGTGATGCACATGTAACCTTTTTTTTCTCGCCCCACAAGTACTCGCAAATTGATTATTTAAATAATCAGAAAGAAACGGAACTCTGTGGCGTCTTCTAAGTGTTCGCATGAGGCGTGCCATCTTCCCAACGAATACAAAGCTTGTCTTCTTACAAAGATCATCAGAGCTTCCCATTATTCTTGAGAACCCTAGGAATCCTTGCGTCTCAGGCATTATTCGATCTCCACTTAATGACGACAAGACAGTAAATCTCACCGGTCTTTCTGAAGGAACTGTTCCAGTGCAACGAGTGGGGCGAGGTACGTTGAATTCTGGAAGAAATATTTGATCTTCGGTACTTAGATCTGTCTCGGATCTTTGAATTTGATGCGTCGGTGGCTGTTTGCCAATGTTGCTGCTTATTTTCTTTCTACTATTTCGTGTCTGGTGGAGTGAGGGAGATCAGATGGTAGGTATTATGAAGATCAGGCATGGACGAAGGTTCATTGTCATGGCCTTCAGCTGCCATCCGGACAAGAATTCCGTCGAGGACTGATCCAGAATCGTGTAAAAGTATTTTTCTTTGCCAGGTACCCCCCACTGTACAAATTTAACACCACCACAATAGAAAACAAAAGCTTCTGCGGGAGCTCTCTCTTTCTTCACGGGTCTCTCTGTCTCTGTTTCTCTACACCTATGGTTGGATTGTTTTCTTTCACTAGCTTGCATTCTCTATCCTTGGCCCTTGTGGCGTCCTCACTTCCGAGTTGAGAGAAATGGCGTCTTATCCTGCTTCTGCCTCCGCCCTTAGCCGCTGCGCCGCCGTTCTAATCCTCTTCTTCCTGAACAACGCATGGTACGCCGAGTGCTACGCTGCCGCGAGGAAGACCCCCACCCGCCACCCTCTCTCCCTTGACTTCTATGCCAAGACGTGCCCGCAGCTCGACCAATTCGTCGCCTCCGTTACCAGACAGCAGTTTCAGACCTCTCCCGTCTCCAGCCCCGCCACCATCCGCCTTTTCTTCCATGATTGCTTCGTCGGGGTAAGCAGGACGACCCTCCTCCTTGAGCTTCTGGGCTATCATTAAATCTGTCGCCGTTTGGGGACATGCAGGGTTGTGATGGGTCGATACTCATAGCGCCAGGTCCTCGAGGTTCTCCACCGGTGGAGAGGGACATGCCAGAAAATAGGAACCTGGGGCCGGAGGGCTTCGAGACGATCAACCAGGCCAAGGCGCTGGTGGAGAGCAAGTGTCCGGGCGTGGTCTCTTGCGCCGATATCCTCGCCATTGCAGCCAGGGATTTCGTTCATCTGGTATGCTCTCACTTAATATAATGAAGTAAACCTAGACGTCCTCGTACGTTACACATCTAATTACCCATTTTCACCATTTTTTCACCGAAAGTTTCCAAATAATACACTAATATACCTATTGAACCATATTTTCGTTCAAAAAGACCATAAATGTCATTTCGGTATCACTTTCTCCCCAAAAGCCCCACCCTAAATAACACACCAATTCCAAGTACATGGAGTTGCATAATCAATACAAATTAGACAGATATTTCTTTGGATCGTCATCTTGTACAATTTCGATCCATCTCTGGGCTCTCTCGTCTTGTTTTCCAACTCTCTACCCTCCCAGGAAGCTTCCTCAGTGTCACCTTTCTCACGAAACCTCGTTCGCTAGGTTAATCTCTCATCACCATGATCAGGCCGCATGAACGGTCGGGAAATCTTATCTTTCCTCAGAGTCAAAGCCGGCAGCATCCCTGACAGGCCTGCCATCGTTCGTTGCCTTGTGTATTACTTACTGTTGGTCTGCACGACCTTGCTTAAACTCGTCGGGATTCCAAACCACCACATTTAAATACGGAGGAAAGGGTTCCGTTTTGTAAGCTTATGTTTTCTCTTTGTTGACTTCACGTGAGTCTTTAATTTGGCCAGCGTCTGGACATGGTTGTCACGGTGGATCCCTGCAGGTATCAAGTAGGTTGTGGGGTAGACTGGTCCTCTGTTAGGAGACTCCATTTCTATGTAACGGCAGTTACGATAGATTTTAAATAAAAAAAAAATGAACTATTGTAAAATACGGCAATACAAGTTGAATCAATGAACATAGGTCTGTTTATTCAGAAAAATCAATGAAAAATATCATCGAATGGTGTAATAATTGAAATAATCTTTACTGAAGTTGGCTAGAAGTATTTAATTATAAATAATATGTGAAAACATGTCTCCGCATTGTTGATGAGGAAATCCTGATTTGCACGTGAATGGGCTGTTTTGTCGCCACACTACGAATGCAGGCGGGGGGGCCCTACTATGCCGTGAAGAAGGGGAGAAGGGACAGCAGAGTCTCCCAGGCAGCCTGGGTGAAGTTCAACCTACCCCGCTCCAACTCCACCATGGACGAACTCATCGGTCTCTTCGCCAAGAAGGGGCTGAGCCAGGAGGACCTGGTGGCGCTCTCCGGCGCCCACACCATCGGCTTCTCCCATTGCCACCATTTCCTCGGCCGGCTCTACGACTTCCAGGGCACCAGGCGGCCCGACCCGGCCATCAATCCGAGGCTCCTCAAAGCCCTCCAGATGTCCTGCCCGCCCTACGGCGGCAACACTGACGTCGTCGCACCGTTCGACGTGCAGACGCCGTTCTCGTTCGACCACGCGTACTATGGCAACTTGCAGTCCCAGATGGGGTTGCTGTTGACGGACCAGGCGCTGTTCCTGGACCCGCGGACAAGACCCGTCGTGCAGACTTTGGCCAAGGACAAGGCCAAGTTCTTCGCGTCCTTTGCGGCGGGGATGGACAAGATGGGCTCGTTCGGAGTGAAGAAGGGGAGGAGGGGGGAGCATAGAATGGATTGCACTAGGCACTCTGTGTAGTAATCGGGTCCTTGGAACACGGTACTCTTTTTCACTTCTCGTAGTACTAATAATTTTTCTCTACGTTTGAACGGGTGCCTGAACCTTGGTAAGTTCTCTTCTGATGCCGGGAGCTTTCGAATACTTCTTCCCTTCTCTCTAAGGTTGGTGGAAGTATAACTAGGGGATAGCGTGGTAAGCCCAAGGTTGTAAAATGACCTCAATACACTTTCGTAGGCAGATTTGTGTCTAATGATATTCATCATTTCCAGTGCTGGTGAATCATCAATTCAAAACTAATTAATTATGAGTAGGGCGGTCTTCTATTTAAAACAGAATAATACATTCTATTCCATAGTATGATAAAATTGTAAAAATATTTTTTAGAGTTGATGTTGATAGAATCATCAGCATTGTATCACAATCTATAAGTCCATTCGAACATCAAGAATTTATTAAATTTCATTTTTTAATAAATCGGGAAATAATTGAGTTAATTGATGCCAACGCCTATGCAAGACTCTCGCATATTATCATTTGAGAGCATCCCATATTTTCGTTTTCTCATCTATTTTCTATTTTTATTCTTACATTCTTCAAAATTCTTCAACTAAATCAGTAGTAGATGATGCAACATCTGATTTTGTTACATAGTTCCCTCATGCCAAAGATGATTTCCATAAAGTCAATATCTAATAAGTTGTTAGAATTTTTTTCTATTTTATTGCCTTTGTATTGACTTAATTTTTGTAAAGACATGAGTTTGAACTCCCTTTACTAGTGAGGTAGAATTGATATGACACATGTTTTGTAGGAAATGCACAAGTATAATTTTCATTTTATATGGATATAAAAAAGTGGTTATTTATGGCGAATTTATTAGAAATTTTATTTTAAACTTTTATTGTTTGCAATCCAACAATCTTCACAAAGTTAAATAACATGATTTCATGTACTTCAAGAAAAGTCAACTATTGCTCTTCATGTCAAATTCCAATGATTCTTCCATGTTTGCTGCTTAGGTACACTTTTGTTTGCCAATCACTTTAGTGATATTATATTCGAGAAGAAAAGAAGATCCTCTATGTGTTTGTCAATCAACAAAAAGGATGTTACAACTCAAATAATATTTTAACCTCAAGCTTAGTTTAAGTCAAGATGAATATTGTTGTGCTGAAGACAACATTAACTCCCATTTTTCCTCTCAGGCCAGCACTAACGTGGAGTGCCCAAGAATAGAAGTCGCCATATACCGAAAATCGTCTTCTGTGATGTCTGGGAGAAATCAGACCTTCACTCCACATCACTCAATGAAATGATATGAACGTTTTGCTGATATTAGACGAGTCAATTTATTTCATTATTACTTACTCATGCACGGCTTACATTACTTAAATGGTAAAACAATTCATGGGAGTACCTGGGTCCTCTTACTTAGTGTTTATTATACTCTTGAATAGGGTCAAGGCACCTTGTTTAAGAGCTTAAACATCTAGAATAATTATTTTCTTGAGTTACACACTCAGCTAACTAGGGAGGTGATAAGACTAATTAAAACTAAATAAATAAATTTATTTATTTTTCACTGTAAAGATTAGATTAATGCCTAGTTAAAATATTTGAGTATCTAAATAAAAAATTGAAGCTTCATATAATAATTTTAATATCACCTAAAGATTCATAATTACATTAACCTTTTGAATGCATGAACGTCTGATGAACTTGTCACTATAATACATTATGATAATTGCAATTAGTTATAAAAACGGTGCTTCAATTAGAAAAACGAATGAAACATGCTGAAATCAATTCCATGTTCCCTCTATTGCTTGAATATTTCCACCTAGGCTAACCAATTTGTCAAAAAGTTTCACAAGTACAAGATTTCAAAATTATATGTGATATGTTTATGACCAAAAATGAAAGAGGGAGGTAAAGTATTTGCACGTCCAAAGTTGGGCAGCATTGAGTCCCTAGTCTATGGTATGATGCAATGCTTTGTAAAACATTAATTTCACATTATTTTCTTCACACGAAATTTAGTCTTGGAAGCCTAAGAGAGAAACCAAGATGGGGCAGGGGCTGAATCTAGGATTTTCATACCTAATTTTTTTTGAATTTTTTTAATGAGCTTCACAACTCAAATGAGTCTTCTTATGAGTTGACTTAAAATGCTAAGATGTGACACTGATAATTTATAGTGGTGTGACTAAGCCTAATACATCATCCTTAGGTTCTACTAATACTTATTAGTACGATTTAACTCAACAACAAATGTTTGAGAGGCATGGATGAAGGTTCCTAACTTGGGATTGCGTCAATACTAGATCAAAACTTGTCTCATAATAACCTGTTAATGGTATTTGGAGGCATGAGGGAAATTCATTGACTTGGGGTTGCATCAAACTGATATGCAAACCCCTTTGGTAGAAACCTAGTGATGCCACCGTGCATTCCATTCTCATGAGATGGAACCAAAACACTTAACTATCACAAACCAAAACACTTAATTATCATGATTTCTTGATGATAATTTTAGATTACCTTCAAAGTGTGAATCACTCTGATAAATTAGATAATTAGAGCACATGAAATTAATCAAAGGTAAAGTATTCTATATTTATACTGTATATGATTAAATTGTTTTTCGGTGCACATTGGTATCATAAGTATATGCACTACTCATTGGAAAGTAAATTGGATGAGGAACATGTTACAATAAATGGCATATCAAAGTTCATAGACTTCAATTTATATGAATTTTAAAAATTTTACAAATGTATGTGGAGTTTGAATTTCAAGCATGCACATGACTCAAACTGGACCATTATCTGGACATTGAATGGCTCCCTAATATACTGCATATGAAAGGGGTGTTTGAGCCCACATTAGGGTTTAAGAAAAAGAGGAGAAATTGAGAGAGAGAGAGAGAGAGAGAGAGAGAGAGAGAGAGAGAGAGAGAGAGAGAGAGAGAGAGAGAGAGAGAGAGAGAGAGAGAGAGAGAGAGCTTTTATGGCCACCATAAAACATTCAAGACAAAAGGTCCACATCCTTGAACATTAACAAAAGGAAAAAATCTATTATGCTTAACCTTTATCAACTCCTTAAAAATACGCATTCTCAAGCAAGTGCAAAGATTTCAACAAGAGGAAGCTATGGGATGAATATATAAAGATGCAAAACTATTTTTTTATTTATGCTCATATGTTCATCGAAACTGTAAAATTGAGCATATAAGGTCACTGAGGTATGTATGTTCAATCAGTAGAGCATGAAATTGTAAGATCCAGCATATAGCCTCACTAAGTTATGAATATTTAGTGGGGACCTACTAAAAATGTTGATTAATATGTTCAGTTATAATTTAATTGAGTCTTAGGACTTCGTCATTAGAGAGTGCAGTAGGTTAGATTGATCAAACAACAACAAATTGTGGTAGGTGAATATTCATCATTCATGTACAAAAACAATAATACAAGGAAAAATAGGAAGCCTAACTCACTCATCTCAAGCAATACCAATAAACTAAAACCAGTGGCCTAGTAAAAGGATGTGTAGGCAAGATTTGAAACACATGGAACTCATTAGATGGCCATGTAGATAAGTTTTGAACCATCATCTACATTTTATCACCACATATGACAACTGTGTTGCATATAGAACCTAGCAACATCTCTCAGATTTTTTTGCAAATAGAGGGTGACAAGATGTGATCTTATATGTCATGCCATCCATCTCAAAAAAGTAATATATATATATATATATTTATTCAAAACACAACTTACAATGATAGTGGAAGTGTGGATGGATAATGATTGTCTCAAAAATATTGCCAAAGATCTAAAATATCATTATATAACTTTTATGATTTTCCTAACAATAAAATATTAGCAGGAATGAAAATTGGAGATCAATTAGATGAATCCTTAAAAGTGTCTTTCAACTGTCTTTGGGGTTCTTATCTTCTCCCAATAGAGTGCTACACTTTTTACTAACTTGGCATATACTTTAATAATTTCAATATTTTTCTATTCCTTTCAAGTTCCTCATACATTACCTTCTACTTCTCTTTCTTGTCTTTTTTTTAAGCATAACCAAAAATATGGAAGCCTTTCTCGATGAGTGTCATTTTGAGAAGAGGCCATATGAGAACATTTCAAGCTGAGCTATTAATACTCTGATATCTTTTTTATCTTATATTATTTTTAATTCTCTTTTATATCTTTTCTCAGCTATTTGGATATACTTACATTGCTAATTATATATAATTAGTCCAACAACATCTGAGATGTTTCCTTTCCCTCCTAGTTTTGCCTATCAATCTTTCTAAAATATTGTAGATAATTATGTCTAAGTGCTGTTTTTTTACCAATTTTTCAATCACAACTTTTAGTGATGGTAGGCAAGAATATGTTAGCATTATCAAAGACTTCTCCTCTATGGAATATGTGTTGTTTGGTTCATTATTTAATATTTAATTCCTTAACATTAACACATAGCTACATCTTAAAGATCAAAGCTAAGACACATTTTCATGCGTCAAATGGGATTATTATAGGTCCACTTTGGTAGGTCCATTGTCCAATATTTTGTAAACACATAAATTTGAGCCAATTTCTTGAAGAAAAGGCAAAGTCCACATTGACGAGGATTGACAAGGCTAAATCGATACAGTTACCTGAACCGGGTGAAGATTTCAGATTATTCTAGAAGCGAATAACTTAGACGTTGGACTCTGCCGCTCCCAACTTACTACTCGGTTGGCTCTATCGAAATTGCTGATACTAGAGGCAGGTCACGCCCACCTGCTAGGCCCGAATGATGTGAGCGATGGCTGGGCGGAGAGCGTCGATAATGAGGGCGTATGCCTTCTCTGTGGGATGGACAGCGTCCCAGAAGAGGTACTTGGATGCATCAGGGCAGGTTACTGACTTGGGGTTGCAAAGGAAGCCCAGCTCCACCAGCCCCGTCCCGCAGCAACCCGTCGTTGTCTCCTCTAGTCCTATTCTCACGAATTGAAAACAAAATTAGTGAACATCCCGACTGAACTCGCGGGGGAAGAACATTACCAGCAATGCTCACCGAACTCCGCGGGCCTGCGGATCAGTTGCTCCATCGGACTGTAGATGTCAACATAAGAGACATTGGCGATGGCAGGCGAAATGGGTCGGGATTCCAGTTCCATTCGAAGCTTGGCATTGTAGTCTCTGCTCATGGCATTAAGCTCCACGACACAGCGGCGGTCAAATATTTCACCCATGGAGTTGACAGATATAACTATTGGAAGGCACCCCATTGGAGGGAGAGACAGTATCCCAATTTTCCGTGCCCCAAGTTCCGCAAGTCCCTACACGTCAAGTACTCGATGAATGGCTCGTCATGTGTGTAAATTGGACACAGATCCAAACTGTAAAGATCATGTCTCATATTTTCCATATTGACGATGACAGCCTATGTGGGCTTACACACAGTAGTAGCTTATTAAAAGGTTGTCATTTTTCCCATTAAGTGGGGACATTCTTGCATTTGAACAAGGAATATATACACTAATCTCAGCTAGGGTAAAATGATAAGCAAAACTTGACTATTTGGTATCTTGTGGTGCGTGCATGGTGAAAAAAAGAGCACAGGTATGACGAACCTTAATGTTCCCTATTCAGGAGGTTTCATTCTTCTTTTGTGAAAGTTTCCCATGTTGGAAACTTCCAAGTATATCGGTGTGTTTTGGTCTAAGCGACTTTCCTTCTCCATTGTTTATTACTCTAGCTTGTCGTTAAACGGTGGGGCATTTAACACTTCACGTGGGACCCCTTCCCATTTATTTTTTATTCAATAAAAAAAAATTAACCAACTAAAATCCCTTTTGATTTGTTAACCGAATTATCTTCTCTATCTGTTTTCTATCCTAAAGAACATCGCGGTCACATGTTCTACCAACCATGATTCTCTACCCTCTTTAATTTCACCTCAGAGTCTACAGGTAGGCATTAAAGAAAGCAAAGAAAGCCAGGGAAGCACCAAACCGAAATATTGAAGTGAGAAACAAAACCTCAAGAAACTCCCAGAGCCTTTGCCGCAGGAAGCTCCCATACTCTTCTACGCTGAACTCATGACGTCTGAAAGGGTACGTATTATAGTTCGTTATGAAATCGTTGGTCCCAGCGCTGACGACGAAAATTGCTCTCTCCATGATGTCGTCCTTCAGCTTCCTCCCCACCGCCAGTTCAATCCTAGCGAGGTACTCTCGGAAGTAGTTGAGTTGTTGCCGCATCGGAATTACTGCCTGCAGTAGCTTCTGCTGATAAGACTTTCCGTCGGTGGGCAAGATTTTCATTGCTGTTCAAGTGATTTCGCGAAGTTTGAAATTTTAACACTGATCATATTTCATATCAAAGAACAGTTAATGTCGTTTTCATGATTATTCCATGCGACCACCCCAATTAACATTTTAGTTCAGAATTATCAAAAGCTCTGTGTTGCAGACCATATGAAGTCGCGGTTGATGGCTATGACTTTCTTATAGTTTAGTATTTTTCTAAGTTATACTCATAACCTAATGCTTATTAAAATAAACCTTAAAATTATAACTATATTAAAAATTTTAAAAAAATTGTCTTGAGAAATTCTAGTGATAATATATGGAATAAAAATACTATTTTATTACAGAATTTGCTGCTATACAATAAGAAATTAAGCTTCTATGATACTAGGGTATAAGAAAAATACCTCAAATCTGAATGAACGTAAACCTTAGTTTACTTTGAAATATTTTGGCAGAGTTAAATAACTGTTTTAAAATAAATGTAGTAATATTATCTCATTCTTACTTAACATTCAGAATCAAAGTTTTTGCAAAAAGTTTGATTTCGACTTAAGGTTGCTGTCGCTATAAAGTTTCCAAACACTTTCACACAAAAGCTAATTGATAACGATGTTTATTTTGTTGCTGCCTTCGGGCTTTTGATTTGAGAGAGAGAGAGAGAGAGAGAGAGAGAGAGAGAGAGAGAGAGAGAGAGAGAGAGAGAGAGAGAGACGATGCTTACGCTGAGCTGTGATGTGAGAGGATCCAACCCTGTTCCCCCCGAGCCAAAGCCAACGCCCGTCAACAGTTCCTCCATACTCAGAGAGTCGTCCAGATAAGCCGGTACGTTGTCCTTGACTCCAACAATAGAAGCTGCAAACAAGTTATCCCGTTTGAACTAAAACATCTGTTATACCTCGCCCATGTCCAGGAGAAGAAGATGCCGCTGACATTGGCGGATTAGAGGAAGTAAGTGTGGGGTGGAAGAAGGTTGATTCCAATCTATCACTAGTAACTTTCTTGCTCACCGATGAAATCCGTCCCAAGCCGGCCATTGCAGAACCTCCCAGTCGGCTGCCGGCCAGGGAAATCCCTTCCGTACGGTGGGAAGTTACTTTTGGTCGTCGTAGCTATGTCGTTGTTGTTGCCGGGGTCCACAATCGAGTCTCCGAAGGTGAAGACGGCGGAGACGGAGGTGTTGATCCTCTCTTTGTGCCGCCATTCCTTGGCGGAGACGAGCTGTAGGAAGAAGAAGGCAACGGCAAGCTGGTACCAAGCACCTTGAGCTGAAATCCTCTTTTCCACCATAGATATCATTCGCGGGAGCAAGAAATCAGTTTACTGCGATACTCGCCCCATACGAACTCAATAGAACAAACTCGAAATCAACACCTAAGTTGTCATCTTCTCCCTCGCCCTGTCAAGAATAAGCCGCGACGTTTATAAGAGCAGAAGCAAGCAAACCCGTGCTGGAATTCCTAGTCGTAGATCTCACTCTTGTAACAGTGTTCGACCTCGAATTAACGCTGACAACTTCCTCTCTTTCTCTCTCTCTCTGCTTGTACAGATTCGCCACCTGAGGTTGAGCGACGTTCCAGCTGTACAGCTTCCTCTACTTTATCAGGATATCAAGCACGGCGGAGCTAATGCCGGAACGTCCAGGGCACTGCAGCTTTCTCGTGTTAACTACGACCGTAGTGCGCCGCCAAGTTCGGTCGGAGAGGTAAGACGACGCCGGTGGAGGAGATCCCTCGCCAGCACCGTGCATTAAACGGCCAGCCTATTCTTCCCACATGGACAGTCGAGTCGTTCAGTTCCCGCACATTTATTCATTGAATCCACCTAAATCTCGGTGAAAAAATCTAATAAATGTTTCATAATCAGGCATAAAGATCCCAATAGTTTGTCTGGGTATTTCTGTGGTTGCAATGAAATACCGATTCAAGTATACATTAGGGATCAAATGCCACGTAAAAACTTGAAAGAATCTAACACTTTGACCATTCAAAAGGACGCTTGCTGGAAGATCCGTAAAGTGGATTCACGTCGCACTTGCTAAAACTGCATAAAATATGTAATGGGCCTGCATTTGACAATTCAAGTGTGATATTTTCCAGTGTTTTTTCAATCCTTGATTTGTTTAATTGTATAGAAAATAATGTACTAAAATCACTCTATTAACTATTAGACCTGTTAATGTGACTGCAAGCCACACAAGACGCCTCAGGAATTATCTTCACATCAAACATGCCTCTGACCTCTTCTACAAATGCAATCTATGTCAGTTTATATCTATTTTATTTTATCAATTTGGTCGGTAAATCCTCGGAATTTCAGAAATACGCGCGTGTCTTCTGACCAAATCCTCGGAATTTCAGTTGACTTTAACCTGTCTTAAATATTCATTCTGAATCCTTTCGGATAACCTGGTCTCAATTGTTGACCAAAGGCCATGTTTTAAGTTTGAACCCGAATCCGCCGGGATCTTTTTGGAGCTTGAGAAGCTTCTTTTTAGCGAACATTTATGATTCCAAGCAAAATCATCACTCTATGGGCCTCGGGCTGGCTGTCGCGTAAAATCCGGCCCAGATCGGAAGGCCATCATGAGTCGATCATCTATCGTAGCCTTACCAGATTGATTCCATCGCCCCTAATTGTGGGGTAGACGATGACACGACAGAGAGAGAGAGAGGGAGAGAGAGAGAGAGAGAGTATGGAGGGACAAACGGATTATTATAGATATACAACGCTTCTTATCATTTAAATGGATTATAGATCCGGAGATATTCAACGTGTAGAACATCGTCCAAACGGTTAATCTGCATCTACAGCTCAGGAATCTCCTTGTGAAGCTATTGAAACTAGAGGTTTATTCTTCCTGTAGGAGGCGGGAGAAGGCGGGGCGGAAAGCAACAGCGATGAGGGCGTAGGTCTTCTCCGATGGGTGAACAGAGTCCCAGAAGAGGTACTTGGAGGCGTCCGGGCAAGTCACCGACTTGGGGTTGCATAGCACACCAAGTTCCACCAGCCCCGTCCCGCAGCACCCCTTCGTCGTCTCCTCGAACCCTATTCTCTCGTCACGAGGAAGCATGTCGATTAGGCCAGAGTTTTAGAGCAGGTGTAGATCAATCATAACCGGCGGTGCTCACCAAACTGCCAGGGGCGGCGCAGCAATTGCATCGTCGGGTTGTAGATGTCTACGTAGACAATGTTGGCGGCAGGGGCGGCAGAAATGGGGCGACTCGCCAGCTCCAGTTGAAGGTTGGCATTATAATCCCTTGCCACAGCGTTGATCTCGGGGATGCAGCGCCGGGTATGGAGTCCATCTGAGTTGAGGGAGATCACCATCGGCAGACAACCTAAGGGAGGAAGACCCAACAGAGCGATTCTGCGGGCCCCAAGACTCTCTAATTCCTGCACAACGCGAACCAAATTGATAGCACTAATTCGCTTCCTCGGAATTTGTGGCTGGAAGTTGCAGCTCTCTCTCTCTCTCTCTCTCCCCACCCCTCTATCTCGCTCGTTTCCTGGCTGTCTTTGACTCCTCACTCCGTCTCTCACGTTTCATCTGTCCCTATCAGCTCAAAATAAACTCAAGAAAACACGCCAAAGAAATTATTCGGATTGTTTAAAAACTTTCTAAAAAATCCCCCCCAAATTAGATAATTCGTCAGGAATATATTTCAGAATATGTTCCTATAAAGAAAGGAAAAACTGAGTAGGATTAAACGGAAGCAGAACCTTGAGGAACTCCCATTGGATTCGCCGGATAAATCTCCCGTAGTCTTCAACGCTGAACTCGTGTCGTCTGATTGTGAGCCCAAAGTAGTTCAGAATGAAATCGTTGCTCCCGGCGCTAATAATGAAAACGGCTCTCCTCACAATATTCTCCCTTGTTTCCCTCCCCACCGCGAAATCAAGCCTCACGAGGTACTCTCTGAAGTACTCAAGCTGTTGCGTAATCGGAATAACTGCCTGCGATGGTTCCTCTTTATCAGATTTTTCGTCGAAAGGTATGTCTTTCGTACTCCCCTTGCTAAGAATGTTGCTGCTCGATGAGGAAGGAGGGAGCAAGAAAGAGGGGGAACGAGAAAGAGAGAGACGCGTACGCTCATCTTTGCCGTGAGAGGATCGAAGCCTGTTCCTGCAGAGCCGAAGCAGACGCCTGTCGTGAGCTCCTCCACGCTGAGAGACCGGTCCAGATATGGGGGCACCTCATCCTTTACGCCGAGATCAGCCGCTGCAAAGACAACACCCAGCTTGAGCCGGCCATGCCCAGAAGAATTGCGATACAACGACTCCCAGGTACAAGAAAATTTCTTGCTCACCGATGAAGTCCGCCCCAATTCGGCCGTTGCAGAACCTCCCTGTTGGCTGATGGCCGGGGAAGTCCCTTCCGTAAGGCGGAAAGTTGCTCTTGGTGGCCGTCGGTATATAGTTGTTGTTGCCCGAGTCCACCGTCGAGTCCCCGAAGGTGAATACAGCGGAGACGGAGATGTTGGTATCTAACACATGCAGGAGTGTCTTGCCGGAGACGAGTGGCAGAAGGACGAGGATAGCAGAGAGCTGGCGGCATACATCACTCGAGGGGAGCCTCCCCTCTTTTCCCATGGAGCTCAAAACAACGAAGTTGATCTCAAAACAAGTCAACCTAACCCAACCATCACCTTTCATATTCTTCATGGCAGCCAACATCCGAAGTGCAATACTTGTAAGAGCGGGAACCTACTAACCTCAAATATTTGCTGTCATCTTCGGCAACATCCCCTGCTTTCTCTCTCTCTCTCTCTCTCTCTCTCTCTCATTGTGTCTCCCCACGCGCAAGACGTAGATGCGATGTTGCCGGTGCAACGCCTTCAATGCTACGCCCCACACTGTCTTGAAAGAATTATTCCCGTCGGTGTCGAAGTATCCGTGATAACCGAAGGTGGTGACCTACTGGATCTACTCCACAGGTTGAGGACGCCGCTTCGGCGAGCTCAACGGCGGAGATTCTCGAAATTTACCAGAATCTCTAGCGTGACAGCTGACGACGGCCTGTCGCCGATTGTCGGGTAGCCAGCGAACACCATCGGTCTCATATTTTCTCTTCTGCGCCGCCGAGGTTGGCTGGAGAGGCGAGGAGGCGAGCCCACCCACAGGTCCATCCCTTAAACTTCCACCTATCCAACCCTGCTCCCCTAGACTTTCACGTGGATATTGGTTTGTTTTAATACCCGTACATTTACATTAATGTCGTCGGAAATTTAAATCAACCTAAGAAAGAATAGCAACGAATTCACTCATATTAAGATATGATCATGCTAGTAATTAGTTGGACCTGAAAAATAAGAATAGAATGATATAGGAAAGTCTAGCCGATTCGGATTTGCCACGAAATTACCAAATTTGTCATTTTATGAATTCTGCGTCTTACAGTCTAGGTTTTTAATTACTGGATAAATATGTTTTCAAAAGTCATTTGAAGAATAACGCATCATTCAAATGTGATTGGAATCTACATTAACCGATCAAAGTAACTAAGAAAACTAATACTATGTCATCATTAACTAAAGATGATGTGTTGATTCTTACAAATATGGACTAGTGATGTCCAAAGTAATCCACTATTTTTAGATAGTCTTCTTTGATGCCATAGATGAAGCAGGGGAGCCCGATTTTAACTTTGTAATATAATTTTGATAGTTTAAGAAACACAATTTTTAACATTGTAATTATTCCGGTATATGGTTAATATGCCGGGGTTAACAGACTGATGATCCTTCTATGGATCTGTCAGGAAAATATAGACCATATTAGATGATTCTTCAAAGGGTCCAATTTTTTTGCACATTTATTTTCGTACAAAAGAATATATCACAGTGTATTCCCGAAAAAGTGGTTGTAAATAGGCGATGCCCTAATTGGTATGGTTATCACAAACTAGAAAATCCGTGTAGCTAGTTGATCATTAAATACTAAGTCACTATCACTCAATCAATAAAGTTGGTCCGTTAAAGGACCCAAAGCAGCTCACATTGGTTGAGCGCCGACGAACAGTTATTGGGGCTCACCAGGTTCGTAGTTGGTCTACTGATTCCTCTAGCTGGAAGATGGAGAAGGGGCAACATGGTATTTTCATTACCTTCCACTCAGATGAGTGGAATCTGCGATTTACTGATATGGATCAGGATTTGAGGTCCATTATATGATCATTGCAGGAGTTCTACCTTCCTAAACACCCCCCTCAAGTATTTTTCAACACCTAATTCCTTCTTTCACATTGTGCTTCCAACATGTTAATTCCTGGCTACTGTTCAGGCCACTGCTGCAGGGCGGTGGCGGTCATCTCCATCAACTCCTGCTTGCTGCACCGGCCCAGCAGTAGCAGCATCCAGCACAATTCCTCACCTCACACAAGACGTAAGATAAGCCTGTTATTGATAACATTCACATATCTTACTCGTCAATAGTTCCAAATGTATATATCTATATGAATAGCTATATCTAAAGACAAAAAAAAGAAGATAAGACCAAATTATGATACTTGCAGATTTATATAATCGTGATCTTGTCTATCTTATGCATGTATGTTAGCTTTGAGAGCCTCATTAATTTTGATGATGACAAAATGTATATAAGGATAGTATAATAATGTAAAAATTACATTGTCTATTATACATAAACCACAACATATCAGAACAAGCAACAAACTGATGAGATGTGCACAATGGTAAAATGATAATTTGATATCTCAAAATAATGAAAAAATTCTTAATTATAAATCTGGCATAGGTATGAAGTATGCGTATACCCATTGAAAAGATATTTCAATGAAAAAATGTACAACAAACGCCACAGAGAAATTCATAAATTTAGATATTATTATATTTATAAAAATAACGAATATTTTATGAAGTTTGAATTGAGCCATTGATGTGATACTGAGCGTCTTGATTTCCAACTGTCGTAAATGATCATTGGACAACTCATAACTCAACTCATAAGAAATATACCTCAATCCGAATCATAGGAATATGAGAGAGAGCCACAAGTCCACATACTCCATCCAAAGAGTCTACACAAGTTTACAAGAAAATTAAGCACTAAAAAAAGGGATAAAATCAAGCTGCTTTCACATAAGTAATGCGCAAAACTTTTAAGAGCATTAGTTGTTTCCTAATTTGAAAGTTAGTATTCCTAGGACTTCAGGCTCCCTAGAGTTGTGAATCTAATCAAGTGTTTCTAGAAAATAATTGGGTGAGCTAGAGCAATGATGTACAATGATGGTTAGCTAAAACCTTTATATTCAGTCAAGGCTAATAAAGGCATTTATGTTCAATGAGGGTTTGCTAAGTTTTTGTATGTAGTATATTTCATTAAAGATTTAGTTTAGAACTGCACATGATCCTTATAAAATAGAGTAGGCTAGACAGGTCAGACAACTTTAATCTATAGAGTGATGAGATAAAATTAATAATTAACAATTCAATGAAAAATTACCAATTCGCCCATCCCACTTCTTTGTTCATCATGTTACATTACTACACCCAACATCAGCTTTATCACTTTTTTTGCATTCACAATGAGATGTCTAAAATATTGTGACTCCTCAATGTTGTTTGCATATTAGTATACTTGTAAAGTATGTATAAATAAGAGATAGAGAATTCAAGCATGATCAATTACATTTTATATGTTTTTGCCATCAGTGAGATGTGCTTTCCAATATACAGAGTGAGACAATACAAGTGCCTTCATGCTAATGTCAAGGTCTAAAGCATATGAAAGTTACTAGATCTATGTTTTGGGATTTAGCTTATGGACCCACAATCTAAATGATATGTGAGTATTGCCCAAGTGAAGAATTAATTGCAGAAGACAAGCATATGAATCTTGACATTATCTAACGACTATGCAATGCTATCAGTGAAAGTTGCCCATGCAACCTCTCCTAGTAGTCCTATTAAAGATCCTAGACTACTACAAAGGTAGGAGATTTAGATCCCAAGAACTTGCCCATGGTTCAACCCACCTAAGACATCAAAGTGAAAGTTGAGCATCATCCTAAACGCGCATGGTCTAATGACAATGCTATTATATGGCACCACTACATCATCACCTAATTTAAACATATCAAACCACAACCTTGGGTTGTGCCACAATGAGTTACAAATATCCTGTGCAAAACCTCCCCCAAGACCAATAGTATACCTTGTACTAGTGTATTTTGGTTATAATTATTCAACACTTAATTTTCAACATGAGATGAATGTTTAAAAGTATATTTTCAATCAGAATATTTACTGTGTTGTGAATGGTCAATCAGCTATAGCCATGAGGTCAGTGGAGGAGTCATAGTGTTGTGATAAACAGGCTGGTGGGCCGAAAACAAAAATGTTTGTGGATGAGTTATTGATAAAAACCAATCCAATTGTTAGTTCTACAAGAACTTGAGCTATTGATATTGTAGATAAGTATATGCTGACTACACATGTAGGCGACTAGTGATTGAAAATGTCAAACCAAGAAGCTTGAGCCTTCTTGAAAAAGTATCTTATATGATATTAGTTTCCTAATTGTGTATCTTCTCATTTGTCTCTTCTATATGATCTCGTACATTTACTGTTTTCTCACAACATCCTCATTTGTCTCTTCCATATTGTTAGTTCACCATGTGAATCCAATCATCTATTCCTTCGAACATGGGCATCTATTCACGCTTTCCCCTCCTAGAATTTATATATCCATTGTCAACGGTAAAATCATTTTTCTTATTAAAAAATATTTTAAAACACGAATGGGGGTGAAGGATGTGTATATGCAATAAAGCTACATCATATATTTTCCAAGAGATAGGTCTGAGCAAGGGAATGGGGAAAAGGAAGAGAGCTTGGACAAAGGAACATAAGATTTATAAGGAACAACACATGATGTCTTATGGAATGACTTAGGAGTCCCCTCTATGGTAAAATAAAATACATTAATCATTTACTCTATTTATTATATTATCTGCCTTATATGTGTGTATCTATGTATATATTTGGACAAAAATAATTATGATGGTCGTCACAATACAATTAATTGAATAACCTGTTACCATGTAAATCCATTATTTTCTCAACAAACTCTTTTTGATCTGATGAGTTATGCCAAGTTTAGCCTGATCAATCCCATCCAAATGTCCTTGGACGTCAGTAAACGATTTGAGTGAACAAATTGAAAGCAGCAATATCATTTTATAAGAGATTTGTATTGGTCTCTAATTCCCCGATGTAGCAATTGACTTGGCAACCAAGTGATCTACCACCATGTTACTTACATAGGTGCAAGTACCAATATAGACAAGGACTTTGACTGAAAGATATAAGCTCTAGAAGTGTAAGGGAGATCGTGTGATTTTTTGAGGTGGTCATAGTGTAATCGTAGATGAACATATGTTAGATTACAATAGAACAATTACAAACAAAGTAAAGCGTAATCGTAGATGATAAGATCCAGTTTTGTGGGTGAGACCCATCAGCTAATCAATCGTCCTCTATCATACACTGTATAGATAGTCTTTAGGGCACATGAGTGAGCCCTATGTGCGGTAGTCTTGAATACTAAATGGGGAGGAAAGGATGATGCTGAGACCTTAGAAATCCTTAACCCAAAATCAAAATGAGAACATGCATTACATAAGCGGGAGTGAGAGACCATACTAGGGAGGAAAGGGGAGCTCGTAATGGTGGGTGGGTGTGTGTGTGTGTGTGTGTGTGTGTGTGAGAGAGAGAGAGAGAGAGAGAGAGCGACAGATGACCGAGTCAGGGTTATTTGACGCAAACTTGCGCTTCATTTGCGGAACGATACTGATTCGAGACCATTTTTCGGAAGTTTTTTCCATACCTGGCCCAGCCCGAACATATTAAAGGTTAAAGATGCTTGAGCTGAGCACAAAGAATTGCCAGGCCCGGTCCGGGCAGTTGAAGCAACGAAAAGTAGTGTATCCTAATTTAAACATTTGGTTTATCTCAGCTGATTAGTAAAAGAGGAAAATTTTACCCTGACCACTGTAAAACCCTCTCTCTCTCTCTCTCTCTCTCTCTCTCTCTCCTCCCTCCCTCCTTCCCGTGAAACTGCTAAGAAGAGGCGAGAAAGGCAGAGCCGTAAGGTAACGTTGCGCTACCTCTGATCCAGCCAAGGGAAAACAGGAGGGGGGGAGGAGGGGGAGACGAAGTAGACCAGAGAGGGAAGGCAATGGCCTACAGGGCAGAGGACGAATATGATTACCTCTTCAAGGTGGTGCTCATCGGCGACTCCCGCGTTGGCAAGTCGAACCTCCTGTCCCGTTTCACCAAGAATGAGTTCAGCGCCGAGTCCAAGTCCACCATTGGCGTCGAGTTCGCCACCCCCAGCATCCACGTCGAAAGCAAGGTCATCAAGGCCCAGATTTGGGACACCGCTGGCCAAGAGAGGTCCATCTCTCTTCCCACACCCTCCTTCCCGGTCTCTCTTCGTAATCTCTTCTCTCTTTCTATCCCTCTCGTCTTCTTCGAAGAAGATACAGAGCCATCACCAGAGCGTACTACAGAGGGGCCGTGGGGGCCCTGCTGCTCTACGACGTGACCAGGCAAATCACCTTCGAGAACGTGGAAAGATGGCTCACGGAGCTCCGGAGCCACAGACGCGAGCACAGTTACCATGCTTGTCGGTAACAAGGCCGACCTGCGCCACTTGCGCGCCGTCGCCGCCGAGGACGCCCAGTCCTTTGCTGAGAGGGAGAAGAGTTTCTTCATGGAGACCTCCCCCCTCGAGTCCGTCAACATGGAGAGCGCCTTCACAGAGGTGCTCTCCCACATCCATCGCGTCGTCAGTAGGAGGGCTCTGGAGGCCGCCGGGAACGACCCCGGCGAGGCTGCTCTGAGGGGTCAGACCATCAGCGTCAACATCAAGGAAGATGTCTCCGCCACGAAGAAACCCCCCTGCTGCCCTTCTTAGACTCGGAATGGAGATCATGAACGCGCATGAGGAGCCTGGGCCTCGTGTTCATCTGGTTAGACGCTCATTTCTTGTCTGATGTGATGATCTTCGTTGGCAATGGACCATACTCTTGCGGCGGCCGATCATCTCTCATGTTTGACCGGCAACTGGATAACACTCTTCCAATCATTGGCCAGCTTCATGCTTCTTCTGCTCTTTGGCTGGTGAAAAAGAAATTCCATAAAATAGGTTACATTTATTTGTACATATTTATTTATTTAATCTCTTGCCTAAATCTTTCTCAGCATGTTCAGATTTTTCCTTGTTTTGCATTCCCATGTACCCCCTTTTCTTTGCTCGTTGTTCCCTAGTCCTCATTAAATAATTGTGAATTTAAATATTACAAAAAGAATAGATGGCTTAAAAAACATCGGGCCACCACGGTTGCAAGTTCAGGACGAAATTGTTAGAGATAAAAGCTCATTATAGACTTACCACGGAAGCTAGAAGACAGAAGTAAAATGAACAACTCACAATCAAGGGCACAAGAATTTACGTGGTTCGGAGGTCAGCCTCCTACGTCCACGGGCAACAATGAAAAGTTCCACTAGATGAAGTAGAAGTACAGAAGAGCACTCTCTAAAACTCAGAGTACAGATCTCTAATCTTGGCCCTCAAAGAACTCATTAGTCCCTCACCAACAAGTAGAGATTTCTCCGTTGGAAACCCTCTCTCAACCTCTCTGAAACTCTCTAGTCACCGGTGCTACGAGATGAGAAGAGTTAGCCTCTATTTATAGACCTCCTTGAGCTGCCTCAGGAAACATGTCAGCTGTTTCCTCCTTGAAGCTGAAACATTGAGGTGGCCACTTTATGAGCCACGTGCCCAACTTGGAAGTCGGACCATGCCATTAAACATCCCCTATTTAGGTGTGCTTCGGACCAGCGTGGTTTTATAGTGTTTGTTCTTACACGCCCAGCTTGGAAGTCGGGCCATCTTCAAGGGCCTTCCTTCCCCCACCTTGAAAACCAGCGAAGCAGACTCAGTAGTCGCTTGCTCTCCATTTCTCATTTCCATTGGGATTGTAAGGTCAGCATTGTATCAAATGAATGTGTGGTTCTTCTATTTTGATAAAGGTTGGTGGCTCTCACCTTCATAAGGGGCTTGAATTGAGCTCAAAATGATGCCACAAGATGCACCCTTCGTTCTCCTTGTGGTCTCACTTATGATAAAAATATTACTATGTGAGATTTTTAGAAACATTTTCAAAGTTGAAGCCACCTGAAAATATTACACTTGAATACTCCCAAATACATAGTTTATGTGCAATGTTTATCAATGTTACAATGTTACACCTGAAAATATTACAATGTTACAATGTTTGTCGAAACTGAGGACAACGGTAACACATTTTTCAAAGTTTATGTACGATAAAACATAGAGGTTTTGGAAAATGACAGTACTAACATAGTAATTTTTTGGGTAAAGAAACTGAAACCTCCTCGATCTTATTACTAACTTGGCCTTTTTTTATATTTTTCACATTTTTTATATATTGATCCATTTAGGTTATTAACCAAGTTTGATACATTTTTACAATCGCCATGTAGATTTATTTGTCCATATTTATAAATTGTGAAACTTCTCCCCCCCATGACCGATATGCCCCTGATTTGTGATTCCTCTTGCACAATATGATCATCTTTTTGTATTTTTTATGATGAGAGATATTTATTGTTATTATTTTTTTGTATTTTTTTAAGATTGTAATAAATGTTAGAGTAAAATGTCCAGTATGAACTTGTGGAAGCTGTGAAGTAAGAAAACAAAAATCGAACAACTCACAACTAAAAGACACAATAATTTTATAGCGGTTGGCCTCTTATGTCTAAGGGCGACATGAAAGTTCTACTGAATGTAAATAAAGTATAGAAGAAGTATCTCAAAGAACTCATAAATGGAATATCTGATCTTGACCCTCAAATGAATTCATCAATCGCTCACTAACCTAACATAAATTTTTATTTGAGATCTACTCTCAAACTCTCTGTACAGGGATGATAGTCTCTGAAATGAGTAATAATAGATAAGCCTGAAGAATAATTAAAACAAGAGAAGGGGCGCGTATATAGCCATCAAGCCATTTGCTCGGGAAGAGCACCTGGGGAGCGTGTAAGCATTTACTCCTATTCCGCCGCGTGAACTCTCTTGGTTCCTCGTGACCCGGTACGGCCACAGAGGCTATTGGGCCCGTGAGACTTGGTTCGTCTTGTGACCAGTTTTCCAGTGGACCCTGTCTTCTCACTCCACACTAAATGCGGTTAGTCTTCTTATTCTGCTCAGCCGCCATATGAGCTGAATACTTGGCCACGTGCTCACTTAAAGTGTCACGTACCAAATAATAATAGATTCCAAAATTGGCTTCATCTCACATGGGCTTCAAGTGGGCATCATCCACTTGTACTCAAATCCGGTTTCATCTAATAAATTTGTTCTGAAATTTTATACCTCAATTGATTATAGAACAAGATTCTCCGCCATTAACTCATTAAATGTCCATCCTCCCATGAATTCAATCATCTAAAGGCTATTAATGAAGGCCAAAAATGACACGACTTAAATCATCACATTATTGACCAAGATAAAGAACCCTTTGAGGGCCCTACGGAAGATGTACCCACACACCCACCAACCCATGCGGCGGGTTAAGTATTGGGCATGTGCATGGAAGAAGGGCTGTTTCTAAAAATGGCGATTCTTCGGACAAGATGGGTGTTCTAGAACTTAAGTTAAAGAATACTTATTTTCCGCTTTTTATGTAATAGTTAAGTCTTTGACAACATAAACTAGTTATTTACGGAGTTCTTTAAAAGATCCCAATCTTAATGTTAAATAGGTCGTATTGTCAATAAAGTAGGCAGCTTAGCTCCGTATGAAACCTTGAAAAATGAATATCGGCCACTATTATGATTATTTATTAAATATTGATGTGACGTGACTTTATTAACTGAGTTCGGAATTTTCTTGAGACACGTAGAAACCCGCCTTATGCCAAATTGGTTCTTGGATGCCCCATGGCAACTATGTAGAGAAGAAGACTAAACGTCACATCATATCGAGAACGGATAACCATGAGATCTAAGGATCGTGAAATGCCTGGTCCATGGCCTGACAGAATCTCCGGCCTCTCGAGATGGAAGACGACCCGATCCTAACGGACAGGACGTGTCCACGCCAAACCCCCACCGTGGCCGACTGTTCTTCCCCTTCCGCTGGAGAGAGAGAGAAAAGTATGGGCTTTAAACGCCAAAAAGCCTACCGGTAATGGTCCGCCGTTCTTATCTGCGGCGGGGTAGATGCCCCCCAAGTCGACGTCTTTCTGCCTGGTGCCGACACGCAATACACGGTCTTGGCGGGTCTCCACCGGCCCCACCAACCCGATGGAAAAGGTGGATAAATTGTCCCCTCCCTGGCCTCCAGCAGCGCCACCATTCCTCCGGCAGGTGGAACTTCCCCGCTCCCCTTCCTCCAGTTGAGCTGTGGCGGCAGATCCCGCCTCCCCGACGATGGCATCACCGGACGCTGATCGTATACGCCGCCGGGCTTCCGTCATCTCGCGTCATCTCTCACGGTGGGTGCCGCCTGCAGCGACGAGGACCCTGAATGTCTCCGCTTGCGTGCAGTACTCCCCTCCCGAGTCGTCGGAGAAGTTGGGTTTCGATGTCGGGGAGATGCGGCGGGTGATGGACGGACACGACGTGGAGGCGCGCGACTGGGCATACCGGATAATGGAGGAGAGTCCGCTGTTCTGGTCCCCTCGCCGCCGACCCGAGGGAAGGGTTTTCATGATTCCAGACTATAACCAGCCGATGGAACACCAAAGAGAGATGACCATGCGAAGGATCATGTATCTGAAGGAACGGGGGATGTATGATGGCTGGCTAACCGGGGGGAGGGAGACGGAAATGAGGAGGTTCGCGCTATTGGAGAGCGCCGGGTTGTTCGATCACAGCCTTAGCGTCAAGACAGGTGTACACTTCTTCCTGTGGTGAGCTTTCTAGCCAATCCGTTATTTCTCCGTCGCTTCTAGGCCAAAACTCTCAAATTGATCGTGCCATTAATATGAAAGAGAACGATCAGATGCTGAAAAGAGATTCCCAGAATTTAATTCATGATGCCATGGAGAAAAACAAATGATCGATCAACCCATAGAGAATGGCTACCCGTGAGCAGTTATTTCCTGTTGTTTTTCTCTCTATGAACCAAGACGGCTGAACCTGATACCTTACTTCGATTTTGATTTATTTTTATTGCAATCAATTCGGACAATGCGAGAGACTGCAGTGTGACTTATTTGAGAATCTTACCTTGATGCACATCTGGATACCCAGAAAATTCTCAGCAGAATCGATTTCTCTGCATTTCAGATCTGGGGCAGCATTGAATCAGGCCATAATAGCCGTCTGCGTAAATTGACATCAGAATCTCCCAGTCGCTTTTTTATTTACACCATTTCATCCTTTTTAGACTTCTCTCCTTGACTTATTTGAACATATGTCACCATATGTCACTTTCTGTTCCCTATTTCGTCTGCTTCTTCATATGCGGCGTGATATTCTTTAGCAAAGCTTGATATGTTACTGAAGAAAATATATGCTGCGTTTGCTATTTTCGAACTTGGGGCCAATTTTTCTCTGATTAGTGCAACCTCGAATTTCTCAGGGGCTTGGCCATCCGATATTTGGGCACAAAATATCATCATGACAAGTGGCTGAAGGACACTGAGAATTTTTCAGTGAAAGGTTGTTTTGCCATGACGGAGTTGGGTCATGGAAGTAATGTAAGCTTAAACACTTTTCAGTGCATCCTTTGTGAGATTTCTTCTTTTAATCTTTTACAAAATCGTTCATTTTGGCGTGAAGGTTCGAGGAATTGAAACCATAGCCACCTATGACTCAAGCGCAGGGGAATTCATTATAAACACTCCATGCGAATCTGCCCAAAAATACTGGATTGGG